AACTATCAACGGCGAGGACCATAGGCCCAGGTCGTCTCACGCGAGACCCCTGTGGCCATACTGTTGATGAAAGACTGGGTTCTGCCTCTTTTTGAAGTGAGCCTTATTCCAAATTTCTATAGAAATGGTTTGGTTTGACATTAAATGGTGAGGACAAGAGAGAACCAAAGAATCACCTACGTCATACTCACTCATATCCGTGGACATGATGGAGCATATACTACTAGGTACTACCTACGATCTTGGAAGCTGAGCAAGGTATGGATCAGAATTATTCCTTTGAAAGTCTTCCCAATTCGAAACTCTGTTATTCATCCACAAGCCCGTCAGCCATGTCCTCCTTGTCCTCCTTGTCCTCCTTGTCCTCCTTGTCCTCCTTGTCCTCCTTGTCCTCCTCATTCTCCTGGTCCTCCTCCGCCTCTTGGTCTTCGATCATACTATCTTCAATGCGCTTCATCAGGCGGAAGTAACGCATGCGCGCAGCACTTGTATTGATGCCAGTGGCGCTAGCGACCGCAGCGTGGTCGACCTGAATATAGGTCAGCGTTGAGAGTTTGCTTTTCACCATGGACAATAGGGAATATTAACCTTGCCATCGGTACCGTATTTGAGGGCTTCATATAGCACGAGGATGTCCTGTGAGTATGCTCTGGCCGTCTTGGTAGGTTTGGCCTCCCCGAATTTCTTGGCCTTGATGCTTGAAGCCTTTGGTTTGGCAGCCTTTGTGGTGGGAGATCTCCGTCTCGGGGGCTTGGCTTTCGAACGAGGGGATTTGACGCGAGCCATTGCGGAGTTTCAGTGATATTGAGAAGAGTTGGTCTAATCGATTGATTGTGGGCTTGGATGGAGTATGAAGGTGAAAGGAGGAAAGGAAGAGAGAACGGGAAAAGCGGACACATTTATAGCCATTGACCTTCATCCCATCTTGCCTAGATATTATTATTTCAGATGACTTTTGTCCGCTGAGAGACAGGTACGATCATGGGAGGGAGTACTTGTCTCTCTTTACTGGTTACCACAGACCCCAGATCATATCATCCATGAGTACTCTCGGAGTCTGCTTTTGAAGGATTGATAGAGCAGTAAGTAATAACCCTTGTGGATTGTTGATCCCCCCAAGTCTGATCTCCATTATACGTTTTGCTGTGTGTCTGATGGATTCGGTGTTCTTACTCGAGCTTGTTGCGATTTCGATCATCAGAATGGTCACTTTGACATGTGTCTTTTGGGCCAACAATCTCCGAGTCTCATCTCCGAGTATTAATAGCAGTATTGCTTGTTATTCAAGCGACCAGAACATAGGATCCTCGTTCTCGGTGTTGGTGATGATTGGCTTGTACAAAGTCCAGAGTTCTAAAATTGTGAGGGATCTATTTAAAAAGATCAATTGTCCGAGGGGGGATGGGGCGCGATCAAATTGGACTTCCATGGCGAGCCCTTGCACAGCACACCTTTCATCTGCAAGAATGTTGACTCGTTCATTTGCAGAGATCTATTCGAGTCTGCAGTCAAGCGGGTATTTAGATTCACAAGGAATCGTTTGGTGTGAGGTGGGGGTACAACATGCTGAATGAACATGCGTTCTTACGGTCATTGTTGGTTCGTATCTACTGAGATCACTGAATTGTACGGAAGATACAGCCGACTCGGAAGTTTCAAATGCTAGGCATGGTTTCTTCATAGTAATGGTATTCCTTAGTCTTCAGAATGAACTAAACACTCCTCATTTGATACCGAGCAGTCATCGGTCTCGTCAGTTCCTCGACAGCTTGACTCTCAGTGGAGAGGATTGCCGCAATCTTCGTCATTAGGCGGTTGTGACGCATGCGCGCCGCAGGCGCTTCGATTCCTAGAGCTTTGGCAACGGCTCGGTGATCAATCTAATGTTCAAGTTTTAGTTCTTGGTTCTGAAGCTTGGGGGAAATGAGGAATCACTTACTCTCTCGGTTCCATAGAGAATCGCTTCATACAGAACGAGGGTGTCTTCAGCAAGGATCTGGACCTTTCCAGCCTTATTGTAGCTGCCATGTTTGCCGGGCTTGGTGGGCTTGGTGGGCTTGTCGGGCTTGGTTGATCTGGTGGTCCCGGTAGACTTGGCAGGATCGGCAACGGCGGTTTTCTTAGCGTCGAGCTTGTGCTTCCTCACTGCGCGAGACGCGTTTGCGAAACTCATCACATTCGAGATAGTCTTATTGACAGCGAACTTGGTGCGTGCCATGATATGAAGTGGCTTTTGCTCAAAGACAAGGAAGTAAATGCACGAATTGAGGGAGAATAATGGAACGAAAGGTCAAACCACCATCTAGAATGATAAGGAATCGTTTGGTGTGGAGGGAATTTACAGCATGCTGAATGAGCATGCGGTCGCACAGCCATTCCTGGTCCGTGTCTACTGAGACCATTGGATACTACATAAGTTACGGTCTACAGGTTTAAATGTTAAACATTGTTTCTTCACATTCATGGTATTTATTACTCCTCATACTGGACCAAGCTGTCCTCAGTCTCCTCGGTCTCGTCTGTCTCCTTCATAGCTTCACTCTCGGCGGCAAGGAGGGCCTCGATCTTCTTCATCAAGCGGACATGGCGCATGCGAGCCGCAGGCTTAGTTATGCCCAGGGCTTTGGCGACGGCCCCGTGGTCAATCTGATTTGAAAGTGTTAGTTCTTAGCTTCGAAGCTTGGGAGAAGTGACAATCACTCACTTTGGTGGTTCCATGGAGGATTGACCAATACAGGACTCGGGTGTCCTCAGAAATGCGGTCGCTCCTGAGAGGCTTCTTGTATCGGCCACCTTTGATGGCCTCAGTTGGCTTAATGGGCTCTGCCAGCTTGGCTGAGTCGGTAGTCCGGGTGGTTTTTTTTGCGGTCGATGAGCTTGGTGGACTCCACAGGTTCACCAACGGCGGCCGTTTTGCCTTGTAGCTTGTGTTTTCTCGCCGCGCTAGATGCATTGGCGAAGCTCATCACATTGGAGACATTCTTATTGCCAGTAAACTTCGTACGTGCCATGATGAACGGTGGATGTTTTTCAGGCGTAAGATAGTAAACGGATGAACAAAAGGGAAAGAATGGATCGAAAGGGAAAACAACTTGGGCTTCTTTTGTACCTCTGGGACTCTATTTGCACGTGCCCCAGGTGTTCGCTAATTCATTCAGATGAAGAACTAGGCAGCCTCTGTCTTAGCGTCTCTCTTTCTCAATGAGTCTCAATATATATGCAACTGTATTTTTCACTGGTGAGATGTCCGCCAAATCCAGCAAGCATATGGTCCTAATTTGGTCTATCTTCGTCTCACAATGCTCAGTGCTTCTCTAACAAAAGCAGACGTTGATCCGGGACCCTAGAGCCCAGTGGAAAAGACTTTCGCGACCGACCGTATACTGTTTCACGATTATCCGCTACGATGGCCAAGAGAAAGCAAACAGCAGCTTACCGGTTCCAAAGGAGGCCTTCGTATCACTACGCGATCGTTCAGGACGATGCAATTCTACCCAGCCTCTTTTGTATCCCAGAGGCGCTATAATCCAAGAGATCTTTCTGCTTCCGCTCTTACAATGTTCAGTCAATAGTGGACGAGTCATTTGATTTGATAGGAATAACGCAAGTAGAGGCCAGAGAAAAACAAACTCGAGGCCTAATGACTTCATCCATAAAAGGTTCAGAACAGTTTTCTCAAGAGTATCACCGCAGATGGTGAAAGGTGGAATGAGAAGAGTCATGTCAACGCCATACACGTTCGACATTCAGACATAGCAATAGCCTATTTGGAGGAATCCTCGACTTCGGGCTTGTCCTTGTCCTCGGTGGGCTTGGGCAGAGTTGGTTTGGCGTTGCCTGGTCCCATTCCCATTCCCAGGGGGTCGTTGGGAAGATACTTCTTTCGGAGGCGGCTGATACGGTTGGCTGTCGCCTTTTGGTTCATTCCGGTCGCAGCCGCGAGAGCGGCGTAGTTGGGCTATAGATATCTAGTCAGCGTGGAATCAGGACAGATGGGCGTGGCAATTCACAGTGGTATTCATCGAGTTGATGGTCAGTAGCAAGAAGGTGATGTCGTCCATAGGTGGCGCCTTGCGCTTGCTTGGAGAACCGCCCTTGACTGGCGCCTTTTTGATCTTATGATCAGACATCGTGATTGAGATAGATTGATCAAGTCTTGTGTGGAGAAGCGTTCGAGAGTGCGTGCGCGGAGGAAGATGGTGCGTGTGGAGAGGAAAGATGGTGCGTGTGGGAAGGAAGATGGAGAGTGGATGTAAGCGCGAACTCGAGGCAAACAACTGGACGTGCACGAACAGCTGGATCTTTCACAATTATCATCATTTCATAATTCCTCCGGATTTTCATTCACATCAATCCAGTACCAACATTCCTGGTTGACGCCTTTCAAATCTACTGTCCTTCAGAAACCTGCTAAGTCCTAGATTCCAAGGTTTGAGATCTCACCCCATCCTCGTGCAGATTCCCTGGGATTAACAAGTCAATCAGTTACTCTCGGGCTTTCCTCTTGCCAGTCATACACCATGCATCCAATCACGTGCTAGTTGGAACCCCAACTTGGAGCCATAAGCCCATCCACTATCACGCAGACACCCTAGGCTCAAGGGCACAACCAGACGCTCCTAGGCTTCATCTTGTCTGTTCTGCACCGTACAGCTCATCGTGTGTGAGCCAGGGCCCTACTATTAGACATGAACCCATCATCGCAGCCATTCTGGGACAACAGTACAACGAGATATTCAAACTTCCTATCGTCTTTTATGCACCTTATCACGTGCCGTTGGGGACCCTAATTGCTACCTAGGTATATCGGAACCCATCAATATACAGATGCTCTGGGATCACAACGACCGGGAAGTATTCACACCGCTTGAGGTCTTTTTTAATGCTGACTCATCTATGTCTCAAATGTCTAGGCAACAGCACATTGCTCTGTCCGTTGATGAACTGCACATCACCCTCACGCTACCATCCCATAACCTTCCCAGAACACCTTATACAGCATGCATCTTGATCACAAGATACCGTGGAACATTACCGCCTCACACTTCAAGCTCGTCAGGTCAAATCCCCATTTCACTCCCCGGCGCACCAATCTGTTCCCTCGCAACCTATCTTCTCAGTCCAATGACTTGAAGCATTTCACTCGAGTCCTCGTCAGCACAATCTGGGAGTTTTCCACAACTGAGAGGGCAAAGTACTCTCTAGATATGCAGACTGCGTCATTGTCTGACTTCGAGCTATTTTCCAATGAACTCCTCACCTATCCAGAACGCAAATTCAGACTTGGAGAGTACAGCAGCAACTCTGCATTGCATAATCCTCTCTCGGCAGACTACCAGCACCTCCAATACTGGGTCACTCGAGCCGAGTCCGAGGATGGTTCTTCGCACGGTTATACAACCGGGGATGCGGATTTGGCAGATGCGGTAAAAATGCTGCTTACCATCGCATCGTCAGGAAGCGAGAAAATGTCAACTGATGACTCGGAAGTTCTTGCCATGCAAGCAATGAACGCCTTGCTTTGTCTTTCGGGGCATTCTAAAATCCCATTATCAGACCTTGACTCGCTATCCTGGGGACACAGCTTCGGGGTGAACCATGTGCCTGATTTAGCTTTGCAAATATATATGCTGATCAACATCGTTGATGCGGTGATGACTCGTGTGGATGGAGGAGCTGGAATCAACGACCAAGCGGAAATTTCATTGCTTGAACTCGACGCCTTTACATACTTTACTCGCAACGCTCTGGCCGATTATGACTATCCAGCTCAAAACATTCCACATAGACACTTTTGGTTCGGCCTTGGTGTGGATGAAGGTTGGGCCGGTCCGGAGTCCGTGTCTGGGAGAACCGGGCATTCAGCTGTGACAGATCCACTGGCGCACCGAGAACCTGTCCAGGTGGAGGTACGTGAGGGTCTGAAAAAGTATTTGAAAATGTGCTTTGGGTTGATGTATCGATACGACGTACTGTTACGAGAGTGGTGTGGGGATCAGAATGCAGATCAGTGGTGGGAGGAGGCAATACTCCAGAATCTGAGAAGTATGGGGGGAATCAAGGATTTATGAAGGCTTAGTATGGATTACCAGCGATCGGGAATCTTGACCTCGGAGCTAGGTGACAATTTAGGAACAAAGTAAACTGAACAAATCAATGAAATTCAATCTAACGAGCCTGCGTAGATTGCCATAATCATGCAGACAACAACATATATCTAAATCAAGTAAATCATAATAAAATCATCTTGTACATTCGCCGTGCCAGAAGTTTGCCATGGCTCGAAAGCACCAGTTCGCCTCACATCCAGAAAATGAGGGCAGGTCCAAACCATTACCTAATTCCGCTGTATGATTTACTCGGAAGAAGTTGGCAGGTTTGTGGGAAGGTGGTCAGGGAAGGCAGGAGGTGTGATGGCGGGGAGCTGGCGGCCGTCGAATTCCTCACGCTTGGGAAGCTTGGGGAGACCGGTAGGGAGGTGGAAGGGGAGGTCGGTGGGCAGATGGAAGGGAAGATCAGTGGGGAGGTCGAAAGGAAGGTCGCTCAGAGCGCGCTTCTCGAAGCCACTGGGGGCACCAGCAAGAGGAGCGGTTGGTGTAGGCTTCTCTTGGTCTCCGTTCTGTCCCTCACCCTTGCCTCCGTGCTCTCCGAGGTGGGGGAGGGGGAGGTTGGGCAGACCAGTGGGGATCGGGAAGGGGAGATCGGTTGGCAGGCCGGTGGGAATCGAGAAGGGGAGGTCAGTGGGGATACTGAGATCCTCGTCACGCTTTAGGGGAAGTCCAGTGGGAAGGTGGAATGGGAGGTCTGTTGGGAGACCGGTTGGCAGCTTAGGCAACTCCGAGGGAATGGGGAATGGAAGATCAGTAGGAAGACTGAGGTCCTCATCCCGCTTCAAGGGAAGTCCAGTGGGAAGGTGGAACGGAACGTCAGTTGGAAGACCCGTTGGCAGCTTGAATGGGAGGTCGGACGGAATCGGAAATGGGAGATCAGTTGGCAGGCTGAGATCCTCGTCGCGCTTCAATGGAAGTCCAGTGGGAAGGTGGAATGGAAGGTCCTTGGGTAGACCGGTTGGCAGCTTAGGCAACTCCGAGGGAATAGGGAATGGGAGATCAGTAGGAAGACTGAGGTCCTCATCCCGCTTCAAGGGAAGTCCAGTGGGAAGGTGGAACGGAAGGTCAGTTGGAAGACCCGTTGGCAGCTTGAAAGGCAAGTCGGAAGGAATTGGGAACGGAAGGTCCAGGCTGCGCTTCTCGTTCTCTGATTCAGCAGGGTCGGAGTTTTTGGGAAGTCCAGTGGGGGGAGGAGGAGGCGGTCCGTCAGGGACGCCAGTTGGCTCCTCACGCTTCTCGTTGCCGCTGGGAGGAGTGATGGTGTAGGGCAAGTGGTCAATGCCGCTGAACACCGGGATGGGGAGGTTGAAGTCGCGCTGCTCGACCTCGCCAGTTGGCTTGGGGGCATCGGTGGGAGGCGGTCCAGTGGGAGTAGGTCCATCAGCCGGGGGAGGGCCGGGGGGACCTTGGGGAATTCCCTGGGGGAGGGCGAGGGCGCAGCCCATCAAGCCCATGGCTGCGAAGCCGGTGTAAGCGTATCTCATTGTGATGAGTGGTTGATTCAAGGTTGTGAGTGTTTTGGTTTAGAGTAGCCGTCTTGATATATTGGTTTATATATCAAACGCGTTTGTTAATCCTGCAGAGTCTCCTGGAATCTGTGGCGTCTTTATAGCGCTGTGTCAACAACTCAAATCTTGGATCATGACGAATGCCGTGGTCGAGCCATGACTTCAAATATCGTACTGCGTATTGCACTCACAAAGCAGGCGTGCCTCGACGCGGCCATCCTTGAAACGGTCGCGGGTCGTCGATCTTGTCCGGGTGGATCCTAGGGTCGGGCGCCTGGTTCCTGAACGATCCAGGTACTGCCCAGGTGGGCACTGGTCATTGGCACATGATGAGAAACTTTTTTCGCCTAGTGCTGACTAGAGTGCTAAACGGTGAGAGCAAGATAGTAGTTCCTGATCCCTCAAGGTAAGTATCGCCAGTTCTCATGGGCTGTCGAACGGTCAAAAGCCGCAACTAGGATGTTAGCGCGCCGATCGGCACGTCGGATGGTGATTTCTAGCGGGATTTCTCATTCCCGAAAGGCCAACGGTTCTTTCCCAAACGGGCTCATGCCCCTAGTAATTGAGGGCCTAAATTGAGACCGCGCAGGTGTTCGAATCCTCACTTCTCGCGCGAATGGCGTGGGCCTCAAAAACCAGGCTCTTGCACATCATCTTGACGTGCCTTTTGCTAAATATTCGTCACAGGGGACATCGCGTTTCAGTATGTTCGCCCCCAATTCAACGGGGCTGATACTTGTTCGGTGTCAGTGGGGCGGCTTTGGAAAGTGGACGATCAGGAGCGGGTTCGGCACAATTGGGAAAAAGAGTGACAGGGCCGATACGAAGTAGTGTGAAGCCCAATAAGCCCCGACCGATCGGCGGTTGGTCCTCGGGTCAGCCCAAGAATGGTCCCAACGGCTAATTGAAGGTTCACATGTGGGCATTCGGCAGACGTTCGAGAATTCGGGAATTGCGGAGGGTTCATCAACCTGGAAACCCGACTGCATGCTGTGTGCTTCACGCATCGATGTGAATTGACCGTCATTTTTGGATCAATGCCTTCGATGTTGAGTAGTAAGTCTGTGTTTGTCGATGACTTTAAAGGATTATCGGATATCAGATGGCCCGAACCTTGGATCACCGGCATTCTGAGCCGGGGACCCAAGGGTCGGAAAATAAGCGTATTTCGACGCCCCAAAAATGGGACATCCACGTTTCGGCATATTCGAAACATGGTGATTCTAACAATGCGCTACATTTAAAGGGCAGTATTGTGTATATCTTGAATTGCACGTTCAACCCGAAAATGCCCAGGTCTACCAGTAGTATGCGATGACCCAATTTCTTCTAACGCCAACGTGAGTCCATAATTTATAAAGGGGTGGTATAAAGTCCGAAATGCGAAATCCTGGAGATGATATGAAAGTGAGGCCAGTGACATGAGAGGTCCGCTCAGGACCCGGTCATTATTAGTGACGTTTGCGCGAGGGATCAGGCAAGCCCGCTACCGTTGGCGTCATGTTGAGGAGATGGCGGGAGGAAGGGGCTATATCTCGCGCCGGATAAACCTTTGTAGGACGAGTAGAGCCGTAGGTCAGACCGGAGGAGAATGACGATCGCCGTGAGCGAACGGGACTACGAGGTCCGTGGTGCGCTAGGAATGAATCCGAGGGCGTACGCTGGCCGCGTCGGGAGAGGAAGTATGTCTGGTCTTCGTCGCTGCTAGAGTCGATATCGAAGATAGAGTTATTGAACGTGACAGAGGAGGTACGTCTATGGGGCCGGGGTCGCATTTGATCCGAGTTCTCGAGAGAGATAGTGCTCCGTGCCTTTCGAAGCGCGCTCGGTGACTGGTTGCCGTGTCGGTGCTCTAGTTCGTGACTGTGGGATCCCCGTCGGCGTCGGTAGCGGCCTCGCCCACTGTCAGCTGAGTCGATGGAGTGTCGGACGGGTTTGGCCATGCGGAGGTCCACCTGGCTCGGGCTGAAAGCCACGCGGGCCCGCATCTGCTGGACAGCGCTATCGAGAGCTAGCTCAATAGCGCAGTGGTTGCGCATCCGGCTGAGTCGTGGCCAGGTCGCCCGCTCGCCACTCAAACAGGCGGAAAGCATGAACTCCGTTGTAGGATTCTCAAGGAGTCGTGGGAAGTTCGAAGAATTGAGTTCAGGGTATATATTGATGTCACCGTGGTACTTTTGATTCACGATGGAGGCAAACTTGGTCATGGATGTTGGGAAGATGCCGAGTTCGGAGAGCACATTCATCCGGTGTAATACTTCGTCCTTGGCAAGGTGCGTCATGGTGCTCATCCATCGTGGGACAAAAGATGAACCGTCCTCAGCGTCAGTCCGAGGACCTGTTTCCTTTGGTAGGAAGGGCACTACATGAGGGTTGACTTGAGACACGATGAAGTGATTGACGTTAAACATTTCGGACAACCGGGTCATTGGCAGGTCACCATCGACTGAGCCATCAATGTACTGTTTGTGAAGGTCGTTCCACGGAACAGCCTCTCCTGTTAAGGGGTCTTTGGCCATTAGGGTATACGGCCTGAAGACAAAGGGAACGGAACATGAAACCGCCCTGGATGAATGTTAGTTCCAGATCGGACGGATAAACATGGGAACTTACACGGCAGACCAAATCAACACGTTGGGCGCAGAGATATAATTCAAAAGACGAGGCAGTTCATACATCCCGGCACTCGAGACGCAGATATTGAGAATCCTGCGAGTGCGATTGTATGCTTCTTGGAAGGTCATGTCGCCCAGCCAGTTCCTGATGGTTTTCGCCAAATGGGAAATGTCGAGGAAGGACCCAAACTTCAAAAAGCGCGTCATCTTCTGGAAGATATTCTCTTCTTGGCCCTTCTCATTGAAAACTGCAAAATCACCATGGACATAGGTGTCTAGGAGCGCGGGCAATTCCTCATCGGTGCGTGTGCAAAACACCGCACAAACGATACTTCCCGCAGAGGCTCCGGAGATGATACGAGGGATCATCCGCGCCTCATAGAGCGCCTTCAGGACGCCAATGTGAGTCATTCCGAACGTCGCCCCGCCAGAGAACAACAGGGCTGTCCGTCCAAAAGCTTGTCGCGCCGCCAGCAGCTGATCAAGAATGTACTTCAACTCTAGTCCATCGCAGCGATCGTGCACACTGAGATCAACCAGTGTCGCGATCGTATCCAGCGCCGCAGTGATATACCGATCAATCAAGTCCTTCGTTCCAATATGAGAATGCCGATATAGCGACGCATTGCTCATCTGCGCGAGATCGCGACTCAGCGCGGTTCTCACCAGAAATAACATCCGGCTTGCGTCGCAGCTCACGCGCGCCTCATCCAGTTGTCTCAGGCGGTCCTGCACCAACGCCGGATCGTACTCGTTGCATTCGAACGTGTGTTTCCAGACATTGCGCTCCTCGAGTTCGTCCAGTTCGCTTGCGCAGATCCGCCACTCTTCGTACGACACGGCCTAGACTGCGGATTAGAGGTTGTTCGATGGGTCCAATAGGCTACTTACATTCTTCATGCGCAGGTACAGGATCTGTTTGCGATCTTCGATTTCGGCCTTCGCATGCCGTTGCTCTTTCGTCAGACCATCGCGATAGGTATGGAAAGTATCACCGGCCCAGTCCCAGGAATCTTTGACTAGAGAGGAGACGGTGGGAACGGAGACTGCTTTGCGAAGTTGGGGTTTGCGGCAGGCTATAGTGTCGCCCAACGGCATAACAGGCCTGTGCATCGGTGCAAGCCATTCAGCCGTATTCGACGGGTTAGAGGGGAAGTTCAGAGAGAGAGTTGTCAAAGATCAAGAGTAGAGGCGGTAAAGACGTCACGAGGGCTGAAATCTGCCCGATCCAAGGTTTTCCTCCCGTCTTCTTTTTCCTTTTCCTTCTTTTTCCTTTGCTTCTCGTCTTACAAAAGACACTCTCTTTGAACTATATTACTCCGTCCAAGTCGGCGTGTCAGCCTATTCCTTGTCCCGCCATTATCCTGGATTGTTCCCCATGATCTTACCCCGATCATCTGGACAGGCGATCTTAGTGGGGAACATTTGCCTCCCGAGGGGCCGCCAGTTATTACATTTGCAACCTTGGGAATCTAGGGTCATTAGAGCGACAATCTTCCAATCACTGCATGTCCGTAGTCCAAATCAAATACCAACAAAACCCAAGCCCCTGGGTCCCTGTCCCCTGATTCTTCACATGCCGCAGGCCCACTAGCATGTGAGATACCCCCCGGGGCCCCGGGATCCCACTTCACATATGTCATCATATCCCAGATCCATCAACAAACCTGATTGGAGCGAAACGACTCAAGCCACACCCTCAGCAACAGCCGCGCCCTCTCATTTCGACGCCAAAAGTGGTCCGCGCCATCAATCATCCGAAACTGGAACTGACTGCCTGGCATGTGCAACAACTCGTCTGACCACCGCTCCAGTTTCGCAGCGGAAACAAAGCTGTCCAGGTTCCCGGCCAGCGCCAAAGTACGATGCCTACTCAGCTGGTCTGCTGGATCGGGGCAGGGGAGTGTTCGGGACGCCACTTTCAGTGATAAGGTCGTGAAGATCGTGAGGAGTTGACTTATCGGTGGCAGGAGTGGGGATACCAAGAGATAGGAGATAGAAGTCGTCAATGCGCGCAGGTCTAGGTTGGTCGGGGGTATGGGATGATTCAAGGATGATATTGCGACTCGCTTTGCGATGTCTCTTATCTCGGAGATGGATGCCTCCAATGATTCGAAGAGGTCGAGGATCACCCCCGGGGTAGGGAGGTGTGAGGCGATCAAAGAGCCGTAAGAGTATCCGCCCAGGATCAGATGAACATCTGGATGTGACCCTGATGTAGCTTCTAAAACGGGATCTTCTAAGCCGCCGTCTTGGGTGCTGCAACATGGCTCTGCGGCTGATTGATTGGAGGCCAATGCGTGCTTCAGGAGGTGGAGGTAAATCAGCATAAACCCGTAGAATGACACATAGTCTCCGAGCTCAGGTTTTGAGGTCCAACTCGTTCGTCCTTCCGAGTCGCCCGCTCCGCTGTTGTCAACTGTCAGCTGGGTGCTGGGGTGTTCCCGGAAGAACCTACCGGAAGTTGAACGTCCCCACGATGAAGTTGGCTTGGAGCAGCTCGTTGCTGACGAAATCTACAACTGGATCGTCGTAGCAACCTCCTAGGGGTGCATATGGATGAGCAATAATTGCTCCGTGGATCGGTGACCCTGGTGTTGATTGTATATTTCGGACACGGGACGGTAAAATGATACGGCACTGTAGCTTTCGGCCATCATACACGGAGGGAATGTCAAACGAAAAGCTCGGCGCGGAAAGATCCATGCCTATTCAAGTTTCCTTGATGTTCGAAGCTCAGCCCATACATGCAGCGAAAGGAAATGTAGGTGGTGAGTCGGAGGTTTTGACCCGCTCCAGCAGAATTTGGTAGTTCCCATTAACACGGAGTAACCACGACTCACGACTTCCCAGACTTGCCAAGGGATTTGGATATACATTGCGTGAAAGAGATTTGAGACGAAAATCATGGTCTATTCTCCTTCGAATTCTATTGCTAAGGTAAGAAATAAAAAATAAAAAAATAACGAGACTCATGCCTCAGTACTCCAGCGATTGCAAGGAGATTCTACAGTCTTCATTGATTCCAACCTATACTATCGACATGCATTATGAAAGCCAGGAAGGATCCGGCTCATCATCCTCCGATCTAGACGCAGCATCCGAATGCTGATGATGTGAGTCTTGAAGAAGGTCTGCTGGGGGTTCTGGGTCATCATTCTCTAGCGGACCCGCGGGATCATCGCCATGCGTTGCATCCTGTGCCTCGGCATGGCCAGGAGGGTTCAGGGGTGCATCATGTTCCTGCGGCGACAAACCGAAGGCGGGTAGAAGGAGTCCCCTTGCTTCTCGCAAGGCCTCTAGCTCGGCCGCAATACAGCAGACCAGAAGCTTCCAGTCCTTGGTCTCTGCAAGGTCCAAATAGGACTCAATTTGGTGAGTGGTTTTATCCAAATCGTCTATAATGCTCTTCACGAGTTCATCTTTTTTATCCGCTGGCTCGCTTGCGGGCTCCGTTGTTGCCATCCCAACGTAGCGTCGCATGTTGGCCCGTAAGCGTTTCTCAAAACCGGTGACATCATGCATGGTTTGTTTCCAAACACCACCGCCCTCCTCCAGCGCATGGATTTCTGCGTCCACTTCCTTCTGCCTATTGCCCAAACTCACTTGTTCAGCTGTCCAATGCTCCTGCGCCATATCGAGTGTGCGACGTTTAGGGTTTAGAGAATGAAACGTAGATTCAACGGGTTGGCGCGACAGCGATTGGATGGGAGGGTCACGGAGGTATTTGCAAATATCAGAGTCGAGTAACGACAATGATTCAGTATAAGAGGACAACTTTGCATCGACCGAGTTGTTGATGTGTGAGATTTCGCTGACAAGATGTCGGTGCTTAGCTTTCATCTCAAAAAGCCTGGTTTCCAATTCATGGATGTCAGTTTGAAGGCGCAGGGCTTCTTCCTCTAGTTGCTTCGAGCGCCGACTCTCGTCGTTGCCATGTATAGTAGTTATTGCCTCTTGGAGACCAGTTCGTTTAGAGTGGAAGTTCTCGATATCTCTCAGACCGGTTGATCTCTCGTCGAATTGGGATGAGATAATGTCTCGTTCCTCCTCCCGCAACTTCAGCAGATTGTAAATGGATTGAAAGATTCCCTCGCGTGCAGAGCGAAGACTGATTTTCTTGGAGGCAGGCTGCCTGGCGGGCACGGTCGCGAGCGAGGGTGAATGGCCATCATTCGGCACAGGAGAGGACGTGGACGCATCGCTCAAGACATGATCTGTACGAGATCCAGCCAGGCTAGAGAGCAGACCGTCACTTTGAGCATCGATCAGGACTTGTAGGTTGCGCTGTATATATTTTGCTTGTCGTTCAACATGAAGAAGAGATTCTTGATGATAAGACGAAGCTCCAGCTGGCATCGGAGATAGCGTTTGATCACGCAAGGATCGAAGAAGTGTGGACATGGCGGCGAACAGAGTGATGGACTGGGGATCAGTTGTGGTTACGGGTTCACGAAGACGTGTCTCGGGGGCTGATGGGGATCTATTATATTCAGTCAGAAAGTCCGAGCAGACCTCACGTTCACCACCAGGCCAATGAGAGAGAGAAACACTGGAGGATGAGCTGTTGGAGCTGCAGCTGATGTATCATCCACGTGACCCGTACAGTCAGCAGCCAGCTCGGCGTTGACGTTGGTCTCGCGCCTGCAAAGCTTCTGACAACTGCTTTCAGCTTCCATTTGTACGTGCACTTCATCCATTTCGTCTCTTTCATTTAATCAAATTCCGTATTTCCTGTCATATTCATTGTTATTGGGGTACCGAATTTCCCTTGACACTTTGTTCTGGGTTGGGGCTGACTCGTGGTTTCTTAAGCTCCCCCGATTTACGTTGCTTCATCACAACAGCAACAACAACCTTCATTCCCCGAAATCTACATCCTGAACGGTCCTCCGAGCCGTTTCTCTCACAAAGATGGTCGGACTTGTATCGGCCGCCGGTCTTGTCGGCTTCCTCTCCGAGCCTGACCCAGAGCTTAAGGTCTTTGCCTTAAAGACATTAGATTCTCAGATCGATCATCTCTGGACAGAAGTCGTCAACTCTGTCCCCGAAATGTAAGTAGCTTCGTTGGAAGGACTGGGGGCGAGATGCTCTGTCGCCATTGTCGCGCCGTTGCCGAGTCTGACCGGCCGTTGGACCCCTACTAACCATCATATAGTGAGGCTCTATACGAAGATGAATCATTCTCGGAACGTGGACTAGCAGCGCTAGTCGCATCGAAGGTGTACTATCACCTGCAGGAATATAACGAGAGCATGGTCCTCGCTCTGGGCGCAGGCAAGCTGTTCAAGCTCGAGAACGGTGGCGAATACGAGGAAACCATCATCGGTACGTTCAACGAAATGCGCATAATTGGACCCGCCATCTCTTGCTAACCTCAATCTAATAGCGAAATGCGTTGACACATTCATTTCTCTATCTGCTGCCCAAAGGCCCACCACCGGTGACCAATCCGCCAACCTGAACACTGCATTCCCAGCATCGGGCGACGGTGCCACAAGTACATCCGCCAGCCTTACCTCCCCCATCACACCATTCTCTAAATCCGCTCTGCCCTCCAAATCACTGCTTTCTCGTGCTGAGGTTCCCGGAATCGATGCCGCACACCCGGGTGGCGATGACACCAGCGTGGTGCACGAGGAGAGCTCTTTGGTGCTTAAGCGTGGTGTCCAAGGACAATTGCAAGGTGTTATCGAGCGACTGTTTGAAGAATGTTTCCGACAGAAGCGATACCGCCAGGTAATTGGAATCGCCATTGAGGCGAAGAGCTTGGACGTGCTCCGTATGGCCATCCTTCGCGCCAGCAATGACGAGAAGCAGCAGGAGGGTGATTCTCGCCAAAGTGAGGAACTCATGGAGTATGTTCTTGACATTTGCATGGGCGTTGTTCAAGAACGGGCCTTCCGCAGCGAGGTAGGTTTCACCCCCGAGTCCAAGACATCATCTGCAAGTCGACTAACATGATTCTTGGCAAATAGATCCTCAAGCTCATTTTGGAGCTGCTTAACGAGATCCCCGCACCCGACTTCTTCTCCATCGCCAAATGCGTTGTGTACCTTAATGAGCACTCCATGGCGTCCAATATCCTGCGCCAATTGGTTGAGAAGGGTGATGCGCGCTCGCTCGCCGTCGCCTACCAGATTTCTTTCGACCTTTACGATAACAGCACACAGGAGTTCCTCCAAAAGGTTCGGCAAGAAATTGCTGAGCTCGTGCCCGAGGATACGGCAGAGGATAACGATCAGGAGGCCGAGCCGACAGAGTCGGATTCGCTTATCCAGAACCAGGGAACCTCATCCCAGCGTCCTAATAAGCAATTTGATCTCCCAGAAGAAGCACTCACTGCTTTTAAGAACATTATTCAGATTCTCGATGGTATTAAAACCATCCAGCTGAACCTGGAATTCTTATACCGCAACAACAAGGCCGATATTGCGATCCTGAACAAGATCCGAGACAGTCTGGAGGCTCGCAATTCGATCTTCCACACAGCTGTCACCCTCTCCAACGCTTTCATGCACGCTGGAACCACCCACGACAAGTTCTTCCGCGATAACTTGGAGTGGCTTGGCAAGGCCGTGAACTGGTCCAAGTTCACAGCCACTGCCGCACTGGGCTGTATTCACCGTGGCAACCTGAGCCAGGGCCAGAAGCTTCTTCAGCCATACCTTCCCCGTGAACACATTGCCGGAGTTGGAGGCTCTGGATCTGTTTACAGCCAGGGAGGTTCCCTCTACGCTTTTGGTCTGATCTATGCCAACCACGGAGGCATGGCGGTCGACATCATCCGCGATCACTTCAAGAAGGCTACTGAGGAGGTCGTTCAGCACGGAGGTGCCCTTGGACTCGGTGTTGCTGGTATGGCTACCGGTGACGAAGGCATCTACGATGACCTGCGTAATGTTTTGTACACTGATTCTGCTCTCAATGGTGAGGCTGTTGGTCTTGCCATGGGTTTGATCATGCTGGGTACTGGCAACATGAAGGCATTGGAGGACATGATTCAGTACGCACACGACACCCAGCACGAGAAGATTGTCCGTGGTCTCGCCATGGGTATGGCTTTGATCATGTATGGTCGCCAGGAAGGCGCGGACGAGCTGATTAATGGTCTCCTCGGCGACCCCGACCCAACTCTCCGCTATGGTGGTATCATGACCATTGCCCTGGCCTACTGTGGCAGTGGCAGCAACAAGGCTGTTCGCAAGCTTCTGCACGTCGCCGTGAGCGATGTCAACGATGATGTTCGTCGTGTTGCCGTTCTCAGCTTGGGCTTCATCCTGTTCCGCAAGCACCAGAGCGTTCCCCGCATGGTTGAGCTGCTCTCCGAGTCATACAACCCCCATGTTCGCTACGGTGCTGCCATGGCACTGGGTATTTCTTGTGCCGGTACTGGCCTGGACGAAGCTATCGACCTCCTCGAGCCCATGCTCAAGGACTCAACCGACTTCGTCCGCCAGGGTGCTTTGATTTCCCTTGCCATGGTTCTTGTTCAGCAGAACGAGGCTATGAACCCTCGCGTGACGAGCCTACGCAAGGCCATGATGAAGATGCTCGGTGACCGTCACGAGGATGCCATGGCCAAGTTCGGCTGTGCCATTGCCCTCGGTATCATCGACGCCGGTGGCCGCAACTGCACAATCAGCTTGCAAACCCAAACGGGCAACCTTAACATGCCTGGTATCGTTGGTGCTGCGGTCTTCGTGCAGTACTGGTACTGGTTCCCTCTCACCCACTTCCTCTCCCTCAGTTTCACCCCGACCTCCGTCATCGGAGTCGACCAGAAGCTCGAGGTTCCTCACTTCAAGTTCCACAGCAACACCCGCCCTAGCCTCTTCGACTATCCCCCTGAGCAACAAGTCAAGACCGAAGAAGCTCCGGAGAAAGTCAAGACCGCCGTTCTTTCCACCACTGCCCAGGCCAAGCGTCGTGCCCAGCGTCGTGAGAAGCAAGCGCGCCGCGAGAGCATGGACATCGACCAGGCCCCCACCACACCCAAGGCCACCGAGCCCGATGCGATGGAGACGGACGATGCCACCAAGGAGGAGGGAGAAGATGCTAAGGACACTGAAAAGAGTGCCACCGAAGGCCAGAAGAAGAAGGTTGAGCGCGAGAAGGTTGGATACGAGCTCGACAACCTCTCAAGGGTGCTCCCCGCCCAACTCAAGTACCTCACATTCCCCGACCCACGTTACGAGCCGGTCAAGCGCGTATGTTCCCCTGTCCTTTATACTACAATTCCCATTCTAACAACCCTCCAGCCTACCGGCGGTGTCGTCGTTGTCCTGGACAAGCAACCCGAGGAGCCTCGCGAGGTCGTCGAACTGAAGGCCAGCAAGGAAGCCCGCCAACCGCCCCCATCAACCGAGACCCTGCAGGACCGTCTGCAAGCCGCGATTGGTAACGCGGCAGCACGTGGCGGCCCGCAGACTCCTACCCGTGATGACCCTCTGGAAGCCCTGGCCAACATCGCCGGCGGCGCTGCCGCTGGTGCCGGTGTCTTGACGGCCGTGGATGAGGACGAGGAAGGCGTTGAGGATGCTCCTGTCCCTGACGACTTCACCTACGAGTCGGATGAGGAGTAGGACTGAGAGGCATAGAAACTTGATGCTGGATGTATTACTAGACTAATCAGGCTTTCTACGTCGACCTGATCTATTGGGGGCTGATAGGCTTTCCTTGACTGATTGATATGAGAGTTTTTCATTGTTCCTAAATTCCTGTAGTGTGCGAGAGTGTACACCGTACTGTATTTTGTGTCTAGGGTACTGGCACATGTCCACGACGCCCAACTCCTTACTGCCCAGGTGGGCACTGCGATACTTGATCACATGCCCCCTGAGTCAGCAGCCTCGGCACTTTGCCAATGACGCACTTCGGGCCAATGAGCGGCCCACCAACGGCGATGACCGAGTTCATGAGATCGCACATGTGAACATTCTTGCCCCGAGGTGTAGCTTGGGAATACATCACATTTAACTCAGCTTCCCCGGACTTCACTTCACCCCTATTCCTTTTCTGTACATACCCACTCATCCAGAGTACTCCTTTGTCCTGAACTTTTCCGAGCCGAACTCCCTCTGCCCAACATGGCCAAGACCTTTACCAAAGACGATGTCGCGTCGCATAGCAAGGGCGACAGCCCATGGGTGATTATTGACGAAGACGTCTATGATGTATCCAAGTTCCAAGACGAACACCCTGGTAAGCTGGATCCCAACAGCCACACTGAATCGCATGCTAACGTGGAATCCTAGGTGGAAAGAAAAGTACGTGAAGTCCACGGAGACTCGCTCACCGACAACTACTGACCACCGCCTAGTCCTCCAACGAGTTGCCGGAAAAGATGCCTCGAAACAATTCTGGAAATACCACAACGAAGGGATCTTGAAGAAATACAAAGCTCAGCTACAGATCGGTTCCTTGGACACGAAGAAGGCCGCGGTACCACCACCAGCTCCCGAGCCAGCTCCCGCAAAGTCAGAGTCTGCACCAGCTGCTGTTCCCACCGACTATACACCCCCTGCTACCGGTGCTCCACAAGATCCTTACGGAGATCTCATTCCCTTCGCCGACCCATCATGGTACCAGGGTGTAAGTAGCGGGCACCTCTCTCTACACGCATAGCTAATCCAATCTAGTATGCCTCACCCTACTTTAACGATTCACACGCCGCGTTGCGGGACGAAGTCCGCTCATGGGTTGAATCCGAGATCGAGCCGTACGTGACTGAATGGGACGAGGCAAAGGAAGTTCCACCGCATATTTACAAGCAGATGGGTGAGCGCGGATACCTGGCCGGTCTTTTGGGCGTGCACTACCCGGTCAACCACACCGCGCACCGGGTGAAGTCCGTTCCCCCCGAGCGGTACGATCTCTTCCACGAGATGCTCTTGACAGATGAGCTTTCGCGCGCCGGTAGCGGTGGACTAGTCTGGAACCTGGTGGGTGGATTCGGTATCGGGTGTCCGCCGCTTGTGAAATTCGGCAAGAAGGCACTCGTTGATCGAATCCTGCCTGGTATCCTGAACGGCGACAAGCGCATTTGTCTGGCGATCACTGAGCCAGATGCGGGTAGTGATGTTGCCAATCTGGGGTGCGAGGCTAAGCTCACCGAGGATGGAAAGCACTACATCGTCAACGGTGAGAAGAAGTGGATCACGAACGGTGTGTACGCGGACTACTTTACGACCGCTGTGCGAACGGGTAAGGACGGTATGAACGGTCTTAGCGTGCTTCTCATCGAGCGTGAAGCCGGTGGCGTCAGCACCCGGAAAATGGACTGCCAGGGAGTTTGGTCCTCTGGCACCACATATGTCACTTTTGAGGACGTCAAGGTCCCCGTTGAGAACCTGATTGGCAAGGAGAACCAGGGCTTCAAGGTTATCATGACGAACTTCAACCATGAGCGCATTGGTATTGTCATTCAGTGTGCGCGCTTCTCTCGCGTCTGTTATGAAGAGTCCATGAAATATGCCCACAAGCGCAAGACATTCGGCAAGCGCCTGATTGATCACCCAGTGATCAGAATGAAACTGGCACATATGGCGAGACAGATCGAAGCGACATACAACTGGCTCGAAAACATGATCTTCCAATGCCAGTGCATGGAAGAGACGGAAGCGATGCTCAAGCTCGGTGGTGCGATTGCTGGACTGAAGGCCCAATCTACACAGTGCTTCGAGTTCTGCGCTCGCGAGGCCAGTCAGATCTTTGGTGGTCTCAGTTACAGCCGTGGCGGACAGGGTGCCAAGATTGAGAGACTGTACCGTGATGTGCGCGCCTATGCCATCCCCGGTGGCAGTGAGGAGATCATGCTGGATCTCAGCATGCGCCAGAGTCTGCGTGTTCACGGAATGTTTGGCATGAAGCTTTAGACATCGTTGCGGCTCATATCTTGTTTCCCTCATATATCCCGGCGACGCATTTCGTTTCTTGTATCATACATTAACTTGATTACATATCTCATTTTATACACGAATTAACATCGAAGATCTGAAAGAAGACTATGCAACGTTGTCGTAATTCCGGTCAACTCGGGCAAGATCTGTGATTTCTTTGTCTGCGCAAGTTCTCTCATGAGTCCCATCTCCCATCATTTTATTTTCTTTGATCAGCCCGGATAAAGACCAAGAGTTTGCTGACTTCTTTGTTCATTTTCATACTCGATCTATTTCTGGACACCATCGCTGTGTACGACGATTTCGAAGCAACAGCATATTCATTAAACAGCGCCCTCGCCAACGAGGAACTTCAAGCTGCTCCCAGACTGTGAAGGCTCAGCTAGATACAACACCAAACCAAGCTGGGCTATCCACAGGCCCAAAATGTCGTCGTTTTGGGAATTTGAAACCACCGACTACAATGGCGCCGGTAGCAACATCGATGCAACGATGCAGACAATCTCCACTGATGGACACACAGCTGCAGCTCTAATTCTGGCTAATTTGGTGGCTGAACGAATGCGAAAGCCTGAGACGACTCCCAAAAGACCCACTGACAGCGAGAGTTATGAGCCTGGCTTTCTGCAAGAGCTCAATGATCCAAAGCTTGAGACACTGCGCGAGATGGCATGGTCTATGGACCTCACCAACATGCCTAAAGAGTTGCTACTTTTGGTTTTGCCCCTGCTTCTTCATGTGGATACCCAGAGCCCAACACCCGAAGATATACATGCTCTCCATTGGCTCACATCGACTTCAACAAGAAAAGGCACCGTCAACAGGTGGATTAAAAAAGAACCGGCTAAAGGCACTCTTGAGCGGGCCTTCCGGCCATCCAACAATTATCAAGACTTCAAAGAAGCATATCAGTCCAGAGCTGCTATTGCAAGATATAACGCACGTCGATCAGAGCTACGGTACAAGCCTCTGGACTCTTATGCTTATCAATTTGTGCAAACGTGTCACTGTACAGAATGTCTCCAAATAGTCCTCAAGCTCGACCTGATTGACTTTCGACACTATGGACAGAACGGCAAAAATTTGCTTCATGCTGCCATTGAGGCAGGGCATAATCGATCCATCACATTCATACTTGACACATTGATGAACCTCGGGCTTGATCCTAGACATCTGCCAACTTCTATTGATGGAATGTCAATACCCCATCATGTGGCTCTACTGCATGACCAGGGATTATTCAAATCGGTTGCGATCAGGCTAAAGCAGGCTGGGTATGCCCTATCGGTGTGGAACGACGACGGCCTGAAGCTGGAATTGTGCAGCTTCGTCGATGCCGAGACCGCCGAGTGGCTGCTGTCAGAAGGATTCAACATCACCAAGTTGCCCAGAAACACCCTTCCACCTTACCTACCCTCTGCGGAGCCATCAGACGAAGGTATATCCAACGACGACTGGAACTATGTATTTGGCAACGACTGGAATCACGATGCAGAATATCGCGACCCGATTATTCGCACAGAACCATTTGAGTACGACAAATTCGATCCCAAATCAGTGCAACTCGATGGAACCGCTGTATCCCCCATTGAGCTTCGTCCCACCTCGCGAACAATCTGGCATCGAGCAATTGAAAACCCCCAAGGTCCTGAAATCCTAGACTGGCTACTCGACCACTCCTATACCCAGCCGTCGTGCAAATCCGACTTCGACCGAGACAGCGGCGAAACGGCCCTAGTTCTCGCGGCCAAAGGAAACGAACCAGGATGTATCGACTGGCTATGCCAAAACTGTGATCCCATGGCAGCCCAGTCTCGTGATCCAACAGTCGAAGATCCAAATACGTTCGCCTATGCGATGAAAACAGCCGCCCACAGCGTGCAGCCCAGCTGTGCAGCGATCCTATATGCGATCTCGAACTATGCGCCTGCGGAGCTGTTTAAGGATCTCATGCTTGTGAAGCAGATGTATTGGCTTGTCGTTAAGGCGTACCGGGATGCGCGCCTGAAGCTGGAGGCGACTATGGATTCTGGCGCGAGTAGGATGAAATACTTGAATCTGCTGAGGAATATCACTCGGAGTAAGGTGAAGGTTTTGAATACGAGACTCCAGGTCAATTGGAGGAGGTGGGGGAAGTCTGTACATTTCAAGTGGATATTGCAGTGGTGCACACTGCACAACTATACTTTTCTTTTGAGGGATTTGAAGTCTGGGATTTCTTTCGATCTCAAGGCGTGGGACATGGATTCGATAGAGTATATAGAGTCGGACGGGGAGGGGCCCCCATATTTGTAGGTTGTCTGCTGCGGGCTCGGCCTGTTAATGATTTATTTGATCATATACTGATGCATAAAGGATGATAGAGGAAATGATCTTGTATTTGTTTGCCTGGAATGTTCAATTATTTTGCTTAACCCCAGATTAAGGGAAGATTCACGTCCGGTCCATCGCCCCATGCGTGTTCTTGTCTTGATTCGCTTGTCTCGATCGAAGCTCAAGCTTTCCCAGCCCTTGCAATGCCTCCAAAGAAAGACCTCGGCATTATTGCACACAGTGCTCTTGTATTGCTTTCTGATCGTACCACATGTGCTGCTGGGCTCTCAAAGCCGATTGTCTCAACATATTCCTAAGAGTGGGTGGGATCGCTCTCGGCATTCGAAGATGCTTTCTTGACAAGCACGCCCTGAATTCTGGGGAGCAAACTAACCGGATCATGAGGTTCTTCAATATCATCTGGATTTTCCCATTCGCCACCATTGAGAATATCAGCCAACACGTTTCGAGTCAAATCACAACCCACAAATGTGCTCCAGGCAGGATTCAAACAAGCTATACTCTCCCCGTTAGCCATCCTGCACACAGAACTTACTCTGTCACTTGATTAATACATACCCTGCGCTGCGGTCGTCAAACGATTTCTGCTCCATCCATGTTCCCAGAAGATAAATTTGCCGCCTGGTTTGAGAAGCTTCCACACCTCTTTCATGACGCTCTTTGGATCTTTCACGGCACATAGGACTTGGATGCATAACACAGTATCTAAGCTGCCCTCTGTTACTCCCTCTTTGCTCAAAATGTCGCTGTCTTCAATACCACATGATATGAGCTTATATTTTTCTTGCAGACCATGTTTGTCCAAAAGAGAATTGATGGTGTTGTTGAATTGGGAATTCGGTTCAACGCCATAAATCTTTTGGACACGAGAAATATCAAATCGATGGATCTGATTTCCCGGCCCGGGACCGAGGTCCAGAACAACCCCGCTAGCTGCCTGGACAAGCGAGGGAACAATGGTCGTATCTTCATAGGCAATAAAGCCACTGGCTGTTTTTGGTCAGTTGATTCGAACAAAATTGCGGTCAGATGATAGCTGGAAAAGGTGGTTTACAAGTTATGCTGAGTAACTTTGCTGAAGCGGCATCTTGGATTTTTTGTGGATGGCCAAGTGCTCTTAGACCATCATGACGGATGGCTTGTATCAGGGTCTCCCAGTGTACTATATCAGATGGTCAGCCGAGTTGATGAAACCCGATGGGAAAGTCTTACAGCAGACAGACAGCCAGATCAGACCCAATGGACGCAGAATGGAACTAAAGCGGCTGGGCTGGGGCATCCTGCTGTGTTTATATAAACGCTGTGAATGGTCAAGTTGTTTCTGATAAAAAATTTCAACCCTTGCGAAACGACAGCGAAGGTCGAAGGTCAAAATGACATGAAATAAAACAGAAGAGCGAGCCCAGACTCAAGCGATGTCGTGCGTAGTGGAGACAGTATGCAATACGGGCTATACGGACTAGTGCTTACCGAGAGATGGCTCGATCCCTGCTATATTCCAAGCTCACTACGGAGTAGAACTAGCGTATCTCGCGGACTTTGGTTATCTTATGGCCGAGTGATATGTATAGACTGCCGACCTCGCAGGGCTAGAAGCCCCTGGAAGTGCAGCCTCGTCAAGCAATGTAAACAACCCAAAGACAATAAATGTAGACTAATCGAAAAATTGGAAAGCCAACGGGAGTTTCAAGGTTGTAGGCTATTTGTAACTGTAACATTGGGGCCTTTGAGATTCAGAATATATACCTGCGACCCCAGAAACTTCGTGCCTGGAATTGGCGCCCCTGAAATTTATGACTGCTTTCAGTGCTACTTAGCTAAGTGCTATATTTTCACGCGTAGATGCGGTAAGCTTGTAGCAGATGGGTTTAGATCGAGAGTGGAGATATAATTAGTTGATATTTCTCACGAAAACACTGTACAGACGCGTCCACGACTGCCAATGCCTTCCGCGGACCACCACTTTCAGGGGTTTTGACGATGCATCACCAGAGCGACGTTGAGTCAATCTAAACCACTGCTCACGAAATCGGCAGAAGTTCGCAAATTTCATCACATGGATACGGGGAGGTGTTGGCTATCCTAACAGACAGAATGGACGTTGACCGCTCCTTGCACCTTGCGTCGGCTGCACGATCGACTGGCATCTCAACCGCGTTACGGTCTTCCACATTGCTCAGTCCTTGAGCCCACAAGCCGAGAGGGCCGCTCCTCGCGGAATTCCCGTCCACCCGCTTTTCCGCCGAGAAGCTCAGGCGCCCCTTCTTTGGTAGAAAAGGGCATATTAATGTGGGGGAAGCTCACAATGCTTTGTACTATTGAGCCACAATGACCCCCACTGTGTCTTTTTACTTTTCCATCGCAGTTCTGTGTGTAGTGCTGTCATGCCTGACGGTACGCCCCCACCATGTCTGTCGATGTAGGCCCGGGGATCAATGTTGGCCTTCCGCAATGGATTGGATGACTCTTAACAACTCGGTGGATGGAAACCTGATTGCTGTGAGGCCCATCGCACATGTCTGTCATCATCCCACGTTTGATGAGAACGCCTGTGGCAACTTGACGCGTCTAGCCAGGAATAGCGGCTGGAGAGCTGGACAGCCCGGTGGGGACCACCTTTTTCTTCCAATGCAGGCGATGAAATTCGCTGACAATGAAATCTAGGGGCTCTTCAAGACTGGCTATGGGAGGTTGGCTCAACCGAGAGAGAAACATGCGATACTCAGGGTCGTCCAGATGAACCTTGTCATCAAGGTCGCGTGTCCCTGTATTCTGTCACAGCGCGCTCTGCACTACATGTCCAACGGGCTGTCGCATTTGCGAAACATCATGATCTACGCCTGGTCATTCGAAACACTGGCCATGATGGATCGGGTCGATCAAGTGCCCCAGACTCGCTACAGATATTCACTCACTACCTAGACGCCATTCAATATGACGAAGACTTCCGGCCGGTCGATTCTCCAAGAGCCATTGGTCCTGCCGTCTCGGTTGGTGCTGGAGTGAGGCTGGGAGATATGTATACTCGGGCCTCGCGGGAGGGATATACAATTGTCGGGGGGTTATGTCCAACCGTCGGTATAGCTGGAGGATTTGTTCAAGGAGGAGGAGTTTCAGCAATTTTCAGTCATACCCGGGGGTTAGCGGTTGATAACACCCTTGAGTTTGAGGTCGTCACTGCGGATGTAAGGACATTTACCCCCTTGGTTTCTAAGCCAACTCCCATTTTGACCTTGCGAGTCCATTTTAGGCGAAACAAATCATAGTGAACGAGCACCGCCACCAAGACCTTTTCTGGGCCCTGAAAGGAGGAGGCGGAGGTACATTCGCTGTCGTTACACGGTTGACTGTACGAAAGTATCCCGATGGCCCGGCCGTATTTCCCCAAGTGACAGCCTCCTCCCGGGCTTTAAACGGACTGCTACCAGCACACGTGATGGTCGCTCTTCTAAGAGCGCTGCGCTCATACAATGAAGCAGGTATCGCCGGGGAAGTGTTAGTTCACTCCCACCCGACTACGGCAGTATTAAAACTGTACGTCCTGGACACGACCGATGCCGTGGAAATCAATGGCAGGCTAGACCCTCTGGTAATGGATCTTCAAGCTGAGGACGTGGTCGTCGATCGATCATGGCAGGTCTATGAAAATGTCAGTTCAGCGCCCCGAATGTCTTCGGACATTTATTCCCCGGAATATGGGATTATCCAAGGGTCCGTTCTGTTGTCTGAGGATTTCTTCAAATCCCCGGCCTGGGATGACCGGCTGGCCGACAGCCTAGCCAGCATACACTTACAGCCTGACGACATGATTTTTATCAATACTCTCGGGGGGCAGGTGAATGCTCACGGGCCCCTTGTAGACACATCTGTCCATCCTTCCTGGCGAAACTCGGCTCAGTTGGTCAACATTCTTCGACATGTAGAGCCCACGTTGGAGTCGAGGACTTTCGTGACGCAGATCCTCACTCGGGTTCAAATGCCCATTCTTTACTCCCTGGATCGAAGCGACCCGGTGTCCTATCTCAATATGGGAGATCCGTATGAGCCCAGAGCTCCAACGGTTTACTGGGGCCAGAACTACAGACGCCTATCCAAGATAAAGCGGAAATGGGACGAATCAAGTCTATTCATCACGCGATTAGGAGTTGGATCCGAAATGTGGGACGAAGATGGGATGTGTCGTAGAGAGTTTGGGTTGATGCACCGCTTATATAGATTCTTCTTGTCTGGCTGAGTTCCGAGTGTATAATTTGTCCCAAGAACTACTGTGATGAACACCGGTTGTCCAAAGATTTGACCTCTATCTCAAAACTAGCTATCCCACAAAGCCCGAGCCCAACCCGACCCAGCCTACGAATGGGTTGAATTTGGGCTCACTGGGCCCCAAATATTACGGACATCTCGAGAATTCCTCTCTTTTGGGGCTTACACTACGTTTTGTAGGTATTTCGAAAGGCGAAAAAAAAAGGTTGTTGATTTAGAAATTTCAATTTTTATGGAACTCGTACTCGTACTTGATTGAAATACAAGTTCAAAGCCAGCGTTCTTGTTTTCCTTCTCGCGCCATTTCTTAATAACAACCGAGTAGACAAGAGACTTAATTCAACTACCGTAACGAAGCTACTATCAATAAATTTCTAGAGTAAAGATTATATAGAAATGGTAAAACACGACCTCAGGATGATTGCAAGCTTAGGTGATGTGAGCCTCTGTGGGGGCCTAATAGCCTTTAATAGTTAGTGGGTCTAGGCCCGGAGTTCGGTCCCAACGCGGCCGATTGCGCATGTCTACTAGCACTGTCGTTATTTCAAGGTTAAAATAGAACAAACGTTGGTTGTACGTATGATGAATGGAGGTATCAAGATATAGGCCGATGTCCCCTGAGCTTGTAAGGGGCTAGGATGGTCGGTAGTAAGTTTCAAGCTACTTTCTAATCACCACCTATCAAAACCGTAATCGAACTTAGATCTGCCCATTGCCACTCTGCTTCTACGTACCAGTCTCCCTAAATTGATTCTATCTTCTCGTCAATTGGAATGTCCGCTAGAATGTGTTCAGCAACCAATGCATATTTTGTACATGGCAAGAAGAAAGGAGTATACTCACAGGTCACCCAGTTCCCTGTCTCAAAGCTTTGGAGGTACACGCTAATGTAAGGTCTCTCACGGCGGAAAGAGAATGAGACGTATGCATGAAGATAATTCACCTTGTCGTGATCTTCATTCGGGCTACATCGATTGGTTAGTATAACAATGGCGGATTTCCTCACTGTACATTGGCGCAGACTTACTAGTACGAATGCAGAGAATTTTTGTAACCACGAGCCAGGTCATGCCATCCTCTCCGGTCGAAGAATGTGCTCAATGCATCTGCAATCTGCGAGTCATTCATGCCAAAAGTAGTGAAGTAAACCTGTGGCTCTGGCATTGGGTCGTCGTGATGGATTGTGTAATTGGCCATCAAAGGCAGTTGCTCTTCTGGGATAGTTCCTAGAGGAAGGTATGGGGCTGGATAGGCTTGCATGCCCGAGGGTAGTTTGAGCAGCCCCCAGAGCTCGCGAATCATTTCCAATCCTGCCAGTGTAGATTTGCATTGTCGCCGGCCACCCAGTGTCCACAGCTCCTCCATGGCCTCCAAAGAAACCATGCGTTCCAAAAGGTAGATTTTGATTCGAGACCGTGTGGGATCAACTAGGTCTGTCGAGAACAGACGGGGAGTGGCCGTTGATTGTGGACCCCGAGACTTGATGTAGTCTTCCAGAGTGGTGACCGGGTCCATAATTCCCGGATACTGTTTGGCCAGGTGGTAGACGGAGCTGAACATCAACTCGTGAATGGATTTCCCGGTGGCCAAGGACTTGAGAGCTGGATAGATATATACCTTGAGGGAAAACCCGCCGATACTGTCCAGATCCAGAGCTAGCTTGTTTTGTGTCTTGATCTGGTCTTGATACAGACCAGTCTTCTCGAGAAGGGAAGACTCTGCGCTGTTCAGAGTGAGATCGGCTTTGAAGTGATTGAACCACTCGAGGGAAATTGTTTTTTCACACAATCCAAGCTGTTCAAGGCTCTGCCAGATGGCGTGGGTATTGAATGGGTCCTGAGGAGTTCCCGTGGCGGCGTTGATGGGCTCAAATGTATATCTGACCAGAGGCCCGGAGCAGTTGAGACTCAGTTCAAAAGGCGTACCGTATCGTGTCAGGATGCTCAGCCAGCGTGCCTTATCATTCCTGGGGTAGACTCCGAGGAATGGAATCACGTACTTCTTATACGTGGTGAGGTGCAGATACTGAGAGTGAGAGTCATATTTGGCGAACTGGAGCATTTGCGCAAACATCGGTGCCGTGCTGTGCCACCAGAGTCTCTGGTCCTCGTTGGGAAACTCCATGATCTTGTTGAGAACATGGTAGGCAGGGGCCTCCGACGTGTTGGCTAGAGTTGCGATTGTCATGGGGGAATTTTTCGCGAATCTGAAATGACAAGGTAGTTTTTTTGATGACTACCTAGGTAGAGATTGAGGGACAGCCAACGCCTTATATATTGCCCAGGTGTGTAGAGACACGACATCTGCTTAGATATCACATCACTTAGGTAGCATTGATCGACTGCAAGGATTTTCTTCGGAATGCACTTGGAACAACTCCAGTTGATAATCACTGTCGCTGAAAGAGGCGGCAGGGGCCGTAGCACCTGGGCATTACCTGCTGGGGCATGGGGAAAAGATTACCTACCTAGGTAGGTAGTGTCCTTACATACCCTGCGTGTGCTTCTGTAGCTTATATGTATAGTAGAGTAAATCATGGATCGATTCGATAAAAGTCGACAAGCTAGATTTGATCTTCCAAGTTTCTTCCAACCTTCAGGTAGTTCCAAGGTCACATCGAGTTTGTAGAGTACATAAACGGAGGCTAGCTTCAAGAATCTCTACTTGGCTACCCATTCTGTAACCCTTGCAACCACTTACATTGGAAGCGGAAGGCCACATCAGATTTTGGATAATCGAAATCTCATTCGTTCCCAGCCTATGGACCAACATGTACGGTAACACATCCTCAAGAAGTATTACCACACCCCCGGAATGTGTACATAGGCATGCTTGGAAGACCGAGCTCTGGCATCCGACACGACTAATCAAAAACCGCACCTGGGCAGCTCATCTGTATATCTCAGCTTTTGGTTCTAGACCTAATACGTACAAAATTCATGATGATCGTATGGAGGACCAGCGAAAATGAACTTTTTCAAGAATCAAATACGTTTGCGGTCCGGATGTTATGACACTATGAACTTCCTACCTTTTTGAACACTGCCCCCATGATCATAGCCTTCTCGACCGGAATGTTAAGTGCTCCCAAAGGCCAGTCTAGCGCCATGGGATTAGCGCTACGGTAAGTATATACCGGATTTGGGTAAAAGATTGTGACTCTATGAAGAACGGTCAGGATAAGATCGTACCAGTGACTCAAACTTCACTCAAACTTCCCCACTCGTGAAAATCTCCAACCCTTAGCCGATTAGGCGGCATTGTTGATTTCCTCTAAAGTGACTTGGAGCCAAGCAGAAGCTTGATCGTACCCAAAAGCTCCCGGCAAAATGGGTCTCTCTGGGATCGACAACATTGTGGAAAGGGTCCCAATAGATCTGGGACTGTCAATGCTCCTATAATTAGCTCCTGATATTCATGAGATCTACAGGTAGGACATTGAGCTAATTGCGGGACGAGCCTTTCCGTCGGAATGAAAACTCAAAATTGTGATCCTACATAGGGCATCCCTTGCTTTGTGAAACCCTAAAGTACATTGTGAAAGACGGCTCATCCATAGATTCGGATACGAGAACAACAGAAGACATTCCATCCTCCTTGCATGGTGTAGCTCGTGTGTGCTGGCACTGTACTCCTGCTCCAGGACGACTCACCGATCATGGTAAGGAATTTCGAACATCAAAAACCAGTCCAAGTCACAAGGATACAAAAGATGGGCTGGCCCCTTCGAATGGATTGAGCACTTGTATAGGTTGCCCGTTTGTCCCAAAGAGTGCCACTGCAGCGATTCCCGTTAATCGGTGTATTTGCCCTTTTTAAATTCCGCATTGAGGCATCGGGATTAAATTTCCCATATATTTTCTTTATCAGCCATGAGAAGCATTTCTCCCTCGATTATCGACATCCGTCGTACGCGACATGAGAACACGATTCCTAATATGGTTATCGAGGGACTCACTCAAACACCAAAAACCTTTCCGGCGCTTCTATTCTACAGCAGCGAAGGCATCGAGCACTGGATCAACCACTCTCATGCCGCAGACTTCTACCCCCGGGCCGAGGAGCTGCGCATTCTTGAGGCCGAAGCTGCTAGTATTGCAGCGTCGATCGCAAGCCACAGTGTAGTTGTTGATCTTGGCAGCGCGTAAGTTTTCCCCGTTTGTGCTTCCGACTGAACGTTTAGCATGTTGACATCAAGCAAGGAGCGCGGAAAAGATTGTTCACATTCTCAAGGCCGTGGAGGCGCAGCAAAAGCACATTCAGTTCTATGCTCTAGACCTGAGTGACTCGGCGTTGCTCTCAACAATCCAGGAAATCCAACCGGAGCAGTTCCACTATGTCCAGATCGCAGCCCTTTACGGCACATTCGATGACGGCTTCCATTGGCTACAGAATGCTCCCCAGGCGCGGGGACATCCTCATTGTCTTCTCATGCTCGGCCTAACAATCGGCAACTACTCTAGGGCCAATGCCGCCAAATTCATCCGCACAATGGCCCGGGAGGGACTAGCTGCTTCGTGTAAGCAAAGCTCTATCATCCTTACCATCGACAGCTGCAAGGATGAAAACAAGGTCCTTCGTGCATACCGCGCGGATGGCGTTGTTCCCTTTGCGATGGCTTCACTTCCGTACGCGAACCGCCTCTTTGGTTGCCAGGAGAAAAGGGTGTTTCGTGAAGAAGACTGGGAGTTTGACAGCTTCTGGAATCGAAGTCTCGGAAGGCATGAAGCCTCGTTGGTCATGCGGTCCTCTGATACGAAGCTGGGTAGTCCGCTTGATATGATATCAATGAAGAAGGGCGAGAAAGTACGTTTCGGATGTAGTCACAAGTATGACAAGCGGGAGCGCGAGGAACTCATACAATCTGCCGGTCTCAAAGAGGTGACCAGTTGGTCTAGTAGTGGGTGCGACGTCGGGTTCTATCAACTAAAGCTAGCATGAAGTCAAAAAAAGTCTGGAATGTCAATCTGGCTATCTTTTGCGTTCTGGATACCCTGCAGGCTTCTACCAATTGGCCCTCGGTGATACTTCCTGATTAAACAGAATACGGATGTATCAAGCGCAGGGACAAGTCGGCCATGATTTCGCACTGGGGTATCTGAGGGCAAGAATGTTACAAATTAGTATGGCAGAACCCCAACCTTCACCTGGGCTGCCCAGAGTCAAAGCACCGGCAGTGAAAATTGTGGGGGCTCGGGTGCGGCCGAAAGTGATGGCGGCCGGGGCCGCAGTGTGTAGCTGATCGGTCATGATACCACGTAGCCATGCCACAAAACACGCTACCCCTTACTGGCTCTTACGCAGATACATTCCGAGCTCTGGTCACCAACCGCCGCCGCCACGTTACACAAGCTCTCGCCCGCTGATCGTCCAAAAATGACATGCAGAACTGTACCATCGGGGCTGAGGGCCCGCGGAGCTTGGGAGAAATGTCCACTGAAAGGAATTTCCGTGCAAAATGAATTCCCATGTCGCCATTCACTTCCGGTTGATCCCGGTAGCCAGTTCCGGCCGAGTTTCAAAATTTGAGACAATGCCGAAAGGGAGACCCATCTTCCATTCACGCGCAATCGCGCTAGGGGGACACATGGTGGGTGTCAGAGGCTCAGCTTGGACCGGACCCCGGGGAAGGTGGTATTTTCGACGACCCTGCGAGGGTGAGATTCTGTGAGCGCATAAAGCAGAGGGTGCTCTACTGGAGCTGCGTACGGAGTAGATCCAGGATATTGGCGGACCATGTAGGCTGTACCCCCGCTACTTGCCCATACAGGGGCCAGCGAGTGTGCTCGCACATATTCATGCCTGATCAGTGAATGTCTTCGTGGTGCTAAAAGCCGGTCAGCCTGAGTGAGGAGCTCTTCTGCATTGTCTTGGGTGCGTATGGCGCGCAAGGTCCGAGTTATTCTCGAGTTCAGGTCAGCCAGCCAACGCACCCGAAAACGTAGTGTGAAGCGCATCGTTGAGGAGAAACTCATTTCCATGTCTTCTTCCAAGTTAGGGGCGTTCGTTCAGGTAGGGCTCTTTCTTTTTGAGACCGAGTAAAGCGAGAGCTTTGATCGCTGATTTGGCCGCCGGGGGAACAAGTCCTCCCAGTCAATAGTTTGGTCTCCGAAACGTAGTTGCAGCGATGGGTAAAGAGTCCCAGTATTTCCATCCCACCTGAGCACTCATGGGGTCTAGCATGGTCCGAATAATCTATCTTTGTCATAGAAGCACCGTGTTGTCGTATCCTAGAGCTCCCTAGGTCTCTAGGTGTGACACTGATTTGACCTCATCTACCCTTCCCTCCCACGAATGTCGAACGGGAACTTTCCTTTTTGGCTGATGGAACTAAGACACATCGCTTCCCGACGGAAGATCAAAGTCCCTCCGTCAATATCTTCGGTCTGGAGCACGGCTCTCGGTTAACTATGGTCCCAACAGACGTGCAAGGTCTTTTTCACCGCAGCCGGGAGACGCCCGTCATAAAGGTCTGGATCTGCACGGAGCTGGGCGCTCTCTACTCCCTAAGGACCGCAAGCAGCAGTTCAGTTGGAGATGTTGTTGCTGCAAATCAAGATGGACATCGGTGGTTCCAGCTGTCCACCGCTACTGGGTGAATGACGAGAATATTCTGCTTTCGCTGCTTAGGCGACCCAGAGATAGTTGGTTTTGGCTGGCAGCCCACCGATCTCGACGAGGGAGACTTCTCCTTTTGTTGGGGGCTTGATAATGACGTTGTCTTCACAAACCTGGTGGTAAGGACCGGGTAAGAAAAGCAGTGGGCCCTGCAGAAGATCGAGGATGGTATCACCAGTGCGGTAAAGGCCTGTGTGGCGGCATTGGAAGATCAACCACATTCTTTGGAGATTGAGCTTTGATACAGCATTGTGAACCCAATTTTGCTGAAAGGTGGTCAACATGTGGAGGTTGCCCGGAGGGCCGGGGAAACATTTTGTGCACGGCTGGTAGTTTCGAAACATGGAGGTTGCGCCTATCCAAGTTCGTTGGATTCCCGTGTGTTGCCTACCTAGGTATTGATCGTACAATGTTCCCTGTAGGTCGACAGGTTGACGGTTCTATTGGACCTTTGGACGTTCAAGGTTCTTCCAGAAATCGTTGGTGCCGTTGGTGACAAAGTGACGGCGATGTTTGATTCCTGGGTGACAACCGAGTCGAATACTATCATGACATTGTGTCTTGGGGCAAAAGCCGTTCTGGCCTGAAGATCTGTCATATATGGCCTCACTTTTGGTGATAAACAGTGCGCGATTTGAGTGATCCCGAGGTCAGGGTCTACTCGCGGAACTATGGCAGGGGATGGAGTCCACCGTCGTGAGGACGGTTGCTGATTTCAAGATTTTGTCCGCGAATATATGGATCAGTCCACCTGGGCATTCTTCCGTGGTTCGACTGACCTCAAAGTCCTATCATGAGGTCAAGGCTAGAGTTCTTGTCGATCAGTGACGGACTCGGGATGACGGGTTGATTGAATTCATGCCCAAGTGGATAGCACAGCACAATCAAAATATATAACAGTGTTGGGGAGATTCAAAGTATCAATTGATGGATAATTCGTAGTGATAACCAAATAATCTCCTCGGAGATACAAGTCCTGCAGAATGCTCATTAGTGCAGCGCACCACCCATATTGACGACAGGATGTTCGAATGTCAGTGAGGCCAAGGGGAGGTGAATCAGGCCACAAGGCAGCAACTCTGTAGAGGCCTCGATAGCGACCACTCGCGCAGGGATGCCAATGCGCAACTTGACCACGGGCTCACACTTCCCTTGCAATTTATCATTCCTCAAGGTCTGAAAGTGAGCCACTCGCAAGTTGTGGTCCTCTTTCTGAGAAAAATTCGACTTGCCCTTTGTTCTTGGTAGGCGGTCGCGGAACTCGCTGATTGCCCGCAGAGCTCTGCTGTGCACCCTCTCGACCTCACTCTCCAATTCCGACCTCGACCTGCACCTTTTGCCTACAGGTCTCTGCCTGGCGCCGATATATTACCGAGGAGTCTGCCCCCTGGCGTCCACGCTTACAGTCGTGACCCGCGAGATCTAGCGCGATTTCATTCAATAAGGTCCGCATTGCGTCCTCAAGACTTACTTTCATCTTCTCTCATGCTGATATTGCCCGTTACTTTTCAGATCCTCTGATAATTAATCACACCCCAAGTTCATCGAGGACACTCCGATCAAATCTCATTGATTCTTACGCCTTTCACAATGTCGAACTTCCTGAACCAGGACTTCGGGTCCGACGATGAGGAGGATGACTTCAACCCAGTCCACCAGGATGACTCCGATGCCGAAGAGCCCACTTCTAAGGTTAGCGCGCCAATATTACTCGACATTGGGAAAACACGGTGCTAACTGTGTAACAGCCGGCGAAGAGAGAGACATCGGCCGACGCGGCTCCTGCGAAGTACGGACGCGATGCGCACGAGGAGGAAGACAACAAGGATGCCGATGAGGAAGAGGAGAATGATGACGACGACGAGGAAGACGAAGAAGAGGAAGAAGACGAGGATGATGCTGTGGTTTGTCACCAATGCAGATGAGCCTCAACAAGCGCCAAGTCAACTGACCATTATTACAGCAGGGTCCTCGGAAAAAGCAGAAGCGCGTTGTCAACCCTTTCATTGAAGATGAAGCTGGTGTCGACGATGAAGAAGACGAGGGCGATGACGAGGAGGACGAGCTCGCTGAATATGGCATGGAAACACACCCGGACGATCTCGATGCGTTACCTCAAGGCACGGAAACAGACGACCGCCGCCATAGGCAGCTCGATCGCCAGCGCGAAATCGACGCAAGCATGGACGCAGAGAAGCAGGCTCAGATGCTCAAAGAACGATATGGACGAAACCGCGCCGCCGCTTCCGACTCCCTCGTGGTCCCAAAACGACTTTTGCTCCCTAGTGTCGAGGATCCTAGCATTTGGGGTGGTCGCTGCAAACCCGGAAAAGAGAAGGATGTCGTGTATTCTATCCAGCAGAGGATCGAGCAGCGACCAGCAAACTCCCGCAATCCTATTCGCATCATCTCCGCATTCGAGCGCGGAAACATCATGCAGGGATGGTTCTACTGTGAAGCCCGCCGACAGGCTGATGTTGTCGAGGGCCTGGACGCTATCAACTTCTACTATCCATCGCAGAAGCTTACTTTGGTTCCCGTGAAGGAGATGCCGGACCTTCTCCGGGTCCAGAAATCCGAAGAACTTTTGCCTGGAGGTTGGATCCGCATCAAGCGTGGTAAATATATGAACGATTTGGCCCAAATCGAAGAGGTTGAAACAAACGGATTGAATGTCACTGTTCGACTGGTCCCTCGACTGGACTATGGAATGAACGATGATGCCCTCGGTGCTCCTGCTGATGCTAAGCGCAAGCGTGGTGCCGCCAGCACCGTCCGCCCGCCTCAACGTCTCTTCAGCGAAACCGAAGCCAAAAAGAAGCACGCGAAGTACCTTTCGTCCACTTCTGGTCTCGGCGGAAAGTCATGGAACTACCTGAACGACAACTACGTGGATGGTTTCCTCATTAAGGACATGCGCGTGCAACACCTCAGTGCCAAGAACGTCAACCCCAGACTAGAGGAAGTGACCATGTTCGCACGTGGAGGAGAAGACGGAACTGCCAACCTGGATCTGGCATCCCTGGCGGAGACTTTGAAGAACTCCACAGCCGAGGACTCGTACCAGCCTGGTGACCCCGTGGAGGTCTACCGGGGTGAACAGCAGGGTCTGATTGGTCGCACAGTGTCTACTCGAGGTGACATTGTCTCCTTGCAAGTCACCGAGGGTGATTTGGCGGGTCAGACTATCGATGCGCCTGTCCGAACTCTCCGCAAACGCTTCCGCGAGGGTGATCACGTCAAGGTCATCGGTGGAAGTCGGTACCAGAACGAACTTGGTATGGTCGTTCAGGTCAAGGATGACACTGTCACTTTGCTCAGTGATATGAGCATGCAAGAAATCACTATCTTCAGTAAGGATCTACGGCTCTCAGCCGAGATGGCCGCCGATGGCCAACTTGGTATTTACGATGTGCATGACCTCGTTCAGCTTGATGCCGCGACTGTTGCTTGTGTGATCAAGGTGGACCGAGAGTCTCTTCGTGTTATCGACCAGAACGGTTCCATTCGCAACATCCTGCCCACACAGATCGCCAACAAGATCGTACCTCGTCGTGATGCTGTCGCTACTGACCGCAATGGTGCGGAGATTCGCGCCGCCGATACTGTCCGGGAAGTCTATGGAGAGCAGCGAAGCGGTGTCATCCGTCATATCCACCGTTCATTCCTTTTCCTGCACAACAAGGCACAAGCAGAGAACGCCGGTATCTCTGTGGTCCGAACCACTAATGTTGTTACCGTGTCAGCGCGAGGTGGTCGATCCACTGGCCCTGATCTGACCAAGATGAACCCTGCCCTGGCGATGCAAACTCCCGGCGGTGCTGCTGCTATGCCTCCGCCTCGCCGTGGTCGTGACCAGCTGATCGGCAAAACTGTCACTATTCGCAAGGGTCGATTCAAGGGCCTTGTCGGCATTGTCCGCGATGCTGATGACAACTCCGCTCAGGTCGAGCTTTACACATCTAACAAGCCCGTTCACATCCCGCGAGATGTGCTGACACCTAAAGAGTGAGTTCTTCTTCCGAATACCATACGTTAATGAGATGACTAACGTCAAACAGCCCCGTTTCCAAACAGCCCCTCTCTATGGGCCGAGGAAGAGGCGGAGGTGCAGCTGGTCGCACTCCATTTGGTTCCGGTGGTCCCCCAAGAGACAGCTGGTCTGGTGGTCGAACCCCCATGGCTGGTGGTGACTCTTCCAGAACGCCCGCATGGGGCGGTGCCAACTCATCGAGAAGTAAGTGGAATTTCCCAGAAATCCCGCATCAAACATGCTAACCAATTCTCAGCCCCCGCATGGGGCGGCGTCAGCGGCTCCCGCACTCCAGCCTGGAAGAACGACGGCTCCCGCACCTCGAACCCCTACGCCGATGGCTCTCGCACCGCCTACGGTGGAATCGGCAACCGCACACCCGCCTGGAACTCCGGCTCCAAGACCCCCTACGACTCCAGCTCCGGCTTCGATGCCTTCGCCTCCGGGTCTCGCACACCCGCCTGGGGAGGTGCGACTAACACAAACACTGGCAACCGCACCCCAGCCTGGGGCGGTCTATCCAGTAGCCGAGACCAACGTGATTTCGACGACGCCCCCACCCCCGGCGGTGGCTACTCTGCTCCTACCCCTGGTGCTTATGCAGCCCCAACCCCTGGCGCACCCACACCCGGCGGTTGGCCCGAGAGTGCCCCCACTCCTGGAGCTTTCAGCGCGCCGACTCCTGGTGGTCCCACTCCTGCGGCCTATGATGCTCCAACTCCGGCTATGGGTGGCTCGGCTGCTACGCCTGGTGCTTATGGTGGTAATGATGGTGGTCCTCGGTACGATGATAGCCCGAGTCCTTGATCTCGTTCTATCTTTCCGGCGTCCAAAGCTTGTCCTTCGCAAACTACAGATATCAATTGGAATAGGACTGGTTTCACATATGTACTTTACTTGAATCAATTTTTACTTTTTTTTTCACATGAAATCATTTCAGACCACAGATTTCGAGTCACCCTGCTAGGTGTGCTGGAATACTGCCATTAACCTACAAGTACAGGCAACCTTGGAATGCCGTTGATCTATATGAAGCAAAAGGCAGGTTCAGTGTCAAGTCAACTTCTCATTGGGTACTTTTTTTTGGTGTTTCGATTTTAACAACCCCATGCTGTCCTCGATGTCAATATCTCCTCCCTCCATTGTTTTTGAGTTTTCCATTTTTCCAGATTGCGCACACCAGTCACCACCCAAACCATTTCGAAAATCTTGATTCATCTCCGGCATCGACGTCAGCATACCAGGTAAGCATGCTCCCCAGAAGACACCTTGATATGCCACAGCAGCCGAGATGCTAGTTGTCCCGATACAATCACTCCCTCACCGGGGAGCAACAAACATTCCCTAGCAAAGACCCAGTCAAATTCCTGTAGGCCTTCTGCGTCAAACACAAGTCACAAATCAAAAGGTGCCAAAGTCAGCATCTTGATGAGTGATCTCCGAATATCCTTGGAAACCCCAAGAGGGAGTGGATCGGCGAGAGTCATTTGGCAGTGGCCGGTAGGAAAAAGGGTCATTTATTTCATTCTCGGTAACAACAGGGGGAGAGTAGCCTACGCCCTTGCAGGTTGAATCGTAGCTCGCGTCGCTGGCGGTCGAATCATCGAAATTGGGCTCAGCAGCTTTCTTTGCTTTCTTTGCTTTCGTTGCCTTCATTATCGGGGCGCGGGTCTCCTTGTAGGATTGGAATAGCCGATCCCAGCTTCTCGTTGGACTGTAAGGGGCATTTGGGGGGACCAGTGTGGGTTGACCTCCCAGACGGTCCAAGGTACCGAATGGCTTCGCGGGGAGTAGGCCAGAGAAGAGGAAAGTAAATCTTCCGAATCGGTGGTATCGGTAGCGGTTGATCCAGGCTGCGAGGACATCGGCGTTTCTCTCGTGGGGGCCGAGAGTCTCTGGCCAGCCTGGGAATCTGTGGCGAAGCTTGGGTTAAGTACTGGGGGCAAAAGGGGGTGGGCATAGAGGTGTGTACCGGTCGAAATACTCGAGCCCTCCAAAGATGATGATTGTAAGGAACGTGAGGATGGAAAATAGCTCAATGTAGTCGATGGTGAGATCCAGGATCTCCCAACCAGGAAGATAAAACTTCATCTGCATGCTTGTGGTGATAAATGAAGACTTGGTGAGAGATGCGAGAAGTAGAAGATGGAGAGTTGAGAAGGAAGGAGGAAGGAAAGAAGATGGAATTTATGGGTGGAGGGAGAAGGAGAGAAAAGAGCAGATACGTGAGAAGGAAGTGAACACTGTCATTCATCTACCGCAAGACTGCATCTATGATATCCGCTGCCCACAAGCACTTCTCATCCTGGAAGCGTGGGGCGATGACTTGGATTGCACACGGAGCTCCATCTACTTCTTCGGGGTGGTCTATACTGTGTTAGAGGGTCTCTTCAACCGAAGATGTGAACTTACAGTCTGGCTGCACATCGTCCGATGTTTCCATGGGCTCTGGGTCATTATACTTTGAAGCCCTAAAACAGGGGATCAGGCAAGCGGGATACTGTGAAGGTGAGTACGGTGATCAATGTTGACAGGGGACGACCTACATCCAGCAGATTCCAGATCGCCGTGTAGGGAGGCCATCCATATGTATCGTGTGCAACGGCTGTATTCTGAGCGCCTGGTGCGAGGACGACATCAAGTTGGTGCCCAGTCCAAGTCTTTCTCCAATCATTGAGAAGCTGTTGTCGGGCTTCATACAACGCCTGAATAGTCTCAAATGGTCCAAGTCCCTGCTCCACAGGGAATGGGCCAGAGAACATCGGCGACGCAGACTTAGCCACAGAAGTCACAGGTGGCTCACCACTGGCAGCAAGAAGGTCTTTATGAGGACCATACACGAAGTTTTGGAAAGCAAGACGCGAAGGATAAGCCACGTCGAGCTCTTCGCCCAATCGGACAATCCGATGTCCAGCTCGGGTCAGCTCCTCGATAGACCGATCCAAAGCCCTCTTGACAGGCGGGTGAAGAGGGAAATGCTTATCCTCTGCGAGGACACCGATCGTCAAGACTGGGTTCTCACTGACACCCCGAGGAATGCCTTGCCATGGTACCGCTACGGCGGTGGAATCATATTCCCATGCCTGGCCATCACCAACAACGAGACTCATGAATAGTTTCAGTTCCGCAATACTATGCGCCAATGGCCCAGCCGACGGAACCAAGCCTGGAATGCCCTCGTTGGCCCCAGAGACCTGTCCGCCGAACGGGATACGGTTAGTAGTCGGCTTGAAGCCATAGACGCCACAGCAAAGCGCCGGAATCCGAATCGACCCAGCAACATCAGTCCCCACCCCAAGGAGAGATCCCCGTAATGCAACGAGGGCTCCCTCGCCGCCGCTGGATCCACCAGCCGTGAGTTGAGTGTTGTGCGGGTTCAAAGTTCGACCAAAAATGTTATTCTCTGAGTCTCCTGTCTGCATACTCATCAGTATTGATCCATATCATCAAACAGGGATCGTACCATCAGTGTCTGCGGGATATTGGTCTTGACGTATAGTACTGCACCGAGATCAAGCAGCATCTGGACGAGTGCGGAATTCGTCTTCGCAGGCTCATGTTTCAGAAACTCGACATATCCAATCGTCGATTGAACGCCTTCGACGTTGAAACTATCTTTTAGGCTGATTGGGAGACCGTGGAATGGCCCTTTGGGCTTTCCCTCACGCTTGAGGTAGTCATCTAGGTACTGTGCGCGCTCCAGGGCCTGTGGAAAGAATGTCTCCGTGAGACAGGATGTCTATACGCGTTAGCGAATGCTTCCTAGTCCTGACGCTGCACGTACGAGTTGTTGTGCGGTAGCAGCTCTTTTACAGAATGCCGTTGTGACATCCCACGAGCTGACACTTCCAGAGGCCAGTTTGACCAGGAGCTGGCTGGCGGTATAATTCTCAGTGATGTCCACCTCTTCACTGGAAAGGATGCTGCGACCGATTTTCATTTCGATCAAACGGGGGTTTTTGGCGAATGCGAACTCCTCAGCGTTCAAGCGCCATTCAGGGGGAATCTTGTCCTTGCATTCTTGTTGTTTCGCTGCGACAAGGTCTTGCCAGTTGGTCATTTTGAGAGATGTTTGATGCTAGCTAGGTAGTTTGGGGAGGGCATGGCCTCCTTAAATAGCTTGACGTGTTTGCTTAGTGCTCTGCACCCCACTTGATCATCATGTGTCGACCTGCCCTTTTGGGATAGCTTGTTACTACCGGGGTTAGTGCTGATACTGTTGGTCGCGCTGGTTGTGTGATTGGCATCTATTTCCGATGGTGATATACTTGGCCCCGGGGGCCGTTATAGCTGGGCTCGCGGGGGCGGTGGTTCACATCGGTATATATTCGAGGCTACTGCTGTCATATACTATTATCCCAGGGATTTTTGTCTCTGGAATATGGATTTGAAAGAGAAATGGAAGTATTGATTCCAAGGTTTCAATGTACAAGTAGCTCAACACTGTAGACAATCCATAGATCCATATCTCACAGGCTCTAGTTTCTCGAAGTACTAGGTACCTAGTACCTATTCCCATCAAACCAACACTCTACTTCGCCACAACATCCTCAGGCTTCACGCCTGGGAAATTCGTCAAGTGATAGGCATCAACCCAAATCTTCCCGAGGTCTCGCCTTCACACAACACATCACCCCAAGACAACCTTGGAAACCAGCCCGTTCAACCAATTACAAGGCCCCGACCCAGCCTCAATGTGCAAATGCGAGAAGAACTCCACATCATTCTCAGTGACCCTCGCGGGTGGAACCATTTCCGGATCCTTGTCAACAGCCTCCGCATAGCTTGTTCCCGGGCCTGGGCGATATAGACCATGAGCGCGAATGTAGAGGTTATGACCATCGCTTGTGCGGACGGTGTAGCGGGCGTTGAGGGCCATGGACTAAGTATATGTGATTATCTCGCCTGACTTGGTGGATAAAGCCTATAGTTGGGTCTTACATGAGTTCCTTTCACAACAGTAGCCCAGTCTGCACCACCGAGTGGTAAGATCGTGCCGATGATTCCGGATCATCTGAGACTGCCGCGCACTATTTTGGCGATACTGCGGATTATGCCGTTGTTGTGTGGTGCTCCGATGTTGATTTCGTCTTTGGCGATGTCGCATTCTAATCTGTACAGCCAGGAAAGGGAGGGTTGGCGCATACATGGACCATTGAAGAATAGGCCATTGCCAGGAGATGCAGTAGAAGACATAGTAGTATAAATTCCAAGTTGGAAAAATATACTAGGTATGACTTTCTGTACTTCGTACAGCCTCTACTTATTGTTTTATCCCCCGCATGCCCGTTGCCTAAAATGGAAGGCCGACGCACCGGGGTGATTCGCAAAAGCAGGTCCACTTAGGAGGCAATTCAGTCAGCGAATCGAAATTATACAAAATGGCAGAGACCACCAAGTATCTGGCTACAACCATTCCAAACCTTGAAGTTTCAAGGTGACGATTTTGTTTCAAGAGATCAATTTGATGGTGTATTGACGAGACCCAACGCTTAAGCTAATGTGAAAATGGTATCATTCCAAATGTTGAACAAATAGAAAAAGAACGAGAAAAACGAGAAAACAATTGGGCCACTGCCCCAAACTCCCAGTTCATCCATAGGATGAAGAATGCACAAGATTTCAAATCTGCAGAAACCTTTCGAGGTCCCTCACTAATCGTCGTCATATTCATATTCACTTTCGTCGTAGTATTCTCCCGCAAACGCATCATCCACACCATCGTCGTTGTCATCTTCGTCCTCGTCATCTTCATCATCTGGATCATCAGCGGCGCCTGATTCGGGCTCCTCTTTAGTGGGCCCGTCCTTTGATACGACAGGCTTGACGTCCTGAGATGCAGCAGGGGCAGTCGAGGGTGGGGTGGGAAGTGGACCGGCAGGTTGCTTGGGAGGAGGACGAGAAAGTCGGTTTTTGACGGGTGTTGCGCGGCGCGAGCGAGCAGACATTTCAGGCTCGATACTCGCACTGCGTCGGGAGACAACGCTTTGACTGCGACTCTGGCTTCGGCTCATGCTTTCCTGCTTGGGATCGCCTCCTTCTCCGCCGTAAAGCGTATCGAGTAGGGAATAGTTGATTTTCTTACTGTACCCGCGGCGTTCGAGCATGCGGCGTGTAGCCTCGGCGGGAGTGGTGGCGCGTGAAGTACGGCCTTCTTCGCCCTCCTCACCCTCGAGATAAGTGACATCACCAAGGCGGCCGCGGCGGCGCTTGCGATTCTTGCGAGGCGCGGGACCACCGTTGGCTTCTTCTTGGGCCCGTTTGAGGGCCTTGGCTTGTTGAATGCGGAGGTATTCTTTGTTCTCAGTCACCCAGATGGCTTCCTTGAATTCGACTTCGTCCGGCGACAGCAGACAAAGGGCGACTTCGGGATCGTCTTCGAATTCCGCTTCGTCGAGTTCGGTGCTATCTGAGACGGGAGGCCGTGATGGTTCGGAAGCAGCAGTCTGAACCATATTGGAGCCGAGGATAGATCGCACTTCGTTTTCTAGCGCTTCTTCGGAGGCAACTTGATCGGCGGAGGGCTCGGGAGTAGCTAGTCGTTTGCCCTTGCCCTTGGACTTGGCTGTCCCTGTTTTCATTTCCTCAATGACGTCGCTGACGGCTTTGGCGACAACTGAGGGGCGTCGACCCTGACCTGCGGTCAAAGCCGGATCGATGGGAAGATCAGGAATAGCAAAGCCATCCGCATCTACACGGTGTGGCTGTGTTGATTCGGCTTCACTCTCAGACTGGGAGTCATTTTCAATTTCCGCAGCTGTTTTGGGGACGTGCTTAACGCGACTCTTTCGGCCGTCTCGCCCTCGGGTGAAGGAGGGAGGATCATGTGTGTTTTCGAGCTGGACGGATCGGAATTGGTCCACAGTCAGCTCACCACTCTCGGTAGAACTGAATTCGTTCAAACGTGTACTGATAGTACTTTCTGTTACTTTCACGATGTAAACCACTTCACGCACGGTTCGACGGAAGTTGTTCATGCGCGCCGCCAGAATCAGCGCTGCACCACAGAGACCGGCTGGACGTCGACCAGTCGTCATCCAGTCACGGTTCATGCGCTGCACAATGCGGACGGCTTCTCCGGCCACCGCCATCAGCGAGGGGCCAAATTCGAGTTGCTTGGCGAAACGGTAGATCAGACTTTCGGGGTCGATAGGGTTCATCAGGAAGACATTACCCCCCAGACGAAGCTCATCGAGGAGAGCCTTGTAACAACGACCCAGTTTGAAGACGTTGATCATGAGAACGTCGGCAAAATCAATGAGCATGACGGTGTTTCCATTCTGGCGTCGGCAAGCAATATAGAGGCACACGGCAGCCACGGTTTTAGTGCGACGACCCTGAATGAAGTTCAGCCCAACCGCGAGCTTGAAGACCTGGCCCGCTGCCTTGGTCGCACTCTCAGGAATGTATAGGGCTCGGGAAAGTTGCACCATGTAGCGGTTTCCATTCTGCTCCGTCATCTCCCGACTCTCCATGGCGCCTCCGCGCTGGAAACCGGGCCCATAGCTGCGAACGTGGGTCTGATCCTCGCCGACGAAAGAACCCTGCACCATGGCAGCACCAGACGAGGATTCACCGAACGTCACCTCCGAGACGATGTTGGATTCACTGATGACTGTACCACAGCCTGCGCAGACCTTGGTTCCTCCATCCTCGACGATCTGCGGGGCTGGACAGCCCGGGTTAGGGCAGTTGGAGGTTTTCGGGTGAGTAGTTGGCCTGGGGGCCTGAGGACGAGTGATCGACTGTGGGCGTTTGATTGGAGTTGCGCTGGGGGGCTTGAGACTGGCCAGTCGTCCAACCGGGCGGCGGGGAGGAGGCACCGGCCGCGCGCCGGACCTGGGAGCCGACATTGCGATTGAAGCGGGAGATGAGATAGCTCCAGTGATCTAGAGATGATAGGGGCGCGTAGCCACAGCACTGAGGTCTGTATAGCCTTGAGAAATCGTGGTTCTGGTCGCTGGTCTCTCTCTCTTTTTTTTTTTAGTCGCGGAGTTCGTATCACGGTCACGGTCACGATAAGGACGAAACCCAGAGCGGATGGCCGCAGGATGCTTAGTAAGCGGCAAGTAAAATTGAGCGCACGTAATAGCAGTCTCCGGGGCTATTGATTTGGGAAGCGAAGTGAAAGAAATCTACTGTCTCTATTGGCTATTGGCGAGTTGGCTATTGTACTATTGTCTACTGTACTGCAGTTATCAATGTAGTTGTCTGCACTTCAATGCAGTCGACGATGCCACGTGATCCCGTAAACGCGCTAACCCAAAGCGGACTAATGGACGCGATTCCATGGTTCAGTTCCTGCTGAGTCATGTCCCAAAGAGGCAATCGCGACCTCTTCTGCAGCGTGGATGAACCATGACGACTGCCTCACCACCGAACGCCCAAGGTAGCTGCCTTGCAAATCCTCCGGGGATGATGCCCCTGTCAAGAGTCCCCGGAATATGTACACTAGCGACATAGATAGGGGGTCCTGGCCGAGATGTCTGGAATGCGGCATTTCTGCGCTTTTTCTGCGCTTTTTCTGCGTGGATCGCGCACAAATCTCGCATCGCCATGTTCCAGCACATCCACCCCGTTCTGGGATTTTCCCTTTTCTTCTTTCTGAATGATTCATATGGCATGTGTCATCGCTCTCTCGCAGATAATTTACACTTAAATTGAGCATTCCTGCACGGTCACAACACGCTATAGTGTACCATCGTGGAGATTCTAAGATCTCGGTATTACGTGACGATCATATCATAGATCGAAAGATCTCCCAGTGGACCATGTCATCTCCCAAATATCAGACTCCAGATCTGGAGGCTGCCCAAGACTTCGACACCCAGAGGAGTCTGTTCTTCGTCAGCAATGTACACTGTGCATCATGTGTCGCCTATATCACAGAAATCCTGTCTGAACTACCAACAGTCAAGGATATCGATGTCACAATCCTAACCCAAGAAGTGCGGGCCAGTCATGCCCCCTCAATACGACCCGCCGATCTCGTTGATGCTCTCATTCAAGCCGCATTTGAAGTGCGCTATGCCACAACTTTCAACCAACAAGGAGATGTCGTGTCAGAACTCGACACATCCTCATGGAACCACCGTAGCTCGGCGGTGCTTCCGTCCCCTCGAACATCTGTCTCCAGCTTCTCTTCAAACATCAAGGAACGGCTTCAAACTAGCAGACACAAACGACATATCGCCAACTGCGATGCCTGCAAGAAGGAAGAGTTGATTAACTCCCCTTGGGACTCTCCTCGGGCGGAGCTTGGGTCTGTAGCCGAAAAGCCTCATTCCAATGCCCAGGAAGCCAGCAGTGGTCTAGAGAAGGATCTTGGTATTTCAAGGCTTGAGCCGATGCCAGAGAATGGAGTGCAGACTTCAAGCAGTTCAACCTTGGCATCAGAGGATGAATTCACCGCCCAGGTCAGCATTGGTGGAATGAGTTGTGCATCATGTGCCAACACTATCACTGCAGAACTTCAACACCTCGACTTCATCAAAGACGTCACTGTCAACCTTCTGACAAACAGTGCGACAGCGACGTTCACCGGTCCTCGTGAAAATGGTGCCAAAATCGTTGAGCAAATTGACGACATTGGATTCGAGGCATCGCTTGACGAAGTGAGCGCCATTGCCACATCGCCAGTTCCTGCCGCACCTCCCGCTAGATTTGTCGCCGAGATTGGAATCACGGGAATGACCTGTGGTTCTTGCGTCGGGGGTGTGACTCGAGGTCTTGAAGAGCTTCCGTTCATTCAAAATGTGACCGTCAACCTACTTTCCCATAGTGGGAGAGTAGAGTTCGAAGGTCAAGAGAATCTCGATAGCATCATTGAAAAGATCGAAGATCTGGGATACGACGCCGCGATCACTAGTGTCTCACCAGTGAAAAGCACCCCGGAAGTCACCGCAACTCAGGCAAGAACAGTCTCGATCAGGGTGGATGGAATGTTCTGTCACCACTGTCCACAGACTGTTATCAGGGCCGTGGAATCAGCTGCAGATGTCACTGTCGTCGAAGCACTAAATGAAAAGCACCCTATCCTCAAACTCACATATACCCCTCAGCCACCCTCTCGCACCATTCGCTCCATAATTTCAGCTATTCACTCGTCGAACGACTCTTTCCGTGCGAGTGTCTATCATCCCCCTAGTATTGAAGATCGCTCCCGCGCGATCCAGCATCATGAACGGCGCCGCCTGCTGTCCCGCCTGCTATTCGTCTTCCTGAGTGCAATCCCAACCTTCATCATCGGGATCGTGTTCATGTCTCTTGTCTCTTCCGATAACCCAGGCAGGGTGTACCTAGAGCAACCGATGTGGTCTGGCAGTGTGACACGCATTGAGTGGGCACTTTTCATCATGTCAACGCCCGTCATGTTCTATGGAACAGATGTGTTCCACACTCGGGCTTTCAAAGAGATCTACGCGCTATGGCGACCCGGGAGTCGCGTTCCCATCCTTCGACGATTCTATCGCTTTGGGAGTATGAACCTTCTCATCTCGGCGGGCACATGTGTCGCCTACATTTCGTCTCTGGCTGTATTGATCGTCGACGCGGTTGTGGGCACCAAGTCCAGTTCACATAGCACGACCTACTTTGACTCTGTTGTTTTCTTAACCCTCTTCATTCTTGCTGGTCGATTTTTGGAGGCCTACAGCAAGGCGAAAACTGGTGATGCTGTCACCTCGTTGGGCAAGCTTCGTCCCTCTGAGGCACTGTTGGCCGATGACTCCACCGAGGACGGAGTCAGCCGTACGAGTGTTGATCTTTTGGAGGTTGGTGACGTTGTCAGTATTCCTCACGGAGCCTCGCCCCCTGCAGATGGAGTCATTGTCGACAGTGCCTCGTACCAATTCGACGAGAGCTCTTTGACTGGAGAGTCACGGCCAGTCAAGAAATCAACTGAGGACATGGTCTATACTGGCTCGGTCAATGTCGGGCAACCGGTACGCATTCGAATCACCGAGCTGGGCGGTTCGTCCATGCTCGATCGAATCATCGCCGTGGTCCGTGAAGGTCAGAGCAAACGCGCGCCTCTTGAACGAGTGGCCGATCTCCTCACATCTCACTTCGTCCCTATCATTACGTTGATTGCTGTATCGACCTTTGTCATCTGGCTGGCCCTAGGTAACTCGGGTGTTCTTCCTGATGACTACCTTGATGTTGCACATGGTGGTTGGACCTTCTGGGCTCTGGAATTTGCAGTCGCCGTGTTCGTGGTTGCCTGTCCATGTGGACTGGCACTTGCAGCTCCTACCGCCCTATTCGTTGGAGGAGGCCTAGCAGCCAAGCATGGAATTTTGGTCAAAGGCGGCGGCGAGGCTTTCCAAGAGGCCAGTCGCTTGAACGCGATCGTATTTGACAAGACCGGGACATTGACCGAGGGTGGAAGTCTGAAAGTCTCCGACCACGAAGTCTTGACCAATGATCCCGAAATGACCAAGGTTGCATGGGCTTTGGCTCGGAAAATGGAGGAGACTAGCAATCATCCGATTGCCCTCGCAATCACCGAATCTTGCAAATCCCAGATCTCCGCGACTGTCAAAACTTCTGAGGTCCACGAGATTTCCGGTCAGGGCATGAGGGGCACATTCACTGTCTCTGGCCCTGAACAGGATGAGCATTATGAAGCTGCAATTGGTAATGAGCGATTATTGAAAAACCTCATTTCCTCGGAAACAGACACATACTTTGTTTCCAACCTCCTATCCAAATACCAGTCGGCTGGCAAGTCCACAGCCATTTTGTCACTTCGCAAGATCACTGACTCCGCGCCTACACCTTTCACACCAGCTATTGTCTTCGCCACTTCCGACACTCTCCGACCAGAGGCCATTGATATCATTTCCCAGCTCCAAAAGCGAAACGTGGAAGTCTACATGTGCACAGGCGACAATCAGAAAACCGCCCATGCCGTCGCAGATATGCTAGGAATTTCACGTTCCAGAGTGATGGCCAACGTCCTCCCAGCCGAGAAAGCCACATTCGTCCGCGAGATTCAGCAACGGTCAGACAACGTCGATGCCAACAACACAAAGTCATGTCCGATCGTTGCATTCGTCGGCGATGGCGTTAACGACTCTCCTGCTTTGGCGGCAGCGGATGTCAGCATTGCCATGGCATCTGGATCAGACGTCGCCATCAACTCTGCCAGTTTCATCTTACTCAATTCGGATTTGAGCACAATCCTGCAACTGGTTATGCTTAGTCGGCGGGTGTTTAATCGTGTTCGTTTGAACTTTGGGTGGGCGGTGATTTACAACCTGTGTCTTGTTCCTGTTGCCGCGGGTGTTTTCTATCCTATCGTTAGTGGGCATCATGAAATGTCCATGGGTGGTGAGATGGTCATGGTTAATGAGCATTGGAGACTGAGCCCGGTGTGGGCTGCGTTGGCGATGGCCTTGAGCAGTATCTCTGTTGTTTTGAGCAGCTTGGCTCTCCGGGTCGACCGAGAGAGTATCAAAAGGGTGCTGAGAAGATAATCATGTACTTTAATCCTTGTATTTTAATTTATACTATTGAGCGTTTCATCGCCATATCCAAAGCATCAGTGAATCAATATTTTTGCAGTATCCACGTAATGTCCAGAATGAAGCTGCGTCAACTTGACTGTCCCCAAATCTCGGCAATGCGCTTGCTAAGCTCTTTTGCAACTTTCTTTCGTCCAACAACCTCCGCCATCCGAGTCGATATCATCGTTTCCCGCTCCTTGGGGTCCAGTGCCGCGTATGCCTCCATCAAGTGTCGGGGCGTTGGCCATATCTGTTGAATCTCAAGGGCTTTTTCGCCCGTCACACCACGTGTGCACATGAGCATCTTCAAAAACACATCTCGAAGAGTTAGTGTATCTGATTTGGATGTGAGGGCAGAGAATGTGACGAATGAAACACCATATGTAGTAGACGGATCCCGAGAGCGCATATTATCAAGGACGGTGAGGTAAGAATCAGTCGCGAGGCGGCGACCAGGAATCAGGCCAATTTTGGATACTGGGGCCGAGGGAACAGTGGTGGTGGTGGTATTTGCATCTGGGTTTGACGGCGGATCTTCCACCCCGTACATTTTTCGCAAGAGTAGGGTCATCCGCGCCAGATATCGAATGGATTCGTCCAGATGTTTGGTCTTTTTGATGAAGTATTCATTCAGAACCTGTGTCGATGCGATGGCTGAAGCAACCATCTCCTGATACTGCGCTGCACTCCCACTTGTGGAATCTGCGTGCGTGACAGCAAACTCTTCGATCAAGTAGATGACATTTTTGATGCCAGAACGACGAAGACGGAACTTTTGTTCGTGGAAACGCCCGTCTTTGATAGATCCAATTAAATCATCCAGGCGTTTTCGCTCGACGATCCAATCGAGCATCACTTCATCGCTTTCTTCGCCGTGGCGCGCGAAGAAGCCGGGATCGTTGCATTTTGCCACCCACATTGCATCGCCGACTTCCAGAGCTCGCACTTCCGGAGTGATTCCTTGTTTGATCAGCTCGCCGGATATGTAGTCGCGGTCGGTGGATGTGCGGACTTCACGAGTATCCAGCACAAGCTGGATGGTGAAGCTCTTCGGTGGTAGCATGATGGGCTGGATGTTATCCATGTCTTCCTTTGACAGGGTATCCTCAGGATCTGCTCCGTCCTCTGCGGGTGAATCGCGGCCCTCTGTAGCTGGTTGCTGCGACTCTGCCGCAGGGCCAGCTGGTGCGGTTTGCGTAGCGCCGGGCAAGGTCTTCTGGAGACGCTTGACTACCTCCCAGCCTTCCTCGGATAGGAGATATCTCCGCAGAGGGCGGCCATGCTCACAGACCAGGTCCTTCTGGACCAGGGTCTTCATCGAATTCCACGCAGTATAGAACTTCGTAGGATCTGGGGGTGCCGTGAAGGAGCTATCACAGTACGGCTGGGCCACTTCGATCAATTGTGCCTTCGTCATTCCTTGGGATGCGTTTTCATTCTGGGTTCCCAAGCCCAGCAATAAGCCATATGGGCCGGACCGTAGCGTGGGCACATATGGCTTGGCTTTTCTAGGCTTCTTCGCCGGCTGGTCATCATTTTCGCCGCCGGTTGTTCTTTTGCCGCCTACTTTCGTGAGACGTCATATCAACTTGCACGATGGGAACACCAACCTTTCTCCGGTGGCTCTGGCATCGGAAGACCATTTTCTTCGCAGTGAGCCTTAAGCTTATCCGTCAATCGGTCACACAGTTTTGGGCCCAGTCCATTCAGCTGCTGCGCTTGAGAAGGATGTTGGAATGGCAATGGACACACTTTCATGGACTCATAGGCCTTCTTGTACCTGAGAAATAGTCAGTCCCATCATTCTGCAACAGACAGGTATAACCCACACTGTCACGCCTTTGCTATTTCGTTCTCGAGCCTGGTCTAGCCATTCTTTAATCCACCCCAAGAGGAGGGGATTTGCGCACTCCTCCATCGTCAGGTTGGTGTGAGACGCGAAGTGATGTTACCCTTTTGGGAACGCGACTGGCACGTGATCGATCCTGGGCACCCTCCGCGGCTGAGTTGCAACTGCACGATCTACTCCAGGGTTGTTTTTCTCTGTTTCAATGTCGAGATCTGTTTTACTGTCTCCATAACACGCTCCATCAATAGTCAATAGTCAATCTGAACCCCGTTTCAACATATCGCACTCCTGAGTTCTGAACCCGGTGCTCACTCAACCCTCTTGCTGAGCCAAAATTCGACGCAATCCCAGCACTTTTGACTCGGAATGCATATTCTATCCCAGTGATCCAGATCTAGATGAACAGCAGTCCAAACAGGGATGTTTCATGTGTCGCCACCGTTGCTCTGCCCTGATTTCGGGAAATGACGTCGACCATCTCTGCAGCAAACAAATAACCAATTGAACCCGCCATTTGTGGAATTCACAAAAAATGACGAGTATCATGAATCGCAGTAAGACCGACGATGAATCTAATAACGACCCAGAGCCCGACGGTCCAACTGATAGCCATATACTCTCCCAAGTCGACCAGGATGAAAAAGGTCTAGCTCAAAAGGCCGGCGAGACGGCCGAGATCACCAATATTGGTTGGGGCCACGAACCTGACCAAATTGAAGAGCCTTTAGTGGCTGGACTTCCTAATGAAGATCTATGGATGCTCATCAGACGTTTCGACAAGGTCGCGGTCCCTTACTCTTGCACACGGGAGTATACTAACTTCGTGATTACAGCAAGTGTACAGAGTCAAGACTATGCCTGATGCGCCATTGCAGAGGCTCGATCTCACGCGAACGGATGATGATGAGTTCTCGCCAGACAAGCTGAGGGCCACACTCGAACGCTTCTATATCACCGTGGTGATTAGCCTGACCAGTTTCGTCAAGCATGTGGCTCGGTTACGGTCCTGGAAAGAACCACGACGGACAGCGATATTCGGCACGGCATGTTGATGCATAGTACCATGCCAAATCGTTCCAAGATTCTAACCCCTTGCGCAGGTATACCTTGTATCATGGCTGCTGGATCTCCTTGTTCCAACTATGCTCGCAACTCTACTGGCCTTGGTCGTCTACCCACCCTGCCGGACAGTGATGTTCCCACCTGCGCCAATTGCCCTCGTCAACAAAGACACTGGGGGCGTTCAGAAACCCAAGGCAGGCATTCTGGGCTCCCATGATAGTATCACTGGGGCACCGGAGAAGTTCAAGGGCGAGGCTGCCGAGCTGGAGGCTAGTAACTTGGTTGCTGGTGTTGCCAGTGTTGCAGTGGGCAGTGCAGTCGGGAAGCATGACCAGGGTGTACCTGATGACGCGCCACTTGAGGATGACCTGCCTGATGCTATGGAGATCGTTGCGGATACAGCTGACGCACAAAGCGCTGCCCATGGAAGAGTTCCGTCGGATTCTCATGATAAGACTCGACAGCCGATGCGACAGAGTGTGATGGATGCTGCCAATTTTGCAATGCAGGTGGTCAATGATATAACGGATACCTATGAGAAGATGGGGAAGTGAGTGAACTTCTTGATTGGTCGTGTCTGAATGGACGAAGCTGACGGTGACAAGTGCACTCTCTGCCACAGCTCCATTCCCACGACTGAGTCCCCGTCTACGCCTGGCGGCGGTGATAGGTCCAGCCTGTCTGGCTTCGATGCTGACATCTAGTTATGTACTTGTGAAGTCCAGCACATTTACTGTTGGCCTAATTTTCTTCGGTGATCCTCTCATTCGCATCGCAGTCAAGTATCTTAATCGACGGTTCCCAAAGTGGCAAAAGGTCATCGAATTGCAGAAGTATGCCTCCACTCTATACCCAGATTCCACAAGCTAATCGATATTCCAGCTCCCTACTCAAAGGTATCCCGACAAATGCACAGCTGACCGTCACATTGCTCCGCATTGGTGAGGCCAACGCATCACCACTACCACCGCCCCCGAACTCACAGGAGAAACCTCCTTCACGGCCAGCCTCATTACATGAGGAGGAACTCACTCTCGGTGCCACCGGCGAAGAGATTCAAGATGCTGCACTGGAAAAGCCAGATCTTGGTCAGAATGCTGAGACCGAGCAAACACAAAAACCCCACAAACGGACGGTTGCGTCGGGGATCCTAGGATTCTTCCGAGGCACCACAGCCAGCGGCGTAGAGAGCAAAAGAGGCATCGATCGTCTGCGAGCCACTGTTGGTTCCCGCCATGCTCGAAACCGCGTTGGTGTTCTCCGCCACAAAGGAAAGATGATCACACCCATTGGGCCCGTCGCATTCGACGCCCGACACGAAGGGAAACGCGGCACGGCGATCATCGATTCCACGAAAGAGCCTCCACTGCTCTATTTCACCACCGAAACTCCATCCGAGGACGTGCAGGTCGAGCATCGGAAGGCTGGATCAGTACTGTTCACGATGCCGGTGACTGAGATCCAGGAGATGAGAAAATTGGGCGGTATGGGCTGGAAGGGCAAGCTTGTTGTTGGCTGGGCCCTTGGCAGTAAAGAGGTTGTTGACGGCCTACTCATCACTGGTACCAAGGGGCAGACATATCAGCTCACGGCTATGGGGACTCGGAACCAGTTGTTCAACCGACTTGTTGCGATCGACGGACAGGTTTGGGCGACATGTTGAGATTCCACGAATGCGTGCTAAAACAATCCCAGGTCTGGAGGTGATTTTGTACTCCATTTGTTTCTACCTGCGAGTCGGGAGACAATAAATAGTATGGCAGTGTCAACATGTTTGAATTCGTAACATATCGTCACTCCCAGGGGCTCTACATCTCATCCTAAATCAATTAGTCTCTCTCTCCCCCCATGTAACAGAACACTCACATCCATCTCCGCATCCAGAATCACCTCCACCATCTTCCCAATAGCCAGCACCCGGTCCTGCTCCGTCACACAGCCGATCTTCACCAACTCGGTCAACGCCTCCCCGACCCAATTCTGACAATTCCAATCGCGATCCCCACTCCCATTTCGCACCGGCGTCCCCATGCACGCAAGATAGAATGTCGCCTTCGAAACCGACTCCGGAATCGCACACACTGGGATACGGGCGATCGGCGATTCAGAAATCGGGTTTTGGGAGTCTTTCTGGAATTGGAAGAATGGGTGCGCGCCCACGACGTGGAACCAGTCTTCGGTTTCGTTCCAGCTTGTGTGTAGTGCTGTGTGACGGTATTGGGAGAAGTCTACAGGCACGCTTTTGTACACGAGGATGGAGAGTTGAGCCACGTTGAGTTGATGTTCCAACCTTGGGAGTTTGCCGACGGTTGGGTGTTCAAGGTTGGTGGGGGACATCCCTGTTGGGTTTGTCTTAGTCTGTGAGATAAATATTGACATTGGCGGTATGAGGCATAGTTAAGTATCAATGGGTGGACTTCTATAGAACATAAAGAGAGAAAGAAAATAACAATCTAGATTTCTAACATTAAAAACATATATACTCACAATCCCCCCTGGTAGTCCCTCACGGTCTGCTCGAAAGACACATCACGCTTGAACCCCAGAGAGATAGCCTGCGTATTGTCAAATTGCGTCGGCCATGATCTCAGAATAGGAACAACAGATGGATCTTCTTCCTCCGAAAGCAAGGCCAGCTTCTCCTTGCCACCCACAACCTCCAGCGCATCCATCATCCCCTGCACCGTAACACAAATGCCAGGGACATTGATCTGGCGAATGTGCCGGGGAACTGAGTCCGCCGCAAGACGAAGCGTGATAAGCAGATTCTCCACCAACACTTTCGGCGAACACAGCCACGACTTGAACCCCCGATCTTCAATGGGAATCACACACGGCTTGCCATCCAGAGGCTCCCGAATCATCCCACTGAGGAACGAGGACGCCGCCGCCGTCGGCGCACCGGGACGAACCGAGATCGTCGGGAATCGCAACGTGAACCCGGTAATAAACCCACGGCGAGTATATTCATTGACCAATGTCTCGCAGACGATCTTCTCCGCCCCGTACGAGGATTCAGGGGTCGGGATCACGCTATCGGTCACAATTTCCGGCAAGGGTTGCCCGTAGACTGCCTGGCTGGATGAGTAAATGACCCGCACCCCGGGACAGGTGTGTCGGAGCGCCTCGAGCAAGTTTCGCGTGGCGTCGATGTTGACGCTCATGCCAAGATCGAAATTGGCCTCAGAGCCGGACGACATGATGCCGTGGAAGGCATAAACGGCGTCCAGGGAGGCGTCGACGACGTCTGCAGCCCCGGTTAACAGGTCGGCTTGGGTTGCGGTGGCATTTTGTGGGTAGCGGACGCCTGCGGGGATCGGAGGCTGGTTAATGTCCGTCAAGGTAACGCGGTAGGCGGGATCATTCAAGAGTTCTTTGGCGAGCAATTGGCCGATGAAACCGGCGGCGCCAGTGATGAGGATATGCATGTTGGTGAATGAAGTAGTGTGGAGTTTGCAATGTTATACTTCATCGTCGACGCCTTTCTCTCCGCATTGTCGCATCAAGTCCGAGATGCGGTTGCGATCCCGGACTTAGGCCGGGCAATAGATGAGACTACAATTGGTGCGAAAGGGGAAAGTGGAGGCTGGCGAGTATCAAAGAAGTGCCAATGAAATCGAGGAAATTGGGAAAGTCGAGTCCGCGGGGGTCAGAGAGTCGCACATCCTGTCCCTCGGCTTATTTTCTTCCCCATTCGCATGCCCGGAGCATCACCGACATGGAGACTCCGCTGAAACGGTCTTCCGATGACGCTGGACTGGAGTCGCCCAAGAGGTCTGCGCCGAAGATCTCCAAAGCTCGTGCTTGTATGTCCCTGTTTCGGTTCCTGTGCTGCTACCCCCGCTGATGAGGAGAAGGCGCCGAATGCAAGCGCCACAAGATTCGCTGTGAATTCCGACCGGGCGAGTCAACCTGCACTAAATGTATTCGCAGTGGTATCAAATGCGTCGTGAATGACTTCTCGCAGAAATTCGTGGACGACGATGGCATGTACGTGTTCTGAGGCCCCCGCACATGGGGCTCCGCAATGCTAACACCGGGGTAGTTGGAAGGCCCAGGCAAATGCGACGATCAACCAGCTGCAGGCAGCGGTGTCGCATCTGCTGCGACAGGGAGGACTCCCTGAGCTGTCGACTTACGCCGACACAGCGAATGATCTCAGCCCCGCGGCCTCGCACACTCGGCCCTCCATCGATGGGCGCTCCCAAACACAAGCCAGTCACGCCGAGGGACCGGGAGTCGTCATGGACATTACGCGGGAGCCATCGCCGGAGCAGGATCTCCAGGACCCAGAGCTAGTGCCGGCGCCAATGCGCAGTCTCTACGAGGTGACCAAGTTACGAAACCTGCGAAACAATCACGTCGAAGCCCCGAAGCAGACCTTACTCGAAGAAGACTTCATCTCACGGGGACTGGTCTCGTTGCACGAGGCAGAGGAATTGTTCGCTTACTTCAGTCGCACCATGAACCAGCTACTCTGGGGGGGAATCATTCTTGTACACCGCGATTTAACATCCGTCCGAAGAGCATCGACCCTGCTCTCCGCGGCCGTCTTGACCGTCGCAGCCCTGCATATCCCGAACCGCACCGAAACCTTGAACCGGTGCTACAGCGAGTATGTATCGCTGGTGTCGAGCATGGCGCTCACGCGCGCCCACACCCTCGACGACATCCGCGGTCTCTGTGTGGGCGCATTCTGGCTGTCCGAATTGAGCTGGAAACTCTCCGGACATGCCGTGCGCATCGCCACCGAGATGGGCCTCCATCAAAGCTATCAGCGCCTGACGCGCGGGCACACGGATCAATATGAAAGGGCCCAGCTTTGGTACTTACTGTACGTGTGTGACCACCATTTCAGTATCGCGTATGGCCGGCCACCGGTCATCCATGAGGACGTGGTGATTCGGAACTATGAGACTTTCCTTGCGCTGCCGATGGTTGTCCCCGGGGACATTCGGCTCTTGGCGCAAGTGGCTCTGTTCATGATTTTGACCGAGGCGTATCGCATGTTCGGCAGTGATACGGAGCAGGCCCTGACGGAGGAGGACTTTGGACAGCTGCGTGTATACAACGTTGCCGTAGACCAATGGCGACTTCTCTGGCAGCCTCGATCCGGTAAGTGACCTACTTTCCAGGTGGTTGTATAGGCGCCCTAACATCGTTTGGAATCCATCACAGCCGACAGTGCGTATGTGCGAACATATCCGTCCAAAGGAGTCGTGCTGCATTATCATTTCGCCAAATTCCAGTTGAATTCCCTTTCTCTGCGTGCGCTTTCCCCATCCAATACCCCCGTGTTCTCCATGGACCGCAAAGAGTCCGCCAACATCGCCATCTCATCCGCCATGGCCTGTCTCAACATGGTCCTGGAAGAACCCGACATTCGAGACGCCATTGTCGGCGTCCCCATCTTTACTCATACCATGGTCACCTTCTCTGCCGTGTTCCTCCTCAAAGTCGCCATCAACTGGAACACAGCCTACCTCAGCATCAACGCCCGACAAGTCCGACGACTCGTGGAGCGCGTCATCGAACTCATGAACTGCGTTTCCGCCGGCGAGCGCCATCTCACCCGTCACATTGCACGCGGGCTTGGCAAGATGCTCGAGCGCTTCGACTCCTGGGAAGCAGCCTGGCAATTCCGCGATGTAGAAGGCCGCGAAGTACCCGGCGGAGCCAACGCGATGGCCCAGGGATTCCCACCACCAGACCTGATCTACGGAATGGTCGGGACATATGGGTTCGGGCTGGACGAGAATCTACTTGATCCGATGGCGGACTTTGAGTTCCTGACGCAATGATACGTCCACGCTCGGCCCACGCACTCTGAAACCGGAAGCAACCCTACATGTCGTCACCGTCATCCCTGCTGAACTTTCCCTTTTCTTTCCCTCTTTCTTCTCTTCTATATTCCCTCATCAATCCAATTTTGACATTATGACCACCCGCAAGAGAAAGCAAGATGAGGAGCTCGTGGCCCTGCCTAGTGACGACAGCGAGGAGGAAGAAGAGTAAGTACCTGGAATCCCTGCATGGATTGCGCATTGCCCCTGGTGACGCGCAAATGATAATACGACTTTGCGTCAATTCCCCAAATCGCATTACAATCACACACCCAATCGCGCAATGTACACCACTAACACCCCCCAGATATGAAGACTCCGAGCCCGAACTAGCCGAAGGGAGCGACGATGGCGAGGGCGAGGGCGAAGAGCCCGAAGGCGCATCCGAATCCGACGAAGATGACGAAGAACCCGAAGACAAAGGTGTGTTCAAGAATACACGATACCATTGAGATCTGTATTTGAACCGGAATCCATGCTGACGCACATCCAGGCCCACCGAAAGCTAAGAAACAGAAGACTGCGCCCGTGGTAGTTGATGACGACGAGGGCGTCGAGGTCCCGGAGAGTGGTGCCAATGATGAAGAGCCCGAGGAAGCAGAGGGCGAGGAAGAAGAAGTTGCCGACACGGCTGCTAAGAGTGGTCCTGCTGCGGCTGCTGCGAAGGAGAAGGCGGATGTCGTCCCTAAGGAGTCGGATTTGCCGGAGGTTGAGGCTGCCGAAAAGGCAGATGAGGAGGCATGAGTTAGCGAGTATAGGATAGTAGATTTGTCTTCGAAATCTATACGGTTGAATTCTATGCAGTGGTCGGAAATAGTGGTGGAAGTAGAAGTAGCAGAGTGGAGTATGCGAGTGTCGAACAACCAATCCTCATGCTTATGGCTTGCATTGTCAAAGCTCTAGTCAACTGGTGGCTGGACTTGATGTGTTTCCTGTGGGGAATTATCCACACTCAACTACAGTACAAATACATGTTGCAGACACTCGCATAGGACTATTTATAAGAAATTGAGATAATACAGGTATCATCAAGGATGGTCATTAGCTCCCCCGTTTTCTATCTGGATATTCAGGGACATAAAACACTGTAGCTTCGAGCTTGACCCAAGCTGGGCTTTTGGGATCGGTGACTTTTAAGTATCACTTCCGCTGCTGCGGAAGGTCGCACACAGCTGGCAGTACTGATGCGTGAGATCCAAGACAGCCTGAGGCAAGTTGGTCGCTTGAACAATGCTGCGGACCTTGACGGCACCCTCGTCTTCAATGAGCTTACGAACCATGAACAGCAGCTCGGGGGAGAACTATAAGGAGAACAGTTAGTGATAGGCGATGAGGAAATACTCAAATCAAACATACCTCCGAGTACCAGCGGTACTGCCAGGCGATCAGACGAATCAAAGCGCCGAGCATGGCCCGGGTATCATTGCGCTGCTCGTAGAGCTTCAGAACGCCGCGCATGGCTTTGGGCGAGAAGCGAGTAGCGAGGCAGCTTTGGTACGCCTCGACACTCTCGTCGAAGTGGTGGAGTCGCTGGGCGAGTTCACCGAGGATCTCCCACTCCGTTGCGGACTTCTTGTACTCCATCGCCTGCTGGCGGAACTGGGCCATCTCGGTTCTCCAGATAGTGTAGATACGGAGATCCTCGTAGAGGACCATGAAGAGGTTGTCCAGCCATCTCTCACAGAGACGCTTGTTTTGGAATTGGGTATATGCGCTGTGCGATGGATCGGGCTGCGTGAGCAGTTAGCATGTGAATCAAATGCGGCGGGTCCGTGTAACTTACGTCTTCATTCCCGGACTTCACAACCTCGGAGGCCACTGTCTGCTCGGGGCGTTCAAGGGGACTCTGAGTGTGGCTCCCTGTTGCATCCCCATTAGGGCCGTTCACCGAGCCAGAGTCGTCCTCGGAGCTCTTTCCATTCGTCTCCCCGTCTCCTGAGTGAGAGGGCTTGGACACGTGCTGACGCTCGACTCGGTACTCCTCTTCCATGACAAATACCTCACTACGGGCCTTGAGTAATTGATCCCATCCGATGGCCGCCGCGATCTTGGTCAGCAGGTTGTAGGCCTTCAGGAAGGTGCCCTGGTAGTTGGCGGCGTGGATCTTGCGCAGAGAAGGATGGACGTAGTCGTGGGGATCTCCCTGCTTGGGCTGGCCTTCGTCGATTTCGTCCAGTATGCTTTCAGCAAGGATGGGAAGCATGATTCGCGATGGTTGCGGCATACGAGGGGTATCTTTATCTTGGTATGTGAACATAGGACAAGAGTTGAGGGTCAGAAGCGCCAGATCCCACTTTTCCATGCTGACATAGACCTCCGCGAGGCGAGCCCATGTGCTGAATTCACTGGGGGCAGCAGTCACCGCGCGCTTGGCGCATTCAAGAGCCATCTCGCCCTCGCCTTTGTTTTGGCAGAACTCCGCCTGGCAATCCAGTAAAGCGTAATCCATCGGCACGTCTTGCAGAGCATCGTACATCAAGCGCACGGCTTGCACCTCCTCGTCGGCCATCATCTGAACGCGGGCCAGGAGCGAGGAGACTTCCACATCCCGGGTCCGAAGTTTCTCAAAGAGGTTGATTCCAGATGTGTAGCGGCCCGTGGTATGGATGTACTTGAGAATTCCGGAGGTAAGGTGATTGCTCACGGTGTTGGGGACTTGTGTTTCGGGGTCAGAGCTCAACTGGCGTCCTGTGAAATGATTAGCCCCAGATCCGAGATATAGACGTCCAGAATTCGAAGTGTCATACCGAGGAAGAACAGCTTTTCGGCGGCATCCAAGAACTTGTGCTCCATCTCTGTGTTAGTCACAGGGTTGAATCGTCTGACTCCAACAATCTTCTTGACGGCATCACCAGTTCCATCGTCCGCATAAAGGTAGGCTCTCAGAACGGCGCAAAGGAAAGTCTCCAGCCAGAGAGCATCGGTGGCCACGCGCTTGTCGCCCCTTTCGTCAATGCAGTAGCTCTCCAAGCTTCCGGGGATTTTCACTTCAACGCGCATATCGAGGTGGGAGAATGCATTGTAGCAGCTGGACATGTATCAGCATGGGAAACCGAATCCCGCTCTCGTCAGCATCGGCGCACTAACCAGTAAATTCCGGATACCACTTTATGTGTCTTATCGAGGGGAGAGAATGTGAGGGTGTTGACGTAGGCAGCTAAGCTGGCGGATGAGGAGGCATCAATTCCGGTGACATGATGATAAAGACCGGTCTATAGCAGTGAGAAATCAATCAGTTGCTTGCACCACATCAATTGAGTCTTGCGAAGAGCGTAGCCGTACCTGGCGGGTCGAATTGGCCTTGGGTTGTTTGACCAAATAGGCCAGATCTGGGGGGCCTAGTTCTCGCAAGGTCTGCAAGGACTCTGTGCGCGCATCGACTGCGAGGTAGATATCCTCCTCCTCATGGATCCTAGACAGTGCGCTGTTAGTCACACGACCCTGGTCCGTCCGCCATTGCGACTATGGCCGCTGTCAAGCCATGCGTCCGGGGAACACGTAAACGGGATTGAAACATACTCAGGAACAGCGGGCGCAACCATCCTGCACCAGCGCAATATTCAACAATAGGAGTATAAAAAAGAATTCCACGATCGAGGAATCGTCAGGGGCGATGAGGGGGGAAGTCAGGAATGGTCTTAGAACGGTACACAATCATTCAGGCACCCAGGCACCCGCGCTTAGACCACTTGCCGACGCGTGATAACGTGTGCCGATAACCTATCGTCTTGACCCTGCGATGTTGTCGGATTTTGACTTATAAGGGGAGCTCAAACTATGGCGAGCTGGGTCGCATTGAATGTTGAGCCCGACGATGCAATCGAGGAGGAGGTCGACGACACCAAGGAGCTCCAGATCGAGGAGGCCTTGAAGCTCTACCACAGTGCTTTAAAGCTACATTCGCAAGGACCGACATTCTATCCTCAAGCCGCCGAGGCATACGAGACTCTACTAGATTCCGAGATCTTCAAATACCCAGAGTCCTTATCCGATTTTAAAAGAGGAGTGCTGGACGATGCGCAACCCCAAGACGTCTCCGGAGAAGCCAGCGCAGAGTCTCTGACCGAATACAATGTCAGCGACTCCGCTTCCAGTCTATTCCAAACGCTATACCTGTCCTATAAAAACCACGGCAAATTCGTTCTCGACTCGGTACAAGACTCGATACAAACCACCCCCGAGACCCCCGAGACCAAGAAAGACACACAGGAGAAATTGACAGACGCATCTAGAAAAGCGTTAATATCTTTTGGAGATGCGCTGGAACGGGATGACTCGGATCTTAACCTCTGGAGACAGAGTGCAAGGTTGAGTAGCGCTTTGCACAGTTACCGGTTGTCTCGGTACTGTTTGGAAAGTGTGCTGGCAGATGATGACAACCGGCTGGAGCTAAGGCCTGAACAGCTGGGCCTAGAAGAGATATTTGCCGAACAACGCCTGCGAAGTACGCTGGTGTCACTGTTCGATAAGTTGTCTGCGTCGCAGATTCCTGACAAGCGGCCCAAGAAAGCTCTTATGAAATACCTGAAGCAACATGAAGATCCATATCCAAATCTTCCTACACTGCCTGCTGAGTTACAGCATATAGATTCGTCCAAGGGGCCTCTTGCCCTTCACGCCACTCGCCGGGAAATCATTCCCAGTGAACCAACATGGGGCTCAGTCGGAAACGCGCTCTTGAGGACTCTCGACGAAGAAGAAAATGCATCCCTCGCAGATGTTCCCAGCCAATCTATCAGTATCATTTTGCCGGTCAGAGCCACTGAAGCCCCACAAACGCCTGATCCAAAACTGGACACGGAAATGGCGATTGATGGGGCGGAACCGGACAGCAAGGAAGCATGTGCTCAGCAGCCTGACGCGGATCCTGCGCAAGCGACCGAGGCCGAGATAAAACCAGAGCATGGCACGTTTGAGCCAGGCGATGATCAATCGTCGATTGACCAGAGTGCTGAAAAGCAGTTGATGGAATCACTCGAGCGACACTCCCCACAATTTCAAGAGCAGCAGGGTGGGCAGGAAGATACCAACGCAGACGATGGTGAAACGAACCCTGCCACCGATGCTCGGAAGCGATCCTCTGCGTCAGCTGCCAATGATGAGCCAGAGGGGGGTCGTATGAAAAGCAGACGAACACGGGCTCGAGAGTCAAACGCGGACTCTCTGGCCCCGCTTGAAGAAGTAACCTTTGACCAGGAAAGATACTATGCGGACCGTCTGGAGGTCTTCATCAACGCTGATGATTGGATGTTCAGCACGGTGGACTCCTTGTTCTCCAAGGTCGGCGTGGACGCGCTCGGTAGCATAGAGAAGCTTCGTGAGAAGTGCCCGTCAAGCACCGAGTCTGCGAGCCTACCAGAGGACCCCGAGTCACGGCTGTTCCAGGATCTTCGGGGTCTCATCAAAACTTGGGATGACCAGAAATCTCGTTTGATGCAAAAGAAAGATGACAACTCGCCCCTGAAAGATATCCGCGGCACGAGCAAGTCTGGATTGGCTGTGTTCCTTGAGCACTCAAGGAAAAGTACCAGGAAACCGGTCCTCGAAGAGGAACTTCCTTCGGGAGACGAACTACACACGTTCTTCCATGAGGTAAACTCTACATGGCTTCACTCCCATGATACCGTCTTTGAGTGGCTCAAGTGTCTTCTCATGCCCGACTATGGTCAAGAGTCCTCCAACTGGTCGACCGCAAAATCCACATATACAGCCTTCCTCTGGCCGGAGGACTTGAAGGAAACACTCGTACAGCTCTTGGTTCGGGAAGATGAACACATCCACCGGACTTGCGTTGAGCTTATCGCAGACCTCGAGCGTCGAGTGTTGGGCTCGAGTAGTCAGATACCCTTTGAATATCAGACGAAAGATCTTTACGAATTGGAAATGATCCAAACAATTTACGAGCTTCATTTGGACATTTTCTCTTCGGTAGAAGATCCAAGCAGTGAGGCGGATGAAGAGACCAGACTTGCGCAGCGCGATCGGTTGGCCCGTTGGGGCATGCTGGCCCGGACATCTATCGATTATTTCGTCGATAATGGCCCGTCCGGCCAATGGCAACAGAATCTTACCCTCCGACACCTGTGGGCCTCTGCGTTCCATGTGAACCTTGCCGGGGACGCGCAACGAGAGCACATCTTGCTTTGTCTTCAGGATCTGAAGCAGATTCTCCAGTCCCTTGGCAATCCAAATTTCCATCTGGTTAACAACTCCATTATGTCAGAGTTGTCTGGGGCTGTGATAGATCAAGAGGTCTTGAAGCTCAAGTGTATGGATTTCTTTGCCAAGGTTTTCAACCCAGATTCAGAGGACCCCGTTAGTCTCATCGAGGCTATCGAGCCTATCCTGGAGCCTTCGTCGATTGAATATGCAGACAAGCCAGCAGAGAATGACATGTCTCATCCGACATCACACATGAGTGAGATGGCTGCTTTCCTCGACAGAGGTGATGCTACCTTGCGACTGTTCCTCTGGCGCAGGCTTCAAGAAGCGTATCAGGCCATTGACTACCCGCCCAAGGTGGTCTCCTGCTACTTGCGAAGTATCGAGGTGGTGATGACGGAGCTTGAAGCAGCAAAGCACAACGAAGAATCAAATCAGAGTCGCCAAGTCGCTATCTTAGGCTGGTTCAAGGCCCTTGATGGAATCCTGGCCAAAGCGATACCCTTGATCCTCGAAGAGTCGGATAAAGCATTCGAGTGCTTTGATATGGAACATGTCCAAACGTCTATGTCCGCCGTGGCCCGGCTGTCCAGGCTCTTACATAGCTTCATCCTGCACGAGGATTTGGTACGCGTTGGTCAAGTATCTGGCCGTGAGTTCCGCGGTGCTTTGGCAAAGTCACTGGAGAACTTCAAGGACCGAATGCGAGAGATGTATGTCCGCTGCTGGATCCTGCAGTATACCATGTTCATGGAGGCGGTTTCTCAGAATGAGGATACCTTCAGTGATCCCTTGGAAGATCGGATCCATTTCCTCCGTTGCATCCACAATGCATTGGGCGTGCGTTCAATGTGCAGGTACTCCCAGAAGAAATTCTTGAAGCTCCTCAAAGCAGAGCTCTTCGGTCTCAACACCAAAGGAGACTACGAATTCGACACGAGTCAGCTACTTCTGGATCTCCATGGAATCAAATTCTCGCCATTCGATGGCACCGTGGACCACGGATGTCCCCCTGAAAAGCTGGATCGCCCAACGGCGATTATGATGATCGACTTTGTCTTGCAGCAAGCGAACAAAATGAATATGAAAGATCTGTCCAAGTCTGAGCTGAAGACTACGATAGAGAAAATGCAACAAGCAATTGGTCCTGCCAAGGCAAATTCGTCAACGCCACAGCTGACATTCAACCGCCGGATCATCAACGCTTTCCTCAAGACTGCTATCAACCCGACAAATCTTCTCCGTGCTGTCCAAGGAATCACAGAGCTTTCGACGGCAGCTGTTCCAACCGAAAACGCCAAGATCGCTGCAAAGGGTTGGTTCTTCCTTCTCGGCCATGCCGCACTGACCAAATTCCGGTCACAAAAGCGCATCACCCCTGGCTCTACATCTGAGCTTGACGATGCCATCACCTATTTCAGACAAGACCTGGACCACGGAACAGAGAGATGGGAATCTTGGTATCGGCTTGCTCAAACCTACGACTCCAAGTTAGACGAAGATATTACATGGGCAGCTGATAAGATCAACAACAACCGTGGAGATCTAGCAACTTTGCAGCGACATGCTATTCATTGTTATACAATGGCCATTTCAACGGCTATCCGAACTGCTGAGCCGACGGCCGAGGCTAGAGACTTGATGTCTGACCTCTACTCTGATTTCGGTATGCGTATATATGCGTCCTCCCGAGAGCCACTGTCAATGGGTGTCTTCAGTGTTGCGGAATTCCCTCGCCATTTCAGCAGCGAAGAGAGTCAGCAAATGTATAAGGGAATGCCGTTCAAAGAAATGTCGCTGTACTCAGCGTGGAACTTTGCCAGCAACCTTCTCAAGCGAGCAACTGGTGACAAAACCAAACGATGGATGTGCGTGCCTCAATCTTGACCTTCGGCATGAGGAATCACTTGCTAACAATCTATAGGTCACACTACACGCTCGGAAAATGCTTATGGAAAATGTTCTGCAGTGAAGATTCTTTAAGGACGTCGTCCAAGAGAGTCGAGCTGCAGGAAGTCATAGAAGCCTTGCTTAATGCGATCAACGCACTACCGCAACGAAGAGACTCCCGCTCCGATCCGATCTTTGAGCCTCACTTCAAGCTCTTTTCCGTTGTGCACAAAGCAGTCCTTCGAGGGCATATGACTGTAAGCATTACGTTGAATTTGGTCGAACTCCTAACTGACAATCCTCGCAGCCTGCCGAAGGAACCAAGACACTCCAAGCGGTCCCATGGGCCCGCAAAGTCGATGCCCCTGAAAACCTGGAGGGGTGGAATCCTTATATACTCGAAGTCCTCAAGAAGTTCAGAAGTGCAGACAAGTCCAACTGGCATCATCGCATGAGTACCAAGGTATGTACCATCCCAACAATACAAGTTCCATCTGCAATGGTATGCTAACACACCTGCAGGCTGCGCATATCTTCTATAACGAGCAGCGCAACGCCTCTGCTGCACTTGCTGCCAAGCAAGAGCTTTCCCAGATCTTCACCAAAACCCTTACCATCCAAGTCTGGCGGCCGGAGTTCGAACGTCCCGGCCGGCATTTCGTCTACACGACGCGCTATGTCTACTTCTTTGTAAGTTTGCTCGATCAGCTCGATGATCGCGCAAGTCTGGATCAATTATTGCGCCGTGTGAGAAAGAAGCAAGGCGATTTCTTCTTCCACTCCAAACTATGGGAAGACTGTTGCCTGACCTATGCAAAGGTCAGAATATCCCCATCTCCAGTAGACATCCACATTTCGCTAACAGTAAATGCAGTTGATTCGACGCGCCGCCCAGATCAACGAAGGGCACGAAGAAGGCATATTCAAACCAATCGGCTGGGAAGAATTCTCAACCAAGACCGCCCGCCTAGAAAGTCTTCCCCAGTTAGGCCCAGAAAGCCAACCGATCCTCGAACTACTCCGCGAAGCACTCGAGCTCAAGAAGCTCAACAACAACTTCATGAAGATCACCATGTTCGAAGACCTAATTGCCGATCTCTATGCCCGCCTCTACGAAATCAACATCTCCCATCTCGAACCTCTAGTTCCCGACGAAAACAAAGAAAAAATGAAAGTCGACCATCTCCTCATGGGTCCAGATGGTCCGAATGATCCAGCCACACCCGTCCCAGCCTCTGATACGCCCGCTCCACGAGGTCGCACCAAGGGCATTGCGAGACGCGATATTCAAAAGCGCGCCGACACCATCGTCAACACGAAGTTGGCACCTCGTGTTCCGGCTAGCAAGGTCGCTGCGGCTGAGACTGAACCGGCTGCTCCTCCGGTTGATTCGACGCCTGTAGGGCCGACTTCTGCGCCACGTGAGGCTCAAGCTACTGGTGCGGCTGGGGAAGGTGGTGATCGGAATGAGAGGGAAGGTGAGGAGACGGAATTGAGTGAGGTTGAGGAATCGAGGCTGGAAGGGTCGTCGATGCTTTTCCCTTTGGTTGCTGATGTTGAGGAGGCTGGTACTGGGGATGAGGGGGGAGATAATGGGAATGAAGAAGATGATGAGGGGGCTGCTGATAATGAGAACGAGGGTGAAGGTGAGGGTGAGGAGGGAGATGGGGATGAAGGGGATGGAGAGGAGGATGAGGAGATGCAAGACGAGGAAACAAAGTTGGAAGATGAGAAGGATGATCAGTCTGTTAATGATACAGAGACTGAGCCTGTCAATGGGAACTCGGAGGCTGCGGAACAGGACGCGATGGAAATCACGCCTGCCGATGCCTGAGTTGATAGATCTTGTTGTTCGGTGTCTTTTCTTTTTCTATTATTATGCGGCGTGCTGGGGGCGGACTTCTCTCGGTGGGCAGGACTCTGTACTAGTATACTGCGTGGCGTTGAAACGGGATGCTTCAGGCTTACGAGCATGTATAATCTAGCCAATTTCAAAACTCTTAACAGAAGTATGATAGTTTGGAAAATCCGGGAACTATTCAACAAACGCCACAGGGGATATCAACAGAAGCCAAGTATTAAAGTATTGGTATCAGAAACAAAGAATGGTCATGACAGTCGTGAGAGGTGAGGTTCCAATTTAGATATCATCCTCGGGGGCAAGGTCCCATTTGCGGGTTCCCATCTTCCGTGTCTTTTTCATCGGGGATGTACTCGGGGATGGCGGGGCGAACATGGTATCAGCGAGCTTCAACTGATCCATGCGTTGCAACGCATTCTCGATGTCGCTTTCGCGGTTCTGAAGGTTAGACCGCGTGGTGGCGGCGTTTTTGGCCCTGGGTTTCCTGGTGGGCGACTTGCTCAGCATCTCGCGCTCCAGGGCAGCGAGCTTGCGGCGCAGTTGGTCATTCTCCTGTTCAAGCTCGTCCACGCGTTCAGTTGAGTCAGAATCCTCGAAGACTGTTATTCGTTAGCTAAAAGCGTCTCTTCTCAGTCCACATGGAGAAGCTTACTCTGGAATCCACGGGAAACGAGCTCGACTTTCTTGTCAATGTGCTCATCGTTGCGGCCAATCTGACGATCATTAGCTCGGAATTCAGTGGCAGATGGATAATGTTCACCTGCTCATCCCAGGCAGTTTGCCACCGCTTCCTTTCTTCCTCCATTTTCTCATCCATCTCTGCCCAGCATTCCTCGCGAACATCTTGTTCGATCATGAGACATCTGTCTTCGGCGGCTTGTAGTTTCGTTTCGACTTCACAGCGGGCAATTTCTTCCTCTGCGAGCTTGACGGCCAGAGAGTGACAATCACGAGTAAGACGATTGATTTCGGCAGCAGCTCTCTCAAGCTCCTCTGTGGAGTCGAAATGGTGTGAAGATCTTCCACTAACGGAGCGGTGACTGCTAGACGCAACTGAAGAGATAGATTCACACACGGAAGGGGCTCGAGGAACAGTAACCTCGCGAGCAAGAGCAGAATAGCGCAAGATTTGGGAAGTGGCGTTGAAATCACCCAGTGGGTCAGCGGTAACGACCATGATGGCCTTCTGCGGGTATTGCCCTCGGGACATCTGGGTAGATGATGGGAAAGAATTTGAGAACAAGAGCTCCGTCAATTTGCACTGGCGATATGGAACAAGCGCGGTCTTGAAGAATTAGCTGTGGCCGAAGATCTGTCAAAGAATGCCCGTACCTTCATTCCTTCTTGAATGTTACTTTGCATCTGCAAGCACTGACCAAGATACATCAAACTTTCATTAATCTTGCCTGCTTCAGCAAGGGTGGCACCGGCTGTTTTTGCCGTTCTCGCGCGCTCGGAGCCTAATCTGTCAGCGAGGATCCGGTGAAAAGACGCAATAGACTTACCCGCAAGATCAACGACGGTGAGAGCGTTTCCAACCCAATTGTATTCGCCAGTGCGTTTGGAGTATGTACGTTTCTTCACTTCGATGGAGAAGAAACCATGGCTTCGGGAGCTCACACTGTTCATACCAGTACCAGTGACCTTGCGTTCGGTCAGACCGACATCCAGAATGGCAAGGGCTTCTTCATAATTAGCGCAAGCAATCTTGCGGAGACCTGCGACCAATTTCCTGTCGGGTGAGCCTTCCGTTGGCTTGAAAAGCAAGGGGCGTCGTCGATCCTTTTGGTTGTTTCCGCGGGACAAAGTACTTCCTTGGCCAGGGACGATGGATGGAGAAAGAAGATCAAAGATTCGGTCGTTGTATACCTCGTACATTGACACCAGGACAACGTAATCGGACTTTGCATCCATCTCCACCGTCAGGTGGCTCATATCAGGAAGCCTGGGAAGAGCATCTGGCTTTTCGCGTATGTGACGGCGGGGGAAGTTGAGTGCTGGGGAGGGTTCCTTAAAGACGTAAAGTCGAGATTTAGCGGGCTGCGGTTCAAATGCGTTGAAATTGGTATAGGGCAGGGGATAGGAGAATGCCGTGGTATGCGCGGTCACAATTCCGCCGATACCAGCTCGATCAGTTCCTTTGGGACTGGCGATGCACGAAAGCGCCATCTTCTGGGGTGTTCCAGGTCGAGATTTCGGTCTCGGGAGAGACGATCCAGTTGCATGGTCTCGGGTGGGCGATCCAAGAGGGGAATTCAGGGAAGGGGAATTTCGTACCATCAGGGGAGTACCAGCACGGCCGGGGCTCATGGGTGTTTGTGCTCGGGAAGAGCGTCCAGTTGGCTCGCCGTATACGGCTTCCAGGAATGTCTGGGCAGAGAACAATTGCGCCTCGGATGCATCTGCGGTGGCTAGTGAGGACATCATCACGGGGGTAATGCTGCCATCATCGTTCTTAATTGTCGGCTCCAGGGAACGGAATATCACATCGAGCGCCATTTGGGTCATTCCTCGTTGCGTCTTGGATCCCAGAATCGTGTGGCTCTGCGAAGCATGTCAATATGGGCTCAGTGGGATACAATGCGTGATCCAAACCTTTCCGCTACCTGTCACACCGAGGGTCGCAACCAAACCATCTCGATTCTTTTTCAATACTCCGCGGATGATAGGCTCCATTCCGGTGTCGTGGAAAACATCCAATTGTGACGCCGCTTCCTCAAAGACCTTGGTGAAACCGAAGCGCTCGACGGCGCGCTTTCGGGTGTCATTTGGTGGTTGAAGTGTAATATGTGTCGATCCCGGCGAGACAATCTCAGTCTCTTCCAACGAGGCCTCAGGAGGCTCCACTGCGAGGAAACGGCCAGATTCGTCGGATTTCTGGGTCATCGGGGGGCGCAGACGCAGGAAAACCTGAAAGAGCGAGGTCTGGGGCTGTTTGGGCGGCATTTTTGCTGCTTGCGTCGCGATTCGGCAACACGATGACGGGCGTTGAGGCTGTAGGGATTCAAAACAGTCCCACTCCTTGTACCTGCAGAGCCCAGATCGATCGTCAACATTGCGCTTTGCCGCTTTGGGCGTTGCCGGGACAACCCGGTCACGTGTAGAGGCTCTGCCGGTCTCAACGGTGTCTTTTCGGTACCTCGTACATACCCCATACATACAGCATCGTACTTATTCAGTCCTCCTTGCAGAGTGCTCCTCCACACGGTGGGGCAATGTGGTGCTTTTCCAGTGCATCAGTGCATCCACTTCGTATGCGATGTTCAAATGCTCATAGATGGATACCTCCCAATCGGGCACCTTCGTATTCTCCAAGACGCAAATCACAAGCCAAATATACTTCGTATTTTACGCCCCAACCATGGAACTCAAAATACGAAGCTTCTCTTGGTCCAATCAGGAGTCATGCTTAGTCCACTCTAGTCCTAGTCAGGAAATCTTCGTTTTCGCTTATCTGGTGTCCGCTGCCATAGGCGGTTTCTATAGACTCTGTCCAGGTGCCCAGGTGTATGTACAGGTGTATATATACCTCGTATATCTACATATATGATGGACAGAGCACCCAGAGTGGGATTCAAAGATCTCTCTTGCGAGATATATCTTCATCTACAATTTATATATTTGAGCCATAATAAAGAATCATGCTCGAGACAAGATCATCATACCGTGAGTTATCACCCAAGGACGCAGTCAAATTAAAGTATACCCGCTAAAAGAACAAAGAGGAAGGTAGCTTGTGGTTTTATGCACCGAACAAGGGTGCCGCGATAGCCTTTGCCATTCTCTTCGCTATATCAGGTGGTATACACGGGTTTCAAAGCTTGTATGTTTCTCCCTTCCAAGACCACCGATAGCTCAAGGCCTCCAGGGCTAATATCCCCAGCAAATACAAGTCATGGAAAGTGACCGGTCTCCTCCCATGGTCAGCAGTACTATTCACAGCAGGCTTCATCCTACGTACCATCGGGGCGTTCGGGCACTGGGATGACAAGGGCATCTTCATCGCAAGCACTGTCCTCCTTCTCGCTGGGCCGTAAGTAATTCCCAAAGCTGCCCAGGTGCTCTAATACTTCGAAAGCTTCTACAAACCCACTGCTAACCAATATATTAATTCTAGACCTGTATACGAAGGTGCAAACTTCTTCATCCTGGGTCGAATGCTCTACTACATTCCCTACCACTCCCCAATCCACCCAGGCCGCGTATTCACAACCTTTGTTGCGCTGGGCGTAGTGATCGAAAGTATCACAGCGAATGGAGCCGTCCGAGTCGCCAGCTCAGATTCCACCGTTGCATCACAAAACATCGGCAAATCACTCCTCAAAGCAGCACTTATCATGCAAATCGCTTTGATGGTTGGTTTTGTAACGCTTGCCGCACGATTCCATTTCAACTGCTCGCGAGGGGGTGTTTTGAACTCGAAGATCAAGCGTGCCCTACTTGTGCTTTATTGCAGTTGTACGTTGATCACCATTCGCACCATCTATCGGACCGTGGAGTACTTCACCGCGGCGAGTCTGAATATCTACGATGACAATGAGCATATCAGCCCAGTATTGAAAGAGGAGTGGTTTTTCTGGGTCTTTGAAGTCGTGTTCATGTATACGAACACCACGTTGCTGAATGTGTTCCACCCCATGCGTTCGCTGCCGCGGTCGAATAAGATATATCTTGCCACCGATGGAGTAACCGAGGTCGAGGGCCCAGGCTACGATGATCCCCGTCATTGGCTTCAGACTGTTGTGGATCCTTTCGATATCTATGGGCTTATTGTTAACCGAGGCAGAAAAGAGAAGTATTGGGAAACAAACCCAGCTGGGGATTCCACCAAACAAGTTGTGTAAGGATATCGGTACCTTTTTCTTCTGCTCAATCATGATTTTCTTATATCAGCTCATTACATCGCCCTATTTTGTCTAAGTTCGAGTCTCGGGGCCTGAAATATTGATACCAAATTCCAATGACGCAATCCATTCTTTTTTTAGGCTATATACTATTGAATACTCTGCAACCCCTCATATATCACATATCATCCTCGTCTTTGCCCAACTCCTGTTGGATATCCCAGCTATACCGGGCGAACTTGCTCGCCTGGCGAATTCTCTCACCATAGATTATAAACAAGGGCGGCACCACACAGAAAACAGTCGCCACGGCAGCAAGCACCGACATAGCAACATTGTTGCCCAGCCCATCGAACATCTGATCCGTAAACAGCGGGAAAGTACCCGACAGCAATGCTCGCACGAAAGCAACAGCAGCAGTAGCACTGGCCGAATAGCTCAAATAACTATCCGAAATGTAACCGTAAAGTGTAGTATCCAGCTCAGTCAGAGCGTAGCCAACCAACACAAGAGAGATGGCTGGAACGACCCAGGACGTATGCACGGCAGAGGGGACCGTCCAAGCAAACCACCATAGAGAAAGTGCCAGCACTGGACCGCCAATTGCCAGTCCTGCCAGTTTGTGCTCTGGCTTGATTGGCTGGCCTTGTTCGCGGAAACGTCTGAGAATGTGTTCGTCCAATATCCGTGTGAATGCACTGAGGACTGTTCCTATGGCAATTGGAATGAACATGAGAGATGCATCGGTTTCCTTGAAGCCCATGGATTCAAAAATAGGTTGCAGGGCTTGCGTGAAGATGTAGATGAGAGACATGGAGACGGCGATCATCATCGCAACGAGGAAAATGATGGGCTCTCGGAAGAACAACTGAGCAGGGCGGAGTAGAGACTCCCTCACGAAGGTGTGAAGATCTGGAATGTGATCATGGTTGAGTGGCGGTGGGATTGAGTCCATGGTGGTCAATTCAGAGACCTTTCTGACCTCGTGGGCCAACAGCAAGGCGGGTCGCGATTCGCGAATCACGCACAATCCACCAGTAACTGCTGCAATGATGATTGCAAAGATGTAAAAGTTCCAGCGCCTGGGGAGTCAGTCAATATCGTACTCCACCTGGACTGAATGAGTGAAGACAGAAGTACTTACCAACCGAGCTCTGCAACGACATAGCTGCTTATGATGGGCCCCAAGACAAGACCGATATTCGATGCGATGGTCCAGCAGTACATGCCCCAGATTCGACCTCTCGTGTTGAACATGTCTTCGATACTACCGCCAATAATGGTATACGGGATCGCGGAGAGGAGACCAGAAATAATACGCATCACAATGATGACTGACATTGGTCGAACGAGACCAATGATCATACAACAAATGGCACTAAGGCCGCTGCTGAAGATGTACATATTCTTGCGCCCGAAAGCCTCCGACCAGGGAGGGAACAAGATCGTGCCTGCGACTTGGCCGAGAAGGAAGCTATACATGGTTAGAGGTGCAGACCGATGGAACTGGAGTAGACTCACATGGTGACGAAAATGAATGTTGCGAGTGTCTTATTCATATTATATTCAATTTCAGCTTGAGCAGCAGCAGCCGACTAGATCCAGGTTAGCTTCGATCACGGAGGTCGGGACTATGCACTCACACCCGCGGTGCTTGATGCCGTACTGTAGACATTGTTAGCCTTGAACTCCCACGTCGCGAGGATTCACTCATACATAAAAAGATCCAATAAGCAAACGAGCGTCAGATCATATGATTTCCGAAGGGCCGACCAATTGCGCGGATGCTTAGGGTGATCCCGCAGCCATCGCACATATTTGCCGTCCGGGGTAAGCTCGAGAGAATGTTGATGTAGCAAGACAAGAGGCGATCCCTTGACCTCCATTGACACGGTCGACACGGTCGACTCTGGGGAAATAGGCTGCATATTGGAGTAGTAGAAAGACCCGTGAACGAAAGAAAAGCCTACACCAGTACATGCCAAAGTACAAGGTGCCATTGGAGCTTTTAAACATCCTTGCTAATGACGCCTGAGCGGAAACTAGACCGTGCTCGAGAATGAAACCCCTTGCGATCTGCACGATCTCTCTCTTGGAGCTGTCGTGCAACACGCGTTCTCTAAAAAATGCGCATATATTGCGTGACCCACGGCCTTGATGTATAGGGAACAGCCGGAGCTGAGCTCGGTAGTCTACTTCTATTCAGGGCAGAATATCAAGTCTGGGTGATACCGGGGAGATCTGGATCCACGAGACTAAGTTCAGGGACCTTATTCGCAGTGGCTGTCCAGCATTCCAGTTATTTCTCCGCGGTCTTGGGTGATCTGCCGAATGATGTCAAGCCTCGACAATACATGCAGGTACTATGCCCAAAATGTAGCAATAAGCTTTCATTGGGGCAATATATTAGTTATAGCTGCAGTTCGGGGCGACGGAGCAGACCCGCTCTAGTGGCAACTACTAGCTTGTGCACAATGCTTGGGGTGTCAGACTCTCGAATCCTACTATGTCGTACTTGAATCCCACTGGGCTGTTAGACGTAAATCAGATGTAGAAGAATAGTGTGTACGCCCGAGTCCATCCTGGAATTCCCCGTGGCCATGAAACAGGCGCACTCAAAATTGGGCCGTTGGAGACGAACTGCATAAAATTGACATTGGAGATCCTCAACCAAGCATTCGGATGCACGTCGATCCTGCTTAGTGCCCATGACGAATATCCACTAGGATTGTCCGATTACTCCATCAATCCCTGAGCTCGTTGCCTGCGGTGGAGCTCACAGGATTATATATGAGCGGATTTCTGTATAGCGGAATTTTCAGCCATCCCTAGCATGCACTCTCCGGTACGTGCAATCGGAGTCGCCTTGTCTCACCATTCGACCGACTCGTACGCGTTTTCTCTGCGAATATCTGCGAATAATGCCATAGCTGATGGGTCTGGACTAATCTCATCGGCAGTCTGGACTCTGGGATTGCGAAGCCTTCGTATGGACCGTATACATATTCTTGCGGCTGTGACGAAGTGCCGAAGCTGTTTCAAATGTAGCCCAGTGAACCAATGAATGCAGCATCACTATTTGTTTGGCGGAGCAAAGATACCCCCGAACTCCCGAGGTCGAGGGGCCAGATGTTCCGACAAGAACAAGGCACCAAGGCACCAAGATCTACGCCAAGCCGATCTCCGACGAGGCCACCTCTCCGCACCAAAATAGACAAGGTAACAGCTCTACGTCTCCATTGCTGAGCCTCACTCACCACTCACCAGGAACCTTGCTCCCGTCCTGTGCTGCTACAATCGCGACAGAGCCAATATGCTGTCCTCATTATCCTCAAGCGTCGCGAACATGCGACATTCGATCGCCCAAGTGCTGAACTTCGCACTCGTCCTATCCACCGCTTTCATGATGGTAGGATCCCTGTCATACACCGAAGCACAGAGCTGATCAATAAAAAGTGGAAAGGCCTCAGTGTCCTGACGGCGTCATCGTCACCGATCGTGGTCGTCCTATCTGGCTCCATGGAGCCAGCCTTCCAACGAGGAGATCTCCTCTTCCTATGGGCACGCAGCCCCCGCGCGGAGATCGGCGAGGTTGTTGTTTGTGAGTTCGGCCAATGCCTGGTCCAAGACCAAGCTAACGGAGGTAGACAACGTTCGCGGAAAGGACATCCCCATTGTTCACCGGGTGGTCAGAACATACCCTGAAATCGAGGGTCGTGGCAGTGCGAAGAAGGTCAAGGAGATTACAGTGTACGATGGACCTCTGCTGCCTGATTAATCGCTGGCATATGGCTAATTGCTCGCTCTAGGGATACTACACCAGAGACTCACATGCTCCTTACGAAGGTAGGTTTTGGATGAGTATTGGCAGGGGATTTCATGGACTAATTCTATGCAGGGCGATAACAACCTGTCCGACGATACCGAACTGTATGCGCGCGACCAGGACCACCTGGACCGGACGGCAGATATTGTTGGGAGCGTCCGAGGGTACATCCCCATGGTTGGATATGTGACCATTATGCTCAGCGAGCACCCTTGGCTTAAGACCGTGATGCTTGGCATTATGGGACTGATGGTGGTTCTACAGCGCGAGTAAATATAAAAGATAGAAATCATGGATTGTAATAGAAAGCAAATCAAAATGCATTGACAAAGGACTCACTGTGATGTTATGAGTATTTAAGTAGAGCTTCGCGGGCCTATTAAACCTCCGATATCCACTGACGTCTTTGCCCCCCACCAGCTCCGCTTGTGTTTTGTCCATAGCATTTCCCAGACATATCTGCATATCTGCATCTCTACATTCACACTCATTATTATCCATTCTCTTTCAACATGGGCAGCGTCAAGCGCATATCCAAGGTAACCCACCCATCCCGCCACCACGCTCTTCACTAACCTCCAAACCCCCGCAGGAGCTAGCAGAGCTCACCGAATCCCCACCAGAAGGAATCAAAGTCGAACTAGCCTCCGAAAGCGACGTGTACAACTGGAAAGTCCACATGGAAGGGCCCGAAGGCTCCCCATATCACGTACGTTACAACTTCCGCCCCAGCCAAACCACCCGTGGACCTACGCCGGACACAGCCAGACTAACACCCACCAGAAAGGCAACTTCCTCGTCAAGCTCTCCCTCCCAACAGAATACCCCTTCAAGCCACCGACGGTATCATTCGAGACAAAGATCTACCACCCCAACGTTACGAACGACGACAAAGGAAGTATGTGTCTGGGGATGCTGCGCGCCGACGAATGGAAGCCTAGCTCGAAGATTGCGGCTGTGCTGCAATTCGCTCGCCAGTTGCTTTCGGAGCCGATGCCGGATGATGCGGTGGAGGGTCGCATTGCGGAACAGTATAAGAATGATCGGGCGAGGTATGAGGAGGTTGCTAGGGAGTGGACGCGGAAGCATGCTTCATAGGATGTGGGTTTGATACGGGTTCGTGGATTCATGGGGTTGGGTTATGAATGAATGCTTTTAATGTTCGATACTCATGTACGTTTCTGTGCTGGGCTTGGAGGTTTGCAAATAGGAGCTTTTCGTATATTCTCTGGGCTAGATGTTCAAGGGTAGTGTTTTGATTTCTATCATTGCGTTGGACAGTGAGCCATGTTCCTTGGTATGTATGGGTTGAATCTTGAGTGACAAGATTTGAGTCTAGTGTCACGACTAAATAGAAATCTGGTCGACAATTCCCAAGTTCTTCGCAGCTCTGGCGCGTATGAGTCTGAGAATTACCAAACCAGGTCACAGTCGAGAAAAGACTTTACAATCTTACAGAAAGGGTATCAGAAGGGTAAAGAGAATTGGGTCTTCAAAATCATATTTCATCGGTCAGAGACCTTATATGGACAGTTCATTACAGCGTGTCAAGATACAACGCGACATACAACCTGGACGCCAACCATCCCCGACGTCCCCAACGCTTTTTCGGCCGCATGAAGAGAGGATATGAGAGTAATCAAAAAAGGTATAAAAAGGGGGGGTTCACACAAAGGTCAACATTTAAAGCTGGCCAGAGGTGTTGAAGTCGGCAAGAGCCTCCTGCACACGGACAGACATGGTCTTCTCACCCTCACGGACCCAGTTACGGGGGTCGAAGAACTTCTTGTTGGGCTTGTCGGCACCATCGGGGTTACCGACCTGGGAGAGGAGGTAGTCCTTGTTCTTGAGGACGAAGTCACGGACACCGCTGAGGTAGGCGTACTGCATGTCAGTGTCGACGTTGACCTTGACGACACCGTAGCTGATGGCCTCCTTGAACTCGGCCTTGGAGGAGCCGGAGCCACCGTGGAAGACGAAGAAGACGGGCTTGTCGGACTTGGACTTGGTCTGCTCGGCGACGTACTTCTGGTGCTTGGAGAGGAGCTCGGGGTGGAGCTTGACGTTGCCGGGCTTGTAGACACCGTGGACGTTACCGAAGCCGGCGGCAATGGAGAAGTAGGGAGAGATGGCGCTGAGGGCGTTCTGGATGGCCAGGATGTCCTCGGGCTGGGTGTAGAGGGAGTTGTTGTCAACGCTCTCGTTGTTGACACCGTCCTCCTCACCACCGGTGATACCGATCTCCTATTGAGTCTATTAGCACTGTTTTGGATTGAGGTTGTAGATCATAAACTTACCATCTCGAGCCACTGCTTCATGGGAGCAACACGCTTGAGGTAAGCGGCGGTGGTGTTGATGTTGTAGTCGACGGGCTCCTCGGAGAGATCGATCATGTGGGAGGAGAAGAGGGGCTCTCCGTGGAGCTTGAAGTAAGCCTCATCGGCATCGAGGAGACCGTCCAACCAGGGGAGGAGCTTCTTGGCGCAGTGGTCGGTGTGCAGGATGACGGGGATACCGTAGGCAGGGGCCACGCTACGGATGTAGTGGGCGGCAGCGATACCACCGGCAATGGAGGCAGTCTGGTCACCGTTGGAAACACCCTTACCGGCGAAGAAGGCAGCACCACCGTTGGAGAGCTGCAGGACAACGGGGCACTTCTGGTCACGGGCAGCCTCGAGAGAAGCAACCACGGTGGAGGAAGAAGTGACGTTCTAGCAGGGGTTAGCTGTGTATGGGCACAGATTCAGGAGCAGACTCACGATGGCGGGGATGGCGAATTGGTTGGCCTTAGCGTACTCGAAGAGACGCAGGACATCGTCACCGACGATGACGCCGGACTTGCGGGACAGTTGCTCAAGGACACCCATTGTGAAGATAGAATAAAAAATGAATTGAAATCTGGAGAGGAAGAAGGTCAGATCCAATGGTACAAGTACAAATAGTAAAAGCTCAGCGCTTTACCGGGAGGCCGAAAGCGGGATTTCCAGGGAGGGGCAATGGAGGGGCTAAGCGCGTCATCGGTGAAGGGAGAAGGGAAAGCGACTCACCGGTTGAGTGGAGCAGTGGAACTGAGGTCAGGATGATTTCAAGAGAAGAAGAGGAGAGAAGGGTTTCAGGATCGAATTGGTGCTTTATGTATGGCCCGGTGCTCTGTATCCCGGACTGCTCCGTAGTCGGGTACGTGATGCTCGTAACTACACTACATAGCTACACATAGCTTGGATGCTCTATAGCACGAGCTATATCGAATTACTGCCTAAATACTATAGAGTAGACATTGACTCCTATTCTGTCCAATCCCTTATTTCATAATCAGAATGTCTATATAGATATCTACTGTACAGTATAGTATGATGATCTAAGAGCTGTACACGGAGCACAGTCTCCGCGTTTTCGTGGGAGCCGAGGGAATCGAGGCCTTTCGCCGATTTTCCACCCGTAGTGTATGAGTATGGCCATGCCAAGATTGCAGAACAGTCTCCAATTTAAACCAGTTGTCCATCCAGTCTATCCTGATAGACTCCAGCTAACCAGTTCTCAGCTCAATTCTGCCAGTTGTATGTAATAATCTCTAACAAGTTGTAAGACATGACGTCACCGGCAATGAACTCATCCCGCGTCTTACCTAATATGACTGACGATTACATAGTCCATTGGCCCACCAATGATTGCTCAGGCTCAGCTGCTCTTTGTACAGTATATACTCTATGTGATTATATACACGGATCAGGCTTCTCCAGCTCGTAGAACAACAAATAGACCTCCCGCTGCATCCCCAGCACATCCGACGTCTTACACTCCTTGATCTTCTCATCCGAGATACGCCACCAGCGATCGTGCGGCTTGCGACGGCGACGCAACCGCGAACTGACCCCCGACCCCGACTCCGGGCGGGGTATACTGCGGGAAGCGCGGGCACTCGGACTCCCACTCTCGAGCGGGCCCTCCGAGATCTTCCCAGTGAAGGAACGGCGCGACCCGGCAGTCGTAGGGCGACCGGTGAGGGGCACAGAGCCCGAGAGGGAAGTAGAGGAGGTCGCGGGGGAGAGGCCCGGGTCGGGAGTGCGGGGGATGATGCGAGGGCTGGGCGCGGCGGAGGGACTTTGGCTGGCGGCGCGGCTGGCGTAGGAGCTGAAGGCGCCGGGGGTTGAGAAGGGAGGGTAGATGTGGTTGCGGCGGAAGGATTCGTAGTGGCCGCTGTGGTGGCTGCCTTTGTGGCAGACGATGGCGAGGAGTTTGTACCACTTTTGGGTGAGGAGGCCGCCGAGGGGGAGGCGTTCGGGGAAGGAGACTTTGGCGGCGTTTTTGCTGGAGCTGCTGCGGTCGAAGATGGAGCGGGAGAGGTGGATGGCGATCACTTTGGGGAATGCGGTGATGCGCATGTGGCGGGCGATGCGGCGCTTGGGGACGCTGTCAGAGGGAGGCATGACGATGCCTTCTAGTTCGGCCTCGGGGTCCGTCTCGATGGCGGTTTGTAGACGGGCGATCTCTTGCTCGAGGCGATCGCGATCGCCCTGGGATCGTGTCCGAGCCAGTTCTTTGCTCTTGACATCAATGGCGTGCTGTAGGCTGCACCGATCACACCGGAAGTCCTCGATGTATTCGGTTTTCAAAAGACCGTCAAAGCACGAGCCTAGCGTAGTCGAGCTCTTCTGCGGCACCTGCAGGGTCAGATTGACGAATGCCGTCTGGTTGGGTTTATACTGGTAGTGACAGAATTGACACTCGATTTGAGACTCCATTTTCCCTTCAAAGGGAAACCCAGACTCCGAGTCGATCTCCTTCAATTTCGTATCAATGATCGCAGGCAATCCATTCACCGAGCCATCATCAATCCGAACCTCCACCTCCGACGAGCTCTCCTGCGCACTCCCCTCACTCGATGCAGCAGCAGCATTCCCCAGGGCCCGCTTGCGCGCCCGCACACCAGCGTGATACTCATCACACAACCGCTCCAGGACAATCTGCAGAAATTCCTGAGCGTCCTGCTGATTGCGACTGATGCGGGTGCGGAACGCGTATTCCAGGGCCTGGATGAAGTCGCGTGCAGAGATAGTCTTGCGGTAGATGGGCCGCTCGTTCAAGCGGTCCAGCATCTCCTTCAAGGCCCGCGTGGTAATGCCCTGCTGCAGTTCCCGGAGCTTGTCCGTCGCCCCTGCGGTCATTTCCTCGTCACTGGTCACAGTGTGGTATGTTTCCGGCCCGTCCAGCTGCCGGCGATGCAGTTCGTGAATGAGGTAGACTCGCAGGTCGCCCAGCCCGGCGAGGGCCTGGAGCACGGAATTGATGAAGCAGTCATTGGCGAGGTTGGAGAGGCCGACGATGCTTTTTTTCCGGTTGCTGTCGTTCGACTCGTCGCCGTCGATTGTGTAGTTGGGACCGAAGACGTAGAACAGGGCCACGGCCGCCAGGGACGCTCCGGCCGCGTAGGCGGCGACGGTGGTGGGCTTTTCTTGCATCAAGCGTGGAAGGGTGTCGGGACAGGGCTGAGCTCATTCCCCCATCCTATGGTTGGGGAGGAGAGGGTCGGGGAATTCGATAAGCCCTGAAGGGATTGAGCGGGTTCGGCCGGGGAAACAGTGGAGCGACGTTCATGCGGAGACATCGCGCGAGAAAGCGTCAGAACGGGGCAAAATGCCAATTACTCCGACGCATTCTTGGCCCCAGGCACCCCCCACGGATACGCCGGATGTCCGTCTTACTCCGCAGTCTGGGGAATGGGACCCTTTGGACACGGATGTGGTCGAGAGTCGACTTCGGGGGGAGGCCTTTGTAATAAGCTGAGATTCTTTGTGGTAAGCTGAGTCTCAAATTTGCGGCTGCGGGCATAACAATAGGCCGCTCTCTTGGCGCTCAGGCCTTGAGACTTCCCACTGTTCGCTTCTCGATTGTTTCGTATTGGCTTGCTGATGCCAATTGTGCCAAATTTCGATATCTCCATCCTGACTGGTCGTGTTGCACGGTGGGCCCCAAGTCCGACATTTACAGTTATTCTAGAAACAAAGAAGACATACGCCAAGAACCAAACAGTCCAATTCATCAATCTTAGATCATGTCACTCTAGTGACTTTTATAACGTTCCTATTCATGGAAATGTATCAAATGCAATCATGTAGATTCGACCAGTCACTGGCTTATGCCAGGTAAGACTTGGGCAGGGTAGCCACCTTCTCGTCGAAGAGCTCCTCGGCCTGCTTCCAGACACGGGCGTTGGAGCGGTCGTTCAGAGTCAGAAGGCTGGGCAGGAGAGCAGCGCTGAACATCTCGGAGCTCTCGCGGGGGAGCAGAGAGGGGAGGTGGTCAATGCTGATGACGCTGAGAGCGGGGCCATCCTTGAGGCCCTTGACGGGGACGGTGGGCTTGTCGAAGGTGGTGGTGATATCGTACAGGGGGATGGGGTTGAAGGGGTTGGAGCTGTTGGGGTCAGCCTGGTGATCACTGTTCATCTTGTTGGGGACTTACGTATCGGCGCTGACGTCGCAAATGACGGACAGGTTGCGGTTGGGGCTGTTGGAGAGGGACTCGAGGTTGACGAAGGCTGATTTAGACATGTTAGTTACTGGGCTCTGAATTGGCGCGACCATGCAGGCAATCACTTACGGTTGATCTTGCTGGACAAGTAAATGCAGTTTACGAAGATGTCGGACTCGGCAATCTCCTCGAAGGGGCCGCCTGTCGGAGATTAGTATAGCTGCGGGGATATCTGCCATGAGCTGACATACCCTTCTTGGTCTCTGCCATATCCCACTCAACAATGTTAGAGCTGGGGATGCCGACATCCTTGGCCAGCTCAACGGCACCGCTACCACAGCGTCCGAGCTATCGCATCGTCAATAACCATATTTAACAATCCGAACAGACACAAACTCACAGCTCCAATGACGAGAATCTTAGGGGCCTTGCCAGCAACCTTGATACCAGCCGCGAGAGACTCCTTAACAGAGGCAATCAAAGCCTCCTTGTTGGGGTAGGGGACCTCGCCGGGCAAGGTCTCGTTAGGGTGTGTCAATTGCCAAGCCCAGTTCTTCACAGCCAAAGCAGATCCTAATCCACGTCTTAGTGTCCGATTATCTCGAGCGTATTTCGCGATGCATACCTGCGTAACCGGCGGACCATCCGAAAGCTGCCAATATGTCAGTACTGTGCAATCCACCGGTTCCAAGGGCTCATACCGGCGACACGACGGCCTGAGTCATCAGTCAAGAACTCCAGGTCGAGCAATGTGCCCTTTCCGCGGGGCCAGCGGCTCAGGACACTCTCCCAGCCGCCCTGCTGCTTGAAGCAGTGGGCGAAAGTGACGTGGACGTGCTCGAGGGGGAAGTCCTCCTCGGGGAGCTCCTTGAGACCCAGAATGACGGCATCCTTGGGCGCATCCTGAACCCAGGAGCCCTCGGCGACGAGAGGAGCGCCAATCTATAGCAATTGGTATCCGGTGCGTTTGATCGGAGCGTGCGACACATACCTTGGCGAATTCCTCATCTAGACACACTGTTAGTCGGTGAGTTCACGACTCATTGGAATATTCACATACCCTCGAAGATGCGCTGGGTGGACCGCTCAACGGTCACATCGTACCCAGCATCAATCAATGCCTTGCAAGTAGTAGGAGTCACTAGATGGTGTTAGCCCATTGCTACCCCACACTGGCATTGAAGCTCTCACGGGCAGACCGGGCCTCGGCGGGCTTGGTCTCAGCGCGCAACCAAATCTTTTGTCCAGCCATTGTGAATGTAGTAAGATGACAACCTTGGAATTTCCAAAAAACAACAGATGAGTTTCCTAGTCCAATGACACAGACTTTCCCCTCTGAGTGATAGCGGGGGAGGGAGAGGGTTATTCCGCTCCGAATGAGTCAGTCCGAGATCGGCTCTCCAGGTCTACGAATGACGTGCCTCAGCAATACAGATTCATTGGTTTCTTAATCTGCTAACTAACACATCTCAGGTCCCCTTGGTCTGACTGCGAGTGCGCCGACCAATACCATCAGGGATGATCTTATGCATCGCATCCTTAATCTTCTCCTTCTTAGGCCGACTGGTCTTCTTCTGTCCATCCACACTCGAAGTAGCATCCCCATTAGACTTTGAAGAAGCAGACTCGTCCTTCTTCAGCTTCTTGGCATCGCGATCGCCGGTTGATTCAGGCTCTGCCTTCTTTGGTTCCTGAGCCGCTGAAGGCGAGCCCAGACTTGAATCCAGATCGCGCTTCTCCCCAGGCTTTCCACCAGCTACTAATTCGTCCTTCGGTCCCACTGACAGCTTGGAAGCGTTGACTTCTGGATTCCCGAGAGGAGAGTGATCTTGTGGCTCTGCTGCTGCGGCTTTCATCTCTGCAGTTGGCTTGAGGGCTTTTCCCTCGGGGTTGGAGTCTTCGGCGCTGGGTTCCGCGCTGGTCGATGGTTTATCGAGCGCATCCGCGCCTAATACTGGCTGGCTGTCGGTCTGGGTGTAGTTTGGTCTGTTCTGGAAGGCATGGGAGTGTTCCTTGACGAGCTGGGCAGTGTCTGTGATTCCAGGTCAGTTTCCAGCATCGTCGAATCAGACTTAGTAGAAAGTCGAGTAATCCAGTCGGCGCAACGCATTGGTCCGTTTTAACGGATGCTTGCCGGGTTGCATATAGAGACGTACCTGCTGCATGGCTTTGCATGGAGGCTGATTCGGTGGCCATTGTGAATGATGTGAGGTATATGGTCAATAAAAGAAGAGAAGGGATGCGACGAGAGGGGAGGTTTTGAGGTGAGGTCGCGCGGTGACGTACTTGAACCCATTGCGACACTAACGGCTGATTCGCTCCTCCGTCGCACAGCTTGGACCTCTCTCTTCACTCGCCACTCCCAGGACTGTACCCCGCAGAAGTTCCACTTCGCTGCGCATTTCCGATGCTCTCGGCATAAGCACCGCAGTCAGGCCCTCGACTTGATCCTGAATTCCATTCGAGTCAATAATGCCGTTCGGAAGGTTCGATGAGGATATACATCAAGGACTGCCGGAAGCCAATCCCAACGCACGAGCACTAGGAGAGTTCAAGGTTGTTGACATCCTTCGTCTTGTGTTCATGATATGGCACTAGCAGGGTATTGGAATGTGATGATTGACCCCATTCTAGCCCGTTCGGTAGCACATTGCCAATTTACCCGACTCGGATAGGCATATACACATCTCTTTCTTCTCTCGGGCTTCAATCACGGTTCTCGATAGCAGTGATTGATACAACTATAATTCCGAAATGCAATACTTCAACGTGGAAGTTGTCAGGTCTCGGTCTAGTCTCACTTTGGGGGCAAGTTCCCAGCCCCCAGGACTCTTTTACCAGACATGGCCAAACCGCACTCTTTATTCAATGAATATAGTATGTACAATTCATGTCCAATGAGACGAATTCAGATTCAAGTAAATGGGGATTACCCCTGGCCATCAACAATGCCCTGGTGGCCGAGATGACGTCATTGAACGGCGGTGCCCTAGTCCCCGTCGCATAAGCGTTTGGACGCTCCGGGCTCCTTCGGGCTCTCTGAGGGCTGTTACAATCTCAACCTCAATCACTCTTCCACTCTGTATTGTTGCATTTGATCTATGTGAGAAGACCACTGCCATGACCTCATCAAATCTTGAAACTACGCAACGGCTTCCTGGTCATCATTTTGGAGGAATACCTCGGATGTAAGAAGGCTTGCCATCTAGGCTTCCAAGCTTATGATAGAGAGCCGAATGGCTTATCTTGTAGGCGCCCACAATAGCTTAGAAACCAAGAACCCGAACAATGAAGTTCAATTGCCAGTAGATTCGGCGAACCAGGCGCCGGGGCGAGCGATACTGTCACAATTAATTATCAAACTAGAACATGATATCTTCTCTCTGGGACGTTTATAATCTCTTTCAGTTAGATATAACTTCCAATCTCAACTGTATGTGTGTCTTGCATGGCAACCTCGAGGCAAGGTCCTACCCTCCAAAGATTGAGAGAGCTCCAAGTTTTGCTTTTGATTCACCATCTGAGAAGACACTTCACCCAAAAGTGGTGCCAGGTGAGAATATTCAGTATTGTCTTTTGAAGATCACAAACGTTAACCGTGGATTCTTTCAACAGCTCTCAAAATGCGTTCTACCATGTCCTCCCACGAACGCGATCCCAAGCGAAGGACAACAGTCCGCGAATTCCTGAACGAAGACATCCAAGAGGACTTCTTACTCGAAAGCGAGCTCATATTGCTCTCATTTGCTACCGGAATCCAAGATGCAGCATCGTGGGCAGACTACGGCTGCTTTGCCTCAAATCAAACCGGAAATATGCTATTCCTCGCCATCGGAGCAGCCAACATCCAAGGCGCATCCTATAGCTTATCCCACGTGGGAATCAGTCTCGGTTCCTTCGTCGCAGGTGGACTATTGATGGGCCAACTAGGCAATCTAGTTGGTGTCCGCAGACGCCTTTGGCTGATCGCAAGCAGTTTATTTCAAACTGCCCTGGTCTTTGCCGCTGCTGCGATCCAGTATGCGCTCGACACGAGAAAGGATGCCCCGGCAGCTTTAGCGGTTATCTTTCTACTGGCCTTTTCTTCGGGAGCCCAAGTTGCTCTAGGAAGGTCTTTGAAAATTACCGATATCACAACTGCGATGGCCACTGCAGCTTTCATAGATATTGCAATAGATCCTGGCTTATCAAAGCCTAGGAATCGTCAAAGGAATCGGCGATCGATATTCCTTGTGATGCTCATGTCCGGCTGTATGGTTGGAGCATTTGCGACGAGGTACCTTAACTCTGCATTTGCGATCATTCTTTGTGGCATCGGGAAGACGATTGTCACTCTTGCATTTTTGTTCAACACGCCTATCCGGAAGGAGGGTTTGGATTCGGGGCCAAATGCTATAGCATGATACAAAATGCCCACTTTGCTAGAAATCATGTCTCTCCCCGTTCTTGGTTGGGGTCAAAATCACGCGCTTGTGGTCGATGACCATGACCGCAGGGTGGGTGTTTCGTCAACGCCGTGACCCCAACATCTAAGAATTTCTTCCTCATGTTCAAATCGACTTGTGATCCTCAGGTATGATATTGAACATCACTAGGTTTATACCTAGATACGAAGAAAACATACATCGAGATTTGGCAGCGCATTTTCAAGTTCTACGATTAAGACACTTTCAATCAAGGAAGAGTTCCTTCTCAAAGTATGAGGCTCAGTCTATTGCAAGGTTCATATGAATTATTATAACTATATTAACTAAATTGAGCTCTGGGCATAAACTTTGGAACTGAGGGCTTCAAGGTTTGATTCATCTATGGATATTCCAAGGTCGCGAAATTGCTATCGCCAACAGACAATTCAAACCCCCCAAAGCCTATGATATATTTCCAGTGGTCCATCTTTCCAAAATCTAGAGTTGTTCAATGTTGTCAATGACCTCGGGAGAATCTTAAAATCTTCCAAGGTTGACATGACCCTCATGATTTCCATAGATATTTGAGTTACCTCTACCTAGGTAGTAGGTACTAGGTAGGCTTTAATCTAGAGTATGGCTAGGTACCTAAACAACCGCTACGAATCAGGATTTGACTCTCAAGTTAAAGAAAATGGAGAAAATCTGAGATACATTCGTGGGACCTGAAGCCTTCTTCTAGGAAGCTACTGGCAAGAAAGAGACTGGCAAAAAGCCATAAGTCGATTGGTTGGGAAAAGGAAGGGAAAAGGAAGGGAAAAGGAAGGGAAAAGGAAGGGCGAAGAAACTAGAACTATGGAAGTAGATCAACCATTGAATCGACGGCTGAAGGGCAAGACACGAAACAGTAATGTAACAGACCAGAAAACGGATCGTCCAGACGTCGTAATCCACAGACGAGAAATGTCAGGTAACCAAACGTTTGGTGGGCCAGGAACGGGCTTTCATTCGATCAATTGATAGCAAGGTAAACTGCTGCCGACCGAGGCCGGATATGCCCTCTCTGACACCTGACCTCAACTTAAGAAAACCTAAGGATTACAGATCGTCCGTCACAGCCGGGGCGGGATGTAGAGACGGAGACATGGCTTTACGGCGTTGAGGTCAACGTAGGCGTTTGTGTGGTATGTGATGAGTGATTCCACGATGTCAGGAAGGCCAGAGACCTGACGGAGAGCTGACGAAGGAGCGAGGTCCATTTTGGGAGTTTGTTTCTTTCTGTCTGAACTGGATGAACTGCGAGGCTCTGACCAATCGCAAGTTGAGCTTTTCCACTGCGACGGACTTGAGTGAATTGCTGGTGGCAATAGCCACCGTTGCACTGTGATCAGTATATATGACAGTTGGCATAGTGTACTAGAACTATGGAAGTGGGATCAACCATGTGATCCAACACTTCTAAGTTCCAAGGCTTCAAGCAGCCTTGGAAGTGAAGTGCATCGCGGAGAAAGGAGAGTTGAGAGGAGTGCGGGGCCAATAAGGTTGCCGCGCTCCACGTCCACTTCACAACACCTTATCTCACCAACATGAATCCAAGCGCAGACGACCTCCCTCTTCGTCCTCATAATGCGGATGCCCCCAGCGCCCCCATACCGGACGACCACGGCGCAGATCTCCAAATGAACATGCTTGGAAGGCTTCCAGCCACTTCCTACCTCACGATATTCTTTTGGAGACCCCATGTTCACATCGCTCATCAGACCGTTCCACGGCATCTTAGGCAAGGTTGCACGATGGCTCGGACATCTTGAATTGTCCTGTTCCAAAGTTTGCCCAAACATTACAAGAGGAGATAATGAGTAGCGGACAGTCGCTATACCAGCATATTCGGGTGTTGGCAGGTGCTCCCCATTTGACTACCCTCGAACAACAAGTCAATCAAAGGACTTCCACGAAACCTGCGGAGAGACTCCTTGTTGGCCTCACATCTCGGTCATTCTGTCGTGAAAAGGGCCGTGAGAACAATGAGATGGATAAGCCGCAAAGCTTTGTTGGGCTTTTCACCGATGAACGCACATGAACGAATGAATTGTGCGGATGCTCTGAACGTTCCAGCAAGATGACATGCTCCTTTGGAATCAGATACCAGCATTGGCAGCCTAAGGCACGGAAGTGCGCGACCCTAGGCTTTCTCCCATAGAGAGCTTCATATGGGGTCATACCAATCTTGCTGTGAAAGAGGCGATTCACGGTGTGAGAAAGGCCCTGAATGAGCCAGCTTCAGATCCGGGTCGAGATTCTCACATTGGTCACGGGATTTCTCCGCTAAGAAGACGGAAAGTATAGCCAGTAAAGTCATCACCCGAATCGCTCGAGGACCCTGAAGCTGCCAGCGTACCGTGGCCTTCTTCTTATCTGGTAGCTTGCGCGTTCTCTCCGTGGCATAGCTTCGTCCTCGCCGATGGTGTACTTCTTTGCCCTTCTACCATGCAACTGGTCACGCGGAATATGTTTCTTCGCCTTTGCGTGCTGGGTATACTCATCATTCCGAACCGGCAAATACTTTGACCCTCGATTGGGCCGCCAATGTAAAGCATAGTGAGTGTCCCGCTCCCTGGGCTCTTTGTTGGTCATTTGAACGGTAGTATGGGGGTCTTTGCTAGGGTCATGAAACGTTGCATCCTGGAGAGGGTAGTAATCGTCATCTGTCTGCATAGTAGTCAAGTGGTTAAACCAGGAAGTACCGGATGAGATAAGACATTGTAAAACTTACTTTTGTCTGTTGTTTTGCTCCTTTTCCTTTCTCTCCTCCATCTCTAGCATCAACATCGACACCAGATCCAGGAGATGGAGTGATTTCAATGGGAGTTTGGCCACACTGTGCTTTCATAGGAATCGATAAACCAGCTCTGATTCCGTGGGCCAGCTGCCTGAGCTTCTCATCGTTTGCACATCCTGAAACTTCCTCCGCCAGATTGACTTTCCCGTCTTGATCTTGATTCATCAGGGGGAGCTCATTCACTTTTGTAACGAAGATACGGCCGTATGACAGGATAAGACGAGGTTCACTCAGCCAATTGGTCTGTAGCTCCTCATCAAGCCATTGGGAAACTAGAAATGTAGGAAAAAGAAAAAGAGTTAGCGTGTTCTCTTTGGTTAAGAAATCTAACGTTAGCGCTGTAAGTAGGCATTTCCTTCTTCTGCCGAACCCGGTTATCCGAATGGGCCAACCACTGGGGGTCCTGGAAGGCTGCTTGTATGAACTTACCAGCCATATGGCTGTTTGATGATCATGCGTTCACCCGTAAACTGCTGTGAACATTGGGTTTTGTGTTGTTTCTTCTGGTGTCTTCAAAGTATTTCTAGCTCGTTACTTGTGCCCGCTCGCGATTATGGAGCTCTTGGTGAGATTCTTCGATCCTTCGACGCTCGAGGGAAAGATGTTGGAGCATTTCTCCAGTGACTTAAGATGATGGTGGCCAGCACGAATTGATGGTGGTGTTTTTGGACAAAGGCGAATTCCAGAGCATACCCAGCTTCGTAGATGACAGTAAGTCCCATTGAGCAATGTACATGGCCGAGTCGCATGGTAGCTCTAGTTGTTATTCGCCTGAGTGTTTTTTCCATACTGCATCAGAGAAATGTTCTGATTGCCAGTTGTCCCTGGTTGTATCTGTGGACAACTGATCACGTATGCAAAGCCTTCTGGGTCCATCACCGGGTAAAAAGTGTGGTCTGTTGATCACCCGGACTATATTCTCGGGCGATGCCCTACTTAGAGCGTCGACTCGCTGGCCGAGCAACAAACCTTGCAAGAGGATAACGGTTGTTTTGCGTGGCTCCAGGGACATTTCGTGGCCCCCCAGTGACGGGTGCTCTGAAGACACGCTTCGGGTGATTGACATGCTCATCGAACGCATTGGAGGCGACGACCATATCGTCATGCCATGCTCGGCGGAACGCAATAACATGTTTCAGCTCGCCGTCCATCTGCCTTTGTAAGTATGGAACGGAGTCCTATTGTCGAGTATCACACTGTGAATGCCTGGACAGATATCACATACTTTGCGTCCTGGAGACGATGCCTAATCACCTGGTAAGAAACCTTAAATTCACTACCCGATGGCCCCTGTCATAGTGTAATTTTGGATCCATAGCAGCATCGGTAGGATAAGCCTTGGTAGGCGTCGGCGTCGGTTCGGGTGATGAAGTCCTGAGGCTGTTTCTCGGTACCTACTATATACTTGATGAGTTTTGGAACCAGATGAGAATAATGTGTGAAACTATATAGAGAGAGAGAGGGATAGAGAGAGGGATAGAGAGAGGAGAGAGATAGAGAGAGAGAGAGAGAGAGAGATAAGATAGATAAGAGAGAAAGATAGGAAAGTAGAGAGAATATAAAGAGAGGATGAGAGAGAAAAGAGAGAAGAGAGAAAAAGAGAAGAGACCTTAGAGGAGAGAGAAGAGAGAGAGGAGAGAGAAGAGAGAGAGGAGAGAGAAGAGAGAGAGGAGAGAGATAAAGAACGTACTAGACATATATAATCTCCCCTTCCAACATTCCACAATTATTTCTATATCTCTTCCAATGCCCAACCTACTTCCCACATATTCTTGTCAATATAACTCCACAAGATCTACCCTAGCACCAGGAATGTTATGACTAGATGGTCGTGGAAGCTCTTTCGACTTCTGATAGCTAGAAGTAGGTAAGATTTTATTTGGTTACCAAATAATAGTTAATTATTCTCATTGACACTGCCTAGGTGGAGGAAACACAATGATAATCTTCAGTAGATACTACCCGGATGCATGACGTATTTATAAATATATCTTCCTTGTAAATCAGGCGACAATACACAGTATGGTATTTGATACCAAGTCCGGTCACCGATACATATCACAAGTAGACGCCGATCCGGGGAGTTGAGGCCCCGAGGTCGGCGACCGGGCTTTGATCTTTAATCAGACCTCACTGGACCACTGGACCGGACTATAGATTTCCTATCAAATTGACCGCAATGTCCAGATCAAGATAAGGTGTCTTCATGAAATATCTACTATGGAGCTGCATACCCCATTCTCCTCGACATTGGTCTCACCAGCTGAGTTAAACCACGCCTTGTCGAATACTTCGAAAGATGTCCGCATCATCCCCGTGGCTGCTGGACGAAATCCATCACTCCCACACTTCGAATCGCGACAAATACCAGGCTCTGTGTGAGTACCTCCCTCAATTATGTACTTCCTTCACACTAATAATCTCGCAGCTTCTTCAACATGGATGAGATCAGAAACAAAGAATCTGAATATCTCATGATGCTGCCCACACCGACCCAGTTTGCAGAGAGCATGACCAAGCTTGATATTCTCCCTGAAGATGTTCTTGTCATCTATGATTCCCTAGAAGCAGGGCTATACTCATCCCCGAGAGTCGCGTGGATGTGCAAACATTTCGGCCACAAGGCAGTCCACGTGCTCAACAACTTCCCTCGATATGTTGAGCAGGGTTTCCCAGTCTCCAGTGGATCACTCTCAACAACGTCTTCCTCTGTCCCACGAGCGGAATATCCCGAGCAGCCAGTTGCGCATACCGATAACGTCGTCTCCTTCGATGAAATGCGTGATCTGGTGGAAATCCCAGAATCGAGGGCAAATCTCCAAATCCTCGATTCTAGACCAAGTTCTCGGTTTTCGGGGACCCCGGACGTCGAGCAGACTCCACTGCCGGTTGGGCATGTGCCATTTGCTGTCAACGTGCCTTTGCCATCTCTCCTGGGGCCCGACAAGGGAATACTTTCACAGGCTGATCTCAAAAATGTTTTTATGAACGCTGGTGTGAAAGATAGCACACCGGCTGTGCTTTATTGCAACTCTGGTGTCACTGCAGCCGCACTTGACTTGGCTCTGCGCACAAGCGGCATGAATATTGAAACGAGACTATATGATGGAAGCTGGAGTGAATGGGTGAAAAGGGCAGACAAGGATAGCATGATTGTTAATAATTGATGTCTTAAAAATCCATCAGAGTTCGCTTCTAATCCAACCTTAAAACGTGTCTTAGAAATCATGTCATAAACGCTATGTGGCTTGCTGGGTAGACATTCAGACTTAATCTCTAATTCTAAAACGAAGTAGTGGATAGTGAATGACTAGACATTGATGCTCGCAAATTGGCAGCAAGACTGAGATTTTGCGGACTAAAAGGAAATGACGACTTATGTAAATTCCCCGGGAATGCCTCTAGTTCAACAAAGAGACCGAGGTACACTGAACGGCATTTGAAGGAAAACGCGAGCACTATCGTCAAATCCAGGAGGTAGGCGACCACCACGGATGTTGACCTGCAAAGCCAGATGCAAGAGCTTGGGCTCATTCAAGGTCGAATCACGGCTAGATCGCCAGTCGACAAACTCCTCTTTCCGGGCTCCTCCGCCAACATGTTTGTTTGATTCGCGCTGTTCGGATACCGTCACAAAAGGCATTGGTTCACGACCGGAGTCGGCTGGCGGGTAGTCGTGCCCTGTGTACAGCTTATAGTGAGCCGGCAGGGCAAGCAATTTCTGCATGGAATTGTACAACGCATTCGCGTCACCGTTTGGGAAGTCACATCGCGCGCTGCCAACGTCGGGGTTGAAGATTGAATCACCGGTGAAGACGTTGCTACCAATCTGGTATCCGCTGTGGTCGGGTGTGTGTCCCGGCAAGTGCAAGGCTCGGGCTGTCAAGTCGCCGATGTTGAACTCCTCGTCATCTTCGAAAAGGTAGTCAAAGGCGTTTTCCAGCTCTGTTTGCGGTACGTGGTATTTCTGGGCAAATGTTTGCTGCACAAGGTTGATTCGATGACCAGTACATATCTGTACTGTATGGCCCGTTGACCTCAGCAGCTGTTGTTGGAGATAGTATGCCGCGGTGAGGTGGTCTGCATGGACGTGTGTCTCCAGCAGGCGAAGGACGGTATAATTGTTGGCTATGACGATGCCAAGCAGCTCGTCCGCGGAGAAAGTTGTTATTGTGTGCTCGGCCAAGTCCAAGTTGAGAACGGGGTCGATGATGACCGCGTGGAGGGTCTTCGGGCAGGCAACGATATACTGCCAAGTCCCGGTATTGGACTCGAAAACGGGGTGGATATTTGGCTCCATTGTTGCAAATAATATGTGAAAGTAACTGAATTCGAAATAAGAGATCAGACCTCGGGAGTCAGTAATATACCCCCAGACGCCTTAGGGGCCTTGATGTCAGTCCCCGTTGGCACTTCGGGGATCAATTTCTTCAGGTCGCCGAGCAGCCTGGAGTCAGGTAAACTGGAATTTTCGCTGATTTCAAATGGGCTCATCTAGACAACATCAGTTACCTATGCAAGAATTGATATCACTGAGATACATGATTAATCTTTGGTTTTGAATCGATCCTGAGCCTCGACCTCCACCGATTGTCAACCTCCCGGGCTATCATGGATTCATGGTGGAATATTAGGAGTCACGTTCGATGTGCTCAATTCTATAGTGAACATTAAATGGTCTATGTCTTCTTCACTTCACTATGTCTTGGGATGATTTGTATCTGATGATGGTTTCAGACAACACTTCAAATTGCCATCCCATCAATAGAGGATAAACTTGGAAACACCTAGGCATACAATGAGAGTTACAACAGCAGGGTTGTGACGGCGTCACGCGCATTATGAACACCAGGGTGCTAAAAAGGCGCTCTCCATTCTTCTCTCTCTCTCCCTCTCTCCCTCTCCCTCTCTCTCTCTCTCTCTCTCTCTCTCTTACAATCAACATTCTCTTCCCGAGAATCATGCCGTACAGGCAGACAGGCTATTCCTGTCAATGACAGCGCTGTTCCAGGCGATGAGATTCCCACCCCATTGGTTCGCAACATTGGCGACGCTGGGCTCACCAGCTCAAAATATTGTGGAAATCAGATTCTCATAGTATTGGGAACTCAACATCGAGGAATGGGAAAATCCCCCTACCTTGTCTGAAGCGGATGCGACTAGAACAGTCCCCGCCTACCAAAAGAAACAGGACGAGACAATGAACGTCGCAGCCATTCTTCGAGCTCTAAACTTGCCGCCAGTAAACAGCTTACGACCATTACCAATGATGGTGTCGCACCACAAACGAAAACCACAATGGCGAGAATCGCTCAAAGTCTACGGGCTCAAGAGCAGAATTCATGGAAGCGTGACAACGCACGATGTGCTGTACGGATACCCATGAAGCTTGCAGCCTCAATGATCGTCCTCGCTAAAGACGGAACGACTGCGGAGGCTAATCAACTGCCTCCAAAAGGAATGGTGTATTGTTTTCCTCAATGCAATCGGTACCTGCTCGAGGCCCACCATTTATCGCCTTCTCGGGGAGCCTCCTGGGCGCAAAAATGTACGCCGGAAGTATCTTTCAGGTCTGGCAGTGATGTCGAGTGTGAAAGCCTGGTTAAACAACTACAATCCGGGCCACGTGGAAACCGATATGCAGAACCTTCAGGCTGATTTCGAGAGCTTTGCTCTTTCCGACAAACGCCACTATGGACGGAGGGGATGAGGAACATGAGACGAAGCAGACGCTAAAAAGGGCACTTTTTTGTGACCTCTGTCTCCACCAGAGGAACCCGGGCTATGTGTTTCTTTTCAATTCTTTTGTTGATATCCGAACTGATGTCGTTCTTGGGGGGTGGTTGCAGTACATGCTCCTGGGGGCCCTTCCCTTGCACCATCTACCTATTACCAGATGGATCCTATTTCTCTCTATCTTTCAGGCAGTGTTTTTTCAAGGATAGTTGATGAATTCTTCATCACCTTTCCACAATAGGGAGATATTTCGCGAGGAAGAGCTATCGGACGGTCCTTTTGTTCCTCCGCCCTAATCAGGTGGGATCGATGCCTCAGTGAGTGAGATGAATCCAATATCAAGATTCGATTATATGTGCAGGTTATGAGCAACGAATACCTAATAATTCCGCATGGCCTCGCTGCATGCCAGTAGCGCTGCTGTATTGAAAAAGAGAGCGAAGACCTCATTCAAAGAAATGATCCCCCGCAGGTGGGGTCAATAAATTCCGACAAAAGCGTCGAAGAGATTTGATTATTCAAATCACTGAAATCCTCTGGTAGATAGGAGAGGCCTTGATCAAAATTGACGTTTGAGCCTTCATCTCCAAGGGGCTTGTCGGGCCTCTTCGTCGGAATCGGCGAGTGATGAGCCGGATATGTGACTGTTTGAGCGGCGACATTCTTAAGATGATCATGTGCTTTTTGGGCCAGACGCCACTTCTCTCTCAACAATTTGAGACATCCAAGTACGAGGACCACCCGATTTTGGTGATGGTCGAAACATTCGGATCCATGCATTTCGTTTGCCGCGAGCTGAACCAGACCACAGAGCATCGAGGCGAAGACAATAGTAGGGCTATAACCCTGTGCACTCGAGCGGACTGATAGCAGATTAGATAAATTCTTGGAAGCCTCGATGGTTTTCACGTCGTGGACATGCCGAGTAAGGGAAGGAGAGAGGCGATATGGAGCCACTGGGCATATTGAGAACATTGAGTTTGGAAATCTCGGTCGAATATTGCTTCGAGGCAAGTGTAACAGCATGGTGGCGTAATGGATTGTGCAATGAGCTTGGAATAGCATCTCATCGAAGTTCCCGTACATGTCCACGATTTCGATCTTCTGTGGTGGGAGGTGATTCATCCAGCTGACGATGGTATTTGAAACGGCCTGTAAGTGATCATGATGCGTCTCGGGAAGGTCGTTGAGCACCACAACACGTGCGAGAATGCAAGCAGCTTCGATGCTGTAGGCGAATGAGGAATATTGACCTATCCCCTCATCTTCTGTAAATATCCTTGCCCTGAAAGACGCCAGACTTCGAGATTGCGAAGTCGTCTGGAGTGATGTGTAGTCTGACTCTTCGCATGGCAAGCAGACGTCGGAGTATATGTCGCTGCATTGCAGATTGGTGCTCGGAAGGAGAGTACCAATGTAGATTTCCCAAATGAAGAGACTCCACCATGTTCGCCGCATGCTTTCAGCCTCATGCGGCTTGCCTTCAGAGGCTGTGGCCACGAAGCTCTCCCGGTGCATCCCAAGCTCCAGTGCAATATCAATCGCTTTGGTGAGCGAGGACTCGGCCTCACTGGTCTGATTGCGGGACCACATGATGATTGAGTAGAGTAACAGAGCCTGTACCATGTGCGGCGTTCGATCTGAAGTGCTACTTAGCAAAGACTGGGTGCTTTCGTACAGCACGTCATTGTCAAGTACCACGGAGTAGTGGCTCCCGATAAATTTGACGACTTGGTGGACGTAAGGCGGATAATTATAGCTTTCATATATCGATGACGGGACGAGTATCGGATGTGCGGAGTGGAAATGCTCATAGTAAAGGCGCACTAGTCGACCCGCTGGAACTATAGATACAGGCGGGTCTGACTGCGGCGTGTGAATGCCATCGGGGATAATCGTGTCCATGGCTTGTTGAAATGTACGTCCATTCGTAACAGTTTGGCCAGACTGTGGCGGGGAAGGCAATGTGCCAGCATCTACAGCTGGCAGATCGTGAGAGACATTTTCATATTTCCTTTTTGCGCCTCGACGCGAGGGAAGATACAGACATGCCGTATGCGCAGAAATGCATCTGGCGCATGAAGGCTTTTGGCCATCACATTTGAGATGATGTTTTCTACACCCGATGCAAGCGAGTGCCGAGGGGCGTGTTTTTGTGTTTGACGGTGGTGGAGAAGGCATGATGTTATACCAGTTGATAGGTCACTAGAAGTGGCATCTGGACAGGCGGCCAAGAGTAACTGGGTAATTAATGATATTGCCCTTGAATCAGAACAGAAAGGATACACAATCACGTATTGTATTTGTGCAAGGCATAGCTGTCATGTTGCAAAAGAGCTGTCCGACATTCCGAGTCGCCCAGAGGCAATTGAGCACACGTGATTTTCGGGGATCTCGGTGTTTGTTCCACAATACGGTTATATTTACCTGTAAATACCAATTACAGTATGGAGCTGTGTGCAGATACAGCTATTCCCATTTCGGCAATCCCAATCAGGAGCCTCATCTTGGCACATCAATCTCCAGCTTTTTCTTTGCCTCCGTGGCTATACACAAAACTGCTCTTCACACTCATCCCCTAAAGATGAGAGCGGGGAACAATTTTAATTCTAGGGATCCAGGCTAGAAGCAAGCTTGGGATCAAGTTGAGAACATAAATCCAAATGTTGGGATAGCACCCGGGTGCTCTTGAAAAACCTCGTACCTTAATCGTGCATGTGAAATAACGTGTCGAGATGCCCAGGTGCGCGATCGACCATGCACATTTCAGGGGGGAGCCTCTATTCTTCTCAAAATTGATTTAAGTACAGACCTCAAGAGCCTTCACTGCACACGTCCTTCCATCATTCAATCTCTCGGCCTTGTATCTTGCATTGGTTTTCGAGGCACAATTTTGGCCACAAGACGAAAAGAAAGCGACAATTGAGCCATTCTGCTATTCTTCATGGCCAACCTAGAATTGATCTGGCTGCTCCTATTTTCCCTATCACAGCTGGTCCAAAGTGATGAATATCCCGTTGATAACTGGCAGACCCCCAATGGACACATGGCTGACTTCAAAGAGACATATTCCGTCGGCGATACAATCATCATCGAGTGGGCGGGCTGGGACTCCTTTTACACCGAGAACCTTATGCAAAACAAGACGAAAGCCAACCTATACGTGAATTCATGGAGCGATGAAGAAACCACGGAACCCGTGGTTCTGGCATGTAAGAAACCACAAACCAATTTATCTGGGCAAGAATTTCTTGAATTTGAGCTAATCGAAGTATCAAAAAGCCGGTATCATCATCTCGAAGCACGGAACTCATGAATGGACTATCAATACATCTCCCGAAGACCTAAAACAGACCAACGAGTACAGTTTTAGCTTCATGCCTGACGGATCGCTGTATGCCGTGGACGAAGATTATGGAATTTGGTCACCCGGAATCCGCATCAAGTCTAGGTCGACGACATCCTCACCCACATCAACGTCGTCAGGAGTACCGGCTACGTCCTCAATCTCATCGACAACTGTTCCCACGCCAGCCTCTGTATCATCCACTTCAGATGGACTGTCAACTGGTGCGAAAGCAGAGATTGGTGCTGGTGTGGGAATAGGTGGCTTCGTATTACTATCTCTCTTGGGATTTTTCCTGTTGCGATTGCGGAATCGGGACTCATCGCAAGAGAGGGCTGTGGTTACGGAGGTTTCCGGGCTGGGCATCTCGCAAACTCCAGGCGATGAATCCCACCAGAAGTTTTATCCGTCGGAGCATGTTTTGCCCACTGGATCTGTATCACCTGCTGAGTTATCGTCAACTTCAGGGAGATAGCGCGAGGGATAAGCCGTTGGAATTGGGCTTGGAGATACCTGCTGCTTGTCCAGCTCATACTGCTAAGTTTGTGACGGTTGTTAGCTTCGGCCACAGGAGACACCAATCCTTACCTATATTGTTTGATAGCTTATTTATCGGCGAATGAATGAAAGAGGACTAGATTGAAAGACCCCATCCAGAATCCGACCGATTTATTCCGCGTGGCATCGAAGCAGTGGTCTGTATTGAATTTGATATTTGAAAGTTGGCTTTTCATACCTGGATCCCAAGGTCAAACTTACCTCGCCCCCCTTTGATCGCATCTTTGCTTTCACGTCTAACATGGAACTAAAGTCGAGGTTGGATTGAGCGGTCCAAGAACTTGGATCATTTTACGATCCCCTTTGTCATTGGGGGGTAATCTCCCGGATACAGTGATAACAGGTTTGTCCATTGTTCAAATAATGGCTCACATTATGCCAATCTGACATACACGGTGTGCGCTTGCGTGGTTTGGGCAAGTAATATATGATAAATTTCCATGGATTTAACCAGCGACAAGGATACTCCGGTTGCCTCATGCCAAGTATCTACTGTACATGAACATGCAGCACAGCCATCCTCCACCAAGTGGGCATTGCCCAGGTGGTTTGGCCCCCGCCGGGGCGGGCGCCCTAGGTATCATTGTGAAATCCCCCAATCCCACCACAGAACCTTGAACTCGACCTTGACTGAGAGACCTCGGGATTAGTGTGCCACAGCCCCTCTCTTCCTATCATGTTCTTTGGGCTCATGTTCTACGCCTTTATATTCTAAAATTACTCATACCAGTAGTGTCATTACTGGTCATATCTTGTTTTCAACATCAAGTATTGTATATCCATGGATTAGTCCCTGCCCAGGTTCATGGTAGCATTAAGTAAGCTCTAGTTATTTGGAATATATACAGTAAAGCTAAGAGCAATAAATCTTTCAGATCATAATAACAATCTAGCTTCTGAATAATATGATAATAATCCTTTTACTGGAAAAGACAGAGAAGAAAAGAGAAGCAGAAAATAGAGAAGGAAACCTCAGGGGGGAGAGAGAGAGGGAGAGAGAGAAGGAGAAAGGAGAGAAAGGAAAAGAGCGAGAGTGAGAGAAGAAGAAAATAAAGGAGAGAAAGGAGGAGAGAGGAAACGAGAGAGGAAACGAGAGAGGAGAAAGAGAGAGAGAGAGAAAGAAAAAGAGAGAAAGGGAGAGGGAAGAGAAGGAGGGAGAAAGTAAGAGAGGGAGAGGAGGAGAGAGCAGAGACTTATATACAGAAAATAGCAAACTCACAAGTATAGTTTGTCCACTCAAAACTAATTGAAGAAAGTATGGACTCCGGTCTCTCTAGGTGTTCAATATGGCTTTTCTACCCAAATTCTTTCTGGTGTAGTAGAGATGAATCGCAAGTCGGGAAATCTTCTCCTTGTCCTCGCAGATGACTCAGTCAAGCTAGCACCCGTGGACATACATAGCTTAAGCGAATGCGAAGTATATGGATAACTTGGAGGGTTTCTCTGGTCGAGGAAATGCACGAGAATTGAGTGAAGCGCCTTGATTGAGGAAAGAAGACTAAGCTAGCTACAGGCGAAAAGTGAGCTCCACTCTGGGTATCAAACTGACGCTGTTGACCAGTAATGATACAGCGTGACCTCGGGATACCCGATATGGTATGTTTTCAATTTCATTGTCCCTGTTGCGAGGGGGGTTCCTGTTTGGTTGACCAGCGCTATCAATCTCAATTGTTCGACCTCGGTGCTGAAGCACAGCCTCAAGGAAGAAGACATGCTTGCCCGTCCATCGGCTGAGCCACTTCGGTGCATATTTGTTTTGTTCGGCACCATGATTGCAGCCTGTAGATCATCTATTTACGGCCCCCTCTACTCTGGCACATCTCCCACGACCTCCATCTTCCCCGGGTAGCCTCAAAATTGTGACGATGTAAGGCCTATCCGGCCAGCTGGGCTCAACGATCCCCTGTGGGGTCACCGTATAAGGACGCTCTAGGCCAAAGCGGCCATAGATGCATACTCCGTACGCAACACATGATGTCGGCATTCCAGATGAGAATCTTGGAACGAGGAAGATCGGTACGGTTTACTTCATGCTCTTCACCTTATGTACACTTGACCCGGGTGTTTGTCCTATTCATTCTACTGCCCCGGTGTTGCCTGATGATTATGATCGAAGACATCTTGACGGTTTTTGTGTCGGGCTCTTATTTTTCTTTGAGACCATGAGACACCATCATTGGTCTTATAGTCTAGTGGTTAGGACAGCGGTTTTTGAAGCTATCCTTCTGGATAACAAGATTACCGTTAGCCCCGGTTCGAACCCGGGTAAGACCTTTCTTTTTGCACTTCTTGCGCTCACCCCACTCTGAGAAAAGTTCATGTTTCCTTCATTTCTGGGACCAACTTGAGGTAATAGAGTTAAATAAGGTCTTTTTTGAACACCATAGTAGGCACCGCAGTGACCGGATCTGAGTGGTTGGTCTTCGATCTGGGCAATTCCAAGGTTGTTCCAACCTTGGAAGGTTCCGTGCCCATGTGACTTACCTGAACATCCATGGGACGGGATTGGTTTTTCTCTAAACAGATTTTTTTCCCTCCCGGTTTTGAAAAGCTAAACTACGATGTGGAAGAAGGTCTAGTCAAGACGAAGGGGGGGGGAAAGGTGGTAATCTCCTCTCCTCTCCTCTTGGCCCTCCGAACCACTTCATTCACAGTACTTTTTGACCATTCCACCCAATAGACAAGGTTTATTTCCTGACCGGATTTCCTCCCCCAGACTTGTGAACCTCAAATCGGCACACTCACTGAAGTCTAACTAGATCCGCTGTATGAAAAGATTGAAGAGGCGCGAACCTAGATCAGCTGGGCTCTATCCATGGATGTAAAGGATGATCCAACAGCGGATGACCAAAAAAGGAACAAAGGACTAAATTTCTCATCTCAGGTTCTATAGTCTAGTGGTTAGGACAGCGGTTTTTGAGACGATCCTTCGTGATCTACTTCATTACCGTTAGCCCCGGTTCGAACCCGGGTAGGACCTTTTCTTTTTGCTTTTTTGGGGGGTGACACGACTCCTGAAGGGTGATAAGTGCAGCTCATTGTTCAAAGTGCTGAATTATGGCAGTTGGGGCTGCGAAATTCATCAAGTCCAATATGTGGATATGGACTTCGATGACGGTCTAAGCCTAGTTGGAAAATGGAAGTGTTGATATTGCCGCGACATGTAGGTGGTTCTCTACGGCTGGTTAAACGTTGTTGCGGTTGCTGCCACAGAAGAGCGATCGTCATACGGAGTAGTCAATCTATAATCACGGATGCTATGTACTGCCCCGTATTTCCAGTTTGGTACCTGTTCCTTGGCCAGGTATTCGGGCCATGAATTGGTCAAGGAGCACATGTTGGCATATGCCATGCAGGAAAATATGTAGACCCTGTTCATGCTGTCTCTAGGTAACCAGCTTGCAATGCTTCAACGTGGTACACTCTGCCCGTGCGCGTGGCTGAGCTGGGGGACTGCCTGTCCCATACCTGCATGAGGTCCGGATTCAGGACAGAAAGGGCTCTACGGCGGCTCTCGTTACTCACAAGGCAGACCATCAATAATAACGCCCCCTCGTACCGTTTGATTCCAACCAAGGGAAAGTTAATCGTAAGCGGATTTAGTTGTGGAAGACTTCATCCGGTGTCCTCTAATAGGTTCTGGGGTGACCAATATTCTTTCTCGGGGCCCTGATCATCTACCCAGACTAAGCCATCGGCAAGTAGATCGTCGATGACCGTCTGCGCTCGAGCCTTCTCCCATTTGAGATTGAGTCGCAGCATAGAGACGCTGATGTAGCCCAGCACTTGGATAGTTTCCAAAACGGTCGCCTGGTCGGTGTTGAGTTCTTTCGGGATCGACCGAATATACTGCTTACTACCGACCGTGACAATGGAGAAGCCAGAACCAAGAGGCTCCAGAGATCGAACTGCGCGCAAGATATCGTCACTACCGGTAAGAGTCAGTGAGCCATTTGCTCCGAGAGAGACCTAGAGTTGAGGCATTCATACTCTGAAACCTCAAGCCCGCTGCCAATCGCCTTGCCCTTGCCCACCCGTTTGCGACACTCCCCAACGCCGATCAGACCTCCATTCTCACTTCTTGTCTCTCTGCATAACTCTACCACACGAACCGCGACTTCGAAATAGAAGTCATTCATGTCTCCGCCCAGGATTTGGGTCCAGAAGCTACCTCCTTCTCCCAGTCCGCGACGGCCATTCTTGCCTTTGACATTGCTTGCGGCTAGAGGATCGACTCCAATAGTGTTGCACATGCGCGCAAACTCTGCACGGAAAGTGGGATTCGACTTGATCTCAGAGCTATGCTCTAGCGCGAACGTATGCAGGAGTGACTGGAACACTGACAACTGTGTCTGCAGAGAGGCCGTATGTGTCGAACGTAGATTAGCGCCATGGGTTGCCCATGATTGGGTTGTTTGGTTGCGATTGGAGAAGGCTCCAAGGCCGACGCCGCGACGAGACATGGTGTGTGGAGTGAGACAAGGAGGTGTCGTTGATCTCAAGGTTCCAAGGTTGGCGCGCCTCATGTAAACGCGGGGGAGCTGACCGCCGGCCGTTCCAAGGTTTGGGGATCCACTGATAGGAGCGAACCCTTATCAAATTCTTATCGTGGCGATAAGGGCTCCCGCCTAATGCGGTTAGCGTGTTATGTGATTTCCAGTCTAACGCAATCAGGCTAGGCGGACCCATACCCGCACAAGCGAATTCTCTCCCCTAAGATCCTTCACTGCGAACTTTTTCTTTCTTCTTTCCATCCTCGACAACCCGACGACATCCTTCAAAATGGCCGGTACCACGTATGATTCCCAATGACTTTCCTAAGACTGATGCATTCTCTGCTTGAGTTTGTAAGGTTGCAGGCATAGTCGCCCTTCTCGCTGGGGATGCCTCAGCCACCGCTCGCGATGGCTGTCTGGCACCAGCTCGATCCTTCCTGCCCTCTCTCGGTTCGTGTGACATCGGATATAGAAAGAGGGTGATGGAGTCTTGAGGTTGAAAGCGCTTGTCGCCTTCTCCTCCAAAAACATTGTTGAGAACTATCGTCTCGAGTGCACAGTGCGGTAGCAGCATCTTGTCCTCGATTCGAAGAGTTTCAACACATCTCCTGGACATTGTTCGGGGTTTTGTTAGATGAAGGCATCACAGATGCGCGGGCGATTCTGATTGCGAAAGTCATGCTGGAATATGCATGGCTAGTACCAACCAGCTTGATCATGAGTCCCGCCATCTTGGCCCTCACTGACTAAAGACATTTCGTCGAGTTTTATATGCCTTTCAGTTGAGAATGTGGCGCTATGTCGCAATTCTTTCACTCGGCGAATTGTATCAGTCCTGTTCTTCTAGACAGACTGATCTAACTTGCCTTAGCTCCGTTCCCACCCAGAACCAGGTCCTCGTTCCCGAGACCCTTCTGAAGAAGCGCAAGTCTCAGGAGGCTGCCCGCGCCGAGACTCGCGCCGCTGCCGAGGCCACCAAGAAGGTTAGTTTTCACCATTGCCTCCACACTTCACCACCCCTCCTTTCAATTTTTATGATGCATAACTTTCAACCACGATTGACTAGGCAGCTACCACTGTCGATGCTGTCCTTCGTTAACCATCTTTCGGGTCTGATACTTGAAAACAATCACGATTCTTTCACACATGACTTCTCTGGGATCTCATGCTAACTGTATTGAATTCAGGCCAACAAGGAGAAGCGTGGTGTCATCTTCAAGCGTGCCGAGTCCTACGTCCAGGAGTACCGCAACGCTGAGCGCGAGAAGATCCGCCTCAACCGCGTCGCCCGCCAGGAGGGTAACTTCTACGTCGAGGATGAGCCCAAGCTGGTCTTCGTTGTCCGCATCAAGGGTATCAACAAGATCGCCCCCAAGCCCCGCAAGATCCTCCAGCTCCTGCGTCTCCTCCAGATCAACTCTGGTACCTTCATCCGTCTCACCAAGGCTACCCAGGAGATGTTGACCATCGTCAACCCCTACATTGCCTACGGTTACCCCAACCTGAAGTCCGTCCGTGAGCTCCTCTACAAGCGCGGTTACGGAAAGGTCGACAAGATGCGCACTCCCCTCACCGACAACCAGATCATCGAGGAGCACCTCGGCAAGTTCGGCATTGTCTGCATGGAGGATCTCATCCACGAGATCTACACCGTCGGCCCCAACTTCAAGCAGGCCAACAACTTCCTGTGGCCCTTCAAGCTGTCCAACCCCAACGGTGGTTTCCGTGCTCGCAAGTTCAAGCACTACATCGAGGGTGGTGACACCGGTAACCGTGAGGAGAACATCAACGGTCTCATCCGCCAGATGAACTAGATTTTTTCTCTCGTGAGGATCTGGTCAGGTGTGTTCTTTGAGCACACCGCCAAAAATACAAAAATTTTACGACTTTACTGTCTTGGGTTGTTTCTTGCACGGGCTGTTTATATCCACTAGTCAATTTTTTAGCGATACTAAGGTCTGGGATTTCCGATCAATTTAATGCTTCAAACAACCCAATCGCACGGTGATGAACCTTCTTTCTCATCTCGCTGTACTTGTAGTCATGATCATAATTGTATTCGCATTCTATGTCGAACCTGGTCTCGATCCAAGTGAGGCAGTCTCAAGGTCGGTCCAGCAATCTACTCGGCATGTTGCCATGTGCTGGACACATTTACAGCTCACCTCCAAGGCGCAACTCCTTGCATGCTTGTATGTACAGATTCTGCAAACCACATGAAGCGTAAAAATTAGTTCGCAGGCAATTCCTGCGCCGGCATTTGTGCAGCCCTGATCTCCCTTGGTTTTTCCTCGCTCTTTATAGGCGAGGGTGGGACCGTATTTCCAGGCAGTTCGAGATAATTAGCTGCCGACTCTAACTCAGTCGGCCTCTTTTGTCGGCCTTCCATAGGTGCGCTCCCATTAGCGCTGACCACCCTCTTTTTCTTGGATCGTCTTCGCATCAGCAGCCAGGCAATTACTGCGATCAATATGGCACCTGCTGCTACTCCCACTCCAATCCCAACCTTGGCTCCTGTAGATAGACCAGAATCGGAATTGGAGCCGCTGTCGGTGTCGGTGCCGTTTATGGGCCATGGGGTGTAGAACAACGGACGAGATAGTTGAAGGGTCTCATTTCGGGACGCGTTTGGCTTGGTTTGGCAGGCCGATTCGAGGTTATTGAGGACTAAAATTGTTAGTGGAGCTGTACACATGCTTGGGGTTTTTCTTACATGTTGATAAATATACTGAGTCCTCTACCTCCCCTAAACAGGACGAGCACTCGGCTACATTTCGGCTGAAGGTTCCGTTCTTCCAGTCACAATAATCATACTGCCCAATTCCTTCGTGGTCTGATACATTCCAGTTCAGAGCGATAGTGCCACGAATGGCGGAACAGTTGGATCGGCAGTCGGGGAAAGCAGAAACTTTCCCGGGGAGTTGATAGAGACATCGCTGAAGAATGCGCTGCTGGTTGACTGCCGAGGTATTAGAGCAAGAAGCAAATTGGCCCTGTAGTCCTACATAGAAACCAATAGAGGTTGTTGTCGGTTGGTGTTTTGTACGCCGTGTTGTTGCTTTCACACAAAAGACAATTTTTCATAGTCCGCCCGACTTGGGTTGCATTGTAGTTGCGATCCTTGCAGACGATGTTGTTGTTCAATGTCGCCCCGCCTCCGTTGCATCTGGGAGCACATGGCGTGCCTCTGGTCACTTCAATGCCTAGGCATGGGAGCCAGAATAGACAGAACAGGAAGAGCTTAAGCATCTTCATTCATGACGGAGAGCTTTGGGCAGACCTCGGGAGGCTGGACCTTGCTGTTTATAAGTACGCCGATCAGTCTCGATAACTTGTTATCCTGTTTGGCCAATGAATTTTCGAATACAGTGGCAGTGCTGGGTGAGACAGCGCTATCCCCTTATCCGATGGCTTAATGCAGTACAGCGGCTGGACGCCTGATTCTGCTGTTGAGCACTGGTTGGTGACGATCTGTCGATCATAACTGTTTTTGAGAATTAGGGATCTGACCACAACGTAGGCCGAGATCCTTGGTGGTGGCGGCTGGACTGAACGGTTTACAGAAGCAGTCAACGGGGATATACCTGACGGCAAATATGGAATTAGCCCCCACACAATCTGCATGGCCTGATAGTGCTGACATCCCCGGATCAATCATAATGTGAAACCCCTCTGACGTCAAAGGATTCGAATTGGTATAGAATTGGACATATATAAGGGCATGGGTGCGTTATCCTTGAATTGGGGGCCATGGCAAGTGCATGATCAAATTTTAATGACTTCTTGAACTCGTCGGTTGCGATCAACCACAAGACGAAGCTGTCGTCCCTCCCAGTCGGAGTGCGAAGCTGTCTTGAAAGCACCCTCGCGCAGGGTTTCGGTAAACAGCTCGTAGGATGGGTAATCTGGTGATTGTCAACACAGTCCGTCAAGCTCCGGGAGATATCACATACAGCCATCCACAAAATGATTTACCTGTTCTTCAGTCATGCCGGTGCCCTTTGACGCACGCAGACCGCGCTCTTGCTCTTGGCGCCACTCATAGACAAATCGCGGATTTTCCGCATCACTATACCCAATCAGTCTCTTGACTAGCATGTTTAGACAAAAATCTTACATGTGAATCAATGCATCCAGTTTACTGAAGATATCATGTTAGCCACCCGCTCCTCGAAACATCGTTGAAAACTCACTTTGTCAAGACATCGTACTGTCTCAGCGCATCATTCACGGCTTTGACATCTTCGAATTGGACATGTCCCAGCCGTCCATTGTAGTCGCCTGACTCCTTCTGACGCACCGCGGCCTCCCACTTCGTGCGAAGAGTGTTGTCATCCCAGGCCCGGAATCCGACACACCACCCTTCAAAAATCACGACCTTAACCTTAGGTTCATTCTCATTCACGACTTTCCATTGCGCGGTCGGCACGCGATCACCCTGGCCAGCGAAGGCCGACTTGTCGTATTGCGGAATAGCCGTCGGACGTTCCGCCGCCAGCGAAGCAAAGACTTCCTCGCCTAACCCCAAGTCATGAGTGGAGGGCTGCCCGCGATGCTGCAGCAGCGGGTTGGTAGGGTGCGCCTGCGCTAACGCGACCTGGTCGTCGTGGGTCAAATAGATATCATCGAGGGACAGGGTCACGACGGATAGCGAATACGGCTCTGAGCGCAGGGTGTCATTGAGGGCGGAGACCTGGTGGTGTTAGGGGGGAGGTTGTCCCGAGGTAGTGAAACATACCAGAACGGTCTTGCCGGCACCTTGGACGCCATTTAAGCCGATGAAGAATGGCGGGGTATTGCCGCGGTGCCGGTCGGTATGGATGCGCAGGCGGTCCAGGAGGAAGGGGATGCAGAACTGCGACTTGTCATCTACGATTTCGGGCATGGTGAATTGTTTTTTAATTCGCAAATGCTCCGGTGGGATTATGGTGGTTTCTTAAGTTGTTCCTAGCTATTGCTCGGCCGAGACCCCCGCGGGGGGAGTTCAGCCGCTACATTGTCCGACTGCCCGACAAATATATATCTGCCCTTGACTGTAGAATACTATCGATGACAGCCCTGGAGGATAATCCAACATGCACACGGCAACTGGAATGACGCAGGTATCACATGCGTGAGTCAGCAGGGTACTTAAGGATTATATGTGAATTCCTCACAAAGACCAAGTACCTCCACGGTTACACATGTGCAGTCAACACCTGGACATCGGCGCAATAACTATGGTGTATTGAGATGACATAGATTACTGCAGCTGACCTAATATAAAATACCACTTCCCCCCCTGTGGAGTACGGTGGAGAAGGTTCCCTCGTATGGAGACGGCATGTGAGACGTGAATCGGCGCGGTAACGATACAGTCCCCATCTTTTTCCCTCGATCGTGCCGAGGTCCCATCTTGCCGAGCTACTTTAACCTCCCCTTCTCCAGCTTTCTCTCCTCCACTTTTGCTTTCCTAAAGGACACCCATATACATAATGTCCGAGCTACGATTTGATAACCAGACGGTCGTCGTGACCGGTGCCGGTGGAGGTTTGGGAAAGGCATATGCTCTCTTCTTCGCCTCAAGGGGTGCCAACGTCGTCGTCAACGACCTCGGTGGTTCTCACAAGGGTGAGGGAAAGTCAGGAAAGGTATGTCCACCACCCCGATAGCTCGATCGAGACTAACCGGACCTAAGGCCGCAGATGATGTCGTCGAGGAAATCCGTGCCGCCGGCGGCAAGGCTGTTGCCAACTACGACAGCGTCGAGAACGGTGAAGCGATTATTGAGACCGCCATCAAGGCTTTCGGCCGCATCGATATCCTCCTGAATAACGCCGGTATCCTCCGCGATATCAGCTTTAAGAACATGAAGGATGCCGACTGGGATCTGATCAACAGAGTTCACACCTACGGTGCATACAAGGTGAGCAGATGTGGAAGCTTGCATTAGGGAGATAAAAGGCTGATCAGTCTCGACAGTGTGCTAGAGCCGCTTGGCCTCATTTCCGCAAGCAAAAATTCGGCCGCGTGATCAACACGGCCTCAGCTGCGGGTCTCTTCGGTAGCTTCGGTCAAGCGAACTACTCCGCCGCTAAGCTTGGTCAGGTCGGCTTCACCGAAACCCTGGCCAAGGAAGGCGCCAAATACAACATTATCGCCAACGTGATTGCCCCTATTGGTAAGGCGATCCCAAAATTCTTGAGCACGGACCATGACTAATGACTTCATGTGTAGCCGCCAGCCGCATGACCGCGACGGTGATGCCCCCTGATGTTCTGGAGAACCTGAAGCCCGACTGGGTTGTTCCCCTCGTGGCCGCCCTGGTGCACTCTTCCAACACCACCGAGACCGGTGGTATCTACGAGGTCGGTGGTGGCCACGTTGCCAAGCTCCGTTGGGAGCGGGCCAAGGGTGGTCTTCTCAAGACTGATGACTCCCTGACCCCTGGTGCCATTGCCCGCAAGTGGAACGATGTCAACGACTTCTCTAAGCCCGAGTACCCCACCGGGCCCGCAGACTTCATGGCCTACTTGGAAGACGGCCTGAAGATGCCCAGCGCCCCTGCCGGCGAGGAGCCTAACTTCAAGGGCCGTGTGGCTCTGGTCACTGGTGGTGGTGCCGGTCTGGGCCGTGCCTACTGTCTGCAGTTCGCCAAGCTTGGCGCTAAGGTCGTGGTCAACGATCTCGTTGACCCCGAGCCTGTGGTGAACGAGATTAAGAAGCTCGGCGGTGAGGCCGTCGGCAACAAGGCCAACTGCGAGGACGGCGATGCCGTCGTTAAGAGTGCCATCGATGCCTTCGGACGTATTGATATCCTTGTTAACAACGCCGGTATTCTCCGTGATAAGGCTTTCACCAACATGGATGACAACCTCTGGAACTCCGTGATCAATGTCCACCTGCGTGGTACCTACAAGGTCACCAAGGCCGCCTGGCCCTACTTCCTCAAGCAGAAGTACGGCCGTGTGGTCAACACTGCCTCCACCAGTGGTATCTACGGTAACTTCGGCCAGGCCAACTACGCCGCCGCCAAGCTTGGTATCTTGGGTCTCTCCCGCACTCTCGCCATGGAGGGCGCCAAGTACAACATCAAGGTCAACACCATCGCCCCCAACGCTGGTACCAACATGACCCGTACCATCATGCCCGAGGAGATGGTCCAGGCATTCAAGCCTGACTACGTTGCTCCTCTGGTTGTCCTGCTGTGCTCTGACATGGCTCCTGAGCCCTCCACCAAGGGCCTGTTCGAGTGTGGTAGCGGCTGGTTCGGCCGCACTCGCTGGCAGCGCACTGGCGGCCACGGCTTCCCCGTGGACGTCAAGCTGACTCCGGAGGAAGTTGTCCGCAACTGGAAGAAGATCGTCAACTTCGACGACGGCCGTGCCGACCACCCCGAGGATGGCCAGGCCGGTGCCGAGAAGATCATGGCCAACATGTCCAATCGTGTGCACGGCGAGCCCGCTGGCGAGAACGACATCCTGAAGAACATCGAGAACGCTAAGACCCTGACCACCGAGGGCACTGCCTTCAACTACGAGGACCGCGATGTCATTCTCTACAACCTCAGCTTGGGCGCCAAGCGCACCGACCTGCCCCTGGTTTACGAGAACAACGACCACTTCCAGGCCCTCCCCTCGTACGGTGTTGTTCCTTGGTTCAACACCGCTACTCCCTACAACTTGGACGATATCGTGAAGAACTTCTCCCCCATGATGCTGCTCCACGGCGAGCAATACATGGAGGTCCGCAAGTTCCCCATCCCCACCACCGCCAACACCCTGACCTACCCCAAGCTCATTGATGTGGTGGACAAGGGTAACGCGGCCATCGTCGTTGCCGGTTTCACCACCAAGGACGCCAAGACCGGTGAGGATCTGTTCTACAACGAGTCCTCCGTCTTCATCCGCGGCAGCGGTGGCTTCGGCGGCTCTCCCAAGCCCACTGCTCCCCGCGCCCCGGCCGCCACCGCCGCCAACAAGGCTCCCCAGCGTGCCCCCGACGCCGTGACCGAGGAGAAGACCTCCGAGGACCAAGCCGCCCTCTACCGTCTTAACGGCGACCGCAACCCTCTCCACATCGACCCCGATTTCAGCAAGGTCGGTGGCTTCAAGACCCCCATTCTGCACGGCCTGTGCTCCCTCGGCGTTGCCGCCAAGCACGTCTTCGCCAAGTACGGCGCCTACAAGAACCTCAAGGTCCGCTTCTCGGGTGTCGTGCTCCCCGGCCAGACTCTCAAGACTGAGATGTGGAAGGAGGGCAACAAGGTCCTGTTCCAGGCTACTGTTGTTGAGACTGGCAAGCCGGCCATCACTGGCGCTGGTGCTGAGCTCCTGGAGGGCGCTAAGGCTAAGCTGTAAAGTAATCGAAACGATATCCCATGGGCAAAAGCCGGATTACTCGGAACAGATTGTTGCCTCTTTGTACATACTTCGTCTTTCTCTCTGTGTCTTAGTCTTCTTGTCCATTTTCCCTTTTCTGGTTAATATGATCTTTTCGGATATTCACATCCTTCAGAGTACATGTAATCAGTCTCCCCTCGAGGTCCGTTCGAATGCTCACTTGCCAATTCACCGACAATCTGCCTGTTCGCCAGTCCCCATGTTTACATCCTTTCAAGTGAATCACCCAACAACCTGCACTTATGTTGAGATAGCGCCTTTACTCAAGAGCGGAAGCGATCCACAACCCGCTGCATATGTGCCCAGAAAACACGCTTTGCACATACGTATGCCACCTGCATGATTCTGAGCTGAGCGGGAAACCGCACTAAGCGCATCAGGAGAATTGTTGTCAGCTGCAAACTCTGACCGAGGATCAGACTTATCAACTTCAATTAACCATTCAATTCTAGCCACGGAAGCATGCTCACCCGAGGGTCAATGGCTGCCTCGAGAGTTCCAGTGGCTTGCCCAGGTGCATCCCGACTATTTTCGTCTAGCGGTCTCTCCGGCGACAACGGCCGTCTGACTGGCTTCTCACATGCTTGGTCCAACTTGGAATATCAATGTCGGCTCTCTGCCTTGGCGCATCACAATGGATCTCTTGGGCTTACATTAATGCCCTTCGGCGTGCAGATCGAACATGCAATGGGATCCAGGATAGTTCCAGGCCTCCAATGGCGGTGTACTAGTATACTCATACTTAGTACCTTTAACTGCAGGAATCCGGTTGTGGCAATTAGAAATCTCCATTTAGCATCCGAATAGAGCATCACATTCAAAGCCAGTGTAGGCACCTGGATTCAGCTGCTTGGCGGATCCACATGAGCACTAAGGATTGAGATGGGTACTGTTTGTATGGGAGGCCCATATTAAATGTACTTGTCAGCAGATCCCTTTTTAGGTGTGTTGTATATCCCTAGGCCTCGAGCTATTCTACTGTACTCCGTATTGCCCAGGTGATGGTTTCCAATGTGAAGAGCGCTTTCCAAGTAGTCGGTTTCATCAATGCAACTAATCTCGCCTTGAAACGCAGTTCGTGCCAAGTACGGAATACGGAGCCCTCCGATGTATACGAAGTACTGTAGACCAATGCTCCGACAGGAATATCAAAATGTGCGATGCAAGAGCTGAACACCAAATTAGACGTCCAGCCCAGCTTGGCAGTGCAGGTGAGTCAAGTGACAGTGGTAGGTACCTTTTGTATGTGGGCCACATAGAAAAGGTACGTCACTGAAAATTTCAACACAGTGCGGCGCCGAGAGCTAGGGCCCAGAAGGGGAAAATAAGGGTCGACCAGGGCCAAACAGAGCCAAACGGGGCCACATAGGGCAGAAAAGAAAAAGAAAAAAAAAGAAAAAAAAGGGCCAAGTAGACAGGAAGATGGATCCCGAGACAGTAGCGCCGCCGAGCTAGATTGACTTTTCCGGTCCACACTTATACTGCTTTCTTTCTTTTTCTTTATAAACACACCATGTTCCTCCAACCATATGCTTCCTCTCTAGCACACGCTCTCTCGGAGCTTTAACAACGGCGGGCCGTATCTGCGTGTTGCCGTGATTCGTCTGAGCTCTTCGAGCTGCAAGTTTATCATCCCCCTATTCCTCGAGTCCAACGCTACACCGCATCGATAAGAGCATCTGAAGACACTCGACAGCAACGCGCCAAGTGCTTTCGCCATCGAGGCCTTCTTTGTCCGAAAAATTATCTCCCAGGGGTCCTTCACCGAGCTACTGTACAGCGGAAGACCCGTCGAATTTCCATCTCAACTTGGATTTTGACCTATTTGTTTTATTACCGTTCGTCACCATGACCGTGGCATAACCTGCTTGGGCACTTGATCTTTCCTGCACTTCAGCGCTGTTTCTTTATCAACCGGGGAGTTCCCCTTCGATTTTTCCTGGATTCTACGCACATACCCCATTCCAGCATATCTTTTTACACATTGCGTTTCACCATGGCGCCCAATCTCTTCCTCTGCGCGCGCACAATCTTCTGCCCGGTCTACTGGTTCTCAAAGGGCGATCGGGACAGCACCCTCCAAGAACAACACTGGCAATCCCCGGTCCCAGGCACCTACAAGTTCCTACCAGGTCGCGGCTGGCATCTCGTCCACCGGGATGGACAAGAGAACGAAGAAAAAGTCCCCGCCGCCCTGGTCTACTGCCGCATCCTCCATCGATACATGTTCGAAACCGAATTAGACGACCGATGTCGCTGGTTCGATGCCCCGCTGCACAAGGGTGGACGTCCGGAAAAGCTGCGCTTCTTCCTCCTCGACGACGGCGTCCACTGGGTCGCTGGCTGGGATGCCCATGGCAACTTCATCCCTGGCCCGTACCCGAAGTGGTGGCTCGATGAAGATGGCTACACTATGCGCCGTGGAGCTTCGCCTCCTACCAGTGCCAATGTTTCTCGCTGCAGCAGTATCATCGGCAAATTCGACTGAGTCATTTGACTATTTATGGGGATACCCATACTTTCTATTAGCGCTGGTGTTTCCATCTTGCGAAGCGTTCGAGCGAATCTCTTTAATGTCCAAAAGTGTCTTGAGTTTTGGTTTTGATTTTCATTTTATTAAAGGGGGTTCATGTTCTGGGTATACAAGGGTTCTGTTAGGGGTTTAGATGTTTGCTTTCATGGTTACATAGATCTCAGGTTAGATTAGACTATCATTTGAGCGATCTGCACACGTTGTTTTACATTCCGAGTTTCGATCATCTATCAGATTTCATGGATCTACTCCTTAGACTTGTGATCGATCAGAATATCTACGTCCAAATATTGACACTTGTTTCCATTCCAAAACACAGGGCAAGCCTACCTAGTACAGAATGTATACGAATTCTATGCCCTTCATAGACGCCCGTACGGAGTACACCAACCTCCAGACTCAGCGAGACAACATGATTCTTTGATCTCACTATGCACTAAAAATAGATATGGGTAATAGTATAAAGGGTCAGAAACCGATGGCCTTTTCGGAGCCCAACGCAAGGGGCTGAATGGCGTTCAAGGGCTAGAACATGCCAGGGCTAGTTCCCAGAGATGCCTCTCCTATCGAGGCCTCCGTACTGTGGTCCCCAGACAGGCCATGTTCCTGGCACATCGAGATATGCAGTTTCCCACATGCAAGGGATCAAAAACTGTGAGACCAGACAGATTCTCCTGCAGAGAAGGATACTCAGTAAAAATGATTAGTTATTTCGTAGTCTACTACTCCGTACTCCGTAGTCCACTATACTCTGCCGTGACGGAGAAGAGACCGAAATCTCCAGGCACCAGCGAGGCGGCAGTCTTATGTAACAACTCCAACCAGTGAACCTCGCTGACTTTCTCTCTTCCTACCCCTCCTTATCCCCCGAACGATGTAGCGGAGTCTGCACACACAAAGATGGTGCTTTCGCTAGTTCCCGGCTTCTCCAGATCGTCTCCAACGCGCCCCGCCGATGACACGCATTCCCGAGCCTCCGCCAACACCACCAACCGGACCTGGAAACGATCATTATCAGTCACTCCAACATACTCAGGCACCCTGACTGAAGCCCTGCGCAATAACCCCTTTGGCAACACGCGACCGCGAGCCGGTGTGCCCCCGACCGCGACGGAGCAACAGCAACAAGAACAAGATGAACTCAACGCAGCCTTGGAAACCCTGGTCCACATATTCCCAGATGTCCGAATAGAAGTTTTTCGCGAACTGCTGGTGCGCTTTGACGGACTGAGCAGGACGCAGGTGTGCGTGGAGGAGCTACTCAGGCACAAGAAGAAATGGGTTTCGGGGCGATGGAACATCCAAGACAGCGAACAGGGCGAGGACAGTAAGGGGACTTCTGAAGGCCCCGCGCAGCACGAGGCCGACTGGGTACCACCCCACGAACGCTTTCGGACCAGCGAATACAAGACGGCTGTGCGAATGGCCTTAGTCAAGGAATACAACGGTCTAAACAACAGCACTATCGAAGGCGTACTGGCCGAAGTGAATTTCAGCTACGAGCGGGCTCGGCCGATTCTCCTCGATCTATCGCGCCGGACATGGCGCGCGACTTTCAACAGCATACTTCCGTTCAGGCGGAAGAAGGATCGCGAAGCACATCCGCTTATGGTGTGGCATCGCGATATGGACGGAGAGCTGGTTCCAGGGCTGAAAGAGACAGGATCTCAGGAGTTGGACGCGGAGCTCCATGCGCTGATGATTGCACCGTTGTTGCGACAGCGGCGAGAAGAACAGGAGGGCAAGGATTTCCGATACGCGTCCGACCTGAATGAAAAAGAGGCGCAGGCTGTTGATTCCCTGTATGAATGCGAGTGCTGCTTCGCGGACGTCACGTTTGAGCAGATCGCGACCTGTTCGAGCAACACTCACATCATTTGCTATCATTGCATACAGCGGACTGTCTCCGAGGCACTCTTCGGACAGGGCTGGGGCAAGTCGGTGGATCTGGAGCGGTCTTCTCTGAAATGTCTTGCGCCGCTGTCGGTTGGAACGTGTGAGGGATGTCTTCATCCCGAGATCGTTAAGCAGGCGATTCTGCTCGACACGGCCGGGTTCGAGACATACCGCAAATTCGAAGATCGACTCTCTTCAGAGGTACTCATGAAGTCTCAGCTGAAGCTCATTCGGTGTCCGTTCTGTTCCTACGCTGAAATCGACCCGGTCTATCACCCCTCTTCTCGTGGTGTTTGCTGGCGGATCCGCCGTGACGCTGGTCTCATCCCTACAATTTTAATGATTCTTCTTATTCTGGACCTTGTCCCGCTGCTGATAATTCCTGTTCTCGTCCTTCTTATTCTGGATCCCGCCACCGTGACAGCGATCTTTAGCAATGCCATCCGCAACCTCTGCCTCAAGCTCCGCCCCAAGCGATTCAAGTGCGCCAATCCCTCTTGTCTACGCACTAGTTGCATGACATGCCAGAAACCTTGGCGAGATCTCCACGTCTGCCATGAGCCCCTACTGCTTGACCTCCGCGCCACCGTCGAAGCAGCCCGCACGGCCGCTGTGAAACGCACCTGTCCACGGTGCAGCCTCTCGTTCGTGAAATCCTCCGGATGCAATAAACTCACCTGTGTCTGTGGCTATTCCATGTGCTACCTATGCCGTAAAGCACTCGGCCCACGCCTGCCAGGGTCAATACGTCGAAGACAAGCTCAAGACGGCGCAGACGACCCAGGAGAGCCCGCAGAGGGCGCCGACCTATCAGACGACGAGGCCGAAGATGTACAAGGCTACCAACATTTCTGCGAGCATTTCCGCATCAATCCAGGCTCCCGCTGTACCGAGTGCACGAAATGCAACCTGTATCAAGCCGAGGATGAAGAAGCGGTGGCCCGGCGCGCAGGGGAGAAAGCCGAGCGCGAATGGCGTCTTCGCCAAGGTGGTGCTGGCACCGTTAACCCGGCCTCGGTCCCATCTCGGAACATCAACCAAGACCTTTCGGCTGGACGTGATAAGTCAAACCGCCGGGCCCCGGCTCTCGAGTGGGATATGCAGCTCATATCGGGAAAACCGTGGGGCTACTGGCTGAGTGATGTGTGGTCAGAGGGTCGCTGGAAACTGGAAGGCCAGGCTCTGGCCGATTGGATCGTGGAACGCATCGTCGTGGTTGAAGATGTGTGAGGGCGAGAATGGGGGATCTTTTGTATGTTGAGGGCTGCAATATCGGCGTCTTTCTGTTTTGATTGGGAAAGCATTCATGTTTCTGGCGTTGATGATTTGTTTTGGATGACTTGATGATTTACGACACTCCTTCGGTTTACTGGACTTCACTTGAAAGCCTGAAGCGATTACTATCTTTAATGCATGACTTGAGCACTCTTCTTCTTAGGACATCGACCCAAAAGGGTTTGCGCAGGGTCTCATTTAATTAAACCTCATCCTGATCCTGCGAAGATCGCCAGTTTCCCAGAACAGATACGTTCTATGTGTCAGTGAAACGATCCTCCAGGACAACGTTTGGCCCCCACAGATATCCCGACGTCGGACGTGCGAGTCCCTGACGATCTCTCCGGATTAGTATCAGACCCCAATTGCCTAACTCAGAACAAGCCTTGCCCTCTCAATATCCCGCAAATCAATTGCTCAGTGGCGGACAGGGCCGTCGTTGTGGACTTTCCCAGACCAACCAAAGGCTTCACTAAGTTTACTAGGACAATCCCATGAACGAAACAATGTACCTGATACAAATCAAAAGACCATATTCCCAAATGGACAAGAGATCATCCTCACCCCTGTCAGAGCTGGACGTGCACATCTCACACTTTGCTATAAAGACACTCATACCAATCCCCAGAATGGTACCCTCAGATCAAACAGTGTGAACCATGCTTCCCTCGCTAGCCTTGACGGCCATCGCTCTCCTGCCAGCAGTGCAGGCAGCACCTCCAATTCACCACCCCCAAGGCATCTACCGCCGCTGCGGCCCAGTCTCCAAATACTACAACCAAAAGACCTCTGACTGGGACGCCAACAATGTCGGCGACTGGATCAACAACTGGTGGGACAGCAACAGCGGCCTGATATCCAACAGCTCAGCCGGATTCGCCGGTGCCTTCGGGCAATGGGCAATGGGCAACCCGGACTGGAGCTGTCGAGACGATGGCTCGGACTCAGACTGTGATCTGCAGTTGTGTGACAATCGTGTGCTCAATGACCGTGGCAACGATATTCGTCCTACATACTACGTTCTTGAGTCTGTTAATCGTCTGCATACTTACTTTACGGGTATTGGAGAGGCTTTTGTCACTACTGCTTTGGGGGCTGCTTTGTCGAAGGATTCTTGGGCGACGACCTTTTATAGGGATAAGGATGATAAGAGTGTTACTGCGCTTAAGGAGGTGTTGACTCTTGTCACTACTATTGTTGGTGTTGGGGCGTCTTTTGCCGGTCTGGGACCTGCTGTTGCTGGTGCTGTTGCCGGTGCTGGTAGTGCGCTTACCAGTGGTGGTATCAATGCAGCTGTCAATACTCTTCCTAGTCAGTATGTGTTTCCACATTCTTGGCTCTTATCTGGAAATTGCACTAACGAGTCTTCAGCCAGGATGATACTTTCGAAAAGTCCGCCGATCTGGGCGGTATTCTGGGCAGCATTGTCGTGGACTCGCTGAAGTCCTTCACGACCGCTAACAACCAGCTGATGAGCGGCCAGTCCTACGGCGACGCTGATATCCGTAGCTACCTCTCCGGAGGAGCTTTCCTCGCCTACCCCGGCGTTGACAAGAATGCCGTCACCGACGCCATGACCAACATGCTAGTCGGCACCTCCATCAACCAGCTGTACCGCACTCAGAAGATCTTCATCATGGGCGGTGGTGCCTGTGATGACAACCAGGGCATTGGGTCCGGTCCCCAGGAAGCCACTGTTTGTCGTGATGGCCAGGCCTGGTACCTCTACTACTGGCAAGAGAACGACGTAGTGTCCACGACCTCCCACCAGTGGGGATGGGTCGCTTCTCCCCCGGGAGCCGACCAGCTCGGACAGGGAGCTTACGGCGGCGTCAGTGTCCAGGTAAGTGTCCTGAATCATATTGTAAGAATTCACACTAACAAAGCCAGGATATCATCAACTCCTCTCTCGACGCGTACAATGTTGCCGGTTACAACTACGACTCCGATACAGCCGCCAGCCGTGCTTCAGATGCCATCTCTAACTCCTGGGCAAGCCCTGGCGCGCACGGTGCGTCTTGGGAGGGTATCTTCACTATCCCGGTTTGCGATGTCGGCGGTGCAGTCAACTCCGATTACCAGGGCAAAGAGTACATTCTTCAGCCATATGGACATGACAGCCGTCCTGTTTGGTGTGGTGCTATCTGCAGTGGTGACTCCCAGAAGACTAGCGATTTCATCAATGCTGCTAACATGGGTGGTTTCCAAAGCCCGAAACATCTCTGTAACTCGGACCCTGGATATTAGGGCTGAACGATTCGGGGAACTTCAAGGTTGTCACACTATTCACTTCTCACACTCATACTTTATCTTGATATTTGATTCAATTATTACAATGGTCACACTGTGTGCCCGATTCTGAGTAGCCTGGATTGACATACTCGGTAGCCCTGGTTCTATAGATGTACATCCCTTTTCCTATATCGACAGCCTGATCCTCGCCTCCATGTCATTTTTCAGAGACCTCATCTCATGTTATGATCTACCTAGGCAGAGGAGTGACCACTAAGCATTCTCCTCTCTTTTTTCTTCCTTCTTCTCCTCCAAGTCCCCTTTTATTCTTTTCTTTCCCTCTTCCTTCAGAGCCTGATCGTCCGCACGATTCAATCCAACTTGAGGCATAAGCCAAATAGCCAGGAAGAAGGCAAGTGCAGCAAGAGAAGCACCTATGATGAAGATAATACGGAAGCCTCTCTGGTAAGCCGGTGTCAGGACGTCACGAACGTGTTCTGCGTCCTCTGCCGATAATTTCGAGAGATAGTTCTGTGGACTCGACAGAAGAGAGCGCGACGCAGTCTCGTCGAGATTGAGGACCGAGATGGAGGATGAGACGATATTGTTGCTGTGCTTTGTTAGTAGAGATCGGTCGATGAAAGGGGGAATCCTCACATTATAGTCCCGGCAACAGCCAATCCAAGAGTTCCGCCGAGATTCCGCACGAAGCTGTTGAGCGTTAATATTTTGTGCTTATAACATCGACTCTATATAGACTCACTTTCGGAACGAAGTCACTACAGCCATGTCGCGTCTTTCCACGCCAGCTTGCACGGCAATAAGCGAGCTATGAAGAGTTAGTTTAGGCTTTGTAGCTCGAGCGACGACTTACGGTTGCAAAGTGTTTCCAACTCCGACACCAGTCAAAATGCCATAGCCAATTTGCTTCCCCAATCCAGAGTGCTTGTCAAGGGTCGAGAAGAGACCAAGTCCAACAGCCCAGATGATCCAGCCAAATAGGATACATTCTCTGTAGCGACCAACCCAGTGGACCACAAGGCCAGAGCCCGTACTACTCACGGCTGTGAAGGATGTCAGCTATCATCAGTGTAAATGAATCAAAGACACATACTTTGCATCAAAGTAATGGGTAGCAGCATCGCGGCGGCTTTCACAGTGGAATATCCGAAAACCAGCTGATAGAAGGTGGGAATATAGTAGACTTGAACCAAGAAGTTCCATCCATTGATGAACATAGTCAGACAAGCACCATTGACGATTCTCCCCTTGAAGATATGCAAAGGAACCAGCGGCGTCGACGCCCCCTTCCACTGCCAGCCCATAAAAGCAACCGATATAGCGACTCCAACCACCAGCGTCGCAATGACATGGGCCGAATCCCACGAATACTCACCACCACCCCACGTCAATCCCAGAAGCAGAACAGAAGTTCCGCCCAGGGCCAACAACGCGCCGAAGAAATCAATAGCTTTCAGCTTCACTTTCCAATCCCCCGTAACCTTCCGAAGTGGCATGAAGAAAAATACCGCCAACGTCGTCAATGCCGTCAAAGGCAAATTCAGACGAAAGATCCATCTCCACGAGTCTTCGGAGATGGACGCAAGCGCACCACCGATTACGGGGCCAATTCCATTGGCGATGGCTACGACCGCGCCGAGAATTCCCTGATACTTGCCCCTTTCACGCAGAGGGACGACGTCGCTGACGATCATCTGTGCGACTGTCATTAGACCACCGCCGCCGACACCCGTGAAGGCGCGGAAGACAATTAATTGCGTAGCTGTTTGGGCTAGCGATGCAGCTAATGACCCGAAGAAGAAAATCGCCAGTCCGACGAAGAGGACCAGCTTGCGGGACCAGATGTCGGATAGTTTTCCATACAGGAGTTGGAAACAGGTAGATGTTCTAGAAGGAGTTAGCGATTATTATGCCTGGCCAGAAATATACATACACGAAGTAGCCGCCAGAGATCCAGGATGTCTGGTCACTGGCGCCGAGGGCATTGCCGATGATTGATAAACTTGCAGCTAGAGTGGTCTGGTCCATCAGGGCCAGCAGGTCAACACTCGAGCATGCCAGAAAAATCTAATAGAGTTAGTTACTATCCAATATTAGTTCTGACGAGACTTACTGTGATGATTGTGCGCTTGGGGACATAGTTGGTCTGCTCGTTAAAGGTGACCTGGGCGTTCTTTTCGCCCACTTCCGGCTGATCGGGCTGGAGTACCCCTGCCATTGTAGAGAGAGTGTGTATGAGTGTATATGAGTGTCTTTTCAATCCCAATTAAAGGGAAACAAGAAATAAAAAACAGAGGCAGAGACAGAAGCAGCCAGAAAGGCCTGTCACAAGCCCTATAGATCGGCGCAGTCCGAGCGACGATCTGCAGATAATCTTCTCAAACACTCTCAAGGTACCCGCCCCTTTTCGTCTGTTTCAATGCAAATCACAACTCTTCACAACCTGCAGATGTCAAACAATAGTAGTAAAAGGTAATGGAAACCGTGAGTACCCGGGAATTTTACCTCGGGGACCTTGTCGAGTGCCAAGAGAGTCTTCTCTTGAGATTCCTCCAACATTGACGACTAAGACATCGCCGAATACAAGAATGACGCAGAAAGAGGGCGATTAATTCCGTTTTCGACGGTTTCAATTTCTCAAGAAAACTAGCAGCGAATTCGCCGCGGGACGGCCACGCTGCCATTGGATATATGTCCGAGCCACAGCCCGAAATACCTGGCGCTTGCAGCAGGAGACTTGCAGGCCTAGAGGGGTCAGTGGAGTCGTGGATTTTACTTTCCTTATCCCACTTGGCAGAAGAGGACTATATAGACTGAGAAGAGCCCACGGACTCTGGGCAGAATCCATTTTCAATCCAAGATGGCCAATATCAACGAACGCAATGTATACTTCGGCACGGACTCGTTGAAGAAATACTTCAACCCGGACTCGCAGCCTCCCCTCCCTCTTGTAGAGCTGCCACCGCATCTGAACCCTTACTATGAAGATGGCGTTCGTATCTATGCCAAAATGATGACCATGCACCCGGCCAACAACGTCAAGGCAATGCCAGGTAAGTCGCCGGCCAGATCCAACCTTGGAACCGTCCTCCTAACATCAACCAGCACTAAACATGCTCGAGTCCAGCGTGGTGCCGGGCGAAACCAATCGCATCATCGAGTATAGTTCCGGCTCTACGGTGATCTCCATGTCGATGGTAGCCCGAGTAATGCACGGAGTCAACGACACCCGGGCCTTCCTCAGCAATAAGACCAGCGATGCCAAATTGAAACTCATGCAGTTCTTCGGGCTCGACATAACCCTCTTCGGAGGACCCTCCCAACCTGAGCCCCTCGACGAACGAGGCGGAATCCAAAATGCCCGTCGCAAGGCCCTGGAATCCGACCAGGTCGTCAACCCAAACCAATACGAAAACAACAACAACTGGCAATCCCACATCCGCTGGACAGGTCCCCAAATCTTCAAGCAACTCCCCGAGATCAACGTCCTCTGCGCCGGCATGGGAACCTCCGGCACCATGACCGGACTAGGCACATATTTCAAGGGTGTGAAGCCCTCCGTCCATAGACTGGGCGTATGTACAGCCCCTGGGGACCGGGTTCCTGGCCCGCGGTCCTATGCCCTCATGCGTCCGGTCGAATTCCCCTGGAAGGACGCAGTAGACACGATTGAAGAAGTCGGTTCCGCAGAATCCTACACCCTTTCTTTGAACCTTTGTCGCGAGGGCCTGGTATGCGGACCATCTTCCGGGTTCAATCTCCAAGGGCTATTCCAGATGCTGGCGACACGCAAGGCTGCAGGAACCATGTCCGAGCTCGCTGGCCCTGACGGGCTCATCCACAGCGTCTTCCTCTGCTGCGATCTGCCATACCAGTACATCGACGAGTACTTTGCCAAGCTTGGCGAGGGCCAATTCCACCCCATTCGCAACGAAGTAAGTTCAAACCCAATCGCCCTCACCTAGACAATCCCATTATGATCCCTGACTAAGACACCCCTAGCGCCTAACCAAGGTCGATCTCCACCGATACGACGAAAGCTGGGAGCGCAACGCCCTAGACGTCCTGCCGGAATTCTACGGCTCCCCCTCTGGCCGCTGGGCCCTGGACGAGATCATTCTCAAACCCCAGTCGCAGGTCGTGGACCTCCGACAGCCTGAGGACTTCCAGGCCTGGCATTTGCCAGGCTCTACAAACCGGCCCCTGGCCAGCCTGGGACCACATACACCATCCCCGTTCTCTGATCCGGGGGTGCTGGAGGCGCAGTGGGTGGAGCTGGAGGGGATGGTCTATGACGTTGGACACGTTCTGGTGGTGTGTTACGATGGAGACTCGGCACGCGTGGCGACCAGTGTGTTGCGGGCGAGAGGCCTGGAAGCGGACAGTGTGCGTGGCGGGTCCCGGGCGCTGAAGATGTATGGGGAACAGGCGGCTGTTAAGGCGATGGGGGCGACTGTTTCCGTTGCGGCCGTGCCCCTGTAGAATGTAGGGGTGCTTAATGCGGAACGTGTCTTTTTTTCTTTCTTTTTTCTTTTTTCCTCCTTCTTGTTCCCTTTTTTGTTATTATTCTTTTCTTCTTTTTCTGTTCTTTTTCTGTTCCTTGCATCATCGACTTCCTATTGTTCGACGTCAGAGGGTAGTAGTCCCCCGCAATGTGACTCCATACTCCTCACACACATACCCATACACCAGACACTATAGGCAATCTAGTTCAAACTGCACTAAATACGATCAAATATACTGTACTCCGTACTCGTTGCAATCCACGCAAATGTGCTCAACTCAAATGTGCTCAATGCCTCGGATGCGGAGAATGTTCCCGCCGAAGTATGAATCCAGGGACATCCGTTTTCGGACAAAACTGGGGTCCATCCCACCCTTGTAATAGACATTTGCCGAATACTATGTAAGTAATGGCCCTCCGCCAGGGCTGCACCAGCAGTGATTCGTTCTCGCACCTGGCACCATGGACATGGAAATGAACGGCACACCCTGGCTAGACCAGCCCGTAGCCCTTCACTCGTCGCGCTTCGATAATTGCACATTATCCGAGGCCCAGTGTCAATATCGCAACTATTCCTGGAGATACTGGTATTTCGACTATTTCATGCAATTGATGAATGAAGAGTGAAAACTAACTAAGACAGGTACGAGGCTGACCACGTCTATGCGCTCAATACGGTGTACTTCTTGTGCGCGGTAATAGGCGTGTTCACGATAGCCAATGTGTTAGTTCGGATCAGCCCTGATGCAGTTAAGCGGACTCCGCCATGGCGCATGTTCACTTCGGTATCGAGATATTTCTCTTACCGGGGACATCGACTGCCGGCATTGCGCTACTGGTCGCCTGCCTTGGGAGTGGTGATCTTAGGGCTGGTGGGCGCTGCGTTCTTTTTCGGTAAGTCGCATCAATGGCTAGCAAAGGCAAAAGCTCATAGATCAAACAGGGATGGTACTCGGCCCACAGCCATATTACTGGCCCACAGATGCCTCTTATGGTGGTAGTCCGCCCGTCGCCACAAGATCGGGCTGGATGGCGCTGGCACTCTTGCCTTTTGTATTGTGAGTGGTGAGCAAAAGGTGTAAGAGTCAAAACTAATCGAATAGGGCATTGAGTACCAAAGCCAACATGATCTCGGGCTTGACGGGAATTCCCCATGAAAAGCTTCAGGTCTTCCATCACTGGACCAGCTATGCGATGTTCGTGCTGGCATTGGTCCACACATTCCCCTATATCATTTATCATATTTGGAAAGGGGATATGATGCATCAGTGGAAAACGAGCATCGCGTACTGGACTGGAATCGCCTCGCTCGTTTCGCAGACCTATCTGACGCTCATGTCGTTGCCTTTTATTCGGTGAGTCGCGATTCGCGAGGCTCTTCCCCACACGCAAGCCCTAACTTCGCCAGGAACCGATTCTACGAATTCTTCAAGGCAACCCACATCTTCGTCGCTGTGGTCTTTGTTGTCTTCTTCTTCCTTCACTGCGATTTCCGACTTTCTTCATGGTAAGCTTCGCCAAAGTGTTGAACTGTCGTGGAAACTCTTGAACTAACAACATCAGGGACTACTTCATTGCCTCTGGTGCGATCTACTTCTGTAGCTTGATAGCCGGCCATGCACGCACCTACTGGAAGCATGGCATGCATACCGCATCCCTGGAACTTCTCCCATGCGGACTTGTCCGGGTAGAGGTTGCCTCCAACATGAAATGGACACCGGGCCAGCACGTCTTCGTCCGATTCCTTACATCAGATCTCCACCTTCTAACCGCTCATCCATTCACCATCTCCTCCGCCTGCCACGAAACCTCCAAATTGGTCTTCTACATCAAGCCCCGAGGCGGCGTGACCGGCCGACTTCGCGCAATGGCAGAGAAGAGTCCGGGGTGCAAGAAGCGGATCCTCATGGAAGGCCCATACGGCGGCGTCAGCGAGTCGCACATGGCTCAATTCGACACCGTGCTTGTCATCGCCGGCGGGTCGGGTGGTGGATTCTCTCTCGCAATGGTCGACGAAGCACTCCGGGTCACTGGGATGGCAGACGAGGAAAAGAAAAAGAGGCAGAATCTCCAAGTTGTCTTCTCTACCCGTGACCACGCCATGGCGGATTGGTATATCGAGGAGATTGAGGGGCGATTGTCCGAGTCGACAACGCTGGCTTCCGAGTCTGGCTTTGAGACTGCCGTTTCAGTCCATGTCACTGATCCCCGGAGCTCGGGGTTCTCGTCGGGCTCTGAGGATGATGTCAAAGGCACAAAGAGTCCACAGGAGACTACCACAACGGGAACGTTTAGTCTCAACGTGCATCGGAATGCACGGCCTGATCTGCCTGGGCTGGTTGCGAGAACGGTTGCCTTGGCGCATACGCAAGGGCAGCATGTGGGAAAGAAGCAGCGGGTTGGGGTGTTGGTGTGTGGACCTGCCTCAATGCTGCATGATACGCGCAATGCAGCGGCCGTTGCACAGAATCGAGTGTTTGGAGGTGAGATTGAAGAGTTATACCTGCACTCCGAGGCTTTCGCGTAAGTCCAACCTCACATTATCCATTCTTGCTATCCATTAGGGCTTTGCTAACTTATGTCTAGATGGTGATTCTGTTCCAAGTTCTCTGTATATGATCCTGTATATCAAAAGTAAATATTAATTCTATCAACAATCTTCCGTTATTAACAGCCAGACAAATGTAAATGTAAGCCATGTCTGTAGTCCTGTGAGTATATGAACAGAAATCAAACCCGAAAACACCCGTTAACACCCAAGATCCCTGAGAGGAGATGTCCATGCAAATCTAGTACAGTTCATAAAATCGTGATCCTCACCGGCCCTCAATGAGATTCATCAAATAACTCCTCATGCGCACATTGACAGTTCCGCCAATACCATACGCCGGGACAATCTTACCCATGCGCGCAAAGCAACTGGCCACATAGTCGCGACGGATTCTGCTCGCGCGTTCCGTCCACCGGAGCCCACCTTCCGGCTGTCGATTATACAAATCCAATCCGAGTAGGTGCATCGGGGTACTGGCGAACTGCATGAGAGCCGGACAAGCGAATTGCGCAAGGGAAGCTTTCATGCCGGGCGTGGAGGCCATGAAATCTGGGATGGAGGGGGCGATTTTGGCCGGGATGTTGAACGAGGCGAAGATGGTGATGCTGTCTCGGAGGCAGAAGAGGGAGTAGGAGGTTTTGGGGATTTGGGGAGCTGGCGTCGGGGCGCGTAGGGGCTGTGAAGGGGATGGTTGGGCGCCGAACATTTTGGCGAATCGGGCGTCTTTGTACACGCAGATGGCCATGTTGACGGTGGTTGTCGCGATGAACTTGGCGAAGCCTGTGTCTATGGTATCGTAGGAGTGGTTGCGCATCGTTGCGGTGACAGTGTCAATGGCATTGGCTGTGAGGTATGTTGAGCCGTAGAGCGTGTAGATTAGGAGGAAAGGTGTGCTGAAAAAGAAAGCGCTTGGCCGGGCGACCATGGATCGAAGACATGAAGTTATCGTTTGCTGGATTGGGAAGCCTTTGGAGGCTTTTTCCATGATTGCCCTAGGACGGTTAGCCAGGACTGTCAGGTCAAACACTCGAGTAAACGATCTCTTACCGATCAATGATGGTGACCAAAGGACAGGTTAACGCGCCGGCAGTTGCTGCGCTGGCGATGTCGACGCTCAGTCGCTTGCCCAGATCTTTTGTATTCCATCGCGCAATTGGACGCTGGGTACCTTTTATTGTTTCCATGATGGGCAGTATAACAGCATGCCTGCTCTGTACAAAGACAAATGAAGAGAAGGGAATTACAAATGCGAAAGTGATGCTCATCAGAAGCTCGGACGATAATGACCCGGGCGCGAACCGGTGCCGAGTGTCCGATGCCGGCCGGATAAACGATTAGTATATTCACATAGTACGGAGTAGATGTACGGAGTATGTGATATGGGATATATGATATTCGATCTACATCTCAATCTAGGTGTAGACGGTCGTTATATTTTAAAAACCCCCCAAACGCCAATAATTTCCTTGTTCATTTGCTCTCGCGAGCGGCAATGCCTTCCATATTCACATTCACGGCTCCGGCTTCCACCAACTAAAAAACAAGTTAGTTTCGAATTTCCAAAAGCAAGGGGGAGGATACATACAGCACGGCGCAGATCGTCAATCAAATCATCCACGTCTTCAATACCGACACACAGTCGAATAAGATCCTCGGGCATGTCGCGTTCCTCACGCGTCTTGGCGTCGATACTGGCATGGCTCATGCGGCAGGGCATACTAATGAGACTGTTCACGCAACCGAAGCTGACACTAATGGCCCAGATCTTCGCGCTTTCCACAATACGCTCACTGCACTCGGTGTTACCGGTCTCGAACGAAAGCACCGCACCGGCGCCCCGCGCCATGGAGTGATGCAAATCGTACTGCTTGTGCGAGCGCAGACCGGGGTAGCGCACCTTGAAGCCACTCGACTCGAGGAACTCGGCAATGCGCTGGGCATTGCTCTGCTGCTGGTCCATGCGGACCTTGAGGGTCTTCACACCGCGCAGCAGCAGCCACGAGTCGAATGGCGAAAGACCGCATCCAGATGTGTTGATGGGTTGGTACAATCGGTCACCGAGAGTCAGGTCATTCACGGCAATGACACCGGCCATCAGGTCGTGGTGACCGGACAGATACTTGGTGCCGGACTCGTAGACGACGTCGGCACCGAAGTCGAGGGGGTTGAGGAGGAGAGGAGACATCATAGTGTTATCGACGGAGACGATGCACGAAGGGTTGGCTTCGTGGGCGGCCGCGGCGATGGTGCCGATGTCGACAATCTTCATCAGAGGGTTGGTGGGGGTCTCGAGGAGGACCATGGCGGTCTTAGGGCTCAGGACTTCTTGCACCTTCTTGTTGTCTGTGGTGTCGACGTGGTGGACAATGATATCGAGGGTGGTGGAGAGGTACTTGAGCAGACGGTTGGTGCCGCCGTAGAGATCGTCTCCGGTAACAACCTCGTTACCGGGGCGAAGGAGTCGAGTGATCACATCCAGCGCTGCCATGCCAGAGGACACCACGAGGGTGCGCTGCGCGGACATGATCTTGGCCAGATGCCGCTCGAGGTGTGTGCGGGTGGGGTTGCCGGACCGTGTGTAGTCATATTCACCACCGCCGCTACCAGATGATTGCTTGAAGGTAGCACTCTATAGTGGTCCTGGTCAGTACCGTGTCATTGACTGCCATTGGCAGTCATTGGGTGCAATTGGATGAATCCGTACCTGGTAGATAGGGACACTGCTGGCATTGTATTGGTCATTGCCCTCGGTGAATACCAGCTCAGTGGCAATGTTATACCGGCGACCGGGGTGAGGGCTAGAAGGGGCAGGCGAAGGTGGCAGGTCATTGCCTGAGACATCCAGGGGGAAGGTCTTCTTCTCACCGCTGGTCGACCCCGACGCAGTAGGATTTCCGGAGGCCGACATCGCTGCAGGGCGGGGCAGAGAGATAGAACGGGAGAAAGGGGTACAAGGAATAGGGATGGATCAAGGCAATCGTCTGCAGTATATGCAATCAAGTCAATCGAGGAAAACAGAGATCGGAATAAAAATAAGAAGAAGTGCCAATGACCGGCGTATCCTTTCTTTTCCCCCAGTATAGCTGACTCTTCTCGGCCGCGCTCTGATTGGCCGAGCGGCGGATTTCGTGATTTCGTCATTTGCTAGTCCCAAAGGGGCTTAGCAACTATGCGGAGGTGATGAGTCAGACTTCGCCAGTTGACTTCGACTTCATAGACTACACTTTGTTGTCAATAGCTTCATATACTATGGTGGAGATGTATGTGGTTTGATTCTCTACTACCCAGTCTACCTATAAATACCACCGTTTGACTTTATCACCCCGTAGCCTCGGATGCGATATATGTTTGTCTGGAATGTGATCCTCCGTGTTCCGTACATAGGGAATTATTACCCCGAATGGGAACTATTTCGGTCATAAGCAATGGCAATCAATGTCCATATTGTACGGAGTACTCCGTACAGACCTACATTAACCTCATGAGTCGAACGAACCCGATGACGCCGGCCAAGTATGTACTTAGTCATCACTAACTTGGCCCGCGGGCCCGGGCTCGAATCATTAGCGGAGAGCCTGAGATAGTCATTTTCAACCTCCAGCCTTGGAATTCACCGTCCTACATCTCTAACCTTGGAACCCTAGAGCCTCACATACGGTCTATATACAACCGATGGAGTCTTTGATCCCACTCAACATCCGTCTATCCATAATACCCAGATAGCCGGCAGAATGGCCTCCGACGCGGCATTCGCCTATCATGAACCCTCCATCAAAACAGTCCTCAACTACACCGGATTTCTTCTAGTCTTGAACATAGCCAACACCTGTCTAGACAAATTGCTTTACTGTGGACTAATTGGTCAACTGTTTATCGGTGTCCTGTGGGGCACACCAGGCGCGAAATGGCTCGATCGAGAGACAGAGACAGTCATCCAGCAAATCGGCTACCTAGGCTTGATTCTTTTAATCTATGAAGGTAAGCTTTTCCAGATAGAACAATATCGCTCAGTTGCTGACCCAAAGCAGGTGGTCTATCTACCTCAATCAAGGCCTTGAAGGCAAATATCCTTCTATCAACGGCCGTCGCCTTGACCGGGGTGTGCGCCCCAATGGGCCTTACCTTTATTCTCATGGAACTCGTCTCCGCAACCCCCATCCAGGCATTCTCAGCCGGTGCAGCATTAAGCGCAACGAGTCTAGGAACAACTTTCACCATCCTCTCGACCACGCAATTGACCACTACAAGGCTCGGCACTGTGACTACCAGTGCCGCAATGCTAGACGACGTAGTTGGTCTAGTCATGGTGCAGATTATTTCCAATCTTGGTGGAAACTCTTCCTTCGACGCTGTGACGGTCATTCGTCCTGTGTTCGTGTCACTTGGTTTCGCAGTTGGCCTGCTACTGCTATGTGCATATTGCTTGGGGCCGGCGCTGAAGATACTGCTCAAGTACAGCCACCGGCTTCCGGACTTTGCGGGTACGGCTCAATTCGCATTTCTGGCACAAACGTGTGTTCTGGTTGGGATCGTGGCTGGTGCAACGTATGCAGGCACCTCGAGTCTCTTTGCGGCATATCTTGCCGGTGTCATCGTCTCATGGTTTGATGGGCTGGTTGCTGAATCGAAGATACAACCAACTGCTTTGGAACCGGCAGTCACTCAAGCAGACTCTACCTCAACCCAAGGAACTCCTGCCCGAATAAGCTCTCGCGATGCCAATGACCATTCTGACCAATCTGATTTGCGGACCGAGCAAACAGAAAGCCACCAACATGTCACTGGTGAAATGATCTACGAAAGATACTACAAGGAGCCTACCAACCGGATCCTTCTTCCCCTGTTTTTTGTAAGCTTCCCAAACCTGGAACTCCATTTGCAAAAGCTATATGTACTAACATCGATAGGCCTCGATCGGATTTGCAATCCCAATCACGAAAATGTTTTCCGGTCAAATTGTTTGGCGCGGCGTGATCTACGCCATCCTAATGGGAATCGGCAAAATAATCACTGGACTGTGGCTAGTTCGATTCTCTTCAAACCCGCTAGCAGGCCTGGTATCTATATTCAAAAGACCATTGACCTACGCCCATTCCTGCGTCAAGCCACGAAGCCACGAACATCCCAGAAAAGCGAAAGCGAAAGCCCAAGGAAACGCTCGGCGTTCAAACCCACAGCCCAACCAGACGAGCCCCCAAACGCACGAGACTGCACCTCGTTCACAACTCTCGTTGCCGCCGAAACCCAAGTCTTTATATCCACCTTCTATCCTGGGTCTGGCTATGGTTGCAAGGGGTGAAGTCGGGTATCTGATTGCTTCAATTGCCGAGAGCCAGGGGATATTCTCCAATGGATCATCGGAGGGACCATCTGAGATTTATCTGGTGGCCATCTGGGCGATTTCACTGTGCACCTTGATAGGTCCTATTTTGGTCGGAACGCTGGTCAAACGCGTGAAGAAGCTGCAGATGTCTAGAGATCGGGGATCTGATCCTCTCGGGGTTTGGGGGATTTAGAACATGTCTACAGAGGATACAAAGATGAAGGACTCAGCACGACGTATGATGAACGAGGTCATTGTGATGGGGAATTTGTATATACTCCGACTCCCTTAGATGCCCAAGTTTCCCCGACAATGGACATAATGAACATACCGAGTAGAAGAAAACAGGCACGAAGATGAAAAAAAAAGAGAAAAGAAAAACATACACTACGTCCTCCGGGATATATCCCAAGCCAGAACATTGGCTGACGCCCACAAACGCCCCAGATAACCACCCAAAACCATTTTGTGGAAAAAGCCCCAAGTGAAGTATCAAGTCAAGACAGTCAATCAAGCAGCCAGGTCTCCAAAGCCTCCATTTATACCAAAGAATTGGAACCAATCCTCGACATTGAGCGTAGTCGGCGCGGTAGGTCCGCTACGAGAGCTACTGCTCCAATTGTCATTGTCTTGGCTGGCGGCGTCCATCGCAGCTCCACTCATCGTTCCGTCAAGACCCTGCATAGGTGGCCAGGGCTGCTGTTGGCCTTCCATGAACATCTGTGGATGCTGAGGCTGCATGCCCATGGTGCCGGGAATGCCGGTCATCATGGGTGGGCTGCCTTGCGAAACGGACATGCTGCGGCCATGCACGGGCTGGCTGTTCATCATTGGAGGGCGGGGCGCCATGCCGGGCATTTGAGATGGGATTTGCAGGTTGGGGTCGACGGACGCGGATGGCGGTTGGGGCGAGGTCAGCTCGGGGAAGAAGTTTGTGCCATCTGGGAAGAGCTGGTCGGGCTGGAAGTTCTCCCAGAGAGAGGGGGAAAGATTGGGGGAGGTGCGAGTCACGAGGAAGAAGTCTGGGGGCGTGGCGGGAAGAGAAAATTGGCCATTGAAGGGTGTCGTTGGCCGAGTGTTGGCACGCGAATTACCAGTTCCAGCAATTGGGTCGTGGTGGCCGCGGTGTGGGTTGGGAGACTGTTGAGGGCCAGGTGCTGGCTGGTTCAGTTCTCGCGAAGGTGTGACGGCAGGGGTCTGGGGCCTGGATCGCTCGTATGATACGGGTGGTGTAGGGCCACCACCGTTCGGCATACCCAGATCCATGTCGTCGAACTTGCGCTTCGGGGGGTCGGGCTTCTTGGGAGCTGGTTCGCCAGGTCGAGACGAGCGTTGGTGTCTTCGGCCGGCGGCCTTCTGAAGTCGCTCCTCCAGCACCTTGTTCCCGAGAATCGACTCAAAGAGGGTATTCACCATCTTGGCGACCAACCAGACCTTCGATACATCCTTCAGGGCCAGCATGCAGACGTTGATTCTTTCCTGGCACGTGGCCACGATTGAAGGAACCGACGAGCGCATCTGATACACGTGCATGATCAATGCAGAGAACAAGCTGTAGACAATGAACGCCGGGGTGTACCGGATCTCTCCGTGCGCCTGCAGGTTCTCGACAATAGATGTAATCATGCCCGCGGCTTGGAAGGCAATTGTGCGTGAAGGATAGGCCATTTCTTCAACTCTGTAATTATTCGGCGCAGATGAAGCAGGCGGCATGTGAGCTCTATGCAGAAGACACAGCGTAGTGTAATAGTTCGAATGTAAAAGAGCTGCCCAGAAGTGATGCCGGGATCGTTGCCAGCATACTTCCTTAGGACAGTTCTGCAACCAATCGGCCAAAGCCATGTCTGAATGGGTGAGGTCCATTGCGTTCATGCGCCGGGACTTGGAAGCCACGGAGTACTGCTGCGACAGAACCAAGCCCATGATTTCACAGAGCTTGACATATTGCAAAAAGAACTGGACGTGAACGGGATCGGCGGGGTATTCGGCGGGGGCGTCCAGCTCGTCCTCAATGAAATCATCCTCGGTTACCATCTCTACATCCGAATCGTCCGTGTTGATTCCGATGGGCCGTCCCAGAGCAACGGCGACCGAACGATCACGAGTGAACAAGGTCCACCAAATTCTCTTCCAAAGGCGCTTGTCTGGTTTATTCAGTTGAGACATTTCGACACTGCGGTGCATTCCAGAGCCTTGAGCGACAACCATTGCGACCCGCGTCCAATAAAACACATTCTTAGTAACATCTGAGGCCTGTTAGAAAGATCCAAATTGTGCAACAATTAGTCAAGCTCACCTTCAGGTCCCTCCCAGTACCAGCCTAGAAGTACCAGTGCTTGGACAATGGTGACCCGGTCATCTTCGTAGTTAGCATCATAAAGCGCTTTAGCGCGCTTGTAGAAAGTCATCGCAGCAGGAGTCGTAGAACCATTCGCATCCATCAACTGCTGGTTGGTACAGACTCGCGATCCTGCCAGCAGAATCGCTTGCAACAGCAGCAGGGAGGGAGGGTTCTTGGGGTCCCGGTAGTGACGCATAAATCGACTCTTGTTGATGATGGGTACCACCGGAGCGACCCATTTGAAGTAGGCCTCGACCAACTCATCACACAGCTGCTTGGGCGGAAGCAGGAATGCACCCCGCTGGTGCAAGATATCAATTTCCAAGTTATCCAAATCAGTGAGCCGGGCACGAGAGCCTCGGACATTGGGTGGGAGTGGATAATGCACGACGTCTGTCGTGCCATGGCGATCCTGTACCAAAAGAGACAGATTGGAAGACTCGCCCAAATAAGCAACCCGACCAGCTTCTTTGATGGGCGCGCGAGCAAACTTGGGCTTCATGAACTGAGCATATGCATTATTGGCCGACGCCTGTTGGGCGGCTTCGGCCTCGGAGAGGGCGGTGGTGGGCATGCCCTCAACGCCCATGCGATCATTCCGATATCCAAACGCATTGCTCTTGTCTTCCGGATCCCGGCCTCGCTCGGGTTGCTTTGGCGCCGAGATCGAACCGGTGCGCCGCGCCTCATCCTCGTTATCGGGTCGGAAGTGAGCGACCGCGGCGTCGACGAGGGAAGAGGCGGATTGCGGCGGACTGTCGCCATACGAATTTTCTTCCTTGGTTTTGTTCTGGTTGTTCTTCTTCCGTTTCGGTGAGGGGATCTTGCATTCGATGGAAAAGGCGACACAATTGGTGCAGGGCACCCCTAGACTAGCGGCATCACATCGTACCTACCACCGAATTAGACAACATGAACATAGATGCGACCGAGTCAAAACTCACCTTTCGAGCATGGCATGTCTAATTAAGGTAAAAAAAGAACGTGTTAGTGAAGGTCCAAAAGTGATAGATCGTATGCATAGCGATAAGCAACTGAGCCGAGGTGCGTTGAGAACCTCGGCAGAGTCGCGTTCCCCCTCGAAAGGAAAAATCGACGTACCTCGCACGCGCGTGAAGCCCGTTGTCTGAGATTAGATAAAGTGTCAGCCAGCGCACCTTGAAATGCTTAATTTTCTGCATCTTCCCAGCGAAGCCGAAACTGCCCCCTGTCTCATGTCTCCCAAGACCCCCCCCCCGCGTCTCAGCCTCTGAATCCCATCACCTCCAATAGCCCCCTTTGTACCGAGTATACCCAGTGTCCGTCGAACAACAGAATCGCAGAGGAAGCGCTCACCTTCTGAAACTCAAGGGCTGACCTTGCGGGCCATTGCGCACTGTGATACCCGAAGTACCCGTCGAGCCAGCATTGCTCGGGGCCGGGCTGCCTTGGCCGTCGGAATGTTCTTGGTATTCGGTGCTCATTTCCACGCCGTCTCCATCCAGCTTCGAGGGATAGAGGGGATTCGATCTCCGTAGGGTGCAGGATGCGGGATGTAGCGTAGGATATAGGGTATAGGGTAGGGACTAAGTACCCCGGAGACGCCACGCGACCAAGCGAAAACGAAGAAGAAAACGGATCGGAAGCGACGAAAGAGAAGCAAGAGAGAAAAGAGAAAGCAGCCAAGACGAAGCGAGTTGTGGGAGTACGGGGTAGAGGGGAGAGAGAAGAGAGAGAATATCAAAGCGACCGTTAGGCTGTGGCAATTAGGACCCGGTCATTGGGTCATGCTACTCATGTCGCAGCATTCGACTATTTCTCTTCACTACTACACTTCCTTAACTACAGTACGGTACTAGTACTTGACTACCTATGCCAATTCACTGCTTCTATCGACAATCACTATTCTGCTTCTTTTTCTCCTTCGTCCATACCGTGCAGAGTATTCCAGGGGCACCAAGCCATGCCCCAATTTTGCACCCCGAACCGGTGTGCAGGAAACCAAAGTAATGAGAATGATCGACAGTGGTTTCCAGGAGTCTGGGCTGCAGATGGGGCAGGGCACTACACAGGACTAGTACGAGAGGAATGGAGCATCTTGAATCTCCCCGTTCTCTCCCAGCCCTCACTGGCCCATTGCTAATCCAAGACCAGGGACACGGCCGACTTACCCTCTTTAGGGGGGCCCCCACACTGCGTGGCAATATCGTCTCCCCAGGCTTCAGCCTCCACTCGGGACGATCACCCCGAACACCGTGACGTGCTGCGCCGGCCTCAGATCTCTCCACGGTCATTCTACCCGGATTCTCGGGCTGAGACGTCTGCATAACAGAGACCTGTGTCATGCGGTGTGACCCGGGGAATTTTCTCTCATTGGTTCCCGGTCAATATTGCTTGTCGAGGCATTGAAGGCATCGGTAACATTGAAGACTCGAAGTCATCGGTACCATTGGAACTTGGATCGGGTCTGCCAGTGCGCACTGATGCAGATCCAGGTTTCAGAGGGACCCGGGTGGTTGTGGGAGATCATGATAGATCACAGCCGATAGCTCTGCAAAGCCAAATATCAGGGTTTGCGGGGACAAGAGAATGGATTCTGCGGGGAATACGGGGAAGACTATGATTTCTTGCCAGTGAGCCCAGTGAGCTGAGAGCTGAGTGTTGGAACAGCGTCGACAGACCTGTGATACCTCGGTATATCCAAGCTTCGACCAATGAGAGTCGCCCGTGCCTCTCCTAGATCATATCACATCTGATGCAGATGTCAGGCACCGCACCGGAGTAAAGCGGGTGTACCTTTCTACTTACGGGTTGCTCGGGCTGATCGGAAGCATCTCTGCGTCCGTGGCCACTGGCTCAAGGGGTGTGGGAAATATTAAATTCGGAGTCTCGGCCGGACAGAGTAGAATCTCCGGGTCTATATGGGCAGGATACAATACATAGATTTAAATGCGAATGTAGTGTGCGTGGGAGGCTGAGGCCCAGCGCTAGACTACTGCGTTCTACCTGGTAGATTTGCCCTTGCCCCTGCTTTTGGACTTGGACTTGGATTGCTTAGCCCCGTTGGGCTGGGGCTTCTTCGGCTCCTTGCGGTCCTCGTGGCCACATTCAGTGGCTTGGTCAATGGTCTCGACCACGGCGGATCCGACGGCCGTGATCACGGGGAAATGCACGCCACTGACAAAGAGTTCACTCAGGAACTCGAGGCCAGCCACAAAGGTGCACAGGGCACTGGCAATACAGAAGTGACTAATGGTCATGCCGATGTCGAGCCAGGAGCCTTCGTCACGGACCATATAGAAGAAGTTCAGGGTCATGATGTCAGAAATAGCCATCACAACCATGAACAGAGCACTGGGGGCGACTTCCAACCGGCGATTGAGAATGCCCAGGTTGGCACTGATGATGGCGAAGGGAATGAGGATTTGAAGGATCAAGAGGGCGCCTTGCGCGAAGGGGTCAAAGACAGGAACCAATCGGCGAACACTGTCCAGGGAGAAAGTCGAGATCGATGCGACATTGCCGGTGCTGAAAAAGGCAGATTGCAGCAAGAAGAAGAAAAATACTGCCACGCGGACATCCGAGAGGGTAAGGGCACGGTAGTAGAATGTTTCACCATTGACAGTGGTGGAGCCGGTGTTCTCGGGCTTTGCTGCATGATCCTTGCTAACGGTTTGTTGTTTGGTATCCAGCCCTGTGTGGACGTAAATGGCGTGTTCAAGTCGGACCCATGTGACGATGGTCATGCAAAACACGAAGTAGAACAATCCTTCCCATGAGATAGTGAGGATGATGAATGTCGGTGAAAATGTCAAGAAGATGATCATGAGTCGGTGAAGGTAGTTGCTGTTTGGATATAAACGGTGGAAGAACGGCAGAGTCAGAGAAGCCACTGGAACATGGTTAGCATTTTACTGTGATTCACATTCCCAAAGACCTTGAACCATCACATTCACTTACCAAAGACAACCCATCCCACAACGAGGTTTCCGAATGGTAGGCCTTGGCGAGCCTGCAGGGAGAAAACAGACGATCTAGTGACAATGACTGCCAAGAGAACCATACCAAGCTGGATCCCCATGATGATCCGCGAGCCGACACGACCAATTGCGTTTGCTTCTCTAGATCCAATGATCGCATCCTCAAACAGGAGGTACAAGATTCCGGTCAGGAACATGGCCATTCCACCATAGGTACTAAATGGTCAGCCAAGAAAAAACAGACACAGGGGCGGGAAACTTACATCGTGTCAATGTTTTCAACCTTGATGACCGGCAAAAGAGTGAATGAGCTCATCAAGCCGCAGCCAAGAGCCCAAGTCGCAGCGAGGGTTGCATGGCTACGAATAAAACTGAAGCCATGAATCGCCGGCCAAAATGCGCCCAATGCAAAGCACACCGTGAAGATCTCCCGGTGGAAATACGATTGCACCATAGCCTCCATGACACCGAGGAATGCCAAAAATTGAAGCCCAAACTTAAGGTATCCAGTGAAAGAGCGCACATGGCCGAGCAAGATCTGACGACCGGCAATCAAGGCCTTGCGGCGTGCGAAAACTTCTTCCCAGAAATACACCGGGAAGAACGCATAGAAGTAATAGCGCCAGGACGAGCCCTGGTACAAAAATACCGAGAAAAGCGCAACTAGGACGGACGAGAAGAATGAGACGCTCGCTGTTGTGCGGTGAGTGTCAGATGTGCCGTGCAGAACATGCAGATCAATTACTGTTGTCAACGCATACGCGATCCAACCAAGATAACCAACAGAGACAATGGTACGCAAGAACAGCCAGTCGTAGGTTTGCAGGTAGCGCAGACCTTCCAGGGCTGCGCGGAAGGACTCAGCTGACATATAAATAGCCTCGTCATAGTCACCCTTCGAGATGGAGGCCTCGATGTTTTGCAGTCGGTATTCAATCGAGTTCATATGGTTGCCAGACAGCTGCTCGTAAGGCACGTACCGAATCACGGCATTGCTCTTTTGCTCTTCCTTCACGCGGTACATCTCTAGCACACCACGTGTGTTGGCAAGAGCGGCCCGGGCTTTCTCCTCGGGGCTCGCACTGATGAAATCCAGCGGCAATTGCCCGACTGAGTTCACAGGGAAATCCAGACCAACCAGGTATGCCATGAGCGCAGCGACATCAGCTTGTGCGACATCATGGCGGCGGACCTGGTCGAAGCCCCAATCGGCAGAGAACCCATCCTCATGGCCAGGAGCGATGCCGCTGGTTGAATACTGCGGGTGCGCAACACCAGATCCCCAGGCAACCAGTGGTGTCCTCGTGTTGTCTGGATGACCATCGCCGTGGCTGCCAGTGTCACTCATACCATGATCCGCAGTAAAAACGAAGGCGGTTTGATCGTCACCGTAGAAGTCATCCACCAACTTTGTGACGGCTTCAATTCCGCGATCCACCACCTGGATATTGTGCAGGTATTCATTCGAGTATGGCCGGAAGGAGTGACCGGTCGTGTCCAGTCCCAGCAAATGAAGGAAGAATACCAGCTTGTCATCGCGCAGCTTGCTATCCAGTTCAGGGTCCGTCTTGGCCGATTCAAAGAGCCCATGAACCTTGTCGAAGACCCATGTGTCCAGATGTGTCGCATCCACGGTAAAATCCTCCGCTTCTTCGCTGTATGTTTCAGCATCAACCCTGCCAGGCACGGCGCCCTCCTTGAACATGGGCAGAATGTCGGGACTTCCCCAGCTCCATGTGTGCCTGCTCTGATTGAAAACGCTATCGAAGTCGACAGGGTTCAATTTCCAGCCTGTGGTCACGGCGGAGACATCCTCGTAGAGGCCCGCGATAAGCGCAACATGGCCGGGGCGCGATTCGGTAGGTACTCGGGTATGCGACACGCCGAATGTGCCATGGGAAAGGACCTTGGAGCGAATGAACGGTGACAGGCGGATCAATTCGTCGTTTTCAGGATCGGCGCCGGGGGACGGGTCAGGGAAAGCTTGGAAGGCCTTGTCGGCGCGGAGGCCGTCGGCGACAAATAGGACGAGACGTTTGGCTGGGGCGGCAATTCCGGAGGGTCGTTCGACACCATGTGATTTCATGCCACTCACAATTGGACTGACGAAGTAGATATCGAAGATTGAATATGTATAGATCAGGTGGAAGACCACCGCGAGGGCCAGAAACCCGACGCGGCCAAGACGCGCCATGCTGTTCCTGCCGTGAAATTGGAGGAAATCAAAGAGCGGAAGTGGTCCACTGCCACAAAACAGATCGAGGAGGAATCAGACAAAAGACAAAAGGAGAAGACATGGGCGAACACAACACGTCAACTGCCATCGGGGAACCTTGGCGGTGAGCCAATCACAGGCCGTTAATTGTACCATGTACCGTGTTTAGCCCGTTGACTACGCTGAATGCAGAGGTACACGGTACCTGGGGCTTCCAATGTTGTTTACGTCTACTTTGTACAATTGAGAGCACTGAAAATATGGATGCCCTGAAACTCCAATTGGAACGCCCAAAGATACAATATAACACATGTTCACGCTGCAAGAGATCGCCGCTTGGTCAGGGCATCAATGACGCGCGTATAGAACTTGGCAGCCTGTCCACGCTTGAACGTGATATCCACGGTCAAGAAGTCTGGAAGCATGTTCACCAGGTCCCGATCGCGATTGGCATCCAAGAGGGGCAGATATTGGAATTCTGCATTGTCGAAATCCGATGATTCCTTGGGCACTGCCAAGTGGAAATGAAGAGCTGCAAGGAGGTCAGCACCGAATCCAGTGTTATGAGACAAAAAGACTTACTCCCGTTGATTCCAGTCTGAATACAATCATAGACATTTTCAGCATCCTTGTCCTTGACATCCCGGATGATCAATCCTGTGAGGTCACTATACAAGTCTTCCTTAAGTTGGGCGAGTTGGGCTGCCTGGGCCGCCTCAGCGCTGGCAGCAGCATTCGCGCGGTTAGCGGCTCCGCCCTTAATGGCACTGCCAGGGACCTTGGAGGCTCCCTCCAGGCTGGCTGCTGTGCTGCGTGCCGCTGCGAGCTTGGTCTGCAGCGCCTTGGATTCGGATTGGGCAGAGGCCAGCTGTGCGCGTGCCTCATCGGCGTCGGCTTTCAATCGAGCCATTTCTGCATCGCGGTCCTTGAGTTGCTTCTGTAATCCTCGGCTTTGCGCTCCTTGCTTCCGCTGAGAATCTAGCTCGGCTCTCAAAGAGGCAACCAGTTCATTTGATGCTAGAAACACTCCATTAGCTTGGGTTGGTTAAAGCGCATCCAACGTAAGACATACCGGCAGTTATAGTCTCGCTCTGCTTTCGCAACTTCTCCAAATTGGTATTGGCTTCGACAATCCCGATCTCACGGAGATTGCGATATTTGATTTCCAATGCATCGTGCTTCTTGTTGAGCTCACCCAGCCTACGCCTTAGCTCTGGGTCGCCGCCTTGCTCAGAGTTGCGCTTATTGGGAGAGTCATATGGGTTGCGGGCTAGGGACGGCCGATAGGCACGAGCCTTCTGCGGGGACATGGACTGGCGAGTAGTTTCAGGGAATACAGACTCTTCTACAAATCCAGCTTGGTGCCCTGCAGCCTGTTGTGTTTCCTGCACTTCGGTGCCTCGTCTACCAGTACCTGTTGCGCGTGCAACCGGACTTGGCTCAGCCTGCTCTTCGTGGTCCTCCGGACTTGCTTGTCGCCCAGTCTTGGGGGTATATTCGAATTCATCGTCTACTTGGAGCTTCCTCGCTGCCCCAGCGCGAGCTGTTGTCCGACCGCGTTTGGCTGCTGGCGCAGGTTTGGCTTTTGTAGCCTTCGTAGTCTTTCTCGTAGATTTTGAGTTGTCAGGTTCATCGTTTTCCTGATCGTGTGCATAGTCGTTCAGCTCGGTGTCCGTCTTTTCTGCTTCCATAGCTGCCGTTGCCGCCGCGTCTTGCGATACGCGACCACTGCCCTTAGGTCGGCCCCGACGGGTAGACTTTCTCTCTGCAGGAGCCGCTGGCTCAGCTACAGCTGCTTGCTTTTTCGCTCGCGTAGTCGGTTTGGGGGGATTGGGTTCGGGCGCGCCGTCTTCAGAAGTGCGTGGCCGACCTCTTCGTTTCTTGGCGGGAGGCTCTGTTTGGGCATCTTGGTCATTGTTCAACATGAGATCTTCATCGTCTGATCCTATAAGGCCCGAAAGCTGAGAGGTCGCTTTGCGTTTGGCCATTGTGCAAATATATGGTGCAGTTAACCGTCGCGAACGCGAGATCGGAGACAACAACACCTTCTCCGCCTTACGACATGTGACTGATCCGCCACTGATCGGCTCGGCTTCTCTTGCGGTCTATGTGGTCTAATTTCCTTTTGAACAATCTCTAATTGACTATTTTGCAGCTTGATCTGTGTTGCTTTCTGTTGTCATTTAAATTTCCTTTGATCCTTAATCTCCTATCGCCATGGCTTCAGCCGGAGGCCGGAGATGGCAGCAGTTCTTCCAAGAGATGGTCATGGTCGCAGGCACTGTAAGTTCCAAGGTTGACAAGAGCCAATATGTTGAAGCTCGCTAATACTCTGAATAGTCTGCCTCTGCATACTTCCTTATCCGATACCTCATATCACGTCTTGATTTTGACCCCGAGAGCCAGAAGAAAGAGGAACAGCGCCAAAAGTCAGCGGCCATCTTGCGCCGATTGGAGGGCGGAAACGACGAAGATAGCTCTCGGTCAAAGGATGGGAAGCGAGGGAAAGGTCAGCGAAAGCGCGAGCTTACCTTGAATCAATACGAGCAAGCAATCGCAATGGATGTCGTTGCGCCAGAAGATATTGCGGTCTCCTTTGAGGATATTGGAGGCCTGGACGACATTATTGAGGAGTTGAAAGAATCGGTCATCTATCCGCTGACTATGCCGCACCTCTACGCCTCTACTTCCTCTCTCCTCACCGCACCTTCGGGTGTGCTCCTATATGGCCCGCCTGGCTGCGGAAAGACCATGCTCGCAAAAGCCCTCGCGTCCGAGAGTGGCGCATGCTTTATCAACCTGCATATTTCCACGTTGACAGAGAAATGGTACGGTGACTCAAATAAGTTGGTCAATGCGGTGTTCTCGCTCGCGCGCAAGTTGCAACCGGCTATTGTCTTCATTGATGAGATCGATGCGGTGCTCGGAACCCGCAGGAGCGGCGAGCACGAGGCGAGTGGTATGGTGAAGGCAGAGTTTATGACGCACTGGGATGGTCTCACCTCAGCCAACTCTACCGGAGAGCCGCAGCGCATTGTTGTTCTGGGTGCCACCAACCGCATTCAAGACATCGACGAGGCCATTCTCCGAAGAATGCCCAAGAAATTCCCAGTGACACTTCCCCCGATTGCCCAACGACTCCGGATTCTCAGCATCATTCTCAAAGACACCAAGGTTGACCGAGAGAACTTTGACCTACACTATCTAGTTAAGACTATGGCTGGGATGTCCGGTAGTGATATCAAGGAAGCCTGTCGTGATGCCGCCATGGTTCCTGTCCGTGAGCTCATTCGAACCCAGAAAGCGAACGGGATGAACATGGATGCCATGAATCCCCAGGAAGTCCGGGGTCTTCGGACCGAAGATTTCTTCTCGCGCGCCGGAGGCGTCAAAGTGATCCATCCGGACAACTTGCCGACTTCCACTGGCAAGGTCAGCGAGAAGGAGGAAGGCGAATGGAGCACCGAGTCAGAGGCCACTTCTGAAACCGAACCCCGACCCTCTGTGATGGCTGAGCCCCCAGAGTAAGGGCGTCAAAGCCCGAGAGACATGATATTTAATCCCGCAGCGCGAAGACTTGGCGTTACGTGCTGGAAATGCTGAGACTTGTAATGGCATTCCTGGCCTTTAGAATTGGGTGTGTACAATTGCGATCTAATGAACTCGTACATAACGAACTCCATCTATAAATGTCTCCAGTAGTGGTATGATAAGGAATGTACAGGTACGGGCAAATAGGTGGCTTTCTACGGGCAACGTCATGTACCGCTACTTTACCGAGCGGCGAAGTCACCTGCCGATCATTACGACCCTCCAAAGGCGCTCTTTACTCCGTACTCCGTAGTCCTTTTCGATACTCCAGCTACCAAGCTATTGTCCTCTCCTTCTTTGCTTTTTTGGCGTGGCTCGCGTTTGCGTACTTTGGTGTTGCAAAGGCACTTGTACGCCGCTGTCGTCACCCTCGCTAACCTCCCTATCGGCCACCTTGACGATACGACCTACGTCTGTCTATATCTCGCATGGGCAACATCGCGCTCGCTCTCGGCTCAAAGCAATTCGTGCGACTTCAGATCACGAATGGGTTTCTATACATGATCAACTGATGGCAACTGGTGCCTTGGCGGTACGGAGTACAGACTATTAAGGGGGGCTTTTGTTTCGTATCATTTCGCACACTGTCGAACTCACAGGAATGAGTTCCCAAAGTGGCCTCGCCAATGCTTTCCCAGGCCCCAATACTGGAAGCGCAAGCACAACTTCAACCTCTACAGTTCGATCGCGCCCTCGACGCTTAGTCTCATTCATGGATGACGACGATGACGAAGGATCCCACTATTCTAACCAGAGCGACTCTCAGCCCATGTCCTCCGCCTTGTCCACCACTCTTGCACCATCCGAGAACGGGGCGACTCGTTCTCGTGGACCATCCCGCGGGGCGTCACCACTCCCTCGGACGCACCCCTCCCGCGCGACCGAATCTACCAATCGAGACACTCGCAGTGATACCTCCTTCGCTTGGAACGGATCTTCCATAACCTCGTCGCGAGGTGCCGCAGACTTTCTAGACTCTTCATGGTCCTCCCTCCAGAGTCTTGCATCGTCGGTTTTGGGGAGTGATGCGGGACGAGCCACTCCCCCTAATACAACAAAGACCAACTCGCGCAGAAAGCCTTCTCGGTCGGATGTATATATTAAGAGTACCCCGAAGTCAACGTGGGGCCCATCGGCACCCAATTCCCTGGATGTTGGAGCTGGAACCAAGGAGGAGCGACAAGCTCTAGTCCAAGCGAAGAAAAGAGAGGCGCTTCTTCTTGCGGACAGCGACCCAATTGCAAGCCGTGCATTTCCCCACAAAAGACGCGACTCGGGGGATACATCACAGCAAGCAGTTGACCCAGGGTACGATGAGGATGCACTGGCTTACATTCACACCGTGCAACCGACAGATACTATCACCGGTGTGACGATCAAATATGGATGCCAGGCTGCGGTGTTTCGGAAATCGAACGGTTTTTGGCCCAATGACAACATTCAAAGCCGGAACTTTGTTCTACTGCCAGTTGACGCATGCTCCGTGAAAGGCCGACCTCTACCTAGGGAAACTGTGGACCTGTTGGGTCCGGATACCGAGGATCCCAGTGATAGCTCTATCGCCCCTGTGCCTGCCACAGCTGATGGCGCAGCCAAAGGCAAGGAGAAACCTACACCTCTTGAGGATCCCAATCAAGTTTGGACACATGAATCATGGGTGGAAATGGATGGATTCCCAAAACCAATACAGATTGTCCGGGTACCTCGAAGTGCACTGGGCTTCTTCCCGCGTACGCGTCGAAAATCAACATCCTACTCTGATGCCGACCCTCCAATTTTATACCGAGAAACAGTCACGCCCCCTTCTCCATCCGGATCACCCCCTCCACCATCATCATTCGGTGCACTACCACGGACTCGAGTTAATGGCGACCAATCCAAGCCCAAATCCTCAAATCCCACTCGGCCCGGGCACCGTCGCCAACAGAGCAGCCTCCACCTAACCGGTACTGGTGTGGGGACCCTTGACCCCACATCGACTGGGCCGGGACCTGCTTTGGATGGCTTCACGCGGTTCTTTGCACAGCACATGCCAAATCTGGCCCCAGCACCACCCCCGGACAACGCACGTAAAGCTTCCTTTGAATCCGCATCAACAGTTACCTCCAATGCATCGACTGGGCTCGAGAACATTGGCGGTGCTTTCGAGGGCTGGGTTCGCAAAGTAGCGACACGAGCCAAGGCTGGCATCAATGAGTTGCAACAGCCTCCGAGTCAGCAAGGCAGTAACCGAGGACGCAACCTCTGGCGAATGGATGACCTAATTGAGCTTGACGATAGCAGAGTTGATGGCCGCGGCTCTCCAAGTCCTTTCCGAGAAAGCCCACAGCGACCCAACTTGCAAGGTGCATCTTCCTCATCTTCCGTCCGATACAACAGCTCTTCAGCAGTGGCAGCGAGCAGGTCTCGTGCTGCTGGTTTTGGCTCGGGGTCTTCGGGCGCGTACGGCGAGCGGGCCAAGGACGACTAACGTGTTTGATTGAATTTCCAAGCGTACATAATAAGAGTCTCTGCGTGTGAATCTGAAATTCACCACTTTTGCATTTCCCCAACCCCTTTTTCCTTCTCCAGCGGATTGCTTTGTCCCAATGTCCTTGGCGCTTTCTTTCTAGTCTCCGACTACAATGACACCTTCCATGCACAATGATGAAACAATGCGGGCCAGATCTCATTATCTCGTGCCTGCATGCAACTTGGGCTGATCGACTATGCTGTGTGACGGTGTCTTGCACTTGGACAACGCCTCTAGCAGCTATGCTGCATCAATTCCTAGGCTTATAGTGGCATTTTGGCTTGATAGCGCCACATCAATACCTAGACATAAGACCCTTCATAGAAAACTTTTATTGCATTTTCTCCAGTGTCAAGTAGACTCTTAGCCAACTCAACACATTGCTGTATAACTTCTGTATTAAATTCAAATCCGGCGTACACCGGGAGAACCACCTCTCGTCGCATTAAGAGCTGCATTCCGGATCATGAAGATGTCGTCTTTGCCTCCGAAGTGTAGAATAACCAAGGGCAAAGATTTCAAGGAGTATAGATTGACTGTTACTAGCGGTAACTCTCGTAAAAGTTCCCCTAAATCCCAGACTCATAGCAGTGTATTTCTGTATTGGCTTTGTATTCGTAAGATATACCCAATCCAGAAACCTATAGATCTACGAGCCCTGAAGGAATTTCCGTCCAAGAACAGGCCATTCGCTTTCTTTTGGAGTTCTCATCTTAAAGCCAGTCTCTCCAGCTTACCTTCAGACTCCAAGTCGTCCTCATATACTAGCACCCTAACACCGGGACAATGTTACTCACTGCTCAAATCAGTATGTTGCATTCGACACCCCAATTATCACAGCAAATACCGACCAATGAAAGACAGATGGTGTCTACGATCTTGCAGAGCAAGGGAATTTGCGCTGCAATTTCGAAGATCACAACACTTCCTCACTGCTAGCGGAAAGCCTCGAACAGAAGTCGCCTTGCCCAGCCAAGCTCCACCATCCGGCGTGGCCCAATATGCACCGTCAGTACTCCATATCCTCCAATTAGTCCCTGAGTATGGATATTTTGACAAGGATATTATCACCAGAACAACCCTCGATCAAATTGCGAACTGGGCCCGACAAAGCTCCTTATATCCGATGACCTTCGGGCTTGCCTGCTGTGCGGTGGAAATGATGCAAATGGCTGGCCCACGGTATGATGTCGACCGCTTGGGGCTGCTTTTTCGGGCTTCTCCGAGGCAGTCGGACCTGATGATTGTTGCGGGCACCGTGACAAACAAAATGGCACCTGCACTTCGGCAGGTGTATGATCAGATGCCGGACCCAAGATACGTTATCAGTATGGGCAGCTGTGCGAATGGCGGTGGTTACCATCACTATAGTTATTCCATCGTTCGAGGCTGCGATCGGATTGTGCCTGTTGATGTCTATGTTCCTGGGTGTGAGTGGATCTAACATACTCGGAAAAGTCCTGGTGTGAGCTAAATGGATGATATAGGCCCACCAACGTCGGAAGCTTTGATCTATGGAATTTTCCAAATTCAGAAGAAGATACGGAGGACTCAGACGACACGCATGTGGTACAGGCGATAGGCATATATCGTTGAATAAACCTGGAGTGAATGGTTTGTGTTTGTACAGCCCTGGGGTTTGAAGAATGTGGCAGATGTGCCTTATGTGCTAGTGAAGGTAGAGATTGAATGATTTTGAACGATAGAACTGTATGAATTGTCGGCTTGACCACCATGTCATGCAAGGGTATTTTCGCTATAGTCCTTGGAAAACAGAGACATTTCAAGTCTAATTGGCTGTGGTATTTCCGCGAAAACTCGTTCTTCACTACCCAACCGGGCCTTAGAATTATTACCATCATTTCCAGACGCTTACGCAGTTAGTCAATGACGACCACTAACTTCCGTTCTTTTCGGCGATAGGACATAAGAGCGGGGCGTGTGATGACCGGCTCGTCAGCAGCCGCTCGGAATCCTACCCATCCGGGATCGACAAGACAGCGACCTAATTTCTTTCCACTCTCTATGATAAAACGCTTGTCTTTTCCCTTCGTTGGAATCTTTATTCTCTGAGCTTGTTATACTCGTTATTATTCGTTTGAATTGGAGCGGGCTTTCTCTTTCTTCACATCCTTCATTGTCTTATCTCCAATACCAACCCGTGGACTTCCAAGTCCATTTCAGCATGATTTCAACTATCGCCGCAACAGTTCGGAATTCCCCGAAAACTGTTAGTTTTTCAAACGGAAGCAACGGCTCCCTCGTTGGTCACCTTTACCTTCCTAAGACCTATGAATGCAATCAACGATATCCTGCCGTCATCGTTGGCGGTTCGATGGCGTCTGTTAAGGAGCAGATGAGCGGTACATATGCGAGCCAATTAGCGAACCACGGCATCATCGCCATGGCCATCGATTATACCAACTGGGGGGAAAGTAGTGGCGCGGAGCGTTCTTCTGAAGTCCCGACACAAAAGACCAAAGATCTGTCATCGGCAGTGAGCTATTTGGTAAACCGGAAGGATGTGGCTGCTACAGCACTCTTGGGCATATGCACTTCTGGTGGAAATATCCTCTATGCTGCAGCAGAAGATCGTCGTGTACGCGCTTTGGTAACAGTAGCAGGCTTTTTTGGGGAGCCGGATCTACTTCCAACACTATTCGGTGCTGATGGGGTTGAAAGTCGAAAGGCTTCAGGTCGTCAAGCTCGTGACCTTTACAGAGAGACGGGCGAAATTGAGATCATCAAAGCGTACTCGGACGCTGAGCCCGCAGCGAGCAAAACTCCTAAAGATTCATACTACATGGATCAGTCACGAGGCGGTGGTGTTCGCGCCTGGCGCAATTCCTTTGCCGTCATGTCGTGGGAGTCATGGCTCGCTTTTGACCCTGTTGCGAAAGCTTCACGGGTTACTACTCCGACGTTGATGATTCATTCTCAAAAGGCAGCATTCCCTACTCAAGCTTCTAAAGTCTACGATCTGCTGGCTGGACCGAAAGAATGTATTTGGACCGAGGCGACCCACTTCGATTTTTACGATAATACGGAAACTGTACAAGATGCTGTCCAGCAAATCGCCGGGTTTCTCCACAAAACGCTTATGCTATGAGGGTTAGCTTAGCAATATTAGACATGGACATAGTGGTGGTGGGGCTTGTACCTATTTTATTCGCGCAATAATCCAATTACTAGTGATATCGATTCACCTTCCACAGATCAGCCCCGAGTGCCATCGATAAAGCTTTGGCGCCTCTTCACTTTCATCAGGGGTCACCGGAGTCGTCATAATAGACTTGAGATTTGGAAGAAAATAAATAGCATTCACGCCATAGCTAGCTGAGGCGCGTTAGTGATTACCAAAAACTCCCTCGGCGATAAATATTTGTCTACTATCCTGGACTCAACGGAGCCTTTGACAGGCACACCATCTCTCGACTATGAATCTTTGGGTGTTAACTTCTATGACTCTGATAGACTGGACTGCGATAGAGTTCTGTTCAGTCCAGCTCACAAAGACAGTGGCACATTGACAATTTTGGTCCGAGCCACGGAAGCATGCGATGGGTTAGAGACCACCGATCTTGGGTCAACGGACAAGCTTGATAGCGAGGGTATAGGCCTGGATGCCTCTTTCATTTACGTCCCAGCAATGCCCGATGAAGTTATCGTGATTGCAGGAACACGTTTGCAGGGTCTTCTAGGCGGAAGCAAAGTGCGTGCATGCGTGCACAGAGTTCGCAGTCCTACAAAGACAAGCAACAGGTGTGTTGCACGCGAGAGACTGAGTTTGTCGGTTTTCTGCGGGCCCCCTGTCACCAACCTTCCAAGGTTGGAAATGGGCAGCCAGTGGTACGAGATAAACTTGGTGTGAAATATGATTATATATGCAGCAGCCCCGACGTGCACGCCTCACCCTAAAAAAATTGACGCCCCGGAAATTGCCGGTTCAAGCTCTTGGGAATATTGCCTCATCCTTGATCAAGACCAGCAAGCTCTTCTTTACTGTAATCTTGTTCGCGATTGATGTGACTAATCGATTTTGTAGTAGTTTTCGTTCAGCTGAGAAATGTCGCGTCGAGATTCCCAATCGTATCTGTATGTTTTGATCTCAGGTATGCGGTCATATTGTCCTTTCGTCAGAAGAGTTTCCTACATATAGGGCATTTGAACGAGGACGGTGAGCTATGCAGTCGCAAAATGCCCTTCTAGACTGACGGAATTTAAGGTGCTAATTTAAATAGATAAACATTTAAGCATATGGCTTGCTCACCCGTTTATTGACGGATCAAGCACAAATGAGGCACAACACTAGCGTTGAGTGCTGTATGAAAGGCTCGGTTGGAGATTTGGGAATGAGAGCGTGGCTCAGAGTACAAAAATATCCACCAAAATTCTCGAACTTTCCTAACAACCTTGGAAGGAATACACCATGTGTCGAAGTCATAACTAAGTATACCTAGGTACCTTCTATCCTGACATTACAAAACGGGGTTGCAGTGCTCAGGCATGTCGCTTGATTCACATGCCTCGCCAGAAATCTGTGCGTAACTCACATCATGGGTGTCTTCAATGCAAGCGGAGAAATGTCAAGGTATATCCCGATTTGTTGGCCTTGAAGTGAGCTACACTGACGCTATGATTAGTGCGATGCAAAGCGACCTAAATGCACTAGATGTGAGGACCGTGTAGATGCTTGCCAGTACGATTCTGGCTCTAGAAAAAGCCTGCTGCCGCGAGTCACAGCTCTACGGAGTACCCGGGTGTGATCTTCCAAGCCACGTTGTCCCCAAAAGATTTGGATTTGGCTACTGGGACGGTCTCCACAGACCCATCTACCGCGCCCTCTACTGGAAATTCAGACGATCTCCATTCAAGGCTCCTTTTGCACTGGAAGAAAGCAACTGCCTCCACCATATCCAGAAACGATACAGATCTTGAATTATGGCAGACTAAAGTGCCGAACGAGGCTTTGTCTAACCCATGTCTCATGCATGGCATCTATGCTGTCTCAGCAATCCATCTGGCACTGATTCATCCAGGCAGTGAGCGTGGGCGATGGATCAGAACCGCCGAGTACCATCAAAGTGAATCAATTAAGCTGTTTATCAGCCTTTGGGAAGACGAGCATAAAAGGCATCACATGGGAAGCTTTTTTGTTTCAAGTCTTTTGATAGGCTGCGCTTTCGCCTTTCCGCTCGCCATCTCCAAGCCAACCCATGAGATATTTGATCCACTCAATGAGATCATTCAACTCATGGCGTTTATTAAATCAACAATGGATTTTTCAGCCCCCGTGTTGACAGGTGTCAAGTCGGACGATATGATTCAATTGACCCACATTGAACAAGTCAACCCATGCTTGTCTGATTTATCTCGTTCGGCACTATCGGCTCTGCCCGAAATCAACACTACACACATATTGGATTCAGGGGACCGGGAGGCTTGTCACTCTGCAATTTGTCTACTTGAAGACCTTTTCGCTCACTTGGACAGCGGGGCGGAACCGGTTTCAAAGACATTCATGTGGATCTGTGAATATCCACCTCGATCATTATCTCTATTGAATGATCGCCATCCCTTTACACTGGTCATATTTGCGCATTATTGTGTTGCGCTTCATCGTCTCCGATGGCTTTGGTGGATTTCATCCTGGGGCGAGCGTGTGCTTCTTGCAATCCACCATGAATTAGATTCCGCATGCGGCATGGAGGCCTCTTATTCAGTGGCCGTTCGATGCAACTGGCATCAAAGAAGTGAAGTATTGAAACATCGAAAATTTTGGACTTGGTAGCTGTTCAACGTGCAGATATAGGGCAAAAGTCTCGCCCCAATCCACCCTCCTCCTCACTTTGGGTAGAAAGTCAACCAACTGCCATTCCAGGGTTTTAATAGGTAAACCTTGGAAGCTCGGTTTCTTTATTACCTCCAAGGTCCTCTTATACCTAGTACAAGCACTTTGCCAGTACCTAGTCTAGCGGTTAAAATTACCCTTCTTCAAGGGTTAGCTATCATGTATAGCCCCGCAGTACTGATTTATATAGGCCAAAAGTCTCGCCCCACTCCATCCTTGGGGGCCGAAGAATACTATGTACTGTATGCCTTTCCAGATATACCGATACAACCTCCGAGTCGACTGACGGTTTCGATGTACTACTAGTAGTATCTGCAACTTACTTTTATTGCATATCCATCCGACGGTTCTAAGAGCAACCTTGAATATAACTCTCAAAAACGCCCCTTCTTGTTCAGCCGAATTATGTCCGGGTGGGTGCTTCCAAGGTTAATATCACTGAACAAAGAAAGGCCAAGAGCCTAGGTGAGCACTAAATAGAAGGCGAACGCCAAGTGACATAAATCAAGGTAGATTATCCCCTGTCTATCAATGCTTTTAGGGGTGCGCTTTAATCTATTTACCGGCATCCCTCCGCTCCTAACTATATTAGTATATGAGGGCTCAAAGTACAAATGAACTTGGAATCAACATTGAAATGACTTTGATCTCCCCCACAGCTCTCCCTGAGCCAACTGATGATAAAGTGATGATCCAAGCCACAAAGTGAAACCCCGGAACTAACGCCAAGCAGTCCTGTAAAAAGATCTTCCCCCGAAATTTCCTAGGTTGAGCTCTGTTTTTCCGCCTATGAGCATTCAAGTGGGAAAGAGGCTTGTCCTCGCCTTGATTTCTGATCACTTTACTGATGGCAATTTCCCGAGATCCATTTTTCCGTGAGCTGGGACACGCGGACTCGAGTATATAGATGTGATATATAGGGTGTACACCCCAGGGCTTGCTGAACTGTCCGGGGCGCATCCAATACCAAAATGATGCTTTTCACTTTCCTTGCTATGCTCTCTGGAGCATTAGCTCAGTCTCAAACGGGAACGTCTCAACCTCCAACAGCCACTTTGACCAGCACGACCGACAAAGCTATCTTCGTAGGACGATCGCTCCCACAATTCAACCAAGATCTCTTTCTCGGCGTAAAATATGCCGATCAGCCTCTTCGCTTTACTCCGGCCCAGTTGAAGACTGCATATGCTTCTGATGACAGCAACTCCGGTGAATACGATTCTCCCGAGGGCCAAAGCACCGCGGTGTATTACAATGCCACGCAGTATGGCTATGATTGTCCCGCGTATGGATCAGACACTACCAGTCTGGTCAAGCAGGGTCTCATCGCCCTGAACGAAGATTGTATGAACCTGAATATCATTCGCCCTCAGACAGATGACCAGGAATTGCTTCCGGTGATGATCTGGATCTTTGGCGGCGGGTGGACACAGGGTGCTACTGCAGATCCAAGGCACGTGAAGAATATGAAGGGAACTGTGGCATTGATGACTGACTGATACAGATATAACATGAGCTATATTGTCGAACAGAGCGCTTTGAATGGTAAACCGGTACTGGGCGTTTCTATCAACTATCGGCTGTCAGCGTTTGGATTCTTGGATTCGGAGGAAGTGCGAGTATGTATTGTCCCTCAAATAATTGATTTGAGCAGCTGAGTAACTCCATAGGCCGAGGGAAATACCAACCTAGCCCTGCGTGATCAACGCACTGCCCTGCGGTGGGTGAAGAAGAACATCGAAGCATTTGGCGGAGACCCAGAGAAAATTACCATCTGGGGCGAGTCTGCGTGAGTACCTCAGACAAGGATCTGGATTCTCTCTTACTGTCTAATGCTAACTATGCGAAGTGGTGCATACAGCGTTGGAATCCATTTGGTGACCAATAATGGCGACAACGAGGGTCTTTTCAGAGCTGGTTTGTCTCTCACTTCCCAATTTGCAGGATAATAAATGCTGAAGGACATACCAGCGATCATGGACTCCGGTAATGCAGTCGGTCCTCCATACAACGGCACCGAGTGGCATCAGCCAATGTACGACCGAATTGTCGAGAGAGCCGGGTAAGACTGTATCCTCAATCTCCTCGAGAATTCAGACTGACACAAGATAGCTGTACCGGGTCAAGTGATACTCTCAAATGTCTCCGTGAATTACCCTACGAAGAAATCTACAGCGCCGCCTACGAAGGCCTCGAGTGGTTTGCAACCATCGACGGATCATTCGTGACCCAATATCCCCAAATCAGCTACAAGAAAGGAAAGGTGGCCAAAGTGCCTATTCTCCTAGGCACAAATACAGACGAAGGCACCAGCTTCGGCACCACAAGAACGGACACAGACGAGGATTGTATTGATGAATTGACCAGTACGTTTCCGTGGATCATTGACAGCACAAGCTAACCCAGGCCTAGAATCGAAGCGATGGGTCCTCAATCGTACCCAAGCTACTGCGCTTCTGCCACATTATCCTAACATATCCGCCATCGGTTGTCCCTACGGCTGGGGCAATGTCACCTGGCCTTCTCTGGGCTTGATGTACAAGCGATACTCGTCCATGGCTGGAGACTTGACGATGGTGGCACCGCGGCGAATGCTGGCAGAGACCATGTCTGGATTCAAAGAGAAAGTATACTCATACAGATGGGATGTGGCCGCATACAACACTTCGTCGACGATTGGTGTGCAGCATTTTGCGGAGGTATGTGTGAGATATTGATATCCACGCGCAGACATTGACCGCATGGATCATACAGATTCCTTTTGTTTTCGCAAATCCCGTTCAAAACGTCACTCCTCTGGGAAGTGATCCGGCACGTTTGGAGTTGGGGCAGATGGCAGCGCGGATGTGGACGTCTTTCGTAGCAGATTTGGATCCCAATGGACATGGTGGTAAGTCTTCTACCTCTTTAATCCTTCATTCTTGTGCCCGGAAGCCATTCGTTGACTCGCTGATAGTGTCTGACATCGCCAAATGGCCGAAATACGAACCTGGCACCGACGTCTCGAATTTTGTTCTCCGCTTGCCCCGGGCTGAGAGCTATACAGAGGCTGATACCTACCGTGGTGCTGGAATCAAGTATATCAATACTATTGTGCGGTGATAGCGCAGTTTATTAGGCCGTGCAGTCCACCCCGGCTCCATAGAAGCTTCCAAGGTTATGGGGGCTGCTGGTACGTGATCGAATCGAGCTCTATAAAGAGTAAATTGATGGATAGTTAAGAACGAGCTGGAATTTCACTACTAGGCAGTAGCCTGTCAGCTGAAGTAGGCGGACAGGAGCAATCTAAACTTCAATTCTGTTTTCCAAGTGGACTCGACATCGCGAGCGCTTGATTTAAGCGTTGCGGGTACCGATGGTAACGAGCTTGACGTCGCTGTGAGAATGTCAGTATTTGCTTCCCTTGGTTTCGGCACAACAGCAGCGCGGAGATAACTTACAAGACCAGGGTGGAGTTGGCGGGGATCAGACCGGGGAAACCACTAAAATGAACCGTTAGCTTCTTTTGAACCAAGATCGCAAGCATAGATGGTAAATATAAGATATTGAGGGGTGAGTCTCAAGCGCCGGGGTTATCGAGTTACGTACCGGGGACCGTAGCCGAAGTCACTATTGGCATGTTAGCAGGGTTCAACTGTCGCGGAATAGGCATCGACTTACGGAGTGATGGTGAGGATAGCGCGCTCACCAAGGGACATCTGGGGAACACCCTCATCCCAACCTGTAGTAACGAGTAAGCATGCCAATCAGAGCTATCCGGAAGCTCAACCAACGCACCTCTGATCAGACGACCAACACCGATGGGGGTGGCGAGGGGGGAGCCGCGGTCGTAGGAGCTGTCGAACCTAGTGGGCTGTCAGTATCTGGGTATCTGCATGAGGTGGTACGGCTTACTTCGTGCCCATGTTGTTCACGGCGCCCTCCTGGTAGAGGCAGCCAGTGTAGTGGATGGCAACATTCTCGCCCACCTTGGGGTAGTCAGTGCCGTTGCCGTTCTCGATGATCTTCTTCTCGACGCCCATTGTGAATGATGTGTGTGTAGTAGTGAGGTGGTTGAAGGTAAGAAACACGAGGAGGGGAGGCCTGGAGGGGCAGATCCACTTTTTTTTGCTAAGCGGAACCGACAGCCCTGGAGTCTTGCGCTTTTACGGAGTACTGTACGAGGGTTGTTTACAGACTACGAGAGTATTACGGGGTGGTTGGAATTGACGTATTGCAGGTGCATACAGTCATGCACGGCATATGCCATGGAATACTCCGCGGGTGATGACCACATGGCTGGGATAGCTCGGATGATTGGGATCGGAGGAATATGGCTATAACAGCCACTGGCGCTCTCTGGGGTCTCTGATTTGTAAAGGTCAGACCACTCGTAGGCGAGTACGAAGAAATATTTCCGGTTTACCCCATTTCTTCGGCGGGGAAGATCGTCAAGCGGCAACAAGACGGGAACACATTCTGAACAGTGAAAGTATACTAGTAGACTATGACCAGAATTCCATCTTGCTCAGATCTGCCACGGAAATCTCCGCGACCTGCGTCTGAGGGAATCGAGCATCGGGGACAATGGCTGACACCGAGGGCACTCCCAGCTGGAGGTAATGAAGCGTAGTAATGCCCGCAAGGTCCAAGAATTTCAGGACCCGGTGGAAGTTCAAAGCCACCTGGTCAACGCCATGGCTGTCATCAGACAGAACAAAGCGACCGCCTCGAGCCACGAATTCCTAAAGCAATCAGCTATGATCTCAAGCCTCACACATCCAGTCACTTACCTTGCAAATCTCAGCCTTAGGATAGGGCTCAGTCATTCCCTTCCGCAATGCTGCGGAATTGAGCTCCAACATGCCTCCATACGAAGCAATGAGATCCAAGTTCCGCAAAATCTTGCTCCAAACACCGGGCCACTCTGTAAAGCTGCGTTCCATATCGTCGCTCTTGAGACGAATCAGATCGAAATGACCCACGACCAGCGGCTGCAATTGCTGCAGCATATCGAATTGCGCATCGAAGTAGTCCTCAAAAAGACGCTCATCGGTTCCACCCGCGAGCTCTCGCGCCTGCTCATACATCGCTCGATCATAGTCGATCGGCACGGTGTGCATGTGATGAACGGAGCCGATGAAGAATTCAAAGGGGAACCTTGCCAGAGAGCGGTCAATCAGATCTCTCGAGGCAGGTCTGATCCAGTCGATCTCGAAGCCGATGATGATCTTGATCTGGGATGCATATTTTTCGCGAAGGCGCACTGCTTCTTCCCAGTAAGCGGCTTCATTAGCTGCATGGCTTTCTTCTGTATTTCCGGATTCAATCTAGATATCGGTGAGTCAGGGACGGGACTGTATGGAGAAATACGTACTTCTTCCGGATAGAAATCTTCTTTATGGCGGGGCATGTGTTCAGTCAGGCAGAAAACTTGCATTTTCTTGCTGATTGCTGTTTGGATGACATCTTCTAATGAGTTCTGAGCATGTCCTGGGCAGAACTGGCCTGAGTGGCTGTGGTGGGAGAACGGCATTGTATGGTCTGTGTTGACGGTCAACTCAAGCTCGGAGCTTCGGGATTAATCAGAGACAGCAAGAGGTGACTGCGAGACACGCGCTTGAGCACATACAGTAGATATTTCTATCCAAAGCCACTGCTGGTTGGGTAGTGAGTGAAGTCAACCTTGGAAGGTCAAGGTTGACGATAGACGATAAGAGCCCCGCTGTATCTCCGCGTCCACCGGGGCAGCGCAGGTTGCATAGCTCCTGTATGTGTTGGTCTATGTGAACTAAATACACACTTTCTCCGTTTGACGGTTATCGTAATTTCTGGTGTCGGACGCTGAGGTATTTGGGCTTAGCCTTCAACTTTCCAAGGTTGCGCGCCTTGTTCCAATCCAATCGTGCCGTATACACACGCTGTAGTCACCGGCAAAGAGCTCAGCAGAATGCAAAATGATGCTCCGAGTGTGGCAAAAGCCAGCTGTATATGTCCCCGTTGTATCCTGGCCCTGATCCACTGCTCAAATGCGAATCGAGATGTCCTCAATTGGAGTGAGAAGCATCTCTCCCACGAAAACTTTGGCCTAGCGAGTGCGTCGCTCTGCTTTGAAGCAATCTACCCCATAGCTCGAGATCAATTGCAGCAGGATCTCCCGTATCCCAAGTCCGTAGTGCCATCACCCGGCCGCCAAAACCGTCGCGACAACATACTCTCCGTCATGAGAAATCGACAACCGCGCGACCCTCCCTTCATGGCTCCCATCTTCAGGCGGAAGATAGACAATCTCAGGTCTCCGGCTCACACCGACTCCAAACGCTCCTCCGTCCTCCTGCACACGCACCATCACGTCCTTCCATCCAATCGACGCCGCGCCCTCCGGCGCCGCCTTGCGCGCCGCCTCCTTAGCCGCGAAGCGCCCGGCCAGCCAGCGCGTTATATCGGCAGGAACAGGCGGGGGCTGCTGGTGGTAAGCGGCGTGCGCTTGAAGAGATTCGCCGAAGCGGGTCTTGAAGTCGGTTTGTTCGGAGTCGCAGAGGATGCGGCGCGTGAAGCGGGGGAGGTAGTTTGGTTGGGCGAGGAGACGGCCTATTCGAGGGATGTGGACGACATCTGTGCCGATGTTGAACGGGAATGGGAAGGGAAGTGGTTTCATGTTTGGGTATCAAGTGTGGAGAGTTGTGAAGGTGAAGTAGAAGTGAGGACCAGGAGTTTTTTAGACCTGAATTTCAAGCTCCTGGTAACATAGCTCGGCCGGCCAATGTGTGACAGTTGGTAAATTATGATCACGGAGAGATATTATAGGCGTCATAGGAGCTTGATCTAGGTTATTTACATCTACATCTTATCAGATTCTACGAGCCATCCGTGGACTGAGTATACACGTCCGGGGGTGCAGTCACTCACTCCGAGAGCTCTTGTGGCCATCAGGATCATAACTTCAACCTGGAGAATACCTTCGCCCACATGAGCATGGAACGTAGATCCCGAGTCACCCGAAGCAAATGTGAAATGCAGCCGCGCCACTCGCTTCCACACGTTCCGCGGTGAATGAAAGTCGGCGCGAAGTCAATGCGCTAGCCCAAGGGACTGTATCAAAAGGAAAACTTTCTATGCAGCGTACACATCCCCTATATACAGATCAACCGCATCCGACATTCCGAGAATGGTCCGTGTAGCTCGAAGAATCGTCGTCAGAACGCCGAGGGGCAGATACACAGCGCGCTAGAAATGGCACCAGAGCGGGCGGGCAGTATAGTTCAATTCAAAGTCCTATCTGCAGATGATCGACCGCTCCATCAATCAAAACCGTGTCGAGGGATTGTTTAGTGCTGAGCAGGCTTCTTCTCGCCGCCGTCGACCTCCTTCATGAAGTTCCTGTAAGAGGCGAGAGGTTAGTTTACCTACTGGACACGGTTTCGCAAGGTTCGGGGTGGGCAAGGGCCCGTCGGAATAGTATGCACATACTGGATGAAGTTCTCCTCGTCCTTGGAGGAGGCGTTGATGGGGGGACCCTGGGCGGTCTTGGGCTTCTCACCGCCGCCGGCAGCGAGCCAGGAACCAGCGAAGATGCTGCCGAGGGTGGTCATGGCGAGCTATTGAGAGGGGAGCGAGAACCCGATCAGCTTTCGTTCGCCGTCTTGTGCCGGGCAAGGGGTGACGGCGCGGTGGGGAAACTTACGACGTGGGAGCCGACCTTCTTGCCAGCGATCTGGTAGTAGACAACCATTTTGTAGAGTGTGAATTGAGGTTCAGCTAAAAGGTTCAACTGGCGATGTGGACGGAATCCTTAGGCTTGGACCAAACGACGAGGTCGGCACCGAGACCGCCTTTCCCCATTAGGCTAGATCAGTCACGTGAATGATGGCAGTTTTGGTGACTCAGCTGTTACATAAACATCGAAGTCTTGGCATCCGCGGACTACCCGAGCGCGTCCGATCTCCCCCGGTCTTTTCGGGGAAGGGGAGGTTGTCGACGGAATCTCATGCGGGCACAGATGTACCGAGATGTTTGACAGGCCGAAATGCTTCAGCCCGAAAGCTTCAACGATGCCCAGTCTTTATGCATGTCGGCCCTGAGACCGCTCTTTGTACACCTCCGTGCTACGGAGTAGTCCTACCCCGGATCGTGGGAAGCAGCCTCGGGACGCTATTTCACGGACATTGATGTATACCCCGGCTATGGCTGCGCCTTCGGCTGTGCTGGACGGTTGATCTGAGAGCTTTTAATAATACAAATTCCTCCCTTGCATAGCTTTCATTCTTCCCCCGCTCTCCTGATCCTGGACAGCTTCTTTCTTTCTTTTTGAGCATCGTACGACCTACACCACAGGACTACACTACACTACACGATGGCTTGGGGCAGTCGACCAGAAGAGCCGACACCTCCAAAGGAATTGCTGGACAAGCCTGTAGTGCAGAAGAAGCTGCCCGCCAAATTACAACAAATAGTAGACCGCGAGGACGAATTCTACGACGACCTTTATTCCGGATAGTAAGTCTTTCCATGTACTCTTTCTCCGTGCTCTCAAGAAGAGAGAAAGAAAAAAACCCAATACACAAAATCCCAAAAAAGAAAGGTGAAGGGCGCAACGAAAGAAGGCAGAAGTGCATGGTTGCCTATGACATAGCCGTCCAAGGTTCTCCGCACTCGAACACATCTCACATTTCTCTTCACACCCACTAACCATGCCGTCCGATAGCTCTGTGGATTCTACAGACACTCCCTTCCGTTATGCAGCATACGCCAATCGCATCCGTACAATCCTGCTCTCCGCTCATCGCTATGTACGATCACCGCGCGACGATGTCGATCTCCACTAACCCTCCCAGGTCGCCTACACCTCCGACATTGGCGAATCATTCCGCCCAATCGCACACCCCTGGCTCGTCCGCTCCGCCTACGGAATTTCATGGACCTACCTCCTAGGCGATGTCGGCCACGAAGGCTACAAAGCTTACCTGCGCAACTGGAAGGCCCTCGCGCCAACCGGGGACGCCTACAAGGACGCCAGCGAGCCTTCCCAAGATCAGATCATTAAGGGCATGGCGACGGGCAACATGACCATTGGCAACCAAGCCGACTCCAACGATTCCCTGCACTGGCCTACGCCTGAGATCCCACTCGCGGAGGATTACCGCATGGTCATGGCAAAGCGGGCTGTGTTCCAGAGCATTGCCAGTATGGGTCTGCCGGCATTCACGATCCACAGTGTGGTGCGATACTCTGGAAGGATGGTCAAGGGGGTGAAAACCTCGTTCATTCGGACTTGGACGCCTATCGGGGTATGTATGCCTGGATGTTGAGATATAGGCTGGGTTGCTAATTAGATTATAGTTGGGTCTCGCTGTTGTCCCCTTCCTTCCTTATATCTTCGATCACCCCATCGATGAAGCCGTGGAATGGGCCTTCCGCACTGGTCTGCGTGCGTACGGCGGCGAAGCAGCAGTCCGCCCATTACCGGGTAAGAGTCTGCCTCCCAGAGAAGAGGAGGAGGTCCGCGCTGCTGCGGCGGCGAACCTTTCCTGGGATGAGTACAAGGCTGAGCGGGAGCGAGCACGCGAGCTGCGTCGCCAGTCTGGTCAGGGGAGCAGTGGGATTGCGTCGCTGACGAGCTGGTTTGGAAAGTCTTCCGAGGAGAAGAAGAACGACTGATTCGACTCGCATTTCTTATTGCCTGCATTGCAGTGGAGTATTCTTTTCTTACATTCTCATCAACCTCTCCTATTTCTTGTACATATTGTTTTCCACTCCACAACTTGTCGATCCCGTGAACAAAATGACCATATCTTTTCATCGGTGCAGGCTTCTCCTGGGACTGCTCATGTACCACGTTCTCAAAACGTTGACCACAACTTGGAATGGTGACGAAAGTTCATTTTCCCATACGGCAACCCTGTCACAGCCTTGAGAAATGCCATAGAATACGGGCGAGTTTCTCCAGAATCCATTCTATCAAAGGGTCCATTGTAGATGATATGAGCTGAAGCAGCTAGGTGACTTGCAACTGTCAAAGAAGTGGTGGCTATGAAAGAACAAGCTATCAGCCCTGGAGCTACTCGAGTCGGTTTTTACACATCGAAGACAAACATCGAAACCCGGGATATCGTTTGACAAATTACGCGCTGCAACAAACATGAACTTTGGCTTGATTCCCAGCAATATCTCTCTGCTATAGAGGATCATGCATCATTGGGCACCTCAAACCCCTCCACCCGGACAGATTTATTTCGATGTTGCATGATCAATCGCGCGAGCTTGAAGCGATCATCCCTCCCCAGCATTTCAGTTCCCAAATTCCGCACAATCAACCCATCATAGTCGTGCTCAAACTCCACATCTGCTGCCCATTCATACATGGGGCTTCTCTCTCTGAAATAGTACGGACGGCCATCCTTCATCACGGTTTCGTATAACTTGCGGAAGTCCCGAGAGTTCCCAGTCTTGATATCCCCATTCGATAGCACCACGACACTGGCATGCCAGGGCATATCACCAAATTGATCCCCTTGTCGCAAAAGCGGGATGGAGATCTTATTTCGCCCTATCGACGGATGGATAGAGAGACGGATATACTTCCCAAGTGAGGCATTGATGACTGCCTCATATGCCTGCACAATTGAACGGTATGTCAGAGGCTGTTTGGGACACGAATCATGCGCAATCCACTTACGATAAGCCTGTTGATCATCGTCTTCGCCATCCTGGACACTTCGGCCGCATACAACACTTGGTCCTCCTTGATGACAGGGTCGAGCCCTTTGGACCATCTGAGATCCTCCGAGATACGGCTGAAGTAGCTGTCAAAGGTGATTTTGGTATCGGGATTCGTCTTCAGTTCATGGTCGATGTCGAATTTGGTATCAAAATAAGCAGAAGACATCAATGTCTCTCTGCATGTGGGCATTAGACGCAGGTAATCTGCTTTGGAGACTTTCTCGCCGTCCCCTAGCCCAAGCAGATTCATCAGACGGGTGAAATGGATGGAGGAAAATCGTTTCTTTTCGGCCATTTGGCGTAACTGGATCCCATATTCGTAGGATTCCTCGTCAGACACGCCGACCAAATCTGGAAAGTTAGACTCACAGCCCACTGAAATCAAATTCCTGAAGATGGAGCAACATACCATTATACACGGGTCCATCGCAGATGAGGATCAATCGTGCCCCATAAGGGTATACTTTGGCAATTTCCTCGCACAAGTGATTCAGCTTGGCGAGCCCCAACTCTTCTCCTAAATCAATCCCATCGGCGATGACCTTATCCTGGTTTGGATTCTTCCATGGGAAAGCCGGGAGTACCATTGTTATTGGCTGATTTGCAGCGATATCATACTTCACCTTATCCACCATCATCTCGAACACCTTCCCGGCATCTTTTTGGCCGCTGTCCGAATGCAGAGAAAACTGCCGCAAAACCCGAATCACCTTCTCAGGGATTTCTTCTGGTGCATATTCAAATTTCATCGTCAAGGCCACCTGGGCAGGTCTAGTTCACAGAGAATGGGGGCAGGGTCAGCAGATCCGAACGCAGCGACTTTATACTTCCAAGGTTGACAATGTCTCGGCTGAATCTCCGACCATTCCTCGGGCCATGCATGCACTGAAGTCATACAGCATTGTAGCATGCATAAGCTCTGCAGAGCGCCCAGGTGTGGATATTTGACTCCACAATGTAGCATTCGAGTCACATCAAACACGCGGCCTTATAGTCTCCCCTCGCCACCAATTCTTTTAAAGCGTTGGGCATAGTCTTGAGTCTCCTGGGCTTCAAAGAACATGGGTCAAACTCAATTATCCCATTCAAGCAATGAAGTGAATCCAATCCACTCCGAAGACTACGCCTCGGCTGAGACCTATACTACAACTCAGACAGAAGAATCCCTATCCGCTCCAGATCCCCGTCAGCAGGATGAAGCGCAAAAGACAGAGAACCATGAAGTACCCAATGGAGGTCTCGTGGCTTGGACCCAGGTCATGACTGGGCATTTGGTTGTATTCAACGTCTGGGGTTATATCACATCGTAAGAGGCCCACGTTCCAATTGATGTCGATCTCGCCCGCTGATGCATAACAGCTATGGATTTTTCCAAGAATACTACGTCAGCCATCTCCACGTCAGCCCAGCTAATGCCTCGTGGATTGGGTCCCTGCAGATGTTCCTGGTCCATTTTCTGGCTATGTTCTCCGGCCGGACAATGGACGCCGGCTACCTGCGGTACTGCATTGCAACTGGCTGCTTATTCCAAGTCGTGGGAGCCCTTGCAACATCCTTTGGCACCAAGCTGTGGCATTTTTGGCTGGCGCAGGGTGTTGTCAGTGGCATTGGCCACGGACTTCTGTTCAGCCCAATGATCTCGCTGTACGCGACATACTTCACCTCGAAACGAGTCATGGCTGTCTCATTGGCTTCTTGTGGAGCAGCCTCTGGGGGGATCGTGTTCCCTGTCATCGCATACAAGTGCTTGGACGTAATTGGGTTTGCATGGACAGTCCGTGTCATGGCGCTCATCATCCTAGTCAACAGTGTCATCATTGTCACTTTCACCCGGTCGAGGATTAAGCCTCGCAGTCCCCCTCCCTGGGTGGACTGGAGGGCGTTCGCGGAACGCCCTTACCTCCTTTTTTCGATCGGCTCGTTTTTGATTTTCGAAGGGATTTACTTCGCATACATCTATGTGGGTTCCTGTCCCCACCCCCATTTGGCCAAACTGACTTCTTCAGCTCCGACAATACGCCCAGGCTCACGCAGGGTTCAATGCGTCGGACTCGCTCCTCTTGCTCATTCTGATGAACGGGGTAGGTATTCCCTCTCGAATTGTGTCAGCATTCGTTGCAGATCGGTGGCTGGGCGCGGTGAGAACCTGCATTGCGGTTTCCATCCCTTGCGGCATTGCGATCCTCGGGTGGATTGGTGTTCACGACCACACTGGTATGTTCGTCTGGGCTGCTGTCTATGGGTTGATGGTCAATTCTGCCCAAAGTCAGCTCCCTGCTGCCCTTGCATACTTCGGCTCGAAAGACCCGGAAAGGTCAGGCACGCGTGTCGGGATGATCACTACGATCAATAGTATCCCGTTACTGACTGGGCCCTACATTGCCGGGCGACTGATCGACTTGCGGGGAGGAGATTACCTGTACGCTCAGCTATTCGGAGGCATTTGCATTCTGACTGGGGCGTTGTTTGTAGTCGGGTCTCACTTGTCGGGGGCCTAGCATTGGATAGAGAAGTTGGAGACGTTGTGCTACGTACAGTAGAGATGACCACCCGGATGGTGTAGCCTGGCCAGGTGGACTTAGACTGTGTTAGACTAGGGTTTGAGTCTAAATGAGCTCGATTGACTGTTTCGCTTGACTGAGGATCAATGAAATCAAAGAAATTCCACATTTTCTGTACTTGGTCTCCTCATTGACCCCCAGTGGTGCTTCGTACTTCGCCTCCATGTCTCGTCTACTTGCCAGAATGTCCCACAAGACACTCAGACCTCTTCACTACCACTTGCCACTATTCCCAGGATTCCAACTACTGGACGTGGCAGCCCCACTCGACATTCTCAACATTCGTACCCAGTACCCTGACACGGCGGGCATCACCCTGACTGTATCAGCCGAAACCATCGACCCCGTCTCCGTGAAGCCAGTGCCACCCCCGGATGCCAAGTGGAAATTCGACATCGCCGTCAACACAGCCTGCAACCAACACCTGGTCCCACAATGCACCTTCGCTGACGTGATTCGCGCCCTGAAATCGGGCAAAGCAGGCCATGGCGAGATTCAACCCGTCGATGTGCTCATCATCCCCGGCGGCCCAGGCACGCGTCTAAACCGGCTTGACCACACGGGAATGACCGCAGTCTCGAATACAAAGGAGGTACAAGACTTTATTGTTGATGTTGCACCCTATGTTCGACACAGCATCATCACAGTTTGCACGGGTAGCCACATCCTTGCTCAAACAGGCCTTCTGGATCATCGACAGGCCACGACCAATTCAGCCCGCTACGACGATGTCACTGGTAAATCACAGATGGTGAATTGGCAGCCCAACAAGCGGTGGTTGCGCGATATACCAGAGACTTCCGGTGGGTTGCTGCCTGGCGTCGAAATATGGTCATCTGCTGGGGTCTCTGCAGGGATAGACGTGATGTTGGAGTTCATCTCGGCGCATTACGGTGGCATTGAAATTGGCATGCAGACTGCGAGGCGGATGGAGTACCGCTGGGAGCGGGAGCGGGAGGCCTCGTATTTCCTGTGAGATTGTCTCGAATGAGATCTGATCGACCCCTTTGAGGTTCGAATTTCATATTTGGTCATGCAGAAACTTCAAGGTCCGATTTCAAATAGCCCTCTTGACAACCCCGGGGCTGCAGCATCCTTGACTGACGCATGGATGTTCGTCCGGAACGTATCTTCGTGATATTAGACTCGGTGAAAGCATATTCCTTTCCCGTTACATCGCTCAAATTACCTTGCAATTTCAGTAAATTGCCTTTGGACAAAATTCCCCAGGTTTTACCAGCGATTGTCTACTCCGATCTTTTGTGTAAGGGGCTTGGCCCAATCAGCAACCTCCCCTCTGCGCCGGATCGTGCATGGATAGTCAGATTAGCAGGCACTGTCTAATGGAACTTCAGCTCCATTGAGACTCACACAGCTTGTATTCGTAGTCACCTGGGCATGCGGCTCTTTTTCCATTCACCTGGGATGCCTAACATGGACACACGAAAACAGTACTCGATGCTGAAACCACACGTGTACAAACTTCTTACTGTGCAGGAACTCGAGCACCCGGCTGGATTGCTCGACTGGGAAATTCGATCAAGTAATAGGACTAAGACTTACCAGTACAAGGTTGGGAGGCACGCATGTAGATTCCAAGATTCTATGGCCGATACATCCATATCAGTCGAGGTACTGAGACCAAGCTGAGCATCATTGGCCATTTGCCACCAAGTCTCGACTCTGTTCCCTTCAAAGCCACAAGTGTTTACCTATATAACTACATAGAATGTCGGACATGCCATCTATCCCTTTCTTGGCTCCTGGATTGAACATCGCTCCATTTCCTACATAGGCATATCCACGATAAAGCCCTCAAAATGCTAGCTACAGCGATCGTCGAAGCACCGATCCTACTGAATACCCCTTCAGATCGGATTGTGCTCACAAAGACTCGGATCTCATACCTTCCAAGACCTGTCATCCCCAGAGTTGAGCCCGACACTCCGGCCAGCATACCACCTGTCTCCTCGGCTCGTGCAAAGGCGGAAGAGATCCTCAATATCGTGGAAACATATGGCTCCCATGGACGCACCAGTGCTGCGGGTGAGTGGCTCGGCCGAGCATCTTTCGCTCCGCGGGTGGAAACCCATGTCGTCGCCAACCGGGCTATTCCAATGGTCTTGCCTGCTTTTCCAATGAAGAGCAATAATCGAATGGACAAGGTGCTCGGTGCATTCCCGGACTTGGGTGAAGAACTCGGGTTGGCCAGGTTGGTCAATCTGTGTCGAGATATCAAGGCTGTTTATGCGCCTGGTGCAATTGTAGTCATTGTCACGGATGGAATCTGCTATAATGGTATGTTGGAGTCAGTTGTACAGATATTCTAGAATTCAATACTAAAGCTCTTCTAGATCTCACTGGAATCCCAGACGAAGAAGTCTGGGAGTATGGGAATCGACTGCGGAAGATCGCTGCTGAGAGGGGATACGCTTGTATCCAGTTCCATCGCATCATGAACATGCTAGGTCTCTATTCTGCCGCCCGGATCTCCCAGGCCGAATATGTAAAGTTGTGCGACATTTCAAGAAAGGAGATTCATCGGAGATGTGGACGGCCCGGATTCGATGTTGATAAGTTGCTGAAGAGCGATGAAGATTACTTACGGACATACAATGGTAAGAGCACTCAGATTCATCTCTGACATCCTTACTCATTGACTCTAGGATACGACAAGTTTATGAAAGTCGATTTGAAGTTCAGTCCAGTGACCAAGGACTGTGCCGGGCCCAAGCAATATAAAAAGAGAATAAAATCAATTGCGAAGACCATGATAGTTCGAGGCGTGGTATGTACTTCCCTCTCTATATCCTCGAAGCTCTCCATCTCATGCTCATGCTTCTACAGGAGTACGCAGAGCTGGTGCGCCAGATCTACCCAGATTCACTACGGCTCTCCATCCACCCCTCTTCTGGACAAACCAAGTTATCCTGTCCACTTATTCCGCAAAAAGATTCATTCTCAATGAGCCCGTGGCATTGCAGTGTTGCGGTGCTTGTAAATGGCAAGTTCATCACGGCACACAAGTCTTCTCATCGACAGAATTTTGATCTCATTGAGAAGAATGGTCAGCCATGCTTCTTCCGGGAGAGCTCTCCGCTCTTCAAATGGGATGCTATTGTGGACTTTGAACATCTCTATGGGCAGAATCTGGTGGTGCGAATGCAGAAGAATTGTGAGCCCTCGGACTCGGACTTGGATAAGTTGGCGCTTTTAGCCATACAGCACAACAGTGTGATGGTCATGCTTGACTAGTATATTAGCACATTACATTTGGATCATAGGCAAAGAATGATATGAAACTAGAAATGTACAATATCAGATCTTGTAAGGAATAGCTAGATGGGATCCAGCTTGTGTTTGGGGATCTTGCAACTCGCAATCCTTCCAAGGTTACTCTTTGGGCAAGGTCTCCGTTCTCATATTTCGCTTAGGGTCCAAATGGGGGATGTGGTTAGAAGAATGCTCTACTTAAGGAACCTTACGCTACTAGAACTACCCAAAAGAAAGAGATAGGATCTACTCATTCATTCACACGCTCGAATCCACAGCCACAAGGGCACACGGCACATGGACATATTTCGTACATCTGTACACAAAGCAAAACATAATGGTTCAAATACAACAGAGAGACAGGGAGAGAGGTCGATGATAAGGAAAGAGAGGGGATGAAGACCGAGGAAACAGCACCAGCTCAAGAGGCACTTTCCAACCGCCCACAGCCGAAATTAATGTGCAAGTCCAAATGACAACAAAGACCAATAATTCATAAGAGGATTTTCAAAGTGGCACCAGCCAAAAGTCGAGAAAAGAATTTCGTCCCAAATTTGGTTTGTCCCAGTGCCATTGAAAAAAAGAGTAAAGGGATGTAAAAGTATTTGGAGAACAAAAGGGGGAATATTTCAAGAAAGAAAATGGAAAAGAAAAACGCGACACACGCAGCGAGGAACTCGCTCGGAGTATCATGTTGAGAAGAAGATGTGGCCGATCAAAAAATTGCACAAAAAGAAGAAATACCTGATATGTGACATGTAGGATGATGGACAATGAAGAAGAAGTTTTGTGCAGTCTCTCTGTCCCTGCCTCTTGTCGGATATGGAGAGCATGAGCGCATAAAGTGACAGTCATCTCAAAATCGAGATGGTGAACTTTGAGGGCCCAAAGCCCTCTGGTCGTCGTCGTGAGGTCCAAAAGGAGGAGGGGTATGATGGGTCTATACGTCGTACAGTTGAAAGCGCATTTAGTTCCATCCCAGGGAGTTTTCCGCCATGACGGGGGCACTGATCATCTGGGAGCGAGCGGTACCACGGCTGCCGTGGCTGGGGGCACGGCCACCGGCAGCCAGAACAGAGCCGGCGGCAGAGCCACCCTGGCTCATCTGCTCCACGGTGGAGCTGGAGCGCTGGTGGAGCTGCTTTCTCTTGCGGTAGCGGCGGGCAACCCAGAACATACCGGCACCGTAAGCGGCGGCACCGGCAACGACACCGACTCCAATGCCAACGGAGCTGGCCTTGGTCTTGGAGCTGCTGGCAGAGCCATCGCTGTTGGTGTTGTTGCCACCGTCGGTGTTGTCATCACCTCCATCGTTGTTGCTGCTGTCAGTGGAATCGCCATTGCCGCTGGGGTAGTTGCCAGAGAATTCGAGAGGAATTGTCGAGTCAACCATAGACATCAGCGACTGGATGGATTCACTGGCCTGGTTGTAGAGAGCCGAGTTGGGGTTGGACTTGAGGGCTCTCAGGGCATCCACCTTGTCACGAGGGAAGTAGAAGATGGCAAGAGTCGCGTTGTAGCCAGTGGCCTGCCAGTTGTAGTAGGGCTCAATGGCAAACATGACAGGGGCATCCTTGGCCGAGAGAGTGGGCAGAGCGTTCTCGATGGCCTGAGGAGTCAGGTTGAAGATCTGCGACGAGGACAAGGGGGTGGTGGCAACAAAAGACCATGGCAGTTGGCTGTTGAAACCAAGCTGGAGCAAAATGGAGTCAGAGGGAGCCTCGCTGACTTCGTTCGAGGGGGTGATGGAGCCGGGAAGAGAGGGCGGCGCGGTGGGCTTGGCGGTTTGGCCGGTGCTGGTGCTCTCAGTGGTGGCAACGGTGGGCATGATCAGGATGGTGGAGGGAATCCAGTCGTTGTCATTGGTAGTCGAGGGAGTGGGAACCTCGGTCTGGGTGGTCTGGGGCTCCACAGGGGTCTGGGTCTTGGTCGTGCTCACTTCACTGGTCGAAGTGGGGACAGGAATGGAGGCGATGTGAGAGGTGGGAGTGGGAACCTTGGGAGTCTCGTGGGAACCAGTGCCCGGAGCGGAAACAGTTGTGCCCAGAACGGGGACTGAAGCGGAGCCAGAGCCGGTGCCAGAGCCGGTGCCAGGGGTAGCGGTGGCAGTGGGCTCGGAACCAGGGGAGTGAGGCGAGGGAATGGTTCCAATAGGGTTGGTGGCAGTGGGGATCAAAGCAGTGCTGCTGCCTCCAAGGCCACCAAGGCCTCCCAGTCCGATAGAGGGAAGAGTAGGGATGAGGCCAGTGGACTTGGGGGCAGTCGGGAACAGACCAGTGCTACCAGTGCCAGTAGTGTCGAGTCCGAGAAGAGACTCGAGACCAGATCCAACTCCTCCGAGGAGATCGCCTGAAGTGGTAGTGGGCTTCGCCGAGCCAGAGGTGGCAGATGCGGGAACGCTCACTGGGATAGTAGGCAAACCGGAGGTACCAGAGGCGGTACCGGTGGAGTTGTCACCACCAAGACCGAGGAGGTCGAGGAGATCAGATCCAGAGCTGGATGCGCTGGTGCTGGCCTTGCTTGATTCGGGACTCTGGACGCTGGAACCAGTAGGTGTGGCGGAAGAGCTGGTGGTTGAGCCACCCAAGAGGCCGGAAAGACCTGAGCCAATGTCACCAAAGATGTTATCGCTGCCGCTGGAGGTCACGGGGGTAGAAGCCGGAGTGGCAGATGCCTTGCCTGATTGGTCGGAGGCAACAGTTGAAGCAGTAGTCGAAGTCTTCGAGTTCACGCCAAGGAGATCACCCACATCGGATCCGAGATCACTGAGGATGTTGCCGCTGGAGGAGGGGGTGGCGGATGAAGCAGGTGTAGTGGAGGCAGCGGCAGCAATAGCGGACGCCGAGCCAGTAGACGCGGAGCTCGAAGTGGTGGAGTCCACACCGAGGAGACCACCAAGACCGGAACCAAGATCACTGAGGATGTTGCCGCCGGAGGTAGTGGTTGCGGAAGCGGGTGCAGATGAAGTAGGCGCAGTCGAGGCAGCGGCGGCAGAAGCGGAGGATGCCGTGCTTGATGTTGTGGAGTCCACACCAAGAAGACCACCAAGACCAGAGCCGATATCACCAATAATGTTGCCGCTGGATGTTGTCGTCGCAGACGAAGCAGGTGCAGACGAAGCGGGCGCAGTCGAGGCAGCGGCGGCAGAAGCTGAAGATGCCGAGCTTGAAGTTGTAGAGTCCACGCCGAGAAGACCGCCAAGGCCAGAGCCGATATCAGCGACAATGTTGCCGTTGGAGCTGGTGGTCGATGCAGGAGTGGACGACGCCTGAGCAGGGGTAGATGAAGTCTGGGCCACTGAGTCCGCGGTGGGAGCTGCGGTTGAGGTAGGGGCTGCGGTTGAGACAGCCGCCACCGGGGTCGAGGTGGTGGAGTCTCCTCCCAGAAGGTTACCCAGACCCGAGCCAAGATCACCGAGGAGGTTGTCGCTGGAGGTTGAAGCAGGTGCGCTCGAGGCCTTGGATGAATCGACAGCCGCAGCCTGCTTGCTGGTGTTCTCTGTGTTGGCCGCGGCCGCGGCGCTGCTGTTAGTGTCGTCAGCAACGGCAGCTTCGCTCTGCTTGGTGGTCGTGGTGAGAGTGGCAGTTGGCTCTCCTCCAACGGTCGTGGTCCCGGTGATGCGGTGGGTGATCTCTGGGTTCTTGGGGTCGACGGAGATGGTCACAACCACGACTTCGTGGCCCTCTGGCTGGGCAGCTGCGGGCGTGGTCTCGGGTGTGGGGGTCACCTCTGGCGCGACGGAAGAGCTCTGGGTGGGGATCAAGTTGTCGAAGATGCCGTCCAGGAACGAACCAGGGCTGTTGTCAGCGCTCCGGGCACTGTTGCGAATGGTCCGCTTGACTTCCTTGGGGAAGTAGAAGCGAGGTCGGTCCACGTATGTGTCGGCATCCTGGGCAGCGACGATATCGAGACCGCCAATGGCGATCAACGCCGCGAGTACGGAGATGGCGTCAGGGCGCATGTTGAACAATTCTGTACGTGATCGCTCAGAGCGCGTCCAAGGTCAGTGTACAAATTGCGATCGGGTCCCGTCTATTGGCACCTCATGAAAGGATCAGGTGTTGCAATCAAAGCTCCAAAATGACCGGATTCCGATCTGATATAGTCCAATGGCAACAGGGATTTCAATAATTGAAGATATTGGATGTCTCGATGGCAACCGCTGAGACAGGCGAAAAAGACGAGCGCGATCAAGTGTTAACGAATGGAAAGGGGCGATAAATCTGAAACGACCCCCGAAGGTGTGCAAAGCGAGTGTGGGCTTGAAGAAGCTGTAAGGAGTGACTTTCTGTCGAGCACCGTCAGGGCAACGGGATCAAAGAATAAGCGACCGACGCAAGGGGAATTGGATCCCAGGTCGAGAACGTCGAACTAAGTCAACGGGCAATGCAGCAAAGCTGACAGGGGAAAGAAACAAAGGAATGAATGAAGTTGAGGATCGAAAAAGGAAGAGAGGATCTTAGGGGGAATGGGGGGGCGGGACACGTTGGTGGCAGCGTCAACAACGTAATTTACCGTAAATTATGGTATTTTACAGCGTCGGGGCTTGGGGGCTGTGGGCACGCACCGGGACTATTGTTGCTAGTGTCTCGTATTGCATGGAGTACAGTACTATGTCCACTATGTATTCTCTTCTAGAGTCGAGTTCGAGCACGGAAGATACCCTCACAGAGTCAGAACCTCTCCAGCTAAGCTACTAGTGAACGTGCCAGCCGATGAGCTACTGATTTCCTACATATTGCCAAGCCCAGGCAATAACTGACGGGTCCATGCATGGAGCACGAGTACTCTCCACTCAGTATACCCCGTAGAGTACGGAGTACCCAGTCCATCGTACCATCTCTTTGATGTGTCCCTCGTACAAATACTCGACGACACTAGTATACCAGTCCTCGGGAGGTATCTCATTTTCCACCGTAAGGTCTGTGCGAGGCTAAATCTTGATCCATTGCGAAGATCAGGATCGACAGGCAGAAAAAAGCAAGTCGCGATTCCTGGTGCAGGCCTCGCGTACCCAGCTCTGTACTTCGCCAACAAAGTCCGCGATGGCAAATTCGAGATAGAACCGCATATCAAATCCGAGCACCGTAGCCTATAGTATACTCCGGAATGCGGGAGTGCCCATGTGGAACAAAAGGCCCGAATTTTCATTAGCCCCAGAGGGCCAAATGCCAGAAAAGGTTCTGAGCTAGCCCCAGCCAAGCCGCTCATCCCAATATCAACGGTTAGAGCAGGCGAAGAGGACGGAGAGGAAAACCCACAAGGTTCAGTCCGTTGCAAGGCCCAGGCCGACGGCGTCAGCTAAGTGGGCCCTATCCACACGTTTCCGGGGATGTGCCCTTAGAGTGCGTGGCCTTAACGACCCGGCATTACCTATACACGTCTTTCAGGTACCCGGCTCACAATACATCTTTAGTGGCTTTGGGGACTAGTTTGATGCACTTGGCTCCTTCTGGAATAGGATCAACAAAGAGATCAAATCAGGCCTTGCACTAGCCGCCTCTCGGCAAAAGTTGGGTTTTGGCTTCGGACGATGTACAGTGCTACACAGTAAACGGAGTACTACTGTACGGCGGACGGAGTACAGCTCAGATTCTCTCCGGCTGCTCATGTCTCCGTTGGGATAGTAAGCCGTTCTGACAGCACAATAGCCCTGGATCTGCCTTGAATGTTGCTAGTCTTCGATAGTAAGCTCGCATGCAGGGGATGGCTTTGTGACTCAATTTTGAGCCCGGCAGCGATTAAGAATGTTTCACTTCACTGACTAGGCTGTCTCTGGGACCATCTGTTATAAGAATAGTATCAGTCGTATAAGAATAGTATCAGTCGACGGAGACAGAACCTCAAACGTCGATGGCATTGTAAATTTGTACAGAGTAGAGAGTCCAGTACTGTACTGTACACCACGTGCGATCGGAATGGCGAGTTCCCCTCATTCTTGTCGACATTCTTCACGTGTACAATTGTGTCATCGGTCGCAATTTGAGGATCTGGAGGTCTTCTATGTATTTGGCTTCGTCAGGGGAGCTGTGGCTGCATGCTGCACGGCATTCAGCATCGCAGTGGAGTTAGTTCATACATACTCTGTACTGTACTACTCCGTAGTACTCTGGACTAGTTACAGGAGTCCTGTTTCTCGAGTTTCCTACGGAGTACTGTAGATTGTACTATTCACAGCACTGTCCACTAGCGCTACTCCGTCACAGTTTAAGGTACATCAGGGGTCAATTCATTAACAGTACCAAGGACCAGCACAGACGCTAGTCCTGTTCCTGAACGCTATAGCTCCCGGCCCCACCGTCATCCTTGGTTAGAGCCTGTAACAGATGAAACACCGCTTACCACCAATGACTGTCTGGCTGGCCCCATCATACGGTAATATTTCTATGTAATCTAAGATCAGGTGACCTGGCACTTTTCACGGTGGAGAGTCGGCAGTCCACTTGTCACTTCGCAACTTGGGCATCCACCGAAAGCCCTGGAAATCCACGTCATCGTCAATTTCAGAGTCTAGAACTGCGTCCATTGCCACTCTTCAATCCAGAACACTCGATCTCGACGTCGGTTCCCAGTGGAAGCGACTTGACGCTGACGCACGTCCGCACCTAGAAATCATAAGCACGAGCCACATAAACGGTCAAGGGGTGGACACTGGACGTCTCAAATGATCCATCAGATCAGATCCATCACTTACCGGCTTAGGGTCCGAGAAGAAAGTAGCGTAGACTTCATTGACCGCAGGGAAATCAGCCATGTCCGTCAGGAAAATGTTGACTTTGATCGCATCGTGGAGGCTGGACCCGCCCGCCTCCAACACCGCACCGAGGTTACGGAGGATTTGTCGCTGTGTCCGTTAGAATCGATCTAGAAGGCCAATTGGGGTTCCGAGGCTCACTGTTCGGTCCTGGATGCTCCCTTCCACCAGTTTGCCCGTGGTCGGGTCAGCTCCGACCTGGCCGGAGCAGTAGACCACGTCACCGACCACCAGACCTTGCGACAGGAATGGTGGAGGGAGCGGTGCGCGCTCTGTGCGAACTGGAACCCGTGCTGCCTTGGACATGATGAGATTGTTTGAGAGGTGAGATGAGAAGCCCTGGAGATCCCCTCAAATGGAAGATGCGGGGGTTTGTCATCGGCCACGCCCTACGGACTACGCCCTGCCCCACCGTGACTGGACACACGATGACTGAACACCGAACTGCCCAGGTTTGATGCTTCGATTGTTATACTAGGTACTGCGGGAGATATCCTGACAATCATCTTGACGGGCGCTGGAGTACTAGATCTGCGGTGCTGTATGCGAGTCGGAGTATTCAGACATGACCTCGAGATATATAACCCGTGGACCCAAGTCCGACCTCTGAGTAATCAACCGCAAGACTCAAACACTTCCATTCAATACTTACATGAAGTGAGTGGAAATCATGAGCACCAGTGGATCTGCACAGGTAGACAGAAAATAGTTGGAAGCCTCCAGGGCTCAAAATGACCGAATTCCAGGTAGTTCCTGATACTATGTCCTCCCTGGTACCTGACTTGGCAGAGGACAAAGCCACCCGTGGACACCAGATTCCAATACTTACAGTATGAGTAGAGTTTCATGGAGTAGAAAGAGCCTCCTGTCAATATATTGTCATTTCGCTGCTCATGCAAGACCTAGACTACCCCATAGCTCAGGCAGCCAAATCCGACGTTGACGTCAATGTACATGATTGGCCATCGACTTCACTTCACTTCCTTCTCTCTCACCCCTTGACCCCGCGATCCTCTACTTTATTCTCCTTCCTCTTTCTCTCGGGTCTTTCAAGCCCATCAGATTGACTGCACCCCACTGTCTCCATAAGTGGGCCCGATCGGCCGATTGCCACCGCGGAACGTCTCAGATTGATTATCGTGACGTTTAGCCGTATGCCACGATACCAGATCAAACATTCAGTACACCATGTGCTTCTCCGCGACGAGGCCACTCAGAGTGGCGGGCCTGACGGTCCCAAACCCTCGCTGTCGACCGGTAGCCACCCCCACCCAGACTCGCATACGGCGGTGTGTGCAAAGCAGAAGCAACAATGACAGAAAACAAATTCCTCGATCAGGCAAGCGTCAACGGTACCCCGGATCCAGCCGAGAAACAGTATGGTGGTATGAATGGTCTTTGTTCAGCTGGAAATATCCAAACTGGAAATTGGACTTTTGGCTGGATCGCTCGGGGTCCTTTGATGTGAATGGTCAAGGGAGCCACGGGAATGCAGACTCCCCAAAACTCATCCAATCATTGAAAAAACTCATCGCAGCAGATGCCTACAGGCGCAAGGATATCTTTCATGGTCTTGGAAGAGGCGACACCTTGTGGAATGGGTACCCGCAATCGTTCTCAAAGGCGCCGCAATCCACCAAAGCAAGGGCACCAGAGCCGACTCAACAAACATCCACTTCCAATCATATCGGACGACACTACGATCCCATCAGTGGACGCATGCGACTCGGGCTACCAACGAGATTCGATGATTCCGATAGGATAGTCTTTCACCCCTGGAAGGAAGCCGATTCTTCACGAGCAAATGGAATGAAAGGAGCCGCCACAGACGTTGATTCTACTGAAACCCAGCAACAATCGGGGACCTTGGAATCGCGGACAGAGACTCACCAGAATGCTCAACCAATACTCACCGATCCACCAGGAAGCGAGATTGGAGCAGTCTCAAATCCCAACTCGCTTGCCCAAGGCCCGCGGATCGAGACAGAAGAGCTCGTTGAGCCAGCCGGTAGATCTCAACCCAATATTGATTGCCCTCCAGGACATGAATCAAACTCTATGCCCACATTGGAGTCTACAAAGCCGGCCGAGAGCCCAACGAATGTGTTTGAGCATGGGTCAAAGAGTAGCACAGAGGCGAACCCAATCGTGGATTCAATCACAGCGACTATTGAATGCCCACCAGGAAATGAAATCGAGGCCAAGCTCACCGCCGATCCAGTCAGCTGCTCGGACGAAAGCCTCCCTTCTGAGCTAAATGCCCAGCAGCCAGATGAAATTTCACCTATGAACGTCAATTGCCCACCTGGAAATGAACTCGAGGCCAAATCCACTGCAGAAATTGCCCACCAAGATACCCAAGCTAATGAGCCCTTCCAGTCAAGCACTGATCCAGTCTCTCGGGCATGTCTACCGGAAAGCGTTGACTGTTCTCCCGGCAACGAGATAGAAGCACACATATTATCCAAGTCAACCGAGATACACAAGGGCCAGTCGAATGACAAAAGGCCAATTGACTGTCCTCCTGGTAGCGAAATTGAAGCAAATTTCAGTGCAAATCCACCACCAGCCTACGATGGACATTCTGCGCCGCCAGACCTAGCAAATTTGGATATTTCCAAGAATACGCATGTCAATGTTGACTGTCCACCGGGGAACGAACTCGAAGCAAAGCTCATTACAGATTTGACCAAATCCACGCAGTCCAGCACAAAGACAGACATTGACAGCCTTGGCCTTCATGGCGCGAAAGTGCACCCCTGCCAACCGAGCCTTGGTTATTCAGAGGACCGTGTTGGTGACTTTGTTGCCCAACATCAAGCCATAACGTCCGAAACAGTCCAGCCATCAGCGCTTCATCAGCCTTTCCCGGAATTCTACATCATCGCACTCGATCCAATGACATCACAAATCATAACCGTGACAGCGGACTCATCCTTCGAAATCAAAGAAGATACAATTCCCAGCGAGATCATCTCACGACTCTACAATTCTGCCAAATTTCTACCCCATTCAGAAAAGAGGCACGCAGAGGTTTACAAAATTGTCGCCGGCGGTGGAGACATCCTTGTCCTCCAAAAGAATCCAAGCGACCTTCCATTCTCAGAAATTGCAGAGCCAGATTCTGATGTTCATGCAGAAACTGCACAGCATCAACATGATTCAAAAGGCCCTGCTCTCTCAACCCCAAACGCTTCGGGAGAACCACCGGAGGTAAGTATATCGTAGAAATGTCTGTCCGGGGGCTTTCTAATATGTCAAAGTAGCCCCATCCAGCAGCCAAATCGAGTCTCGAGCCTGAATCATTGACGAAGTCCGGGCCTGCTTCCCGCGGCGTGATTCGCAGAATGATCTTCGCAGGTGTTGCTACTGCAGCGACTTGTTATGCCATCGGAGAAGTTACGGAATTCTTTCGGACAGGGGGAAAGGATGGGCGTGGCGCTGATGGGTTCACTGTTTTTGAATCGGATCGGCGTCACCGAGAGTAAATGCAGGCGTGGTGAATCGTTGAGTCAGACCTCGGGATTTTCTGCATTCGCGCGAATCGAATAATCCTACATTCAGTTAACTGAGAAATGAAATATGAAACTCGTTCTTACAAGTTTACCTATGTATAGAATTCGCATCTATCTAGTCCCAAGTTGCCTCACGTTCAGTATCGACGTAGAATCAAAAGCAACTTGTGCTATATCAAACAGCCCTGGAGGACTCGGGGTATATATGGCAGCGCTGAACTCAAAGCTCCTTGTCGTTTATTGGAATCTATGAAGGATAAGACATGCCCGTCTCCAGGGTTCAAATAGCAAGGCGTGAAAGATCGTCAGAATCTGGGGCCAACGATAGGTAATTGCTCCAGAAGCGGAGGCCTTCAATCCCCTCTTCACGACAGAGAATACCCCTGTCTTCGGCCATTTCCAACTCCTCGGCCGCGACTCCGACACTCCATTTGAATCTATGCGCGGCCTCCTGTGCTGTAATAGATCGACCAAATAGGGACCAATCCCAGGGCACAGGGTCATCAGGTGGAACGCGTCGTAGCTCTTCGATCCAATCTTGCAATTTTCGAATGGTCTTCTCGTCACTCCAATCGTATCGCTGAACCACGAGAAGACCACTTTTGAAGCGCCTGAGGCGCACAGGCAGCTTCAGCTTTTCCCACAATTCAGCGGCTTTCTGGAAATCCGAAGGACTGGCCAGCTCGACGCCATTGCGGGACCGGTTAAACACAGCCCAGAGATCTATTAGACTCATTATGCCGCCTTCTCGCTGTAAAATCCCCTTCCGATCATCTGTGAGGTACTCTGCTAGATCTCTCGCAAGCTCTGATAAGTAAAGATTTTCCGAGCCTGAGCTGAGCATGTCTTTGGTGGTTACCATCCCCAAGGCCGCTGCAGACTCAGAGAGCACTGCGCTGGTTTCGGCCGACCCTTCACTCGTAGTCATTCCGGACTCTCTTGCCAAGGTTTCCGCCAGAGCAACAATTTGCTTCGCGGAGGCCATCAGAGCCTCCAGGTCTTCGAAGGAGTTTCCGATGACAAGTTCGTTCTTCTTCCTCGCTTCCAGGCCTCGCCGTTCCAGCCCTGCTATACCAACACCAGTAGGCCGCTGGACCGAAGGCTGAGGGCTTTCAACACCAGCAGCAGAAGATGGCAAGCCAGGCGAGGATGTGCCTTGAGAGGGTGAAGGAACAGGAGGCGCATTTTGAAGAAGCCATTTCCTTTGAACCAGGGCACCTTTGAGCCGCTCATAAAATGTCTTGTCACCACCCGCCCGGAAAGAGAGCTTGATACTTTCACTGACTTCCGTATTGGCAATATGGGATTGCCCGAATACAGGCGCGGGGGAGTCCACGCGATTAATGTGAGCCGACCCACCCGACAATGGTGCTCCGCATATCTCGCACTCAGCCAAAGATGGGTGATTCACGAAAGTACAGCGCGGACAAGGGGTAGATCCTCCCGGTCCAGTGGACCAGCTGCTGTTTGATTGTACTATATTCTGCGCGAGGGCTGGGGACGGAGCGGAAGTCGGCAAGGGAGGTTCACGGGTTGTTGCAGCACTTATAGCTGCTTTGAGAACTGTGGTAAATGGGGGCTTGATGCCACATGCTAGGCAAGGAGGCAGGTGTGTGGCTGCACTGGCTGTCGCGGGATCAAAATTAGATGGCACTGGGTTCGAGAATGTACATATGGGACAAATCCAGGTGGCGCTGATGGGCTTCGGAGAAGCCGAGGTCTGGGGCAGACTTGTTTGTGAATGACTGGCCAGTGATTCTGTCGAATGAGTGGACAATTGGTGAGAGGTCGCTGGGCTGGCTGTTGCGCTCCTCAAGGGCTCGGTCTTTTTCTTTTGTGGTTTGGGGTATATTGTGACTTTGGGAGAAGACTTGAGGAATCCGGCCTGCGAATCGAGAATATGTTAGCAACAGAGGCTTGTACTGTCATCTTTGTATGAATAACACACCTGGGACTCCACTCTATCGAGCTCCTTCAGATCAATGGCCACCGAGTATTTGCGCGGATCCTCGGCTGCAACATAGCATACTCTGTGAGAGGTGAGGTAGGCATGGCCATTTTGGTAATTCTGTACTTTGTATTTCCTACTCCAATTAACACCCCGCATCTTCGTCATTGGGGGCTACTTACCCTTCATACAGCCCTACCGCATCCTGAACGAAGAGCAGAGTCTCATCGGGCAACAACAACGGTCTGAGCGCAGTGGTCAGATCCAGCGACTTGAAGAACATGGAGATTCAGCAGCCAGCAGATCCATGAAGTCAGAGAGTCCCTGCCCTGGTGGAGGCAGGTGAGCATGCGCCGGCGATGGGCGATAACGATAAGGAATCACGGGGAAACAAAGATCCGAACCAGCCAAGCGAACCTTGGAATATCCTTCACCGTCTTGTGTGTGGAGGTCCAGTCCCAGGCATATCATCTCATCTTCTCATCTTGCTCTTTTGCATCTCCATTTTCTCATTCGCATACGGACTACTTCATTTCCACGTGCGGCGTAGGATATCACCTTTTCCTTCCGACCGTATCCCGACTCTTTGCCCCCTCGTAGCTTTCACATCTCTTTCATATTGTCTCTTCTTTGTCTTGGCCCAAATATCACATCTGTTTCTCAGATATCTACGGCATGAATTCCAGTGTTCCACCTTGGCGCTCTACTGCCACAGCCCCGATGGCTCGGAACTCTACATTTCCTACAAATGGTGAGCCATACGATCTGTCTGGGATCTCAGTGCCGGGTGCTAACGTCCGAACAGCGACCCCTGCCTATATACCCGTCCAAGCCCGCCGTAGCCTCGCTCATAGTACTACCAACACGACCAACGGATCTTTTCCTTTATCTGGCAGGCAAGATTCGCCGGACGATGAATCCCGAAAGCGAGTGGAGTTCCCGCCTCCCGTCCGATCATACGTGCAGCGCTGCTTCGCCCCCGAAAACCAGGTTGCCAGCGTGAGCATTCCCGAGATGCAGGAAAAACTGAAACACGTGATTACCGACGCGGCGGAGAATAACAAGCTGGGAATTATCGACTGGGAGAGACTACCTTTACCACAGGTGATGGTCCAGAATGAACGCAACAAAATCCTGGCCAACCCTGCCTCCTCACACTGGGCATCCGCCCAGCCCTCCTCCCCAGGAAACGCCACCCGGAAAAGAAAATCCACGGATGGCCCGCTGGACACCGGATCGCCTCCCTGGAGATCAGCTAACCCCAGCCGTTTTGAAGATCGAGTTACTCACCCAACCACAGAAAAGAAGAAACCCCGGATTGCAGTCGACCAGTCTAGTAAGTCCAAAGCTAATTTGGAAATGAGGCGGAAGCGGTTCGACCTGGGCAAGGGACAATCCCCTTCCTCGCCTACTGGATCCCCGGCACGGAGTGCCGACGCCGACCAAGGTCCTGTCGTGGGACGTTGCCAAGCATTGGAGAAGAACTACTTCCGTTTGACTTCTGCCCCCAACCCTGATACTGTCCGCCCGCTGCCTGTCCTGTCCAAGGCCCTGGACCTGTTGAAAAAGAAATGGAAGACCGATGGCAACTATGGATACATCTGTGATCAATTCAAATCCCTGCGCCAGGACTTGACGGTCCAGCATATCCGCACCGAGTTCACCGTGACTGTCTATGAGATCCACGCGCGCATCGCCTTGGAGAAAGGGGATCTTGGTGAGTACAATCAGTGCCAAACCCAATTACGGGTGCTGTATGCCCAGCAGCTGGCCGGCCACCCGACGGAGTTCAAGGCCTATCGTATTCTGTATTTCATTTACACGCGGAACTGGACGGCCATGAACGATGCACTCGCGGATGTAACTCCCGAAGATAAAAAAGACCCGGCCGTGAAGCATGCCTTGGATGTTCGCTCTGCCCTGGCGCTCGGAAACTACCATCGTTTCTTCCAGCTGTACCTTGATACGCCCAACATGGGAGCCTACCTCATGGATATGTTTGTGGACCGTGAGCGGCTGAGTGCGTTGGCAGTTATGTGCCGAGCGTAAGTTCCCGTCCCCGTCCCCGGCTGGCGAGTACGCCCGCTGACCGTTCCATGCAGGTACAAACCCGATGTCAACATTCGGTTCATCACAGAGGAACTTGGATTTGAGTCCGATGAGCAGAGTGCCCGTTTCATCATCGACAACTCCTCCGCGGAGCTGCTAGAAGAGAAGAACGGGGCTGTGAGGCTTCTGACGGGCAAAGCTGGCTCTTTGTTTGACCAGGCCAAAGCGGCCGCCCATCGCGTGGTTGATATCAAGGGCCAAATTTAAGGCATTGTCCCCTCGCCGGATCCTGACCCGTTGGATTGGTCTTTTCTTGCGTTATCATATTCTCAAAAGCGGCAGGCGTTTCGGATGTGCCATTTCCAGGCTTTCAGGCCTTTTCATTTCGTCTCTTCCCGTGTGTGTGAGACCTGCGATACTAATACCCGCCTTTGGTTTATTTCTTTGTTCCAAGGGGTATACCATGCTACGATGTGGGAGTTGAGTAAATATCAATGTGACTCGATTGTCTAGGTACCATCTTTACCGTAAATAATACTTGATATCGCGTCACCGAACGCCACCTGGGGCTTCTTTGGGGCTTCCACGCCACGTGTGACCCACCCGGGTCCCAAAGTTTAGACGTTTGGAGGCGACAGCCCTACTACGAGTCGAGATGAATGTCAGAAATTAGTACTGCGACATTATGCAGCTAGTTACGTCGTCACAGCACTTACGTACAAGCTAAGCCGGTTAAAATTAGGCCTGGGCGTCTAGACCCTCGGCGGTTGGTATGACAGTACGTACCTAGGTATTGATCTGCGAACGTGGAAGGCAAAACCAGTACCGTGTTTCGGTGACGAGGATCCAAGGGCGGTTATTCCAGCGTGTGTGAAGACCATGGATCCTGTCAGGGTCACATTGGGTGAGATCTCCCTTTGTGCCCAATACGCGGAGAGTATCTTTGTATTCGAGTATCTGACAATACTAGAGGTATCTGGTACCTCGAGGCTCGCTGCATTTTATAAAGTAACCGGGGAAGCCCTCGAGTAGCCGGTACTTGAGACAGTAGAACCCATTAATAGATCAATAGATCCTCTTCGAGGATCACCGTTAGAACCAATTCCAACCCCCCCAAGGTCAAAGAAATCGGGAAAAGCGGGCCCTGGCAATCATCATCCAAGGTGGTTGGAACCGCAATACGCAGCGCGAGTCCCCTGCGCTCACTGGTTCTTGGGTTATATGGCGGGAAAAAAAAATACCAGGACTTAACTTCCTTCTTCTAACAACTACTCGGACTCAGTATGAAGGTGAGTTCTGTCCCCCTCGTTCCGTGAGAGGGTTAAATTAATCCGGTTTCGCAGGCCATTAGGCGATCCTTGAAAGGGGAGAGAGATCCCAAACACCACCACATCTCCATCACCCCCAAGTCCGCCATTGCGATCCTACCCCCGAAAAAGGTGAGTTGTGGTTCCTCTGGGGCTGCGGCGCAAGCGCTGACCCGTCCCCAGGTGATCAAGGCGCTCTACGACTACACGCCCGAAGGAGCGACACAGGAATTGGCGTTCAGCAAGGGAGACTTCTTTCACGTTATCAGTCGCGAGGACGACTCGGATTGGTACGAAGCGTGCAATCCGCTGATCCCTAGTGCGAGGGGGCTCGTGCCCGTCTCCTTTTTTGAAGTCATCGGCAAAAACGAGAGGGATAGTGGGGGTTCCGGCGATTTGTCCAACCACGACTCAGGCTTCTCCGACCGTCTTCCTGACTCTCACAAAAACGGCTTATTTAGGATGTCTGCTCTCAAGGGCCAGGGCGCCATGGTCTACGGTATTGTGCAGTATGATTTCCAGGCTGAGCGCCCCGATGAATTGGATGCGAAGGCCGGCGAGGCCATTATCGTCATCGCGCAGTCCAACCCCGAGTGGTTTGTCGCTAAGCCGATCGGCCGTCTTGGAGGTCCCGGTCTGATTCCCGTCTCCTTCATCGAACTGCGCGATATGCAAAGCGGCCAGGCGGTCGTTGACCCATTGGATGCGGTGCGACGCGCGGGTGTCCCCAAGGTGGAGGAGTGGAAGAAGATGACCGCGGAGTACAAGAACAGCAGCATCACCCTCGGCAAGATCGAGGGAGGTCAAGGCCAGAGTGGAGGCGGCCAGATGATGGCCGTTACTTCAGGCATGGACAAGATGTCCATGAGCCAGGGCCATCAGTCTCAGTTGAGTCAGAACGGCAACGGTTATGTAGGGCGACTCTTTTCTTTTTTCTCTCTTGACGTCCCCACTCACGCCCCTTTTTCTTATCGTATACATTGCATGTGCATAAAGCTAATCGACACGCTCCAAACAGGATCACCAACGCAATGCCAGCCGATCAACCGTGTCGCAAGCGCCCGGTCAACAGGGCTACCCCCTTCTCGTCCCGGTCTCCGCGTATATTCCCCGCTACTGTTTCGACAATGATAAGTACTGGTATATTATCGAGGCGAAGATGGAAGACGGTCGCTGCTGGGAGCTGTCACGTTATTACCACGACTTCTACGATTTCCAGATCGCCCTTTTGACCCAGTTTGAAGACGAAGCCGGCAACCGGGGCCGCGCGCGAACTCTCCCATTCATGCCCGGCCCCGTTACCCACGTCACGGACGCCATCTCCAACGGTCGCCGCCAAAACCTCGACGAATATATCAAGAAACTCCTCTCCATGCCCCCACACATATCCCGCTGCAGCCTGGTGCGCGAACTGTTCGCGCCCCGTGACGGCGATTTCGAAATCGACCCTGCGGCCTTTGGCGAAGACGCACGCTACTCCGGGGGCTCCCAGCAATCCGGCATGGAGCCCTCTCAAAGCGTGTCACGCCAATCCTCGCAGCAGCAAATCAACGCCTCCACCGATCGGATCTCGCAGCAGCGTGCGCCCACGCTCGCACCGAACGGCACCCGGCCACCCATGGATCGCCAACCCAGCTCCATCACCCAGGCCTCGGGCACCTCGAGCAACAGCGCGATGAAGGTGAAGGTCTTCTTCCAGGATGACCTGATTGCTATTCGCATTCCGTCCGGGGTCAGCATGCAACATCTCAAGGACAAGCTGTGTGATCGTTTGAAGATCAATGGAGAGATCCTGGTGCAATATCGCGACGAACAGACTGGCTCCTATGTTGATCTTCACACCGATCAGGATCTGGAGAGCGCGATGCAACGAAACACCAAGCTGACGCTGTTCGTCAGCATTGCATAAAAACATGCGATTCCCTTTCGATAGACTTGTGTCCATTAATGTTTGCAACGAGTAGGTGCATTGGCGTTTTCTTGGGGGATTTTGTTTCAAGGTCATCTTTTTCCAGCGATTTATGGTCCACGAGGACGAGTCATCGCGATGTTACGAATCTGATGCGAGATGTACGGCATGGTTTCCTTGATATTTGATATTTCCTGTGTCTTTGAGTTTTGCGGTTTATATTCTGGTTTCAGGATCATACCCTCTTGTGTACATATTTACTTTCTCCTTCTCGTGCATATGGGGAGGCCCTGTCGCCTGTGGCACTCTATACTCTTTTTTCGTCCAATGTTTTCGCGTGTTACTGTTCGCTGTTCGCTGTTCAATTAATCTACTTGCCGAAGTAATGCCGACCCACGTGACTTCCTTCGGAGCCGGGGCGTTTCCTGTAGTTTTCACTTGTGTTTCTTGCCTCCATGGACTACAGCTGAGTCCAGCACTTATTCCTCTGCTAGACACCTAGTTCACGCGCGCCTGGTCGAACGAAAAGCGCCTGCGGAGTAAGACCTCGGTTAACCCGACCCGACCATCCCAACCCGATCTCCGAAACCATTCCTACTTTCCACCGCAAACACACGAGCAATGAGCCGCCCTTCGGCAAAGCTATGCGTGGAGCGCTTCCCAAATGCGCTCCGGGCGTCACGTATCCGCCCCGCGCTGCGGACCACTCGGCAACAATCCTATACCACTGAGCGGAGCATCACACCGCAAAGACCGCACCGATCGATGCCCCGATGCGCCTCCGGGCGTATGCCACAATATGCGCGACCGGAAGTACGAGGTCTTGCTACTGTCGCAGAAAGCGCAAGCAAATCGGCCAGCTCCCCTCCGACAGATGGACCGATGAGGGAATACGACGTGCGTGTGGAGGAGGGAAGGTTACGAGACGACGAGTATCAGCGGGGTAAGTCGCTTGAGCTTGCGAATGGTAGACAGGGAAGTAACATGCGATGAATCACAGGTATTATTCAAGGGCTTCAAGACCTCTTCGAGGCCCTGAAAGACTACAACCCACCGAAAGTCGTCCATCCGGACCCCCAATCTTTGGACTTGCAAACAAAACCAGGGTTCTTCGGGTCACTCTTCGGAGGCGCGAAGAAGCCGGCGAAGTCGGTCGTTCCGGAGAACTTGCCGAAAGGTATATACATGTACGGCGATGTTGGGTGTGGAAAGACTATGTTGATGGACTTGTTCTTTGATACGCTCCCTCCGAACATCAAAGACAAGACCCGCATCCATTTCCACAATTTCATGCAGGATGTTCATAAGCGCATGCACGTCGTGAAGATGAAGTATGGAAATGACTTCGATGCTCTGCCTATGGTTGCGGCGGACATCGCCGAGACCGCCGGCGTGCTTTGCTTTGATGAGTTCCAGTGCACCGATGTTGCCGACGCGATGATCTTGCGACGGTATGAGCCTTTGGTTCCTCTATTCCAAACGACAACTGACCATCGCCAGCCTCCTTGAAATCCTCATGTCTCACGGTGTGGTCCTGGTCACCACGTCCAATCGCCACCCCGACGAACTATACAAGAACGGCATCCAGCGCGAATCATTCATCCCATGCATTAACCTCCTCAAGACCGACCTGACTGTCATCAATCTCAACTCTCCCACGGATTACCGCAAAATCCCTCGTCCCCCAGCCGCCGTCTACCACCACCCTCTCGGCGAAGATGCTGGACGCCACGCGCAGAAGTGGTTCGACTTCCTCGGTGATCCCGTGAATGACCCTCCCCACGCCGACACCCAGGTTGTCTGGGGCCGCGAGATCAAAGTGCCCCGGGCCAGCGGCAAAGCCGCGCACTTCACCTTCCAAGAACTCATCGGAAGCGCCACCGGTGCCGCCGATTACCTAGAGCTCGTCCGACACTACGACGCATTCATCGTGACCGAGGTTCCGGGCATGAACCACACGCAGCGCGATCTCGCAAGACGCTTCATCACCTTCATTGATGCAGTCTATGAAAGCAGAGTATGTTTCTTTCTAGCTTTTCTTCGCGACGCACTAACATTATTCCAGGCCAAGCTGGTTCTCACTACCGAGGTCCCTCTCGCCAACCTCTTCATCTCCGACGCAGACATGAAGAAGTCCCTCCCCGAGGGCGAGCACTCGGATCTCTCGGATGCTATGCGCAACCTCATGGATGATCTTGGTATGTCTGTGCAGGCACTCAAGAATACCTCGATCTTCAGTGGTGATGAAGAGCGCTTTGCGTTTGCTCGTGCCCTCTCCCGTCTTTCGGAAATGGGCAGTAAGGAGTGGGTTGAGCGAGGCCTGGGGCTTGGCAGTGACCCTCAGCAGAATAAGGAGGAGGCCGATGCCTGGAAGAAGACCCGGAGCCATTGGAGTGAAGACAACATGTAAATGTACTTGCGCACATAGATGTAAATAGATGACGTCACCGTGATACCAGCCCTGCCCAGCTGGGCAGTTCGACTTTCGTTCTCGTACCCCCCGTCTCCACCATGCATCAGCCCGGCAGATTCGCATTTATAAGCCTGCGTTCGAAAGCCCTGCAGGAGCCGTTTCCAGACGTCAAGTGGAACCGCAAAACAAGGATAATGCAAATAAGCTCGTTGGTGGACTGATCTGCACGAATGACAAGACTTCAATTGACAATATTCCAGGTTTCTCGGGCTTCCGGGATTCGGTCAGCATGATCGAGTCGCTGGTCATAGTCGGAGTAGCAGTTCCCTGAATATTGCACCCTAGGACTGCAGGCAATGGGTCCTTTGCACTGTTACATCATCGACTCGATGTCCCACTCCTGCAGGCCCTGCCTTGGCTTTTATAAAGGTCCATCCAGTGCTGGGGGCGATTGCTCTTTTATTACTTTTTACACTAAAATCATTCATAATGTCTTCCACTACCAACGGCAAGGTGGCCGATTTAGCCAAAGACACAGTCGATGTCCATGACAAACAACACATGACAACCGACTATGGAATCAAAATTAACAACCCAGACCATACGCTCCGCGTCGTCGACGAGAAGCGCACTGGTCCCGCACTGCTCGAGGATCAAATTGCTCGCGAGAAGATTATGCGATTCGACCACGAACGCATTCCCGAGCGAGTAGTGCACGCCCGTGGCACCGGCGCATTCGGTACTTTCAAGCTTTTCGAAAGTGCCGAAGACGTTACCAGCGCAGGCGTCTTGACAGACACCAGTCGGGAGACGCCTTTGTTCGTGCGATTCTCAACAGTGCAGGGAAGCAAGGGTAGCCCCGACACTGTTCGGGATGTGCGCGGGTTCGCCATCAAGATGTATACGCAAGAAGGCAACTGGGATATTGTGGGTAACAACATTCCCGTGTTCTTTATTCAGGATGCAATCAAGTTCGCCGATGTCATCCACTCTGTGAAGCCCGAGCCGCATAATGAAGTGCCGCAGGGCCAGAGCGCGCACAACAATTTCTGGGATTTCCAATATCTGCACTCGGAGACGACGCATATGAATCAATGGGTTGGTCTTCTATGATAGAATTGATGTAACGGTTGTGCTAACTGTCGCAGATTATGTCGGATCGGGCTATTCCTCGCTCATATCGCATGATGCAAGGATTTGGCGTGAACACTTATTCGCTGGTGAATAAGGAAGGCAAGCGCACATTTGTGAAGTTCCACCTCACTCCCGAATTGGGTGTGCATTCGCTTGTCTGGGACGAGGCTCTCAAGATCAATGGCCAGGATCCCGATTTCCATCGCAAGGAACTGATGGAAGCCATTGATAATGGACACTTCCCTCGTTGGAAGTTCGGTCTTCAGCTTCTTGCAGAGGACAAGCTTGACGATTTCGAATTCGACCCTCTGGATGCCACCAAGGTCTGGCCTGAGGAGTTGATTCCCATTCGCTACATTGGTCAGCTGGAGTTGAACCGCAATATTGATGAATTCTTCCCCCAGACCGAGCAAGTCGCTTTCTGCACTAGTCACATCGTCCCTGGTATCGATTTCTCGGATGATCCTCTCCTGCAAGGTCGCAACTTCTCTTACTTCGACACGCAGCTATCACGTCTCGGTGCAAACTGGCAGGAGCTGCCTATCAACCGACCCATGTGTCCTTTCATGAACATGACCAACCGTGATGGCGCCATGAGGCACCGCATCACCAAGGGCACAGTCAACTACTGGCCGAACCGATTTGACGCAAACCCGCCCGCTACAGAGGCCGAGGGTGGTTTCGTCAGTCACCCCCAGAAGGTCCAAGGACACAAGAAGCGCGCACTTTCCGAGAAGTTCGGAGAACACTACAACCAAGCGCAGGTTTTCTACAACTCGCTGTCGCCCATCGAGAAGAAACATGTAGCCAGTGCCTTTTCTTTCGAGTTGGACCACTGCGACGACCCAGTCGTCTACAAGCGCATGACAGAGCGTCTTACATCCATCGACCTCGACCTTGCCAAGACGGTCGCGACCAACGTCGGCGGTGACCCGCCCAAGAAAGCAACCAAAGAAAACAAGGGCACTAAAGCCAAGGGCCTCAGCCAGCTGGAATACATGCCCGAGAAACCCACCATCGAGACTCGCCGCATCGCCATCCTCATAGCAGATGGTTTCGACTTCAACCAGTACACGACCATGAAAGAAGCACTATCCAAACAGGGCGCGTTTGTATTTACCATTGGCGCCCAACGCCAAGGCGTAACATCCGAGTCAGGACAAACCGTCATCCCAGACCACTTCTTCGTTGGAATGCGATCAACCCTCTTCGACGCCGTCTACGTCCCCGGCGGCAAGCACGTACAAACACTCGCCAAGAATGGCGTCGCGAAGCACTGGATCGCCGAATCCTTCGCTCACCTCAAACCCATTGCCGCTTCCAATGATGCCGTGCCATTCATTCAGCGACAGATTAACCTCCCTGAAGTGGAGGTTGCACAGAGTGGCTCCCCCCTCAAAGAATCTTACGGTGTTGTGACCGGTTATGGAGACGCTGCTTCATTGCTGAAGGTTGGTAAGGTCGGGCCCGATGCGAAGGGGCTGGCGGAGCAATTCGTCTGGCATGTTTCGCGACACCGTAACTGGGCGCGTGAGTTGGATGGACTTGCTGAACAGATTGCGGCTTGAGTTTACGATAAGCAAGAAATATAATGCACGAATCATTGAGGTTATGAATCATACGGTGTAGATGCGGGTACGCGCGTTGCTAGGGAGGCCACGATAGGGGCTTCTTTCTGCAACCACTTGTCTTTCAATCATGTTCAATTATCACGTCAAATTGGGACCTAATCCTTTTTGTCAAGTGTATCAACTATGTTGCTCGAGGGATTTCTATCTGGTTGCGAATGGAGCTATAGGAGGATGAAATACGTATGGAGCACAGTAGGGGTACCCTTTGCTTCATACCTCGTACACCTACGTAGGTGGAAGAAATCTTATTTGCACTACTGGCATAGAGTACATTTTCCTTTGACTCTGTGCAAGCCGTACTCCGTACAGAGTATGGACATGAGATATGTAGCAGCGTTGTCTCATAGCTCTGCTGCCCCTGGCTATAGTCCTTGAAGATCATATATTTGCTTTTATATTATGTCTCTCTCGCCAATTCATGGGTATACAGACTCCATAACTCAACTTTACATTATTATGTGTCATTTTCTTTATACGGAGTACAGATTTCACCTATTATTGTAGCTCCTATTGCCCGTCCGGGAGCTCACCGCATCAAGGTTGCATTCCTCGACTGATTCGCAATACAAACTCAAGTTTGTATAGGGCTGGTAGAATTCCTGTCCCCTAGGAGATCTCCCCAAGGTCCCTGGCCTCAGACACCGTAGCACGATGTCCAGAGTCGTAGGGTGCTACCCCCTATATCGATACGGGATCTGAAGCATACAGCATATGACACGGCTCATGCACAGACCGTGGACGATAGCCACCTAGGTAATGCCGATGCCACATACCATTCACCCCCTCGCATTCCTGATCGAGGCCTAAAGCAAGTTACACGGCGGACAATTCTGGTCGCAACTGAGACCGAGGCAGAAAGGTTTCTGGTAGCTTTAACTTCCTATTCAATCATCCTACGTCTCTAGATGACTTAAAATTTGTGCTGATACTGATATTCTCTCTGTTCTATATTTGGAATTGGGCTTTGGTTGTGGATTTACCGCCATTCGATCATGGGATTCCATATCTCGCGTTCAACGCGCCTGAGTGTGGTCATTGGCATATCAACGTGCTTTTTTCTCGCTGAGATCTCTTGTTAGTACTCGATTCCCTGGGAGTGGTTTGAAACTAACGTTGCAAAGTGGGATTTTATACCCACTCCATCGCCTTGATCGCCGATGCCTTTCACTATGTAAGTCGGCACGTGCATCTCGACGGGCGGCACACTCACACACCTTGCAGTTAAATGATCTCGTTGGATTCATTATTGCCCTGGTCGCATTGAAAGTAAGTGTCTGGCTTTGTTTGATCGGCAGAATGCTGATCTCGGTCATGTAGAAATCCGAGCAAGCCGATTCGCCTAAGGAACTTTCCTTTGGCTGGCAGCGAGCTCAGCTGCTAGGTGCTTTTTTCAATGGTGTTCTTCTGCTTGGTTTGGGTATCAGTATCTTCTTGCAGTCCATTGAGCGGTTTATTGCCTTGCAACGTGAGTGAATCCGTGACCTTGAGAATTCGCAAATCTAACAATGTTTCAGATGTCAACAATCCTAAGATTATGTTCATCGTGGGCTGTGTTGGCTTAGCGCTCAACTTGATCAGTGTTCTCTTTTTGCATGGTATTATTCTCGGGAATGACTTATCCTGTGTCAAGCTAATTTCTATCAGAACATGGCCACGGCCATGATCATGGTCCACCTACAGTTGAAACTCCACCTGATCTAAGTGAACACTGCCATGAGTCTCACGCCACGGTGTGTATCATTCTTTTTTGATGAAGAGCCGAATATACTAACCCAGCGCAGCATCATGAACACAAACATCTCCATCTTGGAGAGTCTCACGGTCACAGCCATGGGCACAGTCATGGACATGGACATGGACATGGTCAAGGCCACGACCATGGCGACCTTGGAATGATGGGAGTTATGATCCACGTCATTGGAGATGCAATCAACAACTTGGGCGTCATGGCAGCAGGTCTCATCGTCTGGCTAGCAGCACCCCATCCCGGTCGCTACTACGCTGACCCAGGCGTGAGCATGTTCATTTCCATTTTGATCATGCTATCCTCTCTTCCATTGAGTGAATTTCATCAGCCCCTCTCGTTGCATAACATACTGACCTGTTCTCTAGTGCGCAATGCCGGGTTAATTCTACTTGAAAGTGCACCTACCAGTGTAAGTTTCAGCGATGTCAAACATGATCTAGAAAAGGTATGCTTTCGAGTTCCGTATCAATGACAACCCTCATACTCACCCCTCCCAGATCAAAGGAGTCATCTCGATCCACGAGCTCCACATCTGGCGCCTGAACCAGCAAAAGACGCTCGCATCGGTACACGTCGTTGTGTCCGATGATTCTGTCGAGGATTTCATGAAGATCGCACGTGTGATTAATGAATGCTTCCACGCCTATGGGATTCACTCCATCACACTCCAGCCCGAGCTCTCCGACGGTAGTCCCGATCTCGATGTCGCTCCGGACAGTGACAAGCCGCCCCGGTGCCAGGTTATCTGCGGCACACTCTGTGAGCCGCTCACCTGCTGTGGCTAAAATATTGGAATCGGTATACTTCAGCATTGATTTCGCTGCATATCTTTCGTTTGTGCTATCATTGCATATATAATACGATCGAGTGGGGATGGAGTTTTTTTCACGTCTGGTCATTCACCTGGCCTCACTGTGAGGTGAAAACCTCGGGATGACCTGGACTAATTTAATTCGAGTAATACAAAAAGGGAACTTGTCTGCTGGTCAGTTTCGTGAACCTCTTCATGGGTTGTTGAGAGAATAAAAAGTTGTTGAATCTGTCTGTGCCCAGAAATGTGTAGTAGTACTAGCATGCGATATATAACCGTCATCCAGAGGTGGACCTCCACTGCTCAGAATCTTGTAACTTACAGTCCTGGAAGGGTTAACTAACCTCTAGTGGAGCTCTGGGGCTCATTTTGGTGGGCTCATTGAATTTTTTCGATTTATATTGCATTGAATATTATGCTAACACTTCGATATGTGTTTTTTTCAAGATGTGGCTGCAATGGCATGGGTGCTAATGATCAGCCCTTCATAGTTCCGCTAAGCAGCAAATTCTTCATCAACCAGCCAAGTGGCCGAGCAGTAACTCAGCCATCTCATCTTCCTTGGTCTAGTGGTGATGATTTCCGCTTGTCATTAACACCGATAAGCGCGGGAGACCGGGGTTCGATTCCCCGAGGGAGAGATTTCTTTTTTGCTTTTCTTTTTTTATTCTTTGCTTTTTGCTGTATTGCTTCAGTGTTTCCTAAGGAGACCTCGTTCCACCGTTGTTCGCTGCGGGAAATTGATTCGCACTCGGCAGTTGACAACAAAGCAGATCTGACAGCTATCGCATTGGTGCGGAACTGCTCCGCTGCAATGGACGCCTAAGGTTGCCGATCCCCGTACAATTGTCTCCAATCCTGCGATAACAGATGCAGGCATCCCCACTCTGTCGGGGGGTACTAGCCTTCCGTGGCCCTAGATTGGTCGCTATGATTCAGAGATACGCAGTCTCCAACGAATTCCAGAGGGTTACTGCGGGGAAGGCAGGACATACATAACGGCCGAGATTCCTGTCAATCCTGTACATCCATCCATACATACACCATGAGCCTCAACTGGGAGAGCCAAGCCCAAAAGGGCAAAGATGTCTTGAATAATTCGATCCCGAAGCAATGGCTTGTTCCTGTTGATAGGCTGCCGCCAGCCTCGCAGAAGAGCGTTGTCGAGTTCCCTCGGAGCAGTGGCTTGCTCAGTACACACGAACTGCTTATCACTGACATGACTGCCACGGCACTGGTAGAGGAAATGGGCAAAGGAGCATTGACGGCGGAAGAGGTGGTGACTGCATTCTTGAAGCGAGCTGTCATGGGTCACCAAATGGTAAGGTTGAGAAAGTGAACGTGATAAACATCGGTGCTGACAGTGCTACTAGCTTAACTTTGCAACCGAGTTTCTTGCTGACGAAGCCCTCGCTCGCGCCAAAGAGCTTGATGCATATTACCGACGCACTGGGAAACTAGTTGGACCTTTGGTAGGTCAATCAGGATTATCTTGACAATGGCCAAGCTAATTAATCCCGAAGCACGGCGTTCCAATCAGTGTGAAGGAGCATATATCCATGAAGAACCGGACGTGCAACACAGGATATGTAGCTTGGTGAGTCGCCTGAATCCCTGATCCTTGGAGTCCACCGGGGCATCCCTGTTAACAAAGTTAAAAGGACCGACAAAGTTTACACGGAAGATGCATTCCTGCTTCAACTCTTATCCAAGGCCGGCGCAGTATTCCATGTCAGAACAAATCAGCCACAATCACTCATGGTAGGTTGAGGTATGGCCACAAAAGCTCCACCATCTGGCTAACACAGTCTAGCATCTATGCTGTAGCAACAATATCACTGGAACGACGGTGAACCCATACAACCGTACTTTGACCCCGGGTGGATCTTCCGGGGGAGAGGGTGCCTCGATGGGCTTCCGCTGCGCACCACTAGGTATCGGCACCGACATTGGCGGATCGATTCGTTGCCCGGCAGCATTCTGCGGCGCCTATGGATTCCGCCCTTCCTCACTGCGAAACCCAGCAACGGGCATTAAGGTGGCTTCATCAGGCCAGGAGAATATTCGCGGAGTCGTGGGACCAATGTCCAGTCGCTCAATTGAAGATCTGGAACTGTTCCAAAGAGCCGTCTTGGATCAAGAGCCTTGGGATGTTGAAACGTCATTGATGCCTGTGCCTTGGAAGAATGTCGCGCCTTCGAGAGAAATGACCGTGGCAATCATGTGGGACGATGGGTAATATCCTGGACCTGGCATTTGAGGAGAGTCTGCTAACTTCAATCAGTTGGGTCCGACCTCACCCTCCCATCACTCGTGCGTTGCATTTCGCTAGGGAAAAGCTCGTTGCGGCAGGTATCAAAGTCGTGGACTGGGAGCCATATAAACACCAGCATGGATGGGAGATCATTGTATGTTGAGCCCCAGTTCTGCATGGAAATACCAGGTGGCTAACCTGATCCAAGTCTGCTCTCTACTACCCCGACGCTGGCGCAAAACAGCGTCAAGTCCTCGCTCAATCCGGCGAGCCTGCTCGCCCACTCACGGAATGGGCACTATCATATGCTGGAAACAAGACCCTCTCACAGGAAGAAACTTGGAACTTGCAAGAGCAGCGTGAGATCTTCAAGGATGAGTATCATGGCCTCATGAAGGCTCGCGGGGTCGACTTCATTCTCTCTCCGAATTATCCTGGAGTAGCGGCTGTGATGGGCGAGTCGCAGTATTGGAACTATACTGCAATCTGGAACATTGTAGATCTCCCTTCGGCGACTTTCCCCTCTGGACTTAGCGTTGACCCAAAGCTTGACGCTCTGACTGAGCTCGGCAAGAAGTATGTTCCTAGGGATGGTGTTGATGAGCGCGAGTGGCAGAAGTACCAGGGGCCCGAGCGATATGAAGGTGCGCCGATCGGGTTGCAGATTGCTGGGAAGCGATACAGGGACGAAGAGACCCTGGCGGCTGCTAAATTGGTGGAAGAGATCGTCAGTGGAAACTCGAAATCGAAGCTTTAAAGAGTTGAGTCTATAGGTCTGAGCTCCCAGCGAGTGAGAATCGAGTATGAAGTGAAAGAAATCGTTAAATTGACTACCTATGATCTCCTAGTAGCAAATGCCAACGCGACCGGGGTCGCAATCTTCGCTTTCTTTCCATCAAGAGCTTGCTCCATCTCATCCCAGAGAGGTTGGACCTCATCTTCTGCCACATCTGGCTTCGACCAGGTGGCTGCATATCCTCTGAACCAGCTCATGTCCTGCTCATCCGTCCATTCTTCAACATTTTCAGTCCAAATTGTCTCCTCTCCCTCCTTGACTTTACTTGCAACGACTAGATCGTTGAGCTTGAATGCATCTATGCTGCCTTCCGCATTGAGGTACACTCTCTTCACGGACTCCCAATCCTCTTCTGGGAACTCCCAGGCTTCGGTGCCCGAATTCAAAATCCGAAGTGCATGATCCAACAGTGGACTCTTGACTCGCTCGGTATAGAACTTGAAAATTGCCTTCCACGCCCGTTGAGCGCGGTCATTATTCACGATACGTGGCCGAGTATACAGGGAGATGAGGAGAGTTCCTCCCGGGCGAAGCTCACGAGCAAATCCTTTGATCGCAACGTCAGGTCTCGTCCAATGTATGCACTCGCACGCCGTGATCAGATCCACAGAAGCAGGCTCCAACGAGCTGTCTTCGGCGCTCTCTCGCAGGAATTTCAACCTGGATTCTGGCAGCCGGGATTCCTCGACTAAGATTTTGCGAGCTAGCGTGGCATATCCTTCGTTCGGATCCGACACAACGAGGTTGTTGAAGTGGGGCGCTAGACCCGCTGAGACGATACCACATCCGGCACCGACATCATGAGCCGTAGACCAGGCTGCCGTTGTCTTCTGGGCATGATAGGCAAAAATGTTTTGGAAGAAAGAGGCTGGATAAATGGGACGGAATTTGATATAGCTGGACCAATCGACACCACTGAACCCGAACTGTTTTTGAGGCGAAGCCAGTGTCGGGGCCTCTTTCGGTTGACTGGCTGTGGACATTGTGAGAGAGATGTCTAGATGGAATGCTGGAAGTGAGAGAAAGGGGGAAATCGCCCACAATTATATACACTTTGTGAGACGCACAGAATGGCTGGCAAAGAACCACCTCATCTCCAATGTACTCTGTACCCCGTCCTCCGTACTACAGAGTGTAGGGAACCGAGACCCACCGGTGAAATGTGATGGGTCACTTTGCGCGTAGACTATTCCTTAAATTCCTTAATTCGGTCTCGCTCGGTCTCGGCAGCACTTTCGATCCTATCGTGGGCCGGTCTTGGCTTAGCCGCGATCGCCTCTCGATCTCGGAGAACATCGGTGGAAGATCTCGGTCTTTCATGCATGAACTTATCACATCATTAGTGTCAGGTCGAAAATGGCTCGTGCTGCCCAGTGGGTCTATGACTCCATTGATCTGCCACTATTCGTGAACCTTGCCCCCTTCGTTACTTCGGACGCTTGCAGTTTGCGACTGAGGGGCATCAAGGATCAGCCTTGGATATTCTATTGACAAAGAAAGAAAAACAAAGCGAAAAACAAATAATGTGCATGATGTCGGAGTACAGGGATTGTGATCGCCAAATCCAATTCATGATTTCTGCTCAGCCCTCAGATCCTGCAACGATTTGATCTGGGAACCATCCTCCTTGAAATTGCCAACATCGAGCCATTTCTCCATCGCAGACTTCAACGATGCATCCCACTCGTCTTTCAAGATCGAGAACCAGGCAGTGTCTCTGCTCCTACCCTTGACGATCATGTGCTGCCTAAAGATTCCCTCGAAAGTGAATCCCAACCGCAAAGCGGCCCGCCGTGACGGCTCATTCATGGAATGACACTTCCATTCCAACCTGCGATATCCGAGATCGTGGAAAGAATGCTGAGCGAGGAGATAAACTGCTTCGGTCGCGCCAGTTGTGCGTTGAAGAACAGATGAATACATCACATGCCCGATCTCGATGTTCAAATGGTCGGGCACGATTCGCATCAGAGATATGTGGCCGACTGCCTTGCCGAATGTTGGCTGGTCTTCGCGACGGTCGATGATTGCATAGAAGTAGGGGTCGGTGGACTTGGACTTGGAAGCGATGTTTGCTTTCAATGTCTCAAGGTCAGAGAAGGGCTCTTCGGCCATGTAGTCCCACAAAGCTGCCCTGGAAGCTTCGGTCCCGCCAGTGACATTGAAGATATCTTCGGCATGCTTGGGCTCGAGTTTCTCAAGGACAATGGTCCGTCCCGGGAGTGTTTGGACTGATGGTAGAAGAGCTGGGGCCAAGGAGACCAGAGGGCCTTTGGGACGCAATGCTGCCATATTGAATTGTTGATTCTTTCAATGTCTTGAGATTTCAGAAATGAGTCTGGGTTCTTATAGTCAGCGATACTGCATCTTGCGAATACAATGAGTCACGCAGATGTGATTCGCCGAGAGCACCGAGGTCCCGTGACTTGGGGCCCTGATAGGCTGCACTTCCGAAGTATAGAGATGTGCGAATACAAAATCAAGAGAAGTGGCATCAGAAACAATCAGTATTGTGGGCTATGTTACATCCATGGCGTTGTTGTGAACAGCCCGGTCAGGTGACTGAAGACCTCGGAATAGCTCCCGAGTTCTCTCCCTTCTCATTTTCTTTTCGTGCGAGAAGAACTGATGACCCCTTTCAGCTCGGGTCTACAACTCCGAGGTCCCCGCTGTCCCACACTCCCGTCAGATATGACCGCCGTGGACTAGACGTGGCCTGGGAGTCTGTCACTTAATCACGTGATGACCAACAGGCCAGGATCAGGCGATTCTGTCAAGACCCTGCAAAGGTTGCCACGTTTCCATTGATTTAAACATGAGTATTCATATCCCATCGTTGGAGTGTCTCAGATGATACGAATTGCTGTCGGACTGAAGTGTCTTTGATTTGGTACGGTGGATCCTTCCAAGGTTGAGATCTATAACTCGGAACTCCGAGTTTTGATAGCGCTTATTTACTTCGACATTTCCAACATCGAGAATCGTAATCTGTCTTCCCACCTGTGTCTAGCAAGAATATCATACGCAGCTAGCATGGGGAATCAAATCAACAAAGAGCATCTTTTGGTGAGCAAAAATCAAGTCAGAGAACTACATACTCGTTTTATGCTTCTAATACATGGACAACAGATCACAGGTGTGACTGGGTACATCGGCTACCAGACACTTGTACTTGCCCTCGAGAGAGGGTATCACGTTCGAGCAGTGACTCGAAAACAATCATCGTTAATAGACTTGAAAAAGAACCCCATCATTGCAGGTTGCCTTGATCAAGGTAGACTCGATGTTGTTACCATTCCGGACTTTTTGGAAAACGATGCATTCTTGAAACATCTGGAAGGGATCACAACTATAATTCATCTTGCATCACCGCTAGCGTTTTCGGTAATCGACCATCTACCACTGTTGAGCCTTACGTACTGACGCTTTCGGACTAGGCTACGAACTTTGTTGAAGGAATTGTCAAGCCGGCTGTCGATATGGTCACGACCGTCCTGGACGCGGCCAATCGTACACCCTCCGTCCGTCGCGTGGTGCTGACCTCTTCCTGTGAGAAAGCCTTTGAAATTGCATCGACATAAGACGCTAATTAGTACCACAGGCGTGACACTCATTCCATTCAGTTGGAATTTGAACCCAGATACCGAAAGACTCTACACTGGTAATACCTGAATCGCATTTACTTCGGAGATATGCTAAGCCAACTCACAGTCAATGATGTCAACAATGAGCTCGACGGGCCTTACGAGAACGCAATGGAAGCGTACTGGGCCTCGAAAGGCATCGCTCGGATCAAGGCAAGTGAGTTTATTCGCAAAGTTCAGCCAAGCTTCGACTTGGTAAACCTGCTGCCATCGGTGGTAATTGGTCCCGACACTCGCCTCGACTTCGACCCCACGGCGACATCCGACGGTCTTCGACAGGGGGCAAGAACAAATGTGCTGGCCGCTGCACTGGACTCTTCCCTCAACTCATCTTTCCCTTATGTCGGGACTCCTGTGCACGTTGCCGATGTCGCGAAAGCGCACGTGGACGCCGTGAACAGAGATCTGGTTCCTGGAAATTCTGAGTATATCTTGTCATCAGATACGCCTGATGGAGTTGTTTGGGACAAAGACGTCCAAGATACTTGTCGAAAGTTCTTTCCGACAGAGGTTGCAAGCGGGCAGTTACCGATGGAGGGATCTTTGCAAAGTATCAAATGGAGACTTCAGGCCGAGGACACAGAAAAGATTTTCGGTTGGAGATTTGTTCCGTTCGAAGACACCTTGAAGGAGCTTATCGCGCAGTATCTGCGACTTGACGCAATTCATAGGGCTGTTTGAATTTGTGCGACTATGCAAGTGTTATTGTTGATCTAACTTGAGCTCGAAGCAAATTCCGAACTCTCGCGGATACTACTATTTCAAGAAGAAATCAAAACAAAAGTGTCACCCTCTTGGAAGATCTATCTCCTATGGCGAGGAGCACGAATGAACTATTCAGGGTCCATCCCGTTGCGTTCTGAGGCGAATATTTTGGCTCTGCGATTGTGGGCATACGAACTTGTCCGGTGCTTGATTTCAATTCAAGAATCAAGCCTTATCACAACAGTTCAAAGTAACGGAATCAATCACTACCTAGTAGTACTCAATGATCATCCGAGAAAGCTCCTCGTTACGGTGGCCTTGTGTCTACCTACTCCGTCGTCAAGTGAAACACCTCCCGCCACCCCACAGTCATCGGGTGGCCTGGGATTATCAGCTTGTGAATGAAAGGCTCCAAATTTAATCATCAACAAGACACTGATCGATGTAAATATAAATCTGACACTTTTCTGCCCCGCCAAACCTTGGAATCGCCGGTTAGCGCTGAATAAGCAGCTCGGAATTCCGAGCTAAAAGTGCATATGTGAACGCCATGACTTATATCTATCGTAGCAGGATACCTCAAGCTGGGCGCAACCTGTTTCAACCAAAGGAGGCTCATGATTCCGATGCAGGATGAAAGCCCAATCTAGTGAGAAAAAGTCAGAATGTATGCTTTGTGGTCTACAGTTCAATCATCGTAAGTCTCCGGATTGATCGTGCTTGTGAATTATTTAGGGAATACCAGCTCATAAATGTACAGGATCATCACTCATCCGCCATACGCGGAACAATTGCAACAAGAATCCATCACAGCGGCGCAAATCCTGCAACCAATGCATCGCGAACAAGACAAGATGCACTCTCAAACGCCCCAGTTGTGCAGGGTGCTCTCTGCGTCAAATCGCGTGTGTATACGCGAGCTCTGGTGGAGAGCAGTCCGAGCAGCCTGCGTCACCCGGAATTGCGAGTGCCCCCTTGGACTTCGACCTTGATACCTTGTCAACTTTCCAACCACAGAATCTTTCCGCGAGATTCGACTCGACTCTTTTCGAGCCCTTTTTTGGTGACTTAGAATCCTGGTCTCCAATACAGCCATCGGAACTTGTGCTGCAAGCTCAGAATGGGACAGGCCGGGAGCTTCTACCTCTCAGTGATTCTGTTGACTGCGCCTCTTCTGAGATCGCCTTTTCCCGATCAAATCAACAGATCGACAGAGACTCCGACAAAAATTCAGCCGCGTTGGTAAATCATAGTATGGAGCTCATCTTCCGAGTTTGTCGAACATGGCCTCAGATGCTGGCCGATGGCTTTCAGATCCCGCCTATCTTTCACCCTACCCACCTAGCTTCGCAGACTGATCTCCCCCGACCACTAGCAACGTGCATAACTTTGGTCAAAATGTGGCATGGGCAATGCCCAGGAGCCGAAACAATCGTCCGTGATACAATACGCCGGGAGCTTGATCTGGTCATGAATAACGTGAGTGCTATTAGCGACCGATCTTTCGATACTTGACTGAAACGTAAAATCCAGTCCGACGAGCTAGATGAAGCAACACTTCTAGCGAGCTTACAGGCAGTGGTGATGTACACGATTATTCTACTTGCGCCCTCAAAAACCTCCCCCAGTGAATGCATGAGCGAAGACGCGATATTTCGAAAAGTTGAGATATTCGTCTGGCACGTCGTTCGTGGTGGTCTTTTCCTCCCAGAGGAGCGGGCACAAACAAGACCGTCGTGGGAGGCTTGGATACATGTCACAGCTAAACGACGCGCGATACTCGCCTTATACTTACTTCACTGGGCATATTCCGTCCTGCACAAGGTCCCGTGCTTTGATTGTTCAGAGCTAGGCTTCATGCCGGCCCCAGCGCCAAAGGCTCTCTGGCAGGCTCACACAGAGCAAGAGTGGAACAGCAAATACATACACTGGCTTTCGCGATGGAATGGCCAAATTTATCTTCAGGCTGAATTTGGGCATATCCAGCCGGGTGCTGTTTTGAGTTCCAGGGCGGAAAAATGGCTGGGAGAGGCGGATGAATTTGGATTCATCATGGCTTCAATCCGTACGTACTTCCCATCTTTCGAGTCTATCTGTCATCGACTGATATGTGTACAGTTAACGCGACTGAGTTCAACCCCCCTAGCTACAAAGTGGCGGTTTAATGAGCCTCCCGTGGCTCATACGAAGAGCATGAAAACTTCCCATGAGCTCTGCTTGACAAGCTCTTATCGAGGCCTTTGATTCATGTCCTATTATTCTCACAACACATTGATACCAGAGTGCAGCACTGTAAATCCAAATATCCGCACTCAAGCCTTCAAAGTCTCAGCCCAATCATTCAAATCGATACTAAACATAGAGACATCGCCCCGCGGAACCCCCATCATGGTGGTCAAGCGATACGAGATCTTCCACTTGACACCGTCTTCATCCGTAACTCTCACGAGCTTGTCATAATACCTCGCTTCCGCGAGGAATGACTTCTCCCCTAGAAAATGCCCAGCGGCACAGTAGGTCGTGGCCTCAGCTGTGTCTTTGCCAGTGAGCTGTATACTCTGGGTTGTCAGGCCATGGAAAGTGTTGATATGCCCGATTGCACTCTTCAGACCCTGAATGACGGCGTCTGGCCCTTTCATCAGGCCGAGTGAGCCTGTATATTCGGCGACACAATCTTCGGTGAGAAACTTGCTTAGGTCTTCGAACTTTTTGGTGTCGAAAGTGATGGCGATACCAGCGATGGTATTTCGGATGAGCTCGTGCTCAGATGTAACCCCCATGATTGGGGTGCTGGTAGGAACAGGATGATTCGACATCTTGAAAAAATGGGGTTGTGAAAGTTGGCCTAGATGTTGATTGAAAGAAGATGAGTATCAACTTCTAAGTTGGGGATGCTCGTGTTATAAATCTTGATTCTCGTCCCAACAGAGCCCGTCCTCCCAGGGGCCCGCGGGCGATCCTTCGTGTGACAAATCAACCTGAATATCGTATGAGCTATTTGCAACTGAAGTTCAGGTTTTACAAATCATTCTATAGTTGGATGAATTCAGCATCAACCGGAACTCGGAGCTCCGGGAGAACGCTCGTTGAAACCAAATGCAGGTCCTTCGGAGTTCCCCTACGGTATCCAAGCAATGAAATTGCAAGAGAGGGATATTATCAACTCCGCAGAGGCGTGCTAGTATTAAAGACCTCTCTTTTCTCCGAAATTTCCTGTTTTCAATCTGCGAAATCGATCAGACTGAACCACAATCATATCAAGATGGCATCACCCTTTTACAACTACACAATCGCCACTTTTATTCGAGGCCTTGATACTCTCTATTATATTCTGAAAAAAGCCGAGGAGCATGCAAAAGAAAACACCATATCTCTCAATGAGCTTCTCAACGCTCGTATCGCCGAAGATATGCAGCCTCTGGCCTTCCAAGTTGTGACAGCCACAAACAATGTCGGAAAGGCCCTCGCTCGGGCATTCTCCGTGGAACCTCCACCTCAATATCCGCCAGATGAGACCTGGGAGGAGCTTTACAGCCGCATTGAGAGATATATTGTCGAGCTTAAAGCTGTCGATGCAGACATGTGTGCCAGTAGAGAGGGCAAGACCTTTGCGGCCCCGATTGGCGTGGAAACCTTTCAATATACGCTGGAAGAATATTCCGTGCGATTCTCGATCCCAAACTTCTATTTTCACCTGGTGACGACATATGCTACACTGCGATCAAAAGGGTTGGATCTAGGAAAGCTGGACTATCTAGCTCAATTTACGGCATGAGAGTTTTGTTAGAGAGTGAGACATTCGAGGAAGCTAGACGAGCTGAGAGATTGAGAACATATTTACTGAATCTTCATTCATCATCACTAAGAAAATGGATAGGATATACTATACGTAAAGCTTCAAACATTGGAAGTCAGGTTGCATGTCGCTCGTAGATCTTTGACCATCAGGTCAGCATTCCATATATGGTCTATTTGAAAAATTACAGCAGACGAGGGATAATAAGTATCAAGGAAATATCAGAGAGAAAATACATTTTGTTTAGTCAAAGCAAAAAGAACCTCCACTCTCCAATGACTCTTCGCGGGGCGTGAGCCGCGATTGGACACACCAACACCCTTTTGAAATACCTTCACTCATCCTCAATGATCTCTGTATTAGGTATCGCCTGAATAAAAGCCTTTCCAAAAACAAGCACCGGAGTCTGAAATCCAGGTTTCGCCTCATTTTCCAAAACACGTCTTGCGGCCTCCACTGACGCCAAGCCGGTGAAGGTGTACCCGTTGACAGTATGCAAGACCGCTCTGTATGAAGCGCCTTCTTCTGAAGTGACAACAGCCGCCGCGTGATACGGCGCTGCATCCCTCTGTTCGGCCGTCGGGCCATCGGGAAGCTGGCCAAGGTCTCCGGTCGGAAAACTGTCGCTCGAGGCATGGACAAAAGTTCCGATATTGACGAGACCAGATGACTTTGAGATGGTCAAGAGATCGGGTAGCGTTACTGGGAATGAGGGAACGCTTCCATTGCCGTCACCGAAATCGAAAGTCTTGGTTTGGGGATGTTCTTGTTCAACCAGGTTTCCGTCCACCAATCGAAGACATCCGGATGTCATGCTCGATGCGCTGAGAGCCGATCCCCTGGACATTGATCCAGCCACATGTAGAGCGATGTCGATGCTCTTCGGATTTGCGACTTGGCCGATAACATGACTGGCAAGACAACCCAGCATAGCAACGCTGCCGCCGCACCCGGGGAGGAGCATGACACCGGCTTCCTGTGCAGCAGCATCGTATTCTTGTGCTTGCTGGTAGGTTCCAATTTCCGCTGAGATGTCGAGGTAATGTGTTTTGTTCCGTATGCATGCTTCCATGAGGGTCTTGGCGGTTCGAATATATGGACCGGCGCAGTTGAGGATGACAGATGTGCTTTTCAACATGGAGTCAACAATTTCTTGGTCGCTCAGATCGAACACGTAGTAAGGGACATCAAGTCGAGACGCTAGATTCTGGAGATTCTGCTCTGACCGGCCGGCCAGGGCGAAGTCCAAACCAATGCTCTTGGCGTGTTCACTGGCCATCCGGCCAGTATAGCCGGTCGCACCATAGATGATTAAGGAGACCATTCTTGATTCGAGGCGAGGATAAATAGTATGAAAATAGGACACACGCTCTCTTTTTGCCATGAGTATTTATAGGTACATTTTTTCGCAATTGGAGCATCCAGTTCCACAGCTCAAATCAAGCTCGGGGTTCCGAGTTGGTTCCAAATGAGCCAAAGCCCCAGCCCGTTGGGCCACCCGGGGCCTAGGCTCAGGCTTACAGGCCATTGCCTAGCCCAACCCACCGCCCATTGATGGCCCACCAGGCCCCTGTATTTTTTGATAGATTCGATACCTGAAACAATGAGGCGTCAATAACGCAGAGTGTCTGATACAATTCCAAGGTTGTTTCAAAAGAATCCTCTTTTGCCTCGTCTGGTGTAAAGAAGGTACCAGAGCCCTATCAACTGGAATGCACCAAATGCCATCGTGATGCCACTGAACAACTGAATACCAAGGAAGTTCAAGTCGGCGCTCCCGGTGGAGTTGATTGAAGCAAGTGCACCTGCTATGGGTGGACCGAGAAGTGATGCGAAACTGCTCAAGCTTTGTGCCATTCCTAGCCAAGTACCGAGACGCTTGGGATCGGGGCAGACGTGAGCAAAGACACTGGGTGGGAGAGGGATCAACGCCCCGGAAATGCCACCTGATTGCGTAAGTGATTGTGGAAGATTGAAGGCAGAATATAGAAGAAGAATGAAATGAGGCATACCATAGAAAGCTGCATACAGAATGAATCGAGCCAAGCTATCTGTACTGATCCAAGTCAGACATAACATGCCGGAAAGTATCCCGCAGGATATCCAGGCAACCATCGACCCGCAATAGTGGGCAAAAAGGGTCAAAATGACACGACCAATAACAGACGAGGCCTGAGATATTAACAGCACATTAGAGGCCATGGTACGCGATGTCCCCAACTTGGTTTCCGCATAAGTCGGAATGTAATAGAAAGGCGTGATATAACCAAGGTAGAGAAAAAAGCTAGCGACCGTAAAGCTCCAGAAAGGAAGGTCTCTGAAGGCCGCCATATCAATAAGACTTCTGCTTTGTGTGATCTCATGCTTGCGAGAACCTCTCTCAGGAAGTAACAGGAGGATCGCAGCAGCGATGAACAAAGCGAGCATCACGAAGCCCATGAGACGAACCGTCCACGGGAATCCGGATTTGGAGATCAGTTGATTGAACATAACAGTGTATATGATTCCGCCAGCAGGAGCTCCGCTAGTCGACACGCCGAGTGCAACAGCTCGTCGTGAGGTGAAAGAGCGACTGACCAATGTGATACTCGGCACATACAACAGACCAAAACCAAGACCCATGCATACTCCCTGACTGAGGAAGATCGCATAGTAGTCATGTGCCAAACTTAGCATCATCATGCCAAAAACACCCAAGAAACTGCCGGTATACATCATTGCTTGGTGGTAGCCGAGGTCAAAGAGCGGACCGGAGAGTAAGCCACCAACAATCAAGAGCCAGGACTGTATTGTGCCAATCCAGGCAATTTCTGATGCGGTAGAGGAAGGAATATAGTTGAGCGCATAAAAGCTTTGAAATGATCCAAAGGCGAAATTCAATCCCCTTCATCAAAGTTAGTATTGAGTTTTTGGCTTGACATCTGTGCTTCGGATCAACGAACCAGACATTGAATAGGACGAAAAAAGCGCCTAGAACTTGAAAACATCCAAGGAGTTTAGATCGAGTTGTTGAATTAGATTCATTATTCGCGTTAGGTGCTAGTTCTGCGACTTCAGAAACCTCCGGGTCTTTTTCTGGTGACATGTTCACGGTTTTCCGGATGAACTGAGATGAAAGTAGAGAAAGCTGCAAGTATAAGACTCCAAACTGTGTGCTGTGACCCCTCATACATTACTAATTCAGGATCATCGCCCAGATGGGCTCGTATGCGGCACGGTGTATCCGAGAAAGAGCGGGGTGCGATTTTCGGGGTAGGGTAGCAATTGACCCCAATTAAACATCTCTTCCTTGTCAATCCCTTGTTAATCTTAGATGAGAACTGCCGAAGGTGGTCATCTCTCTTTCTGCTATGATCAGAATTATCTTGCGCCATTGGGGGCGAAGTTGAGTGATCATGTGGCCTATGTACGTGTGCCTCGGCTAGATCTCTTTGCCGGGGAGTTGGCTTATGTAGCCAATCTGCCTGATCTGGCAGATTATATCGAGCCAAGTTCTGTTTTTCCGAGAGTCTCGGAAAAGATCAAACACATTCGGGCTCAAGGGCTTCACACTCAGCCGGTCAAGCCCCCTGGGGACGGCGATGTGGATCACAGGGGTTGATTCAAAAATGGAAAAATGGCTGATAGTTACATGTGTAAAGGTCCAAGAAGTAGATATCGTCACTGCTGGATGTTCCTCCGAGCATCATCGGGAGTAGACGCCTCATCAACCATCCTCATTGGTAGATTTCCAAGTCGACATCCTCTCACATATTGTCACCGAGAAAAATTATCGTAGGTAGATATCCTGTTGAGCACAACTCTTGCTTTGCCCTCTAATATGAGACGGGCTTGGCGAAAAGAACAACTTCCTGTCACCAAATTTCATGGGCGGACACCCGTATTTCTCACAATTTTCCAGGCTCCAACTAGCATGCACCTGCTTCTTCCAGTAAGGCAATCATGCGTTCCTTCTCGGGAAGTTTGTCGCAGTTGCGTGCATGATCCAAAAGCGTTTGACCATAGATGGTCCGGGAATGAATATTCACCCCCATGTCAAGTAGCTTTGACACCAATGTAGCGTGAAAATTGTACACAGCATAAAATATGGGCGTCGCATTTTGAGCATTGGCCAAATTTGGGTTTGCTCCTCTTTCCAACAAGAGGAGAGCAACCTCCTCTTGCTCGAGACCGGGGTACTTGACAGCAAGGTGCAACAGGGTGTCTTCGGATAAGACTCGAGTGTCAACAGAGACACCCATGTTCAGGAAAAAACGAACAAGATCAAGGTGACCTTGACGTGTGGCTTCGATGATTGGAGTGAAGCATGTGGCAGAGTGTAGACTTCCAGTGGGGGTTGCAAGCACGGCGGTCATGTATGTGATCAGCCTCTGATCATTGAGTGATCTATCGTAGCCCATCACAGCCAAATCGAGGGCTGATTTGTGACCACAGTCCCGGACATCAACGCGTGCGCCGCTTCTGACCAAGTAGAATGCTGTTTCATGTCGATGGTTTACCACAGCTCGGTGCAAGGGACCTTGATCCTTACCATGCGATTCCCTCTCATAGTATTTGAAATCATGTTTGAAAGGATAGGTGTATGTTTCCAGGTCGGCGCCGGCCACGACCATGAGTCGAACGGTACTGATACTGCCTTTTTCGGCGGCCCAGGAAAGCGCAGAGCTGTTGTTGAATTTGATGTTATACCGGTACATGACAGGATTCATCATGAGGTGCAAGAACTTATTTGTTTGTGCAAATCCGTTCAGGTCCCACGCGGTGTCTAAGCAACCAGCTATCCGCAAGAGCAGCTCGTTTGGGAGATGAAGCAAACCCACTTTGGAAGCACCACTGTCAGCCATCTTGGCGGAGAGATTGGTTTTCGGGTTGAGGGAGAAGAGTGAGTGAAGTGAAGAGCCATTGTGAAAGTCAACACATGAATGCAGGTGAAAGGAAAGGGCGAGATCGTGCCTTCGTTATTTGGACATCGGAGCCAAATGCTCCGAGCCTCCGAGGTTATTCCCAGATCCCCTGGGCCCTAACTACCTCCTCTCCCCTCATTTTCTTCTATCTTACCAACCCCCCTCTCTCCCTCCCTCCCCCTGTTGGCACTCACCTCTTTGCATGCAGCTCCTACACTGGACTCCCTTAATGATGATCCTGGGAACCTTGTATATATTTCCCAGCTGTGGTACACCCTCGTTTCTTCAGTCGGCCTCATAACCTTGGCAAAGCTCCTCCATTTACGTTCGACGCCCAGGAAACTTTTATGGCGTGGAAAGTCTTTCTGTACTTTTACACACAGCACAAACGTGAGCTTTTCGAGAGGCCTGCCAGGTCACAAAACGCCAATGCTATCGATCCTTACCCTGCCTAGCCTGACAAAGCCGGCTGCGCGCCCCCCGATCAGCAAAGACACATCTCGGCATTAGAGAATATCCTTTGATCTGTGATGATGTCTTTTACAATTGACTCACCCTCCCATACCGTCTCCCGGCGTATGTCAGAGTCTTCCGCCTCTAGAATATAGTCACCACGTTGGAAGTTATTCTACTATCCATGAGACCATGACTCTGATCAAACTACTTTCGTCACTAACATCACCATCACAACCGCCCCCTCCCCCCCCCAGATCATATCTAACGACCCGACGAGACCCAAGAGCCGTGGTACGTTGAAGAGTCTGCGAAGATCTTCGATCGAGACAGAAAACAATTCTTTCAGATAATACCGCTTTCATTCATACTTTCGCTCTAATCCCATCAACACAAAAATTCTAGTTCAAGTCGTAAGTTCTCAAGTCCTGGATCACTGGCTGACTGAGAAAATCAGATATATGACTGGTGGATCGAACTGACTCGAAATATGTGACGATGAAAAACTCCGAGCCCTGTTGCAGTCACCAGTTGAACGCCCCCGGTAGTTAGGAACTCGGCCCCAACCCAATCTCCACAGCGCGCAACGCTAGAGACTTAGTCAAGTGCTAGTGCTGCATCCGCTTAGGGCGGATGTGCGAAGGTCCAATAGGGATGAGCTAAACCCTGACTCACGACGTGCACAATATCCATGGATGTTACTAGCATAGGAACGAGTACTACCTGATGTACAAACGGAGTTGCTAGCTTCATTAGGGTGTCCCAGGCTGCCTAGCTTGCCGGTTAAGCGAAGCGTTATCACTTGGGCTTGTTACTTAAAGAGACTTTCTCCCCTGGGCTTTGAGTTCTCATTCTTCCAAGTTCGAGCTCCTCTTCATACTTTCAAACCCCTTCAACTCCCATAAACCACTACAATGCGGGCCCAATTCTTCATCGCCGCCATCTTCGCATCGCTTGGTGCCCAGGCAGATGATGCCAGCACTCGAACCACTGGCTACTTCTCCCCCGACTGGAACAACGCGAATTTCCCAGGCGCTTGGCATAGCACTGCTGCCAGCATCGCTGGTATCAACGCGGATGCCATCACCTACCAAGTGAACTGTCAGAAAGGCGCCCCCAAGTCGGACTGCGACATCCAGTCGATGACCATCATCCAGGGCGCCAAGACAGTGAACTTTGACGCCACATACATCGCGACCTCAACTGGTGACAACGGTTACGACATGACTGTCACCGAGTCCTATGACTGCTCTTTGAAGGCATCGACCGAGTCAGCCAGCTGCACCATGAGTGTAAGCATGGGTGGTAGCGCGAACGGAGGCAAGACCTCTTACTCTTCGTCCGCCACCACCACATACACGACCGCCCCCATCACCGACAGATATTATGAGCTGCGGATCACCGGCGGACTGGACACCTTGACCTCGCCCCAGGCGACTGAAACACCGGACGCTGCTGCCGCCGGACCTGCAGGTGCCATGATCACTGCTGGGCCGGTTGTGATGGCTGCACTTGCTGCTTTGCTTTGATCATTCCGCAATGGGATCTTGCCACTGCGCATGTCTAATTTGTTTAGATTTCTCACAAACAATACTGTCTCAAGCATTAGGATACCATTATGTGATTTATGAATTAATACCCGTCGAAATTATTTATCCTGTTAACCCCGGATCGCATCGCACGATACATACCTTAAACTCGGCTGTAGCTCCTAAACACCATGCATTTCCAAATGCCTTGCGCGAAACCCAATTTTCTTTGCCACCGCAAGGGTTTTGATCAAGAAAACTCTGTATTGGTTTCGGCCCCCTACGGGTATCCGCTTAGAGTGGCTTCCTTCTCCGCCTCGAATTTCAGCCTCAGCCTAGCAATAGCGCCTAGCAGTAGCGCGTATTATATGAAGTGGGGTAGATGAGCGATTGGGACCTTGGGGCCGTGGATGTATCCGAGTTGCAGCCTCAAACTCCTAAGCATACAGTACTTACTAGGCACTGTATACCACTCTGTACTCCGTACAGTACATTAATACTAAAGTATAGGAGTAGCCACTTCCAAGGTTCCAAGATTTCATGCCAGTATTTCTCATGCCTCGTGGATGCGTAGTAGCGTGGGAAATGGGGGGGGCAAAACTGTTCTGATAGGCAATCTCTCGCTTAAAGTTAACTCCCGGGATGTACTCCATACGGGGGATAGCTAACTGCCCTGCATCTGGTCAAGCTTTAAGGCTTGTAAAGACCGGTACTGCAAGTGCTGACCTGTACGGGGCTACCGACCTCGGGAAGTGACAATACTTCGTACTGTAATGAAAACAGCAGCGGCTTTTCTGAATACGCTCTTCTGCCCATAAGAAAGGCCTAATGGAGTCATTCGACAAAAACTGAGCAAAGCATACAGCCATATACTAGTAGTACATTGAGTAGCAAGTGTACTGTATCTGAACCGATCGGGTACGGAGTCCTCGGGTGCAGAAACCGGGCGCGCCGTGATCCACAATGACCCACTAACGCCAATAAAAGGATATGATTGGCTTTGTTTCAGAAATACAGACCAACGGACCAATGACAGGGCGAAGAGGGGAACCTCTGCTTTTTTTAGTCTCGGCGAGCCCCAAATCATAATTCGTTCCACGGTCGACGCGATGGGAGAGAAAACCTTGTCTGGAATTCGTTCTCCCCCCCTGACCGTCGGGGGATCCTGCATATGTCACATTCAATATTGGGCCACATGGAACCTAGCTGATGTCTTGACAGCATGGAAATGGCAAATCAGGGTAAGTCCTGCAGAACTCCCGGCCACGTGGTGAGGTTAACGTGGTGTAGCTTTGATATTCCCTACAGGTTGAGCGCCTAGAACGTCCATCATGGAAATCGAGGTCCAAGAGAAAAAGAGACCATCCCAGGGCTGGTTGCCTGCTACACTGCGCTGGCCGTATCTCTTCTCCCTGGGAAGTCTGCTCCTGTTTTTACTGGCGGTGGTTGAGACACTACGCCAGTACTCGAACAGGAAAGGTTTCCTCATCCATTGGAGCGATGTGGAAAATCTTCCAGGGACCACTTGGCAGGTATATACGTATCTGCCTTTGGTCCTTACCCTGCTCGCCATCGTTCTCCTGGATATTTGTGCCCAGGATGTCTTCCGGTTGGAGATTTACTTCCAACTGGCCAAGCAGGAGGCCACTCCGGCCAAGGTGCTCTTCACGAATTATTGCAGCAACGGATTGACAGCGTCAATGATCGCACTTCGAAACCGGCATTGGATTGTGTTATGCGTCGCGTCGGTATTTTTGATTTGTCGCATGTTTCTTCCCACGTTGGCCTCAGGTATCATCAGCTTGGATGGAACGACCTTGCGGGAAAGCAAATCAGTCCACACCTGGCCGTCAATCGTTGATCTCGACACTCAGATGTCGTGGTTCAACGCCAGCCTCTCGCATCATGGAATGCTCGGGCGCTCCGATCTAGGCAGCATGTTTCTGTCCCGCCCGTCGACATATGCGGCAGCACCTGTTTCGATTCCAGGTGAGGCGACCGAGAACTCGTTTTTGACTGTCAATCAAACAGCATATTGGTCGAACTTGACTTGTGTCACCCAACTTTCAACAGGCAACTCCAATAGCACATTCTCGTCTATCAACTCGAGCTCGGGGACCAACCAGCTGGCCTGGATTTGGAAAATGCGTGATTTCGGGCTTCCTGGGAGTATCAACGATACCGACTCTCGCTGTCGAATTGACCTTGACCTTGAAGTGACTTCTAAGTCAAACCAGAGAGACCTCCACGCACGTTACTGGGCCCCCACTTATAACGGAACGGACGCCAACTCATCCTTTGTCCCGGGCGATGGATGCGGCTCTTTCGAACTTTTCGGTGTGATGTTGGATTCAAGAATTGTCGACGGAAACATCACGGCCCCAAATATCACCGTGCTTGGCTGCTCGCCGGTGTATCACCAAGCCCAGGCGGAAGTCACTCTCAACAACAATGCTTCCATCGCAGATCTGCAAACCAGCCCTGACGGCATCAATCCTCTAAATGCAAGTGACTTCCACGTATCAGGGCTGCACGATGTTATTTCCTCGAAGTATACACCACAGGAGCAGGGTATATCATTATCGGATCCGTCATTGCAGACTGGAAATGACCTCAACAGCGCCAAAAACAGCAAACAAATCAACTCCACCGCATTTATCCAGGAAATGCAATCGTCTTGGAATGAGAACTTCATCGTCATCATCAACAAGCTATTTAACCCAGCTGCGCCCCCCTCGAGCATCGACGCCACGTTGACATCCTACGTGGTGATATTAGTTGTGGCTCCCAACGCTGCGATTTTCACCGAAGCGATCCTGGTCGTTTGTCTCGTCATTCTTGGTATGCTGGCATCTACCTGTCACCGCCGACCCAACTTCTTGCAATGGGACCCCGGGTCTATTGCTGCTCAGTGCGCTTTGATTTCACGACTCTTTAGCCCGCCCACGAAGCAGCTATTCTCGCATCCAGACTTCCGCCAAGCAACTACTCGCCAGCTCCGTCAGTGGTCCAAAGGGAAATGGGTCGAATGGGTGAATGTCTCCGGAGAACCTCAGCTTTGCATCGTCGATCGCAGCCAACCACCTTCCGATCAGCCGTCGACTCCAAAGATCACCAAGGGCCGCCGTGACCCACCTCCGCACTTTTTGGTTTTCCCTTGGTTCTTGACCGAGTGTGTTCTACTAATGGGAGTGTTGGCCGCTTTTGGAATCTGTCTGTCATACCTGCGACTACAGAATATCGAAGACTACGCAACCGCCGCCGCGACTCTGTCGATAATATTCCTAACTTACGCCCCAACCGCAATCGCATCCATCATCGGCTCTCTCATTACTTCGGTATATCGCAATCTGAGTGGCATGGAACCTTGGATCCGTCTCCAGGAAGGCATGGCCACCGCCAAAGATTCAATCATCGCCAATCGTGGTTACAGAACGCCGTATATGGCTCTGACTCGTACGCGCCGCCGCAAGCCGGCTCTCTTGTTTGGAATCTCTGTGGTATGCTTGGTGGATCTCGTATTGCGAGTACTTAGTGGTGGTGTTTTCGAGCCGCAGGTCCAGATTTATAAATCGACATCCTCCTCAGTGCTCCGCGAGTACAACCCGTCTCTTTTCCAGAGGCAGGCCAACGAGACAGGAGTCGGTGAATCGATAATGGCTGCCAGTCGGTTGATGAACAATGTTTCATTTTTGCCCTGGGTCTCCCCGGAGTACTTCTTTGTGCCATTTTCGGTCAAACACCCTTACCCCGATGTATTATATACCGTATCCGACGCCGAAGACGATGAAGACGACGACACGGAAGATGAAGATGACGATTATGATGATGATGATGATGACGAAGACGAAGATGCTTGGGCCACATTTTCCGCTGTGACGAGAGGCATAGGAGCAGACCTTGATTGCCGTACGATATATCCCGAGCACAAGTCCGATTCAACGCAGGTTTGGAAATATCGACTCTCTGGAAGCACAGGACTGTCCAATTGCACAGTCGAAATCATACCAAAGACTCTCAACAGCAAACCTGGCGCCAATCTCACAGATCGCTCTATCCAGTTCCTAGCGCCCAACGGAACAGAGACGTGCCAAACCTCAAATCTCTTCATTTTCGCCTCTTGGAACCAGAACACTATATTCAAAGGCGACTCGACAGGCTGGATGGCCTTGCAGTGCAAGCCAAAAGTTTCAGTCCAAGAGTTCAATCTCGAATTCGACTCCCACGGAATGATCCAGTCCTACAAACCCATCCCCAAAGGTTCTATCACAAAGGGGGAACTATACCAGAACGCTTCAATCAGTCTCGGGCTATTCAATGAGCGAGTGACAAGCTTCTCTCGATCTCTCCCGTCCCATGATCCCTCCGCCCCGCAACGCCACGACTGGTCCGGCCTGTTAACATCATCGACGTACGATGTATTGTACCCGAATAACACTGAGATCACCTCTGAACGCCTATCGAATGTTGCAAGGATAGTCTATCGTCGCATGTTCAGTGCCCACTTAGCTTTGTGGCGGGACAAGTACCTCGAACACGTCCCCTCGAAACTGGCCGTTCCTATCGCGGCAACAGCGATCGAATCCCTGTGGGGACTGACTCCGTCCAAAGTTTTGATTGTGATCATCATCTGCCTTGTATGCATTGACACCTCGGCGCTTGTCGCGGTCTTCGTCCTCCGCTTCAACCGGTTCAAGGGTTTGCGCATTCCTCGATCCATTGGGTCTCTCATCCCGTTGGTCGTAGGTGGCTCCTTCGCGGCCGATTGCGGAGATATGTATGATATGACCGAGCATGAACGCCATGCATTGCTTCTGGGTCAGGATCGAAGGTATCGACTTGGAGAGTTCGCTGGTGAGACCGGGGACCAGTGGGGCCTTGATTATGATGACCGACATCATACCTCGGAGATCGAGTTGGATGATATCAGACCTGCCATGTAAATTATATTTAATCTTAGACCGTGGAAAGTGTATTGATTGCATTTTCCTGTACAAATGAATCTCAACGAGAAATCTGACTCATGATTGATGGACTCCGAAGTGGGACATTGAATTTGGTTTCCACTCTGATATCAGACTCTACCTATAAATACCGAAAAGAGCAAACTTGATCTCTTTCTTCACTTTTCTGTGCAAGCATATACGGTTAAATAAAGTTCTCCATCCTCAGAATTCGAGACTCAAAATTCCCCAAAACATGGAATCCTCTTTACCCATAGTCAGTAGCCCAGTTTGATTTGATCTATGTGATCTCTTATATCATTGAATAGATATAAAAGAGCGTCCACCCTCCCCATGATTAACAGTTCGCACCCAATCTTCTTCAAGGACTGACGGGAAATCTATTTGCTCAAAGTCAACAACCATCCATGATGATTTCACCGTTATCGCAGAGAATGAAGTTGTCCAGTCGCTGATCCAAATATTTCGCGCCATGCAAGTATAGTATCTTCATGGTTTTCTTAAGTTGACGTTCGAGATCCTCCAAAGATACAGGAACATTGCTGCGGGCAAGGTCGCGGAGCGTCTCGCCAACGATCTCGGAAAGAATGAGAGCAGGCCGGTCGTTGTAAGCCCCCTGGCCGTAAAAAGTTGGAATAACCGATCCTTGTGGGGGTTCCAATCTCTCGTAGGCATCGATTTCTTCTTGAAATTCATCTTCCCAATCTTCTTTCACTCCTTTGATGATCACAATACTCGGAAGACCGTGTAGGTCCTGGCTAGATTCCAAGCTCAGGCGATACACTTGGCGACGCGGGCATAGCTTTTGGACTGTTCCGCACGAATAGGGATCTTGTTGAAATAGAACACCTTTTCCATGAGAAATTATACCCATGCCAGTATATTACCACATACCTTGGGCTGCTTTTCCTCCGGGAAGACCATGGCACCGGTCGCATCAAAGCTGTGAATGAGGGGACGGGATAAGTCAACTCATCAACAGCGTTGTTGTAAAACGCGGAGCCGCTGGCCCCTTGGATGAAACCCCGTGACCAAGCCACCAATGAATGGATTGATGTGTGCATTATCTATGAAGTGAAGTATAAGTATCATGTAGCAAATATTGCACGCCAAAGAAGTTGAGGTTTCTTGTGTTGGAGTGGGAAGTGATGGTTATGGGATGGCTCAAGTACGGCTGATCGGGAACTTGGAAGCCCTGCCAGGTGGTTTCCACGATGTATACGCTACCTAGTACAGTATATTCTAAACAATAACCTCGGCATATACAGGTTTGAAGACGATAGCATTAGCTCTGAGCACTCATTCATTCGGCCGATAGACTCAAATTAAGCTCGACCCAATTTCAAATGATCGACGATCTGCCCCAGTCGTGACTTGGGGTTGATCTCTCGCAATCGTGATCGGCAATGATGTGCTATAATCGTACATTTTTAAATCCTCGAATAACTATACTATTCCATTTTTCGCCAATTGTATCAAACATCTCCTAAAAAGCTCTGCAACAATGTCTACGAATACCCAGGATTCCATCGATGGGAAAGCCCACAACGCAATCGATGTCGAGCAGCAACAGCAGACAGGCACTCTCCTAGTCCAGACTCCGAAAACACTCGGTGCCGGGGTATGGCTAGCATAAACTGATTCGCGAACGAGACTGACCCTTCATAGTCCGCCCTCGCGCTCGGGGCATTCGGCACCACATTGACTACCCTCTCGTTAAGTTTGATGGAATGGCGAGGCGTCACGACAGACAATGTCTTCGTTGCGAATTTCTTCTTCATCGCGGCATTTGGTCTGGTGATCACTGCGCAATGGGAGCTGTCGATTGGAAATGGATTTGCCTACACGGTTTTTAGCGCCTTTGGTAAGTGCATACATCCCCCGGTGCCTTGGTCAAGTTGAGACGTCGCTGATCGTCTAGGCCTTTTCTACGCTGGCTATGGAGCAATCTTGACTCCTGCGTTTGGTGTCGCGCAGGCGTACGGCGGTACTAGTTCCCCGGAGTATAATAACGCGGTTGGGTTCTTCATGATCCTATGGACGGTGTTTGTTTTCACGTTCTTGATCGCATCGCTTCCCAGCAATGTCGCCTATATTTTGGTATTCCTTTTTGTTGATCTTGGGTTCTTGACGGTCGCTGCGAGTTACTTTGCGATGGCGGACGGCAATGCTGCTGCGTCGGTGGCTTTGAAGAAATCCGGGGGAGTGTTCTGTTTCTTGGCGGGGTTGATCGGGTGGTATATTGTTTTCCATCTGATGTTGCTGGAATCCTTGGTCGACCTGCCATTGGGTGACACATCACGACTTTTTGGAAAGAAAAAGCAAAAGCAGTAGGATATCGGATTGTGTAAGAGTATGGGGTTCGGAGTAGGTTGGACTAGCGTCGGAGACGAGGAACTAGTGAAATGGCGTGAGAGAATGAGATCATCCCAAATAATCTCAAATAATAACATTTGGACATTTGAACGCCTGGGCGATGCGATAAGAAGCTCAAACGGCATATGCAGTGCAACTGACGAATTGGACCTCATTTTTGGGTTTGGAGATGCTATTGCGTGATATCGACAGAGGAGCATGTCATGAGTATCGCCCGAGAACACCTGGGCAGACATTTAATGCCAACATGCCCCCAAGTTAATCACTCAATTTAGTGATTTCAGAATGTCCGTCCCCGCCACAGACCCCGCCGTGTATGCGGAATACGAATCCAAATGGTCCAGCCTTCCCGACACAGAAGAAGCATGGCTCGCTAGAGCGCGAGAAGTTTCCGAAGTCCTAGCCAAAGACGCCGCCCAGCGCGACCAGGAAAACAAATCCCCTCGCGCTGAAGTGGCTTTGCTCAAATATGCCGGTTTGACCAAGCTTCTCGGCCCTAAGAAGTATGGCGGCGGAGAGCAACCATGGAGTGTGGGATACAAGGCAATCCGAGAGGTTGCGAAAGCGGATGGGTAAGATTCACGCTGTCATTCCTTTGGCCTATTGCTCACAGATATCAGGTCGATTGGCATGCTGCTGGGCTACCACCTCCTCTGGTCAACCACAGCAAACGTCGTCGGGACACCGGAGCAAGCCGACCGTACAAGCCAGTGGATTATTTCAAACAACTACTTTGTCGGCGGTGCCGTGAACCCCCGTGACAGCGATCTCAAAATCGTCTCTGATGGCGACGATATTATATTCACCGGAAACAAATTCTTCAACACTGGCGGCGTGGTGTCTGACCTGACAGTCCTGGAGGGTGTCTTGGATGGAACTCAAGATCACATTTTCGCTCTTGTCGAGACCCGTCAGCCTGGCATCCAGTTTGCTCACAACTGGCACAACATCGGTCTGCGTCTCACCGAGTCTGGAGGCGTGAAGATCGACAATGTGCGCGCACCTTGGGCCAATGCCCTTGGCTGGGATCCCGCCAGCAAGCAGCCCCGGGAGGACACCCTGAAGATCGCGTTCCCGACTTTACTTCTACCCACGTAAGTGCATGGGAAGACATCTGGAATATGCGAGTCACATACTGACATACCCCAAGTATACAGCTTGTCTTCAGTAACTTCTACCTGGGCATCGCCTTGGGTTCATTGGAGTTCGCCTCCAAGTATACCACGACTGCGACACGGGCTTGGCCCTTCGGAGGCGATAACAAGGAGTCAGCAACTGATGAATTCTACATTCTGGAGCGATACGGCAACTTCTTTGCTCATCTGCGGGCTACTGAAGCACTCGCCGATCGTGCGGGTGAGCAATTGTCCAGCCTGTATGCCCGCTATCAGAACGACAAGGCCGCCCTTACACCCCGAACGCGTGGGGAGGTCGCCGAGTGGGTGGCGAGTGTCAAGATTGTCAGCACCGACGTGGGTCTCCGAGTCACTTCGGGTGTATTCGAGGTGACTGGTGCTCGTGCCACTGCCTCCAAGGTGGGCTTGGATCGATTCTGGCGGGACATTCGGGTTCATACCCTGCATGACCCGGTGGCTTATAAGAACCGAGAAGTGGGACGATATGCACTTTTGAATGAAGTCCCCGAGCCCAGTTGGTACACATGAGTAATATTCGACTAGAACTGGGATGCTCGGTAGTTCCAGTGACTTTCTCTCGAAGCAGGCTCTTGAGATCCTTATATGAACGTTGAAAGACTAGGTAGACTAGTTAGCTTGTGTTGGAAATCAACAACGAAATGTTTGAAATTATCAGACTGGGTTTCCTGTTCGGGGGTCACCTGTCCTCAGGTGACGTGCCCCAGTCTTTTCCTTCCAACCTTGGAAGGTTCTTGCCCTAGCTCCAGAGCTCTTTCTTTCTTCTCTCTCAGACTTCAGGGCACCTGTATGCTAGCAGCTTCTTCTTCCTTCCTTTCTTCCTTTCTCTCTTCCAGCCAGTAGCCTCCGTAGGCTCTGTCTATCAAGTTCTGAGCCCGATCAGCTTGCTGAGCTGCTCATTCGTTCTTATTGGTTGATTGCGCCCAACCATCCCCACTCTCGAGATCATCCACCCGCAGAGCCTCAGCATCACCGAGGCTCAGCGATTCGATCATCTCCTCTCGCTACCGAATCCGCTTCGTCAGCTCTCCCCGATCACCTCGGTATCTGATCTACTACTTATGCTAAAAGGTACATACAGCTAACGCATCATAGTCACAACCATAGCCCTCATTGAACAGGCATTTGGTCGTTCGCGACCTACCGAGGCAAGTAATCGGTGGGTCATTGAAGCCATCCTGCTGAATGCTTGGACGATAGCGACGGCCAACGCCAGCACCAAAAAGCCATTGAACATCCAATGCGAAAGAGGCTACTCCTTTGGCCCAGTCAGCCTGCATAAGAAGCAGGTTATGTTGTCTGGAAAGCCGGACTATTGTGTCTGGTATGGTGAGGACGAGACACTATGTGTGAACGTCCTCGTGATTGAAGCAAAGGGTGGCGCATACGCCACTAATCCTATACCCCAGCTACTTGAATACATACCTATGTAGGTATGTGTTGGAACTACCAAAGGGCCAAGAGAGAGAGAGAGGAAACTGATTGAATTCACTAGGCTGAGGGAGGAAGGAAGAAGAATATCGAGGATCGAGCAGCAAACAACTCGAGCTACAGAGACGGGATCATCACATGACTCCCAACGGTATGTATCTCAATCCATCTAGCATATTCCTGTTTGGGAGGCTAAGTGATATCACAGGGTGTATCCACCATGAGAGAAAGAATGACAAGAAGCGCAACTGCGGGGTGTATGGAATGACGAGTACAGGATCCGTCTCGCATTTCCTGAAAATCAGCCACGAGTCAAAGGTAAGCCATGAACCTATAATGAGCTAGTTCATACTAGCCTTGAGAAAGATATCAGGGACTCAGAATTCTAACACTTAGTAGTGGTTTGAAACTGCGATGGCTGCCCGACACGGCAATTTGGACCGCCCATTCGGGCTACTGGTGTGGATGCTACGAAACGCATCATTGATCTCTCCCGGGTACTCCAAGGAGACCTCAGAGGGGAGCCAAGCTGAAATGGGCTCTCCGAGGCAATGAATATTGATAGCGTGGCTTGAGTTTGGTCTTTCTCGAGCTCCGGCTCATGCATATTAATATAATTGATGGCTGTTGATTACCACAGAATCCCTCTCTGTTAGAAAATATTGACCAATCAGTCCTCAACACTTCCGGCTCATTGACTCAGGAGACTTTTTTTCTCTCTAAGTTTCTCTCACAGCTTCACTGCGGCAAGATTAATGTTCCTAGTGGGCTAGGGGGCAGGAAACTTCAAGTAGTTGCAAGTTGTGAAGACCAGAACCGATAGAAATACTATCATCGTCTGCTCATTCATTTGAGCATAGTTGGCATAGCCTTCGAGGCAGTCTTAGACCAACCCCGAAAACTTCAAAAGCATCACCCATGTTCAGAAACCCCCGATTCGTCTTCGGAGCTCTGGTCATCGGGATATTGAAGTTCGAAGTCTCGCACATCCAAGTCATGATAGTCTACATCTTTATCCATATCAATTGCAGCTAATTTGAGATTTTCATACTGTACCCCCTTGGCGATTTTTCGTCTAAGAGAAGATCCGACGGGAACGAGGGACTCGTCAGACTTTTAAATTGGCTAGGTTGCGTGGCTGATTCTTCTGGCTGGATTTGTTGATCGATCATCGCTGCTTTGAAGATGTGAACCAAATAACTGAACACCTGTTGAATATCCACTCCAGAGTCCACTCTCGTCGTGAGAAACTAGAATTATCAGCATAAAAAGCTCCAGACAGCTCAAACCGAGCAAGCATACCGTACAGTCACTGTCTAGCCGGACAAAGTGAAATATTTTGGAGTCTGTTGCAACCCCATAGATCGGAGGATTTGGTTTGTTTGCATTCTTCCGGTGGTGGTAAACGAACCCTTCAACCAAATTAGCTAACAAGCACTACATCATCAACAGTGGTATATCACACTCACCCATGTATCCTAGTACTTCTGAGATTCCCGCATCATCTCGCTTGAACCTCTGACTTTGGGCCACAAGAACATTCACATCAGCTTCGTCTTTGTCCCCGTAACACAGTGCGTAAGATGGATACATCAAAAGCTGAACCGGTTGGTCCTGATGTTGGATGGGTCCGAATGACCATCTCGGCTCAAGGTTGAGTTGCGGAAGTTCTTCTTGTTCAGAACACGAGTCCATCGCTGTGTTCATTGCGCATAGAATGAAGTTGTTCATCCTCCAGCGTATACTAGCTCCGGCGTTCGTTTCGTTGTCCAAAGCAATTTCGATTATTTCGAGACTTTTGACTTGACGTTATTAGTGATTTGATGCTTGAGGGTTCTTCTTGACTCGCTGAGGAACTCGGGTGGCGTGATTATAGGAAGTGAACCCCATTGCTGATCGGTCTTTGCCGGTTCGAGGCACAGTGTGTGTGTTTGACTTCAGAGAAATTCAACGATGATAGACGAATGTAAGAAAGTCTCGCTTCATTGTCCCCCTGCTCTTCCGTCAGTTGCGCATACTGCTGGAATGAAATATTGCCCTTCTCATAGCGGAGGTAATTTATGGCTTTGCTCAGTGTTCTCGCGTCACCAAACATCTTTTCTCGGTTTTCAGCTGTAAGTAGAAAATGGGTGGGAAAGAATAGAAGATGGGAAGGGGAAAGAGGAAGAAAGGAAAAAAGGGCGTATGTACTTTATGCATGCCTTAGGCCCTTAAAGCTAACTGGATCCCGACGCTCTTGGGGTTGAAGATGTCCGCGGTTGAGCCGCGCGGTGGTTTCCAATGTCATAATACCGAGGGGCCTCGGTACTCCTCCACTGCCTATAGAAGGTTGACTGCTCTACTGATGTTCGAGACTGAGTAGTGGCCACGGAGACTACTGGCTGGAAAGAAATAAAAGGGACGAAGCTGCTAGAATGTCAATGTGTATATGGTAATCCGCTGCAGGGAGAGTGAGAGCTCTGAAGCGAGCCCTGGAGGGCGAGGATGAGACTGCCCAAGTGGGCACTTTTGGATATGTCGACAACCAGCCTCTGATTACCTACCATCCTATTGAGCATTCAACCAATTTTGTAACATGATGCTTTTTCAGGCTTTATATTTTATCTCATTCTCCTTTCAAGCACATACGACCACAGGGTGTGGAAAACAGGGCTTCCCGTCCGCTCAGCCGTACTTAAGCCACACGCCGGTGAGTTAGTAGTTGGGTGGGTGACCACCAGCGAATCCTCACTGTTGTATGTTTTTGGTTTGTCTTTTGTTTTTTTTGGCTCTCTCCAGGCTTGATCGCCGCAGAGCGCCAGGTAGCCTCTGAAAATGTGATACCCCTGTTTGGAAATGCTACCGCATCCCAAGGGCCAAGAGAGAGAAGACTGACTGAATTTGCTATCCTAAGGGGAAGGAGGAAGGAAACTAGCTGCTGAGACAAAATGAGAGAAAGCTGTAAAGCTGGGTGTGGATAATGGGCCATATACTAAGCACTGAAGGAAACTAGATAGATCTCCCTCCAATGAAAATTCAGCTAACAGCAACAGGAAAAGAAAACTCCAATATAATCAAAATCAAAATTGGGGGACATAAACAAAGGAGCTGAGTATGGTCAACGTACAGGGGCTCGACAGCATAGAATAATTGTTCAGGAAAAGAAACGGTAATGCAGAGTATTGAAAGCTTCAAGATTGTGAAACTGCTCTCCTTCCAAGAAACAGTGTCAGACCAATCAAACCAAACACAGTGAAAACCCGGTAGCTTGTGATGGATTTTTTGATAGCCTGGCCAAGTCGAATACGTTTGATCGATTGGCTTACTGGAGGGAGGCGAACATTATCGAAAGCTTGTAGGACACAATGAGCAGTCTGAAACTTTCCATCCCAGCAGCCCTCAATAATCCAACCAAGCCATATATCAGTTGTTCTAGGTAAACTCTCTCTCTTTGGCCAGTAAGCTCGACCATCAGTAGGAGAGTTATCTTTGAAGAGGTCGACTCGAAGTTTTTCACCTGTCACAATCTCATACATGACTGTTCCAAGTAGACCAATATCAATCTGGGTATTAAAGCCGTGATCATTCGCCGCCTTCATATCAGACCCCAAAGGTAGAATAGATGCTTCTGAGAAATCGCAAAACTTGATGGAAAAATCTGAATCGAGAAGGAAGTTTCGGCTTGCGATGTCTGTAACAAGTATGCACCTGTCATGGATAAAAGTGAGAGTTCGAGCAATTTCAAGACACCACAAGAATTGAAGTTGGAGAGATGGTTGGGATTTCTTGAGATAAGACTGAAGGTCGCCATTGGACATGTAAGCGAGTTGTGTAGATTCACTGAACATCCCCAGGCAGCGAACAACTCCATTTGAGCGATTGTCATCACATGGCAACCCTTGTAGGCGGTGATAGACATTCTGTTCATGCCTAAGCTTCTGGAGATTCGCTTGAACCTCGTATGTATCGCTCCAAAGACATTTCAAAGGGATTTTAACGGCAACATCATCTTGAAGTAGCACCAGTGCGGAGCTTCCACTTCCTATAACATTGTCTCGGGGGATGGGGTTTGCTTGAAGATCAAGAAAAGGCGTCGTCAT